AAATTTCTACAAGAATCAGTTACAAATCATTGTTTCAAATTGTTGTGTTTTATTTATTTATTTATTATTATTAATCATAGGTTGGTGTTTTGATACAACAATATTCGTTGGTATTTATAGTTGAATTCTATCTGTAGATACAATTGGATATGATTATAATATATAATGTGATTTGTGAAATGTAATTTGAAGCAAGATCACTCTTAAATTTATAGCTCATATTTTGATAAAAGCATAAGATTGATATAACATAAGCATACAAGAATAAGAAGTTGCTTCATGTTGATCTTTGTCCAATGAAAAGTTGTGTCATATGTAGATGCCTCACCAAAACACCAAATATATGTTCTTTTAAATCTAATTGACAATAATTTGTCATTGTAAAACTTTTTTTTCTTAAATTGAAGCATATTCTTTCTCATTGATGTTTCTTTAGGTATTGCTTATGTTCCTATAATGTTATGTTGAATTTGGTTGAATCTGTAGAGTTGTCTCATTAGTTTAATAAGACTAATGTTTCGTTGGTGATTGAAACATGCATTATGCTAGAAATAGTTGAGCTTTGTATCCAAAAAATTTCTTAGATTTTGTAAAAGGAAAAGGCATGAATCTTTGATATGCTTTTAAGAGAATTAGCTAGAAGTTCATTTCATAATTGCGTTGACAGCTTTGTTTTTTAAATAAAGCAAAAGGGGGGGGGCACGTTAACAGTAAAAAATGGTCATTCATAAATATTGAATTCTTTTGACTTTATAGGATCATCAGTATTAAAATGCAGCGATACCATTAGAAAAATATCATTTGAAGGATAAAGATAAAATTGTAAGAAAGTTTTCTCAGTCTCACAAATCTAATATATCATAATATAGAAAAGGTAAAGAAAATAAATTTGTAAATTAAATAAAAAAATATACAATTAGAAAATTATAATCAATTTTCCACTCGAAAAAGTTATTTAACAATGTTAATTATTTTAAGTTTTTATTTCCCCGTGCGGTAACGCACGGGCTGACAGCCCTAGTTTTCTTTAAAAACAAAATTAATTAAGGCAAGAGAGCCAATCCTTTATTTTCCAATACTAACTAGTACTGCGTGATTATGATGATGTGTAAGAAAAATATTCATTACAAAATCATTCTCATTGCAAACGGCTGAATGAATCCAGTAATTAATACACTAAATTCAAAGCCCTAAGCTTCTCGTGCCTCCACTCATTATTAATTTTTGCTATAAACTCTTCTACTCTCGTTCTCAGATCATCGTCTCCTTCCTCCTCTTCAACCTCGGCCTCTTTGTTCTCATCATCCTCATCATCCTCATCCTCATTATCAGATTCAGCAGCATAGCAATGGATGCTTTCTCTGTCCTCCTCCTCTTCTTCGTCAGAACTAAAGTCATCAATCAACAGCTCATCTTGTGCAGATGGAACAACAGCAGATATAGTCATCACTTCATCATCATGATCATCGGAAACATTGTAGCAAGTATCGTAGCTCACAGGGTTATCAAACGAGGAATCTTCTTGTGAATCCATGGAACCAGGTTTTGATGATCCGGTGAAGATGATGACAATAATGAGGTTGCAGAAACAGAACATGAGAAGCGAATTCGAAGTGGCGTCTCCGATCAGTTCAAATGCTATGTTCAACATCTTTGCACCCCCTACTAAGAAACAAAAACAAAGGAAGATATTGAGAAAGAAGAAAGAAGTTTGGTAGTTAATTCTGTTTTTTTTTGTGTGTGATGGAAACAGAGAGAGGTTTGGCGCTATTTTTATAAAGAGGGGAAAAGTGTGTGAGAGAAGTTTTAATGAAATGAGAAGCTTTGTGGCAATGAGGTGTGGATAGAAAGCTTTGTAAGATATCATATATTCTATAATTTTGAAAGACATAAAGTGCCAATGACTCTTGGGTCGTTGAAATATATGTATATATTCTATACATATGAAACTTCAGTGTAATACTCCAAAAAAATTTGTTTAAATAATGTTTGTAGTGAAGTTACTTGGCAACTATTTAAAATAAACAAAAGGGCTTTCTTGGGCATTGTATTGTGTCACATGGGCATTATCATCATCATCATCGTATAGGCTTTCTAAGTCAGCCCAGAAGGTTCTCTGAAATTGGATGATTCAACCATCCAACAACAAGTGTGCTCTTTTTTTTTAACTTCCGAGAGTATGTAGAATGAAAATTTCGGTGAAAACTACTTGACGATTTTTCTATATTAACCACGTTACCTCTTCGGCTATTCCTTATATATTCATTTTCTTTAGTATTAAAATTATTTCATAAGCGTACAGAGTTTTATAGAGCACAAGAAAGTTTATAAAACATGAGTTTTAAATCTGCGTGTTTAAAAATCATTTCTAGACTTCTTTTGTGGTAAATTTTTCAGAAATTTAAAAATTTGGTGGTAGATATTAAAAAAATATGTATCATAATCTACCTAATCCACAAAAAAAGTTGTTTAGGGATAATTTCACCAATTTAATAGCCGCATAGTTACATAATCGCATCGGCCAACCACCATGGAACCCCTCCATTCCGATTATACGGCGGTCTACACATTGGATGTAAACTGAAATACTTCATCTATTACACGAAAAGTGTCATTCTAGCATTTTCACACAAATTAAGAAAAATAAACAAGTTTACCATTAATTAATCCACTACATAATAACGTTTCTCTAATTAATAAGATGAAATAATAGGGATAAAAAAATTAACTCTTAAAACTGCATTGGAAACACAAAACACAAAACGACAGTCTTTGTGAAAAAAATTAAACTTTAAAACGACACTCTTTGTGAAACATTAAAACGACACGTATTTAAAATACGTTTATTTTTATTTTGCTAAAGATAAGATTTCAACGTCTGGCAACAATGCATTGGTCAACTATGTTTTTAAAGTAGTAAAAATCTAGATACAATAAAAATGTAGGGCAAATATGGTATTTAACTAGTATTCCTCGTCACTATATAAGTAACGCTCGATAGTAGAAGTCTCATAACTAGAACAAGGGTTAGCAAGTCTTCACTAAACTTAATTACAACACTAACTCAATGAGCTTCCCTGTGGCTGCGACATCGTTCCGAGTGCCCCAAAGTGGTGGTCAAGGAGGAGTGCCCCAAAGTGGTAGCCAAGCAGAAGTGTCCCAAAGTGGTAGCCAATCAGGAGGGTCTCAAAGTGGCAGTAGCCAAGAAGGAGAGAAGAAAGCTCCTTACGTTCAATATGAAGTTGAGCCAGGCTTCACCATTCGCATGCGTCACAATATTGATCCTGCCATGGACCCCAAGAAGCTCAAACGGTTAAATAATTTTCATTTTTTTTACCTATCATGTAAATGCAACCTAGCTACTACTGAATCTAATACGCATGTGTGAAAATATAGGGTCATCGCGAACCGTGTTTCGGCTCAGAAGTCAAGGTGGAAGAAGCTTCTTTATGTTGAGGCTCTAGTGAAGAAATCCATGGAGCTCGAAGTATATATATACTCCTCTTTTTAATTAATTAATCTCATATATTTATTTATTAGCTACTTTATAAGTCTTGCGTATGTACAGAGAGAGACGAGTGTGTTGCGTGCCCAACTAGAGATAGCTATTCAGGAGAAGCGACGTCTACAAATTGAACAAAGGCAGCTCAAGGAGACTCTCGCTGCTCGGTTTCAAGATTGTATCGACGAGAAAGGTATAACAAATATATATACGTGACAATTATTTACAAGTACATATATTTGGATTTGATGTAACAATTGATATAATGCTCTAATTAATAGGTATCATTGAGTTCTATAAAGTGGAGATTGAGAGGCTGAAGAAGAAGAACATGGCTCCACCCACCAATCCTACTTAGTTGATTTGAAAAACACCTCTCCTAGTTCTTCGATGTGATATTGAAAAACTCAGTTGTTGTTTTTTTCGTCTCCTTTGTTATCGTAATTTCCATATTTTTCAGACTCTTGTTATTGAATGCATATCATGTATGTGTGCATTTGTTTTGCTTGGTATCAATTTCAGCTTGAATTATCTATTTTCTGTCAAAATATATTAAGATTACTTTTATAAACATAAAAATGCGTACAAATTTCAATGAAAGATTTCATTCAACTGACACTTAAAACGGTAATAATAACGCATTAGTCATTTGTCTTTTTTCAATAGTGTGAAAAATGCCAAACTATGAATTCAATATACTTAAAAGGAGATTTGACAAAAAAAAAAAAAGGTTAAAACAAACGGTTATATAATGATTTGACAAAACCTACTGTTTTCAAATTAACAAAATTTAACAAGTGTAGGAAATGTCAATTTAAAATTTGATAAATTTAATTTCAGTTTGAACTATCTATTTTATGTCAAAATATATTTTTCTTTCAAAAATTATTTTATTTTAAAATAAAAGGAGTTCAAATTTTAATGAAAGAAGACATAAACTTAACCAGAAGTAATAACACATTAATGATTTGTGTGTTTTAGTGTGAAAAATGCCAACTTTGTATTCAACATATTTAAAATAGATTTAACAAAAAAAGACAAACGGTTATAAACTAATTGTCATGCATACACGCCTATGCCATCTAATTAATTTTTTTTTGTCAACTTTATACTAGAAGATTAACTCAAATAAGTCAATCTGATGGAAAACGGTTTACAAAGTTAATAGCATGCGGGCTAACACGAGTTTTTCATGCCAAACATCTAATTAATACTCCTTCTGTTTTTCTATTCGTTGTCGTTCTAGAGAAAAAAAATTGTTTTATAATAATTCATTTTAGATTTTCAAAGTTTTTTCCATTGTTTGGATGTATTAACCAAACAAAAATGAAAAAATACATTAAAAGAAAATATAATAAAATCGTATATGACAAAAAAAAAAAGGAAAAAAAAATGCAAATATGGGCCTATTATGAACGGGGCCAGCCAAGTGTGCGAGTCCAGCAGGTATGTAAATGCCTGTCGTTTGTAGAAAACATAGCTATACTTCATGTCGTTTTGAAGACGTGATTGATTCTATTTAGTAAGGTTTCAAAAGCATTGTGTCTAAAATTGATCCAAACCAAACCCGAAAAAACAAAACAAATCATCTTTAGACTTCAATTTGCAGAGTGAGAGAACTGAGAAGAGATGATACATTACTTTACTGTGCAATTGATGATGTATATATGATATCAATATATCTACACTTCGGTGGATATGATCTCCAGCTCCGCCCACCACGCCGGAGATCGACTTGGCAACGCTGCTTCCGCCGTTATTCCGGTGATCTCTCTCAGCTTAACCACCACTTCTTTCATTTCCAGCTTCTGATTCAAACACTCTCTTACCACTTCCCACAGCTTCTCCATCACCTCCTCCTGAAAGCTTTCCAGCGTCGGGTCTGCAACGGGCTTGGTTTCGTCGTGGAGCAGAGAATCCGGATCCGGGATCTTTCCGGTGATGACCTCCTGCAGAATGGTGCCGAAGCTGACAACGTTGGTCATGGGATCAACTGGTGTGGTCGTGGAGCTGACGAATGTAAAGTCTGAGACTTTGGCTGCGTAATCTGTTGCCAAGTAGATTGAAGAGGAGCTGAGGTTGGTGTGGGAGATGGGTTTAGGGTTTAGATTGTGCATATGTTCTATACAGTAAGCTATTCCCATTACGATTCTCAGTCTCATTGGCCACTCCAAATGCTCTGCGTCTTGGTCTGCAAAATTTGATTACAGTTTAGTTGAAAAAGGAGATGGGGCTGAGCCTGTTGGAGAAGTGGTATTAACACTCACCGTGCAGATGCTCGAAGAGGGATCCGTAAGGAGCGTACTCGAAAACTAGCATTCGGTTGAAGGGCTCGTCTTCATGGCAATATCCGATTACATTGAGGAAGTTCTTGTGGTTCACTTGAGATAACCTCTGTATCTGCATTGCAGGATTGTATGTGTTTTAAACAAGAGGAAAAATAAACTAGAGTGCAGAAGGAGGTTTCTGATGTTACCTTTTCTTGGAACTGTGTTTCGTGATCCACCGACCAGTCTTGGAGGGATCCAGATGCCACTGCTAAAACGGCGATTTCAGAACCGGTGGAGAGAGTTCCTTTGTAAATGGTGGCGTCTGAGGATGTGGAGCCTATGATGTTACTGAAATCTTCACAGGCAGCTTCTAGTTCTGATAGCTTCAGCTTAGGAATACCTTCATAAGTCAATGATACACTAAACTCACTCTCACCAGTCTCTGCTATGCTAATATATAGAGTAAAGGAAAAAGTGATGATACCTGTTATCACAGCCTCTCGAAGCTGGCCACTGCTCCCAGTTGCCCCCCATGGCTTTATCATTTTTACCTTTTGGTTCCAGAGAAGAAAGAAGATCACCAATGCGGCCATGACGCCAGATACACCTACTAGCACTCCAATTATTATGTAAATCTTATGATATCGCTTATTGTTGCCAGCATGAGGCACATCTGAAACCTGAGGGGGTGGAGACTCAGCTGGTGGAGGGAAAACTGGAGGCAGGTTTGGGATATTGGCTTGGCTTTCAGTAGGAGGGTTTGCACGTTTATTCTGCGGAGGGGGTTGGGATCCAGTAGGTGGGGGAAGGAAGAAAGGAAAATCTACGGGGACTTCCTCGTCCTCCGTAGGTGATGGAGGAGGAGAAGGTAACGGAGGAGCTGCACCGAAGCCTGGATTTAGGCCAGGGGGAGATATCTGAAGTAGCCTACGACCGAAGATAAATGGTTGGACAAAGTTGTTGTTACACAAATCCAAGATCTCAAGCTCCTGCAGTTCTGTTACCTCCTCAGGTACTATCCCGGAAAATGAATTGTTTCTAAGAATACTGCAAACAAGAACAAGGTAGTTGTAGATGGTATATGTGTCTATTTTATAGCTTTGAGGAGTTTTAAAAACAATGTTTTTACTTACAGGGACTTCAAGTGAGTTAAGTTTCCGAGTTCAGGTGCAATTGTTCCTTGTAGAGAGAGATCTCTTAGATTTCTACGTTATAAGACATCAAATTGGTAACACAGCTGGGATTTATATTATTTTAAGGATTTGGATATATGACTTACAAGATGACAACTCTTCCATCATGGGAACATACAACACCAGACCAAGAACAATGAGAAAGCTCACCCCAATTCATCAGAGCTCCAAATGGGTCTGTTTCTATTCTCTCTTTGAATTTCATCAGCGCCAATGCTGCAGAATACTCAGAGTTGATCCATACCAATCAGTAGTTGAATAGGCTCAGAATGAAAGAAAGATGAAACAAAAGGCAAGTACCTTCGGTGCTGAAACAGAGACCAAACGTGAGATTGTGAGGAAGAAAAAGGAGGAAGAGGATGGAGAATGCTGGTCGGATAAATCTCCACCGTTGATCGGAACTCATCCTTTTGTTTTTGTTGGAGCAGTTCAAGACTTCAAGTCGTCGTCCAGAAAAGAAGACAAATCAATGGCTGCTCCTTTTTATATCCAACCTTCTTCATTTTCTTTTGTTTTTGATTTGTTGTTATTTTGTGCAACAATTATGACGTCTCTCCCTTTTCTTAGATATATACAAATGTTTAACCATGGAAACATTTACAAGTTGGAAATTGCATATGCAACTTTAATTTATTTATAAACACCATTTGCAATGCACGATAAAGTCTATCCCTTTACAAATTGACCCAGTAAACTTTGACTTGTGGTTTTTTGTTTTTTTTTTGAGTTATTTTCATCAGAAACATAACATGTTTGCAGGAGCCAAATCCATACACCATTTTGAACAGTTCTAATTTGAAAGCTTTACGAGTAAAGTTCATTCATATTGGTCAAAGTACAATTTGGGGAAGGAGTGAAGCCCATTTACAATGTAAACTAAAGTGTAAAACCAAAAGTGGGCTTACAAACAGGCCTATAATGAATCTGTTACTCTACAACATTCCTTTCTGATCTAACCAAAATATACACCAACCACTTCTTCTTCTTCGTCTCAGCTTAATCATCATCATAGCTATGCTCTTACCCACAAAAACTATATGTTTTCTAAAGATTTCTTCCAAAAAAAAGGCACTCTTCCAATTGCTACGTAGAGGAGAGTGATTACCGTGAGATGGCACGGAGCAAAATGCAATGGATTTGAGAGAAGTTAAGGCGTGTAGAGGGGCAAGTGTTCCAGCATTTGGTCATAAGATATCTGAGAACTTGAGGGCACTCCTTTGGAATCTCTGGTCTTAGACCGCACGCTGCAATCCCAACCGCCGCCTGCACTGGCGAGCAAGATCCATACGCCTCCTCCCCTGTCACCATCTCCCAAAGCACCATCCCAAAGCTATATGCATTGCTCATCCAACTCTCTCTCATCTTCTCCGGGTCTCCCGCGATTATCTGTTTCAATCATTTCACAAACTGCAGTAAACAATTGTTTTTCCTACAAAATCTACTTATGCATAATATGGAAAAGGACAATTAATTAGTGATAGAATGATGAAGCATATGAACAGCTAGAAGCCTTCAAGTGCTCAAGGATCAAATATGGTGAGGTAATGGCAAGTATAAATCCTCAAGCTAATCACTGAACTAGGATTATGCAACAAAATCGTCAAAGATATACAGACCTCGGGTGCAAGCCATCTATAGCCATCTGTTTCGTACTCCATGGCCTCATTCAAACTCCTGCATGCAGTGACTATTCCCATATCACCCAGACAGGCATTGCCCTGCTTATCTAATAGTATTCTCTGTGTGTTAAGGTCTTTATATGCAACACCATGATCACAAATGAACTGCATCCCTTCTGCTATGTCAACAGCAATTTGAAATATCATCTTAGTCTGAAGCTTCTTTTTCTTCACCAGCAGTTCACGGAGTGATCCACCTTGCATAAGTTTTGTTACGACGCATAATCCATGATTTTCATCGATGCAGAGACCATAAAACTGCAGAATGCTCTTGTGTCCACAGGTCATCAGCTCCAAGAAATCTTTTCGAATCTCAAGCTCATATGAATTCCCCTTATCGCAGCCTTTTAGTTTCTCAATGGCCACCTTTAATCCTCTGTAAAGTCCTTTAAATGAATTTGGTCCTAACTGACAACTAAACTCGAGATCATCTGCATTCAGTAGCCATTTCCTGATATCATCATCGCCTGATTGGATGGTCTGCCATTCATCCACTGATACAGAAAACGAAGTGTTTGGAGGTGGCATTTGAAGTTGGATCCTAGTATTCAGATTTGCCAACTCATGTATATAGCATTGATCAATGGACTCTACATCAACATCCCCAAATTCTCCTACACCTGCGTTCTGTTCTTGACAGCCACAAAGTCCAAAAGGGAGCTTCACAGAGGTTGACTTTGGTTTCCTTACCGCAGATTTAAGGGCATTCTCTATCTTAATTTTGCACAATTTTTCTTGTCCGGACTCGACGAGAAGAAGAACAACCCCAAGAGTCAATCCCTTCTTCTCAAAGATTTGTACTTTCTTACAACAAATTGAAGCACTATCAAGAGACCCTGAAATGGTTGACCATGGAAGCGAAGAACTACAAGCAAATGTGAGCTTGAACACAGAACCCTGAGAATCAGCTTCCTCATCACACACCTCTTGAATCACAAACACAGGATTATCATCTCCAGAAGTTTGCTCTATCAGCTTTATGTGTACAAATACATCTTTCATATCGAACCCTGTCTGACTATAACTGTTACAACAATAGCATAATCATGATCTACACAATGCAACAACATACATAGATCTAAGATATGTATCTTCCACAAAACACTAATCGATTCTGGAAAATTAAAAATATAACTAAACTTAAGAAACCGAGAAGAATAAAACATTGCTTCGGAAATCGAAATAGTGAGTAAAAATGACGCAACATTGTGAAACTTGGTAATACCTGAGAGGCAAAGAATCGTAATGCTTCCTAAGATTAGAGACGAGCTTATCAGGCAACTGGCTTCCAGGATACATTTTAGCAAGGTTCCTCACAACAGTTGCCCACACGAGCTTCCGGCCTCCTCCCCCGGCGGATGCATTCTGGTTGTCTCGCGCCGAATCAAGGCTGAGAGAGTTCTTGAGCGACGCGATCGCTTCGGAGACGTTGCGCCCGAGACGCTGAAACCGCTTTTGCATTGCGGAGGAGGTCTGATCGGAAGGCGGAGCAGCTGTGAGTGACTCCGACCTATCGTCAGAGCACATGAGCACTTGGTCTACGAAATCATCGTCGTGGCAGTTACCGGCATTACGGTTGGACCAGCACTCGAGCGCGGAGGCCATGGCGGCGAAGCTAACAAAGTTTTGGTCTTCTCTACTTGAAAACTGTTGACTCAGAGATTTAACAAAACGAAATTATAAGCATGTTCATTTTTATTTTCGTCTTATAAATGTGTTTCCCTTATCTAGCATACAAGCACCAGTGGTCTAGTGGTAGAATAGTACCCTGCCACGGTACAGACCCGGGTTCGATTCCCGGCTGGTGCATTCCTTTTTATATTTTTTTATGCAAAAACTAAGAGTGAAGAAGCTTTGGGCTTGTAAACTATCTGTTGCATTGGAGAAGAAGCTATCTCTGAATATACACAGTATCTTTGTAACTGAGAATGAATGGTATGCTCTGTGAAACAATATAAGGAGAATCTACATGATTTGTGTAAATAGATACTAGATAGAGAGTCTCTAACTTGTATACGAGATACTAGATAAGAGAGTCTTTAACATTGGGGTAAGTCCAATGGGGGAGACTGTACAGACTGCAAATGCCCTTCTCCGTTCTCCACTAAGAAGACCATCGCCAAACCCCAGAATATATGCGCGTCAATGTGGCAGTGCATCAGCCAAGCTCCTGGATTATTGGCCACGAATCTGATAGCTACCCATCCACCTGGAGGTGTTCCGATTGTGTTTCTTCGTGGTGGGTCAATGAGGTTGAAAGAGGCTGTGTCTGTATTTGGGTTGAAGTTACCAACACCTGTCCCAACTACGTAGAACTCGTAGCCGTGGAGATGCATCGGGTGATTCTCCGTGGTCACAATGCTTGTGTCTTGCAATATAATCTGTACTTTTGACTTAAACTTTAGTTTGTAGGCCTTTGTTCCGCGGGTAGGCTGCCATAGCCCTCTGCTCACATTTCCTGTATAGTCAAATGTGACAGGAGGCGTAGGAGGGAAGTCTGTGGTGAAAACACCGGCAGGAGTGCCTTGGTAATAGGCTTGCATTATGGAGTTTCCTTTGGGGAACACAAACGAGACGTTGTTCATGCTAGCGGTGAAGCGTGTTCCGTTAGGGCCTTGACACCTTTGGGTGTTGGGGGTTGTGCAGTTGAATAGTCCCAAACCTACTGTGAAAAACAAGTTCTCATCAATCTCCAGGGGAACTTTTACTTTTGAAGGACTCTTCATCTGCGCTGTGAAGGCTGCTGCTGTTGCTGTGTCGTTGAATCCTGGCAGCTGTGCAGGTATTGCCCGTGCCAGTGATTTACCTTGAAGAGTAACACAGGAGGCATCTTTGTATTTTAGGATTGCGGTGGTTGTGGTGTTGTCAAAGGCAGCATTGGCGCTGTTGTAGGCATGTGCCGCCATGTAGTAGTGTTCTGGCGGTTGGTCTGCGGTAAAAAGCACATCAGTTGTTTGACCTGGTCCTAACATTATGACATTGGTCGAGAAAGGTTTAGTGTAGGAGGCATCCGCAGCAACCACGGTCAGCTTGTGATTCGCAACACCAAAGAAGAGTTCTTGGTTCAAGGCAGAGTTGATGACCCTGAGGAGGACAATCTCTCCTGACCCCACCAGAAACCTCAAAGTTTCTGCATCGTGACAACATAAAATATTAACTAACTAAGATGTAACTCCTTTTGAGGGCTGGGAAGCATAAACTAAATGTGTACCTTGGCTGGAGCATCTGTAGAGATCACCAGGCTGACCGTTGATGGTGAAGGCGTCTGAGATGTTTGGTGCTGCTCCTGTGAATTGGGCTAAGTTGAGGACATCCATAGGGTTTCTGTCCCACCACTCCCCTAAGAGGAGGGTTATCTCTCTCTTGGGAAGAACTGGAAATGGGTAATGAGGAGACGAGAGCGGAGGACGGATGATGAGAGCGCCATACACAGTGGCTCGCAGCCATCTGCTGTGGGCATGCCACCACAAGGTACCTTCTTGATCTTCAATGGTGAACTTGTAAGTGTAACTCCCTCCTGGTTGGATTGGACATTGGGTTATGTATTCTGGTCCATCCGCCCATGGATTTCTCATCTGCCTTATCCCATGCCTGCACATGCTCTGATTAGGATACCATCAAACATTGACTGATTTGTTGCAGGGGAGAGTGAGTTTACCAGTGGAGGCTGATGTTGTATCGAGCTTTGTTTATGGCAGTGATGACGAGGGAATCACCATTTCGCACCTCCAAGGTTGGTCCTGGAAACTGTCCGTTCACAGTAATTGAGTTATGAACTCTGCAAAGCCTCTTCACCGGCGTCTCTTGAATCTAACCAAATACAAAAACATAATAAACGAAGTTGAGCATCAATCAATGTGAGTAACACTAGAGGGAACAAAAGAGAATGGGAAGTAGTAAACACACAATGAACTCATGAAAGTGAACTTCTGCATTGACAAGTGAAGCTACAAAAACAACCAACAACACAAAGTAGGACAGTAGTTCCATTGCGCTCACTTACTCTTGAGAGAATGAGAAAGTCGATACCTTTTATAGGCATGACACAGAGAGCGTTTAGTCTAACCAGCATACACGATTTGGTGTAACCACTAAACAACAAAACAAACAGTTTCTGCTTTTAAATATGATTTTAGTACCAGAAGATGCAGGTGAACCTCTACCAGCCTACTTTAGTACTTTTCTTTGGTTTTTTCTCATCCTCGGACACCAAATCTCTTTTTAAGGTATTGGATTCCTCTCCTTAAACCGGAATCTTAACTATTTCCCAATTAAATAGCATCTGATCAAAGTTAACATATGCCTAATTTAGGCAAGATGGCTGGAAAATTTATCAATTCTACAATTTTGTGCAAAACCAAATCTATTGCTGTGACATCATATGAATCTTTGATTTCTCTGCACCTAAATATGTCATCAATGTGTTTTTAAAATAAAACATAGAAGAAGAAGAACTGAAAGCAGTGACCTTTTTAGATTAAGAGACATCTACAGTGACACCTGCTCCCTCAAAAGCTTCATCAGTTTTCCCCTCGCCCAAAAATAAAAGCAAAGCTGATAGCTTTAAGCGTCTCGCCACTGGAATCTCCACTAGACTACATTCTTAAATCCTAAGAACAAGTAAGACCTTAAGGTAAAAAGATCGGCACTTTGACCAGAATCGCTGGTCCCCGAAATCAATGGAAAGCTTATCAGTTGACTTAAGAACCAAGTGAAACCTAGTCAGCCCGTTTGGGTGCACTCTGCAGAGATATGTACACATCACGTTGGTTTTCAAGTCACATTGGGCCGGGTCGGGTTAAAACCCAGCTAAACACTTTAACGTGACCCGAAAGATACTCATTTGTCATCTCATCTTCCCCAATTAGCCATTGACGAGACTTGACGCTACTTAATCGAATTACAGACACAGTCACGCTCCTGCGCCCACACCGCCGTGACTTTGCCATTCCGGTCATTTATTGCAGTTCACAACCATTGTATCTTCGTAATCTCCGATATCTCGAATCGAATTAAATTTACAAAACCTAATTTTCTGTGAATTTCTAACTAAAGTTAGCTCAATCCATAGATTTATTGGGAGAGATGATGGGCTCAGAGAATGTCGAAGAGTTCAAGGAGGAGATGGAGAGTCTCTTCCTCCGCGAAGAATCTGATCGCGATTTCAACGGCGATAAATCCAACTCTAACTATCGTAGCGCTATGTCAACTCTCTCCGACTCGCCTCACCCGTCTATCCTCGTAACTCCGGCTGATTCCGATCCACTTTTTGCGCCTCCGTCTTACTACAGCGAATCTCGGAGCCCTCGTTCTAAGCCAAATGGCGGCAACAGAGACAGCTCTTACCTCGAGCCTCCATCTTACGCCGATGTAATCTTCAGCCCTTTCGATGATAATTCCGAGATCAACGGCTCAGATGATGGCGGTAGCCGTCATAGTCAGTCCTCTGATACATTATCTAGATCTTCGTCTTCTTTGAGCTCTGATTTCATCAAGATCACTGTTTCCAGTCCTCAGAAAGAGCAAGAGGCCACAAATTCGATGATTCCTGGAGGAACCACTTACGTCACTTACCAGATTACGACTAGAACGAATCTCCCTGAATACGGCGGGTCGGATTTCAGCGTGCGGAGAAGGTTCAGAGATGTTGTTACATTGGCAGATAGATTGGCTGAGTCGTATAGAGGGTTTTGCATCCCACCGAGGCCAGATAAGAGTGTGGTGGAGAGTCAAGTGATGCAAAAGCAAGAGTTTGTGGAGCAGAGAAGAGTTGCATTGGAGAAATACTTGCGCAGGCTTGTTGCGCATCCTGTGATCAGGAACAGTGATGAATTGAAGGTTTTTCTTCAGGCGCAAGGGAAGTTACCATTGGCTACGAGCACGGATGTGGCTTCAAGAATGCTGGATGGCGCTGTGAAGCTGCCTAAACAGTTGTTTGGTGAAAGCGGAGGAGCTTCTGCCGTTGAGGTGGTTCAGCCGGCTAGAGGAGGTAGAGATTTGCTGAGATTGTTCAAAGAACTTAGACAGTCAGTCTCTAATGACTGGGGTGGGTCAAAACCACCTGTTGTGGAAGAAGATAAAGGGTTTTTGGAGAAGAAGGAGAAAATGCATGATCTTGAGCAACAGATCATTAATGCTTCACAGCAGGTAGAAGTTTCATAGTTGGTACTTCAAGAAAGATCAGTATTTTCATTTTTGTTTTTGTTTTTGTAGGCTGAATCTCTCGTGAAGGCACAGCAAGACATGGGGGAGATTATGGGGGAATTGGGATTAGCATTCATTAAGCTGACAAAATTTGAGAACGAAGAAGCTGTCTTCAATTCTCAAAGAGCTCGTGCCAATGATATGAAGAATTTAGCCACTTCGGCTGTAAAAGCAAGCAGATTTTACAGAGAGCTGAATTCCCAGACGGTCAAGCATTTGGTAAACTACATACTATTAGAAATGAAGAATCTTTTCAAATTTCATTCGAGCTGGGTTTTGATTTCTTTAAGAACTCTGAATTATATACGTCAGGACACACTCCACGACTACCTTGGCCTTATGATGGCAGTCCAGGGCGCCTTTGCAGATAGATCTAGTGCTTTACTGACAGTGCAGACGCTCCTCTCTGAACTTTCTTCACTGGAAGGAAGAGCAGAGAAGTTAGAAGCTGCATCATCAAAGGTCTTTGGCGGAGACAAATCAAGGATTAAGAAGATAGAAGAGTTAAAAGAAACCATCAAGGTCACTGAGGACTCCAAAAATCTTGCCATCAGGCAGTATGAGCAGATCAAGGTATCCATTCCGCAAATGCCCATACACAAAATAATATGTTGAGTTGAATTTTTATGTAATTATGTATATTGTGACAGGGAAATAACTGGTGTGAGGTTGAAAGGCTGGACAGGGAAAGGCGTGCAGACTTCTTAAATATGATGAAAGGGTTTGTTGTTAATCAGGTACGTTCTTATTAAAGGAGTAAAGACTTTGATTATTATGAAACCTCTGTCTCTTCATAGAATTAGCAAAAGAGTGGTAACTGGTAAGCAAGATCATTTAGCTCTGAAATCACCTTATATCTTAAATCACAAGAATGGAAGTGAAAAGTCAGTGATTGCTATGATTTGTTCTTTCATTAAATGGAAACTCCAAAAGGAATATGATTTGAGATATTTGAGTGAATGCTTGAAAATTGGTGAAATCTGCTCTCTTGCAATGCTGCTAGTGAATGCAGAGAAATCTGAGTGATATTGTGAAATAAAGAGATGAAATCTCTGGAAAGAAAAGTGTGAAAACAGAGTTGTTGATATTTGGATGTGCAGGTTGGATATGCAGAGAAGATCGCCAATGTGTGGACAAAGGTTGCTGAGGAGACAAGTCAATACAATAGAGAGAGCTCTTAACATGAGAGCACCCCTGTAATTATTCTTCAATTCATTGTTTCGGGCTTAAACCAAATTTTCGTATCTTTTTACTCTGTTGTCCAAAGAAACCAAAACAAAGAAGAAAGAGCTGGTAAAATTCTTCTTTACTGACTCAAGTTTCAATGGTGACAATTATAATATGAATAGTGATTTCAAAATTCCAGTAACAAGCAAAACAAGTAAGAGTGACAAAAGAATGGTTACAAGTTACAACAACTCAATTGTATACAATATGAAGCAAATGTATGTGAATAATTATCACACTTTGAAAATGCGGTGTAGGGATGTGGTCTCTTCAGTAATAATCTCAAACTCGAACGCGCGACATTGCGGAAGTGGCTATGGCAGCGGCAGCTGCGTTAGAGGCATTGTGGTTGAAGTATGCAAAAAGGCCAGATCCAATGGCTTCTTGTTCTTCAAGAAACAGATCTTCGGGAGCACGAAAGGCACCGTGGATGGCCACGGCCATGACCCCAACGGCTAGAGTCGACATCAAGAGCGATCCAACGCTAGTCATGAACATCACCACCACAGTGCAGAGGCAGAGCATTCCTAGCGTCTCAAGATCGGAGAAGGTACGTCCACCGATGACCAAGGGCTGATCAGACGGACGGAAAAAGTAGAGGAAAAGCCAAGAAGCGGCAAGCGAAGCGAGGAGGAAGAGAGCGAAAGGGTGCGAGAGGAGAGACGCAGCGAGTAGGATGGCCACTAAGGTTATGTAATTGGCTCGGAAGTAGGAAAAGTTCTTCCTTACTCGCGACGCTGCCTCCGAGAGCGACGGTGGCCGCGAAAACGCTGACCGGTCAACGAGCTCTGCCCAGGGCCTGGCGTCGGCAGAAGCATGACGGACAGAGGCTAGGACGCGAGACAAGAGGACGCGTAGAGAGCTCAGCAACTGCGGATCACCGCCGGGAAGATGATCAGGAGTAGTCGAAGTCGGAAGAAGAGGAGAGGCCATTGCAGCAGCAGCAGATCTACTTGGCAGACGAAGTCAGAGAGATCTAAAAGAGTGAATGGCTTTCACGAATATGTTGGCTGGCTTTACTTAAAACTGTCGGCTACGATCACATGCGCTTTTGCGTCTTTCTTTCTTTTTAAAGAAACATAATATTATTCTCTCTTTGTGTGTTTATCACATCATACAGGTTTCTTCTCTTGCAATTAAAATTACCTAACCGCTTCATTCCATCTTTTACTAAAATCTATAGAAATCATCATGACCATTAAAACTTAGACTAATCTATGTCTCTTTATTCGAACTCATGATTTTGAGATATTTTATTTCCTTTGTGGTCTGCTCAGAAATTATACATATATATTTTTCTGAATTAAAAGTGAAAAAAGAACAAATTAAAAGTTAAATTGCTTAAATGATTTGGGAAGCAAAAAGGTTTGAGGAGGCCACAGAAATTATATAAATGCAATGAACACTACATTAGTAAACAGAAATATAACCTCTATCTCTCTCTCTGTCTCTGTCTAACTTTTTCCTAATAACCTTCGAAATCTGTGTTTTATTTTGCGAAAAACTTCAAAAACCTGAGGTGTGACTTCTTCTTGGTGTAGGAATTTGGTGGTTGTGTTTTCCCTCGTAAGTTGTGATCACTGACTTGTGATCTTGAAATGCTCTCTCAACGTGTTTCCTTACACAACATCCTGTAAATGTGCACTTGTAATAGCTCCTGCCCATCACACATTTAACTTATAGCTCAAGCTCAAGAGCCTCTTCTGTCATTCAGAATTGACAAGACAAAAAAGAAACACACCTTGGATTGGGATTCCCCTTGACGATCTTCTGACCATACTTTCTCCATCTGTAGCCATCTTCAAGAATGTCTATATCACTTGTTGTCTGAACCACCACTCTTGGCTCCTTCACATTCTCTTCTCTTTTCCTGCATTTCACACCAAATCCATTCACATCTCATTGTTTCCCTACTTTTGATTTCAGCTACTTACCTATGACTATTCTTTACCATCTCTTGGCGTCAGCTTCATCCTCGCCAATGTCATGACCTTCTCCACGACTGCTTTTCTGATGTGCTGCTACAGCGGTGGAAGCTGCTGATGATCTCTGAGTGGATTGAGGCTTGGGATGATTGTGGCTTCCTTTATACACAATCTCAGTGATCTGATCCTTCACAAGAGACGTCTCCACTTTCTTCTTTGTGAGACAGTTTGGGTACGTGCATTTGAAGTAACTCCTAGGGTTTTCGCTTCCTTTGACTTGCTTCTGCCCGTATTTGCGCCAATTGTAGCCATCATCAGAGGTTTTGTTACGCGACAGAGATTCAGATTTGGATAAATCCAGCTGGGGGAAAGGCTGAGTTACCATCTGATAAATGAGATGGTTGGAACTAGATTTTTCTTACAGATCAACCAGAAGCTAATATAAAGTTCAAAACAGGTCTTACAGATGGTATGAACAAGGGAGGAGTTGTGTTGTTGTTAGTGAAGGAAAAATTTGAGTGCTCCTTCCCATCTTCGTATTTGATTTCATTCTGGTCAATGAGCACACCGTTGTTCTTCCATTTCAGAGATTGCGTCGGAAATGAGCCTGTCGTTGGAGATGGCAGAATCTGTGAATCAAATAAAATATATTTGTAAGGAATACGACAAAACACAATCTTTAGGAATAATACAAAATTTCAAGAAAAGGACAAAGGGTTCTTGAAGTTAAATTGGTGATAATGAAAAACAATCATAGTTTGAACTGATAAATATGATTAGGAGAGACGAAGAAGAGATACGTTAGAGGAAGAGAAGAGGAGAGGAGAGTCGAGAAGGTCGGCGGGAGAAACACCTTTAGGCAGAGTGAAGTAAGGAGATGGGGAGAGAGGGAGCGGTGATGGAGTTGCTGATTTGAATTTTGGGACAGCTCTTTGGCGGTCTAAGGAGCTCATCAATGGTTAGGGGCTTGGGTATTGGATACTCATACTAGTCTTCTTCTACTTCTTCCTTAACTAAATTATGAGTTAAAAAGAAAGAGCTAGCAATTATAAGGAAGATATACATGTGACTCGGTGTGAAGCGTGTGTATTCAAAACACCCCAATGTTTGACTTTCATAGTTTGTTTTCAAGGCGGCTCTAATCACATCACTTTCAAGAACCCTTGAGATAATCTCGCGTGTACAGAATTCCAAAAAAAAAATATATATCAAATTCTTATCTCTCAACAACTAATACAGCAAAGCAAAAGATTGGACTAAGCAATTGTCATCTGATTTAAACTGTAAATAACCAAAAAAAATCCACCATACAAACATTACAAAACGCTCTACTCAGCTATTTTTTTATGGGTTTTTTCCAAAGTCAACAAAAAACGAAAATAGATAGGCTCAAAGCTGAAACAAGCAGCGAGTCTATGACACAGTAGAAAGACACGGGTCTTGATGAAGTTTAAGCAGCTTGTTGGGAAGCAAGTCTCTTCCGGGCTTCCTCAATGATGGTCAGCTTAATACCTTTACCCTTTGGTAGAGACACCCATGGCTTTGTTCCTTTGCCGAGGGTGAACACATTTCCCAACCTTGTGGCAAACTCATGTCCTGTTGAGTCTTGAATGTGTATTGTCTCAAAGCTTCCCTTATGCTTTTCCCGGTTCTTAATCACACCAACACGCCCTCTGTTTCTGCCTCCTGTCACCATCACAACATTACCAACATCAAACTTGATGAACTCCACAATCTTGTTCGCCTCGAGGTCTAGCTTGATGGTGTCGTTTGGTTTGATGAGCGGGTCAGGGTAACGGATCGTGCGACCATCATAAGTGTTCAGGTAAGGAATTCCCTTCTGACCAAACTGGATAGACCTAACCTTGCAGAGCTTGAACTGCGCAGGCAACAAACCAGAAATTAAACTTCTAAATTCCAATCACTACCCATAAAGTCAAAATTAGAGAAGAAGATGCAGCTTACCTTTGCTTCCTCATCCTTGATGGAGTGGAGACGGAAACGTCCCTTGGTGTCATACAGAAGACGGAAGTTCTCATTGGTCTTGGGGATGGATACAACATCTATTCAAAATCAAAATCTAACTAAGGTCAGTAAACAAAACATGCGACAAAAGGGAGGGTATAACCAAAAAGGAACATACCCATGAAGCCAGCAGGGTAAGTCTTGTCAGTCCTGACTTTGCCATCAACTTGGATATGCCTTTGCATCAGGATAGAGATAACTTCACGGTAAGTCAAAGCATACTTCAACCTGTTCCTGATGATCAGAACAAGAGGAAGACACTCCCTCGACTTGTGAGGTCCAGAAGATGGCTTGGGGGCCTGTAATACACACAGCATAAATGAACATTAAATAACACATCAACATTACAGAGCAACGCAATGAATGGTCTGGAAACACAAGTTTGAAACAAGAAAAAAGACTTACGAAGGCACCACCAAGTTTGTCAAGCATCCAATGCTTAGGGGCATTGAGCCTCTTTAGATGCTTCTTCAATCCTCTTGCCTGCACAATCACATTAACACATTAAAAGGTCAAACTCAATGAATACAAAGATATCACATTTGATATAAGACTCGTATAAAGGACCTTTCCCAAAATATCAATTGTCAAAAACAACAGAACAACGCAGTCTGAACATTCCCGTAACCTAAATTTCTGCAATCTAAACCCACACAAAACAGAACATACGGTCTACGGCATGAAAGGAGCCAAACTATAGTCGCCATTGTCCTAGGAAACTAACTAAACGCCAATAACTGAATATCCATGTTAAGATACAACTGAGCAGAAGAGAAAAACGCACAGAGTTAACATAAACTGAGAGTAAATCAAGAAATTGAGAAGACGAACCATGTTTGCAGGTGCTCTGATTCCTCTGCGGCTGCGTCCTCAAACTCACTCCACAATATATATCAAATGAAAAAAAAAAAAACTAAAACCCTAGAATTGGTCGCTAGTGGGCTTAAATGTACAGGCCCATTTATTTAACCAAGGGCCCTAAGTCAAAATCCCCAATGTCCCTAAATTATTAATTCATCTTTGTTATTGGGAACCTTTTTTATTATCATGGTAATTCTTATTTAAAATATTTGTTGCTGAGGTGGCACTAAATTATTGGTAAGTAAATATATTAATTACGTTTTTCACAGTGGAAGGCTTGACAAGCAGGAAACAGTAAATACAAGCATGATGTCCCTTTACATAATTAAAGAAATATTGTGAATTACACACTTATCATTTCATATGTTAAAGACTTAGGGTATTAGTCATGTGTTCCTTGAAGTTGGCCATTGCAGTTTTGGGCAATGTGACCAGCACCCTTACACCACCGTGCTTCCTCGGCAAGAAAATACAAATATCCGGCAAATATTTGGGAACCAATGGTACAATGTTCAACGATCCTCCATAACCAAAATCAACTTCGTCTAGCAATCCAAGTTGTCTCCAATCAGTGAGCAGCATGAACGCTCCGTTCCCTCCTTCACACGCTACCTTCATCTTCAACGTTCTCTCTGTCTCTCTAAGCTGCTCCAGAACGTACCTCTTATCCAGCGCCGCTCGTTTAGCCTCTTTGATGAGCGTCACCACATGGGACAACGGTGAGTTGTTCAGCTCGCTAGCCTTCATGGCTACATTGGCCTTGACGAATGCGTTTCCGTAGTAGCCTTCCGGTAATGGTGGATCCAAAATGCGGCGTATACCCACGGCCATTCCAAATAGAGATGTCCCGTCGGGACTCAGCTTCAAGGCCCTGCACCTTGCTCTCCAGACGTGAGCGGCAAGAATCTCTAGAGTCGTGACCTCCCCCGCAACCTTCTCCTTGAGCTGAGTAATATTTTCGGATGTCACGTTGAGTATCTCACATACCATGTCGTTGCTTGGTGTGTAGGGAGAAGTTGCCACAGAAGAGCAAGCCTCCCCGAAGTCAACCAGCTTCGGAGCTTGTCCCTCCTCCACTTGCCCTAGTTATATATATTGTATGTACAACTGTTAATTACAAAACTCTCGCATCATAATAAAATTTCAACAATAAATAAATATGTTACGGCAATCTATATTTATTGTCAACTGATATTGATCCAAAAGTCAATATGGTTTTTAACGAGTCTAATCTTTTTTTTTTGTTATGTAATAATTAGTTAATATATGTATACCGTTTAAGCTAAAGTTGTTAGAGGTGAGGCACTGTCTGTCCCAAACGGGGATGATGCTAGGTTGTGTCTTTCCTGCTGCGAGCTCAGTTAAGGCTTTGAAAAACTGAGACGCCCCAAAACCATCACACAAGGAATGAGAGAGAGCCGTTGCAAGAGTGATCCCTCCGCATGCAAACAGAGTGATCTGGAAAGCCAGGAGGTTATAGTCACCAGACGGCACAGCTACGTCAGAAGGTACAAGTTGGTATAAGTCTACGTCCATGTCCTCCAAATAATTGAGGGAAGAGAGAGTGCAGTCTGCGGTCGCCCTAACAAAGGGGACTCCTTCCTCCGGACTGCACCTCAACTCAAGTCTATGGTCGTGGGATCCCCGGTGTAGTTTTCCGGCGAGAGGGTAGTAATAGACAAGAGCATGGGAGAGAGCTTGCTGAAAAAGGGAAGCCGGATCGTGGACATCGTCTTTGGAGGATGGTGGAGGGTAGACATAGATGGTTTTGGCCAGGGTTTCGAGGTAAGGATCGTTGTCAAGTGTCGAGAGAGAAAGAGAGACATCAGGTGTTGCCTTTGAGGGTTTCACTATAATCACTTGCGATCTCTTCACCACCAAGGGACTCGATGAACTCATGCTTTGGCTTCCCATATTTCGATTTCTTTATCACATGCACTACTTGTGTGTAAGATATATAAACACAATTCGTAAGAACATTTAGAGGATATATTAGCTAGAGATGTGAGTTTGGTAAGATATGACTTTGAAGATTGGACATGGAAACTGCAAAGTCAAGTCTTATTTTTATATACATACAAAAGTGATTGGTTTATCCTAATCCCTTCCAACACTTTTCTATTGGAAAAATATATATAGGAACCAAAGAATTAGTCCTTCAATAACTGGAGCTATAGATATAAAAATAGAGGAACGTGGTAAGTCAAATGCATCAATAGATATGTTGATGTCTGGGGAGAGAGAGAGAGAATGAAGAAAACGCGTTTTCGCTTGTGGTGGTAGCCTAGTCCTCACGTATACATCACTCGTCATCATTTGCTCTATACATAAAATATTTCCTAGTGGCTTTATTTAATTTACGTTATCTTATAAACTGTCTTTCTATTTGGAGAACATCGACATCAAATCTTTTGAAACCGTAAAATGAAGACAAGTTTAGTAAATGGCTTGTTAAGTCAGTCATGAGGAGCCACGTACGATCACATGGTCACATATAGAGAGAGACTTGAGAGGATCATCATCAGTCAGTGGTTTGGACACGGTAAAATCCAATGATATGCATGTGTGTTGTACCATTTAATGTTGGACAGCTCTTGATCTCCATATGCAATAGTGTTTGAAGTAATCATTTGAGTTATCTTTCTTTTTGGATTTCAACTTAACCTTATAACAAGCGCAAAACAATCCAGTGATCTCCTCAAGCTCCAATTTTTATATATCCCTTTCTATGCTGATGAACCTATGACGCCAAACCATGCATATGCCGATATGCGCAAATTAATATATCCTTTGTCTTAGAGACATGTTCTCCTTGATTCTAATTTGGGCTCATCCACACTTAACTCTTATTTTGTCGAGGAATATTTTTATAAAATTTTACAATTGTGTAGTTCTTTTAAACTGAGGTTTGCATTGTAGTGAAGAATTATGAGAACACACTGAAACATGTGATGTAGTAGAAAATGATAGTGGTTAGAATAAAATATTTTAAAAGATTTGTTTTTATGAGAGCTCTCATAATTTTTTCTTTCAGTTTAAAAGATTTGTTTTTATGAGAGCTATCATTTATTATGTCACTTTTAAATTAAAAAAATCTCATAAATCTTAATAAAATAGTTGATTACAACTTAAATTTGAAATCTAATGCATAATAAAAAAAAAATTTATAATAAACAAAACTGAAAGCATGTAAATACCCTACATGAGATGCCAGTAGAAAATAGAAAAAAATTATTTAATTTTGAATGATCATTTTTAAATATTAAATAATATGAATAGTTAAAAATGAGAAATTCCCAAAAGTATTAGAAAATAGTTAATTTTGGCTACAATCATATTTTGAATCTTCCCTAGCAATATGCATAGAGAAATAATAATTGTGTTTTATAAAGCTCATGATCAAAGCAAACCTAGACTGTATATGTAACTTTTGGAATTAGTAGGAATTGGTAGTGAACATTATTGTTGAACCAAGTTCATTCTATGAAGTCAATAAAAAGAAAAAGCCAGCTTTATCGTCGACAAAAGGATCAACGGTGCATAATAGCGCATTAGGTGGACAATCCCACGGGCAACATATGCTCTCTGTCTATTCACTTCCACGCAATTTGTATATATAAAAAATCTTTTTCTTAGATTTTTTTTTCTTTTAAATTGAATTAAAAAAAAGAAAAGAATCCCAAAAATATAAATAAAAGAAAGAAAGCAGAACTGAGTCCACTAGTCAAAGCAGAGAGAGAGAGATCGATCAATACTTCCTCGTTTTGTGTTTCGGATTCATTGCCCGAATCGGCTTCATCTGTGAGCAAGGTGATTCATTCTTCTTCCAACTCTCTTTCGAATTGGTTTCCTCCAGGCTTTGCTTCTCAATAGAAACTGATATAAGGGGGTTAGAGTTCTGAGTCTTTGGATCCATTTTGTTCTGCTTTGTGGGTTTTGCAAATCCAGTTTAATGTGGAAGTAGCTTATCTAACTTGGTATAGATTAGTAAAGAACCGAGAATAAAACTCAAAAAAGTGATCTTTCTTGCTACGTTTAGGCAATATTTTTCTGAGGTAGCAGTTTAAGTTTTGTAGATTAGGATGGAGAACAAACCAACTGTATTAACTAACAGATATGAGGTTGGGAGGTTATTGGGTCAAGGTACTTTTGCCAAAGTTTATTATGGAAGGAGCAATCATACCAACGACAGTGTAGCTATCAAGATGATTGATAAAGACAAGGTTATGAGGGTCGGGCTTAGCGAGCAGATCAAGCGAGAGATCTCTGTCATGAGGATTGCTAAACACCCTAACGTCGTTGAGTTATTCGAGGTTATGGCAACCAAGTCGAGGATTTACTTTGTTATTGAGTATTGTAAAGGCGGAGAGCTTTTCAACAAGGTTGCAAAAGGGAAACTTAGAGAGGATATTGCTTGGAAGTATTTTTATCAGCTTATTAGTGCTGTTGATTTCTGCCATAGCCGCGGAGTTTATCACCGCGACATTAAGCCAGAGAATCTCTTGTTGGATGATAATGATAATCTTAAGATTTCTGATTTTGGTTTGAGCGCCCTTGCTGATTGCAAGCGGCAAGATGGTCTTCTACATACAACTTGCGGTACACCTGCTTATGTTGCGCCTGAGGTTATTAACCGAAAAGGATATGATGGCACGAAAGCGGATATTTGGTCTTGTGGGGTTGTCTTGTTTGTGCTTTTGGCTGGTTATCTTCCTTTCCATGACTCTAATCTGATGGAGATGTATAGGAAGATTGGTAAAGCAGACTTCAAGTGTCCCAGCTGGTTTGCTCCTGAAGTAAAGAGACTATTGTGTAAGATGTTGGACCCTAACCATGAGACTAGAATCACAATTGCAAAAATCAAAGAGAGTTCTTGGTTCAGAAAAGGTTTACAACTGAAGCAAAAGAAAATGGAAAAGATGGAGAGACAAGTCAGAGAGGTTGCTAATCCCATGGAAGCTGAAGGTTCAGGACGAAATGAAAACGGAGAAAGCCATGAGCCGCCCCAACTTGCTAGCTTGAATGCTTTTGATATTATCGCCTTGTCTACGGGGTTTGATCTGGTAGGACTGTTTGGGGACTTATATGACAAGCGAGAATCTAGATTTGCATCTCGAAAACCTGCTTCAGAGATCATTTCTAAGCTAGAGGAGGTAGCCAAATGCCTGAAGCTGAAGATAAGAAAGCAAGACGCAGGCTTGTTCAAACTGGAACGATTAAAAGAAGGAAGGAAAGGAATCTTGAGGATGGATGCAGAGATATTCCAAGTGACACCAACGTTTCACCTGGTGGAAGTGAAGAAATGCAACGGGGATACATTGGAGTATCAGAAGTTAGTGGAGGAGGATCTTAGGCCTGCTCTGGCAGATATTGTGTGGGTTTGGCAGGGAGAGAAGGAGAAAGACGAGAAGTTACTGCAGGCTGAACAAGGAGAGCCAGAACCATTGTAGCGTAACTGTATAGAAAAACAGAAGAAGCAAGCTCAGGAATTGTAGGAGGAACATGAAGACAGAGATACTCTCTCCCGGCTTCAGCTGAAACAGAAGCATCAAGAACCTCTAACGAACGATGACATGTGAGAAGCAAAAGCAGAGGAAAGAAAACAGGCTCAATTACACAACTTGATTTTGTTTACATATATATAGACTTACAAAAACAAAAATGTAGATAGTTGATTGTTGTAACAGTTACGAGCTCTTCTTTACCTTAATGTGTCGTGAAGTTTTGAACCTGTAATTTTGTTTCTTGAGTACCGTAAATGAATGATTGAAGATTTGATACAAAACAATAGCAGCAAGATTTTTGAGAAGTTTGTTTCTAAAAACTCCATGACAAAGTTGGTCTATCCAGTCTTTTGATTCATACATAAACTCTGTTACAGTCAAGACTAATATGTATTACTGGATCAATGGTTACTGGTAAGGACATAACAAACTCTTTCATTAGAAACTCAAAAAAGCAGATCAAAGAAGGTAAAAAAAAAAAAGGTATGGAGTGGTTTGAACTTAACCCAGTTTTCTGCTTAAAACTAAAGGAGGGGTATTTTCGTCTTTTCTGTTAAAAGTTTGCCCAACGAAAAAAAAGGCAAATTGACTAAATTAAATGAAATGAAATAATAGTTGACCAAAAAAAAAAAAGGAAAGAAAGTAATTCCTGGTTAATATTGTATATAAATAATTTTATTTATTTGAATATAGTTTTAAATTGGTTAAATCGTGGGGATGTCGTAGGGACGAACAATTCGGGAGTAAAGAAAAGAGGAAGAAATCGTCCGTTAGATCTGGTTTTTGTTGTTGTTGTTTGTGTGTGGCCATCCACCACCAAACTCTCTCGTCTTTCATTTCATACAAAAAATTAATGAATATTCCTTGTTATATAAGGAATTGATTTGCCCTTTAATTTCGAATCTCAAGGACTTTTCTCTGCGTGTCGTTTCAATTTACCCAGAAACCATCTCATCTCCTCTTTCGTTGTCCTCCTTCCAAGCGTTTCTCTGTGATCCAAACAAAAGTCTCATGAGGAAGAAGCTCGATACTCGCTTCCCTGCTGTAAGTTTTTCTTTTTCTATTATTGGGTTCCAGTCTCATGTCTTTCGCCTTTATTGAATCGATTTGGTTGTTTCATAATTTAGTGTTTGGATTTTGTCTATTTAATGGCATGCATCATCAAGGTCCTCTATTGAATACTGAGGAGCTATGTTTGTTGAGAGAACCTAGACTACTTCTTGTTCTCTGTCTCTGTTGAACTTTCAGTTTTTGCCTAGTGTATGTTCTTGTTGTCCACATGCGTAGTGTTTTATTTTTATGGTTAGTTATAAGGTTTTTATGAAAGTTTCCAACTTTTTAAGGATATCCATCTATTATTACCTCATCATGCATATATGCTTTGAGCATCGGAAATACTTACCCTTCGAATCTCTCAGGCTCGAATTAAGAAAATAATGCAAGCTGACGAGGATGTTGGCAAGATTGCTTTGGCGGTTCCTGTCTTAGTCTGTGAGTCACACATTCCTCATATTTACCTACTCCAAATCTTGACTTGTTTAATCTTTTCTCTAACTTTTCTTTTTTACTAATTACAGCAAAAGCTTTGGAATTATTCTTACAAGACCTTTGTGATCATACTTATGAAATTACTCTTCAACGAGGAGCCAAGACCGTTAGCTCATTGCACCTGTAAGTTGTTGATTGCCCCAACATCTTCTTAAAGCTTCTCACTGCACGCTGCTCATTCATACTGCCCCATAACAGTTGTAAATTACTTGGGTTTTCAGATGCTATAGCTATCAAATAACCTCTTGTCACTAAGCAGTATTGGATGTTACTAGTTTATTGGCTTGTTACCATTTCTTATGTCACCGGAACTTTATTCTCCAGCCTTCTTTATGTTACCACTTGCTTTTCCATAATTCTATATCTAAATTCATTGATTTGTCTATACTCCACAGAAAAAACTGTGTCGAAAGATACAATGTGTTTGATTTTCTAAGGGAAGTTGTCAGCAAGGTTCCTGACTATGGCCATGGGCATGGTCACAGTCAAGGCCATGCTGATGTAGCCATGGATGATCGCAATATCTCTAAGAGAAGGTTTGATCTTTTTTTATATCTGTTAGCTCCATATTCTTGGTTATTTTCTTGACTTTTTTTTTTCAAGCTGATTCACTTTTCTGATTGGTCAGGAAGCCCCAGGATGATGAAATTAATGACAGCGATGAGGACTTAAAGAAAACCAAAGTGGTGAGCGATTCATCTGCTCATATTGTCTTTCATTTAGGTTTATGAATGTGTTAATGTGATGCTTCATTTTTGTGATCGCTGCAGCACGAGATGGGACATGCAGGACCCAGCGGAAGGGGCAGAGGCAGAGGGCGTGGAAGGGGACGTGGACGAAGTGCAAAAACAGCGGAAAGAGAGCTTTTTCATCGCGAAATGGAGATAGAGCCAACCATATTGGTTGCACCACAACTTACTCAAGAAGAAATCAAGATGCATGCACCACCACAACAACATGGCAGTGAGAAGAAGGATGTGGATGAGCGGTTTAACCACACAAAGCAAGAGCTTGAAAGTCCCGACGACACAAACTCAGGGTTGGGTCGAGGTTTTGATCTGAACACACAATCTCTCGACATTGAGATAAAGCCGCCAGTAATCACAGCCTCAAGAGAAGAAATGAAACCGGAAGAATACCCATGTTGGTCCATCCCGGATATGGCCAATATCGATCCTATGCAGGTTGCTAATATGAGTAAGAGGTTAGACGAAGACGAAGAAGATTATGACGAGGAGGAAAGTTGAAAATTAGAACACAGGGCTCGTTAGTAGTATTGAAGTTGGATTTAGTAGGAATCATGATGTAGGATTAAAATAGAGTAGCATCATTAACAGCCTGTTTATGTAGAAAAAATGTATATTTTGGCTCTTGCTCTTCTTTTCCTGCATTTTTATGTTTGGAGAAATTATTGTAAAGTCTAATTATTTAATGTAGTTTTTTAAAGTCTAATCCGTCCAAATTAAAGCTCATTAAGTTAGGTTAGAGGTTTGAATTAAGACGCAGCACTCAACATTACTACTCATGAATCTATCCCAAAGAGCCATGTCAACAGAGACTACTTTGCCGAGGTGCGTGGCCAAAAGTTATGTTTACATTTTTCCTAAAGACCAAAGTTGCGTTTGAGAAGATGCTACCTGATGATAATATTTTAAAGCTTCGAAAGACAACACCATACTATGAAAGGAACTGGCCACATTTTTGTAGTTTCTACACCAGTGGTCAGTGTACAAGAGGTTCCGGGTATGGCTGGTGCAGAACATTAAAGAACATGAATCAATGGAGTTTCTTCTTCTTCTTACCTGATGCCTCCACACCAGCCATACCCGCGATATCGATACATGCCATCGCCTTACCATTTGTCACTGCCAAAATGACACGAGAATTAGTCTTTACCGTTCTAAATTACATAAATTTTCAGATGCTATATCAATTTTATGTGTTATGATCTAGTCCATTAGATTAGTCTTTAAGGTCTGTCTCTATAAACTTTTATTATCTTTGTACTTGCCATTGTATCAATGTTCCGAGCCCATCACACAGTACTCCTCCAAATAAAAATTCTTGAATAAACTCATCATTTCACACCCCATATTTGTGAGGACACGAAACCGTTTCTACTTTCCTCCTGACTCACTCAAAAATGACACATCATGTCTCAATTTCATTTTAAGATTTGATTGTAGCCGTCTGATGAGAAAGAATTATTTACTTTTGTGAAGGGGTAACTTAGCTTTTAGATGATATTATAATGATCAAATGGTCTAAGTTCGAAGATTTAACTTTTATGTCACACCTTAATGCCTTCTATGTCATTTATTTGCTTACCTCAGAGTCACTACAATGATGCCTTGCATGTTCCTCCTAAACCCTCCCATTACTTGCCCAGGTGTCCCCTGCCCTACCCTTTCTTTTCCCCCAGTTTTTTTTTCCAGTAAACAACTTATTATGTTTCTTCTCGAATCATGCAAAAGTGCATTATCAAAGTTTCCGCATCTTTTTAGCTACTAAAATCAAAAGTGAGTTTATGATTATTGGCTAGAAGTCTAGAACATAGAATGTAATAAGTATATATACATATATATCACAAAAATTCATATACGTTGAAGATTAGAAGGGGATACATAAACTTTTTTTTTTTTTTTGGGCAAAAAAGGTGATACATAAACTTAGTATACTACTTCCTATGAACAAATTTACTACGGACACTAGGGATTTAAGTAGACCATCCCTAACTCATCTTTAATTTTGGTTATCTATGTATTGATCACGAAGACTGATCGGTATTGATAATTTTGTTCCATAATTTCATAATTTGCCAGATAGAAATGTCATATATTGTATATCCCAATTGGTTATTTATGATTAGAAAGGGACTTGTATATTTGAGTCCCAATGACTATAGAGAAGGGGAGGTGAGATAGTGATGTCAACCAAGAAACCTAGAAATGATTTAACAAAATATAAAAACTATTGTATGTCGTTACTGCGTTGCATTTTACTATAAATACACCACTTCAGCAGTTTTTACTCAAAACACACAACATCAAAACATTATACATGTCGATGGAGGAGCTTAGTAGCTGTGAGAGTTTTCTCACAAGCTCTAAACCCTACTTCGCCATGATATCTCTCCAGTTTGGCTACGCCGGCATGAACATAATTACCAAAATATCCCTCAACACCGGTATGAGCCACTACGTCCTTGTCGTCTACCGCCATGCAATAGCCACCGCGGTTATCGCACCCTTTGCTTTCTTCTTTGAAAGGTTATATCCACTTTGTTAATTTTTATTAGCCAATATTAGATAAATTGTTAATTCATGGTTTCTATTTTCTAACTCGGGATTTTATCAATTCAACAGGAAAGCTCAGCCAAAAATAACGATATCCATTTTCATGCAACTCTTCATTCTCGGCCTTCTCGGGTTGTTACTTATTCATCAATTAATGTCTCTATTTAACTACGTTTTCTTTTGAACCAGAATTTAAGGAACTGTATTAACATTTTTATACGATAAACTATTAATGTTTACAGGCCAGTGATCGATCAAAACTTCTATTACATGGGGTTGAAATATACTTCGCCTACGTTCTCGTGCGCCATGAGCAACATGCTTCCGGCCATGACCTTTGTCTTAGCCGTCCTGTTCCGGTACGTAAATAAATGCACAGATTTATTACGTAAACTAATGTTTTGAAACTATAGTTTCATTCTAAGCTAAAAAAACCAAACGTACTACTAATTGTGAGAACACAGGATGGAGATGTTGGACGTGAAGAAACTGTGGTGTCAGGCGAAAATAGGCGGAACGGTGGTGACAGTGGGCGGTGCGATGGTGATGACAATTTACAAAGGACCAATCGTTGAGCTGTTTTGGACCAAATATATGCATCTTCAAGACAACGAGGCGACGTCGTCTAAGAGCTCAAGTGATAAGGATTTTCTCAAAGGATCAATCCTCCTCATCTTTGCAACACTCGCATGGGCCTCCCTCTTCGTTCTACAGGTACGTACACACGCATAAATAGAGAAACTTTGAGTATAAAACTCGAGACTCTCTTAAATATTTCCACTTCTGCCCTTTATCTAATTTGGTTTTATGTGATTAGGCAAGGATACTAAAGACGTATGCGAAGCATCAGCTATCTCTAACAACACTAGTTTGCTTCATCGGAACAATACAAGCAGTTGCTGTGACGTTTGTGATGGAACACAACCCTTCTGCTTGGAGAATTGGTTGGGACATGAACCTTCTTGCCGCCGCTTACTCTGTAATAATATATATTAATTAGCTTCTCTAATCTTTTCATAAACGTTTCATGTATTTAAATTATTTACTTACTCTGATATATATTGATAAATGAAAATAGGGGATTGTGGCATCAAGTATCTCATACTATGTGCAAGGGATAGTGATGAAGAAAAGAGGACCTGTGTTTGCTACTGCCTTTAGTCCTTTAATGATGATTATTGTTGCTGTCATGGGTTCTTTTGTCTTGGCTGAAAATATCTTCCTTGGAGGGTAATTACAAAATTTCCATATCTCTGCCTTTTACTTCTTCTTCTCCATGCATAGTTTTATATATGTTTGCGGCATGCAGGGTAATTGGTGCGGTACTGATTGTAATTGGGTTGTATGCGGTCTTATGGGGAAAGCAAAAGGAGAATCAAGAAGTGACTATTTGTGAACCCACCAAGATTGACTCAAACAGTAAAGTAACTGAGGATGTGGAAGCTAGTAGTATTGGAACTGAAATGAAATCTCGGAAGGCGATAACTCTATGCTCTCTTCTATTGTAATCAGCGTACCACTATCGGAAACACCTTTGAAGAAGACTATCCAAGAGCCATGAAGATTATATGTCTATATATGTTATTTATGAGGAAAAGAAGAATAAAACTAACGACTGTTTTGGTCGAATCTGTATTTTTGTCTTTTTAATTTTGACCTATATATATACGTGACAGGCATGTGAGACCGTTAAGAGTAAGAATAGCTCCAACTTTTTTTGTTTCCTTTTGTAAGCAAAGAGTTCCAAATTACACCATCTTTTTACGAAGGCTTTCAACCATATTTGAGGATTTCACCGAAAATATTTATTGCTTTGCTGCTTGCTCCTAATTAATAAAAAACTTATCATTATTTGGACCGCATCAGATCGTCCTTTCGACAGCATCCAATGTAAGAAATCGAGTAAATCAATCCACTTTTTAAACTATCTTTGAAGCTTGTGCAAAGTTCATTTAATACTAGCACGTAATCACACCTGAGATACTATAGCAGTAATTAGTAATCCATACTTTTAAAACCGAAATCTTCTATGAATATGCATTTTTCTCTTTGAAAAAAAAGAATGATTTTATTATATGAAGTTCTTTAGGTTTATAATCACGCCTGCTGAGATAATGCTATATTTCACTTACGTATAATGGGAAGATTAAAAAAAAAAAAATGAAAACCTTATTCCCCAAAATAAAGTTGAGATCCCAAAACCAAAGCACACAAATCTGTACAAAATTGTGATTTGATAATCCGATGACGTATGAAGTACGCATAAAAGTTGATCCAATGGCTGATCACTTTGATCATAAGTCACAATCGCATACTCATGCAACAAAATAATAATCCTAATTTTTTTATTTCATAAACTCCTTGGAAAAAATATACGATTTTAATTGAGCTTTCAAATTCAATCCTAAAGTGTAATAAAAATATATTAACTAATTTCATCAATCTCATAACATAAAAGGGAGCTATATAAGATGAAAAGGTGATTAATTGATTAATTAACACTTCACCTGATTTGGAAGGCAAGCGGGGAGAAATGGGACAAGGGCGTGGCTAGCCTAGAAGGAGCCGGTGAGTTCCTACAAAGAGGACACGTAGCACTTGTCCGTAGCCACTCATCGACACAATCAGTATGGAAGCAGTGGTTACATTCCGGTATACACCGAACCGGTTCCCTAGCCTCGTAATCACACAAGCATATCGAACATGGGCCGCTGTTGGGCCTCGGTAATCTCCGGCTATCTCCCAACACTATCTTTGGATATGACTCTATCACCGGACGGTCCAGACCGAGTTTCACCTCGGCCGCGGGAGACGGCGAGTCAAGAGCCCCGTCACTCGTCCTGGCTTCATCTCCTCTTCCTGTAGATTTAGACCTTATGCAGATGTATGAAGCCAGCATTATAAAGGATATGAGAACCAAGATGCTTACGGCAATGGCGATGCCATATCCGAGACCAACCCCACTAGGCGGAGGACTTACCGGAGGCATTATAACATATGGACAGAGAGATAAGAGTGTGAGAGTGAGAGTCTAGAAAATATGGAAGAAGAAGAAGAAGTAGAAGAGTTTGTAAAGGAGAAGGGGACAAGTTTGACGTAGTCCGCGGGAAAGCAATTAAATGGTGTTGCAGAAACATTAATTTTTTCCTCACATATGCATACGAGAGATTATGTAAATTATCTTCTTAAATCGTTCATATTCTTGTATTAATTATAACGGACCGTTGACTCTCTTGATTTCTAAGGAGAGGTTTTTAAAAAATATGTTAGCGGGGAAACCGACAAAATAAATCTAGAAGTCCTTGGAGTTAGTGATTAACTATAACATCAATTGTACAAACATTTATTAAATACATGGATGTACACATGCATATATCTATTGGTGTGTACGAATATCAAACGATATCACCACTAATTCAACTGTATATTATCTTATCATTTAGATCTTGATATGGTTCATTGCGAATTAGTCTTGTTAAAACAAAAATATACAATCCACATTAGCTAATACATAAAGAAGCTCTTTCAGTCAAATAAGTTGAGAATACTGCAAACCTAACATCTTTAACGTAACTTAAAAACTACTGTAACAGTTACACTAGCAAACCCCATTACGGAATATATCTAAATAAGCTAATATTTCATTTACTCACCTCAATTGATTCACCCATTACTCCTTTTAGAAAAGAGAACAAGGCTTTTTGCAAAAAGGTTACAGACTCATGTATTTGTGAAACATGCACTGTGGCTTCTTCATTCAGAAATTGTGGAATCAAAATTTTTTTCGCAGGATTTTACATAATAATCACTTCTCTTTTTTTTCCCCGGAAAATATGAATTTGATTGCAAGAACTTTTAGAATCACATTTTTTAGATAGTTTTTTTTTTTTTTTCAAATCGCTTCCAAACTGTTATCTCATTCAAGAATATGAAACAGTAGCATATCTCACAAATCTTGACTTGTTATATATGATTCATAATGTTATAATATCAAGTAGTACCGCTTCCGAATCAAATCGGTATTGCACTTGGGTCACACAATCATTCATGCCTTATATATCATTTTACCTTGTCAACTTGTTCAATATGTGAAGTGAACGGAGTGGCAATCGAATAAATGTACATTATTAAAGAAAAGTTAGTCACATAATACAATAACCATGTTCTGTTTTGTGAAAAGTTTGATCACAGAACACACTAACCATGTTCTATTTTTTATATCATGTGGGAGACAACTATATATTTTCCTTATTATACGCTGCCCATCAATAACTAATACCCCACAAGAGTAGTGGAAATCTCAATAAAAGTAACTTTCGCACTATCGGAAGAGTAAAGAAACAGATGAATTATATATACCATTATTGGCCGACACCAATTTTTACAGAGAAGAATAAAAGAAAAGAGGTAATAATAATATAGAATGCTTACAAAATAAGGAGTAATAACTAAACCAGTAGTACCCCCAAGTTTTCACCGGTCCTCATTATTGGAGCTGAGGCTATCAAAGATTCAAGAAGCAATAGCAACACTTCTCTACTTTAGACGGTTCTGTACTCTGAAGTGGGTTTAGTACTGCATGATTGTGAGATCCTATCGGAAACACTTGAAACAATTATTAATCACTCTTTTCTGAAGAGACTGTTGGATATTTGAAAAGCATAACCCACTTATTAATCTAAATTGAGATAATATCTATAGGCTTTAATTGGGAGATAATTCTCTTCAAAAAATATGAAATGTTTAAGAGATAAAATAATTATTGAAAATGATCTCGGATCAATATCTTAGATTTCCCCTGGAAAAGGACATATTATTGGGTTATATACATACACACAAATCATTAAATCTAAGATCACATAAGTCAATATCTTACAGAGTTTAGAAAGGGTAGCAAAGAAAGATTGGTTCTTCCAAACTGGACATCTATCAGACACTTAGGTTAAGGATAATGTTTTATGCTTTAACAATATTTTTCTTTTCGTACAGTCCATCCAAATTTATCTAAAATATAAATATTGTAGGTCCAGTGAAAACCGAAACCAAGAGTTTTAACTTATATATTGATCAATGGCAAAAACATTATCTACTAAGTCAAATTTTCTGCTGTGTATAATTAGAAAAACTAAAAACTATAACATTAGATTCAAAAAAAAAAAAAAAACTAAAAACTAGAAATCACATTCCAAGTGTTTGCAACGAGAAAAACACCCTAAAACCAAAAATGAAACACTAATAGAGTGTATAATACAGTCATGTGTTACAAACATGCCATTAATATATAACACTAGTATAAAACTCCAACCTAAAATATTTTCCAAAAAACGAAGAAAACGCGTATTATGCAATATGCATATTTAGCAAAACATCTACAACACAACAATTTACGGATAAATAAATATAAATCCCTTGTTATGGTAAGTTGTAGTCATAGCAAAGATATGATGAGGTTACAGTAAAAACTAGTGTCTTCCAAACAAAATACTAGAGCATTTTAACTTTAACCTTTGTAATTATCCCGCCTGATTCGAATTTAAAACCTAATCAGCGGAAATAATCCTTGATTTGTAGCATATAATTATTACCGTTTAATATAATTTTGATTTTATGTGGTTGGTCATATTGTAGCTCAGACCACTATATATAGCCCTCTCATGCCAACACCATTTAATATCCCATCCAACACAAAAGCATATAATACACACAATATGTCTAGTCTTGTTTTTTTCCTCCAGCTTCTTTTCATCGTCCCATTAGCACTAGGGTTAAACCACCCAAACTGTGACCTGACCAAGACTCAAGACCAAGGCTCCACCTTAAGAATCTTCCACATAGACAGCCCTTGCTCCCCTTTCAAATCATCGTCCCCGCTCTCATGGGAAGCGCGTGTGCTGAAGACGTTGGCTCAGGACCAGGCCCGTCTCCAGTACTTGGGCAACCTCGTCGCCAAGAGATCTGTTGTCCCCATCGCCTCAGGGCGTCAAATGCTGCAGAGCACCACGTACATTGTCAAGGCTCTGATCGGAACTCCGGCTCAGTCGCTGCTCCTAGCCATGGACACTAGCAGTGACGTGGCTTGGTTTCCTTGCTCAGGCTGCGTCGGCTGTCCTTCTAACACCGCCTTTTCTCCAGCCAAGTCCACCTCCTTCAAAAACGTTAGCTGCAGCGCTCCTCAGTGTAAACAGGTACACTAATTTCGTACTAACTACATAACAGTAACACACACCTACGCTACATAATATATAATAAATATGCTTTTGGAATGTTTTTTTGGATTAATCAATCATATCCTCACACTTACACTCTCACATCATTAAAATAAACAACTCACATTAAAAAAAAAAAATATATATATATATATATAGCTCAAGAATATGGCACTATATTGTAGTCAAAATTTAATATTAGTAACCTGTAGTTTGTTTTTTCATCTTAAGAATGTGAGCATGAGTATATACATCATTGCTGTTACAAAATGAAAAGCTAGTAACTCACTATCAGATCTAGAATTTATGTAAATAATACAAAAGTTTAGATGAAAAAGTTACTTACAGAGAGTGGGGTCCCACGTGGTTATAATTGATAATTCCACCCACATTCCAAAAAAACGTTCACGGGTTATGACAGAACCACTAAAAACTCGACCGACACATTAGTCATTAGTCACACACTCGCACTACAATACACTACACTAGACTCCGCATCAAGTCATTAACGATTCACGTGAACACTTTGCCGCAGGTACCGAACCCCACGTGTTCCGCACGCTCGTGTTCGTTCAACCTCACCTACGGAAGCTCCTCCATTGCGGCTAACCTCTCCCAGGACACCATCCGCCTAGCCTCCGACCCTATCAACGCCTTTACCTTCGGATGCGTCAACAAAGTCGCCGGTGGAGGAACCATCCCACCTCCCCAAGGCTTGTTGGGCTTGGGTCGTGGCCCACTCTCGCTCATGTCACAGGCTCAGTCCATCTACAAGTCCACTTTCTCCTACTGTTTGCCTAGCTTCAGGTCTCTGACCTTCTCTGGTTCGCTCCGACTCGGCCCTACCTCCCAGCCCCAGCGCATCAAGTACACTCAACTTCTCAGGAACCCTAGGAGGTCTTCTTTGTATTACGTCAACCTCGTCGCCATCCGCGTCGGCCGGAAAGTCGTCGATTTGCCTCCGGCAGCTATTGCTTTCAATCCTTCCACCGGCGCTGGAACCATCTTTGACTCCGGTATGTAATCATATTAAATCTTGGTTTATTTGGCTTCGGTTTAGTTCGGTTAATTAATGTCTTTAATTTTAGGTGAATGTGTTTAAATTCTTTTAGTTATATAAACAGATTTGGTTTTTGTATGTGTTTTGGTTTGGTTATATAGTTAAACCATTTGATGTGTAGGGACTGTGTACACGCGGCTGGCTAAACCAGTATACGAGGCAGTGAGGAACGAGTTCAGGAAGCGCGTGAAGCCACGTACCGCCGTGGTGACGTCACTCGGGGGTTTCGACACATGCTACTCAGGGCAAGTCACGGTGCCGACGATAACATTCATGTTCAAGGGAGTGAACATGACGATGCCGGCTGATAACCTGATGCTACACAGCACCGCAGGGAGCATGTCGTGCCTAGCCATTGCAGCAGCGCCAGAGAACGTAAACTCTGTGGTAAATGTGATAGCAAGCATGCAGCAGCAGAACCACCGTGTCCTCATCGACGTTCCCAATGGACGGCTCGGTTTGGCACGTGAACGATGCTCTTGAAAAGATGAATGAGACAATAAAGAGCCTACTCATATTTATGCAGAGACTTGTTTGTTTGTGTTATTTGTGTGTTTCATTTTTGTCTTTGTTCTTGTCGTTTTTGCTTCACCAGTCTTAGAGGGCGGTGGTGCTTAGCATTTGTGCTGTCTACTGTAGCATTTGTGCTGTTCTATCTAGTCATTTTTAAGTTTTTTTTTCTCTTCTTTTAATTGTTCTTGGATTTTCTAGAGATTCGGATCTTAACTAATCAAATAATGAAATGAAACTATATATTTGGTCCTTACTGTATGCAACAATAATATAAATCAAAATATTTTACATATAATGTAAGATACATCTACATAAACAAATTAAAGTTCGACTCTTGTTTCATTCCATTATATATGAGGGGTATATCATATTTGTTTTGTATACAAAATTTCCTTTATCCCACAACGGGAAAGTGTGATTTGAACCCCACATGCTTAAGATACAATACAATGGGAGTATGGAGATAGTGGCTAACCAAGCACTATAGCAGTACACAAGGCCTAGCTGTAATGATTAAACTATGTGCAAACTTAATTTTGCGGAAATTAAAATGAACTAAAGATGGAAGAAAGAAAAAAGGAAAAGAAAAGAGATGTGAAAAAAATGTCTAGACACATTCATACACACACGAAAAAAGAAGAGAAAAATGTACTAATTAATGTATACAATATTAATTGTATTGAAATGAACATTATTGGTGGGCATTTGGTTTGATTCGTGCTTTAGAAGATGTATCTATGAAAAAACATATGTTATACCGGATTTTTTTTTTTTTAAAAGTTGGTGTGGATTTTTGGATAAATCTGATATAGCAAAACCAAACCTTAAATACTGGATATAACATAATATAAAAGGAAGATTAACATTTTTAGATGTATTAAGGTTTATTTGGTTTGGTTCGGTTCGTAAAATTTGAAAATAAATTGGTGATTGCAATCTTCTTAAAACGCTAAACCATGTATTAAAGGTTTTGTATGTAATACGGAGTTAAGAAATTTGTGGGTTTGGCAGTTACACGCGTAAGTAGGCAAGTGAAAAAGCCCACCACTCATCATCTTTATCTCTTCTCCTTCTCTCTCTCTCTGTTTCTGAGGCGATAGAACGAACAAATCGAAGAATCTCCTCGAAACCTGATCAACTATGTCGAACGTCTTGCTCTCCCCTAACGGCTACGTCTTAGCATCCCCCAAACCTCTTGTCAGATTCCTCAATTCCAAGTCCGCCGGACGGAAACTTCTCGTCTCCGTCGTCAGAGCTTCTTCCGATGATGCTGATTGTAATGCCGAAGAATGTGCTCCCGAGAAAGAGGTACTCTCAATCCCATTTCCTTTTACAACGAAGCTCTGATTCTGTATCGGCTTTAATTTTTGCTCAATTTTGTCTCTTTTTAAAAATACCATGGTGATATTTTTTTGTGTGGTTGCTGTTGATCCAAGGGTTTTTATAAAGAGTCAGACTTTTCTTATAAGATTTTGGTATTAAAGTCTCCCAAGACTCAATGCCACTAGCAAAGTGGTTTTTTTTTTTTTTACAATTGTTATGATGTTAATTGAACACAACAGGTTGGAACTGTGAGCATGGAATGGTTAGCTGGAGAAAAGACTAAAGTGGTGGGAACATTTCCACCTCGGAAGCCGCGTGGTTGGACTGGCTATGTTGAGAAAGATACTGCTGGTCAGACTAATGTTTACTCTATTGAGGTTGGTTCCTCTTTCATTCTCCGGTTACTTATCCACGAGTTTAGGTTTCTGTATTTCCTAGTAGGTTATAGATTTTTAGTACATATAGGGAAGCAGTTAAGAAACTGATAAGAGTTTTTTGGATGGATATAGCCATATGTATAGGTTTTCAGCTGAGACGCGCAGCTTCGAACTTTTTCTGAGGAAACGGTTCTTATGTTCTGTGATGGGCAACAGTTTGGTGTTATATTTGGTCTTGTTTGATATATTCTTTTTGGGGTGTTCTATGTATATGTCCCATTATCCTGTCATCGATCTCCATTTCCAAGGGAGGTGCATTAGCTTGCGACAAGATATGTCAAGCAAACCCTGCATCTCCTTGGGATGGGTTTTTTTATCTAATTGTATTGGCGTTTTCTTATTGACTCAATTCTATTGCTTTTTGCTGAAGAATAGCTTTTCTTGTCACTTTTGCAGCCTGCAGTATATGTTGCAGAGAGTGCGATAAGCTCAGGCACTGCAGGATCTTCATCTGATGGGGCTGAGAACACAGCAGCAATCGTAGCAGGCCTTGCCCTTATCGCAATCGCTGCAGCTTCCTCTATACTCCTCCAAGTCGGGAAAGATGCCCCGTCTCGACCAAAAACAGTGGATTACAGTGGTCCGTCACTTAGCTACTACATCAACAAGTTCAAGACTTCAGAAGTTGTTCAACCTTCTGCCCCCTCTGTCACAGAAGCTCCGCCGGTGGCCGAGCAAGAAATCCCAGTACCAGAAACTCCAACGGTAGCTCAGGAAGAAACCTCAGTACCAGAAACTTCAACGATAGCTCAGGAAGAAACCTCACTGCCGGAAACTATGGCCAGTGAGGCTCAGCCGGAGGCGTCTTCTGTTCCAACAAGTAGTGCCTCTTAGGGGACTAGCCTAGGATTATATGCGTGTGTAAAGATGAGATGAAGCATAGACCAATATTATGCATTCTGTTAATATTCGGATATACATATGTATACACTCTTCTCTATGAGTTGGTGATTTAATCAAATTTAAAGCCAAATCTTTTTGCTAATGTAGTTCCGACCTTGCTTTTACCCTGTCTGGAGAATTTTGACGATATACTAAAAGGTGTTGTTTCTCCTCTAACTTTGTCTTTTAATTTAACATAACAAGTAACTATGTCTGTATTTTACACATGGATATACTAAGCTATTCAAAGGTATATACGGCTCTGTATCCCTATATGCTGGACGAGCCAAGAGATGTCCGACTTTAGTTTTCATGATCTTATATTGAAATCAAGAACACAATATCAAACCATAGAAACTTGTTGTATAGATCTCCTAACAACTCTCACAAAGCCAAAAGACTCGTAAAGAAACAACATCTTCATTTTCAATAGACTCTGAATTCACTGGGTCTAGATCCCTTTTGTAGTGTAGGAGGTTGATACCAATTCTTGAGGTTCTCAGAATGAAAATCCCAAGCTTTAGAGGAATTAGAAGGAAGCTTTGTATATGTAAATCTGTTTGCGTAGTCAGTTTGTATTGTATGAATCAGAAGCTAAAGAACGTAAGACATACACACAAATTTTACGAGTAGAGCTTGTAAAAGAGCCCAACCTGATTAATATGTTTTGTCAATAAAAAATGTCAAGCTAGCTCTAGACCTTAAGGAACATACTGACTGAGGTGTTGAGAGAATGCAGTCGAAAGCAGACCACACTCTAATGTAGCTTTGGTGACAAATTTGATGCAATCTATTTATGAAATACTAAATTATATTCAGTTTTTTTTTTTTTTTTGGGGGCAAATTTAATGTAATTGTAATATTTTGGTAAAAGGAAAAAGAAAAGGAAAAGTGTTCAACTTACGTCTCTCCATGTAATCTCCCCTATGTTTAACTCGATAAACACGAGAGAAAAAATCACGGCACGCAATCTGTGAATATGAAAACTATTTGTTCTTTTTTTTTGTTTTGTTTGTTTGTTCTTTCTTCTTATAAAATAAAATAAAATAGTCGTAATCAAAAAGGTTCGAAGGGGCCTTGGCCATTAAAGTAGGCCGCAACTCACTCAATTTTTTGTTTTTTTTCCTATACTACTATTTAATTAATCTCTCAGTCGACACTTTATTAGTATTTATCTGTTTTTGGCTGCTTTGTCGACTTATTTTTAAAATAATTTATTAAAATAGACTAACAAAAAAAGAAAGTAGGCTCTACAACACACTTTGCCTAAAATAAACGCATCCGATACGGACCGAGATTGCGCCTTTTACGGCATGTCGATGATATCTGATCTCTCTCTCTCTCTCTCTCTCTCTCTATCTCTCTGTTGTGTCTTCCATCTAGTAGTACTACACTAGTTCATTACCTATCTATTTTTACATACTTCCTTTTCTTTTCTTCTTTTTCTGACCAAAACAGGCATGTCGATACACATGACAAAATCGAACCATCTTATCTTATCTATATTTCGAAAAGAAATCTATTATTTATTACGTAATTAAAGTCGAAGACTCCATGACATCATGTTTCCTCTACAAATTTTAATCCTACACTTGTACTTTTAACAGCTGTAAAAAACGCATGTAGCGGTTTAATTTAATTAGCAGGGTGTAAAATCTCTTGTAACAAAACTCGGATATTGTAAAGTTACGTTTTAGAAGAAAATTTTAAACTACATCGTATGTTGTTGGTTCAATAATAATTTAGTATGGTAGGAGACTTAACAAGAATATGAGTTTAGGAGAAGTCGGGACAATCTTATCCGGATAATATTATTATTATTTGGATATACTATATTAACTAGTGTTCCTCAAATAATAATCAGTTTAGAAAAGTATGTTTGGTAAGAGACAATTATAAATTAATCAAACCTTTCAATTTGCAAGATTCGTTTCAAGGATGCAATATCAAAGCATTTAATAATATTATCAAAAAAAAAAGTGAAAAATTAGTTTCTGTGAGTTTTTGGAAGTGGGGATCGATGGGGGCATCAGAATTCAGAAGACTAAAATTTAATATGCTATGGCCCCATTCCCCAACATGAATATATATTATGTGGCACAAAAAAAGTCTCGTAATAGTTTTGTAATCCGAAGTAACACGTACATAACTACGTGAGTATTTTGATTTTTTTTTTTCCAAAATGATTTGCCACTCAGATAACAATGTACTTGTTCAAGAACTATAAATCATAAACATAAAAATGAAAGAAAACTCAAGTGTTTCTTATAAAATAATTCTTGATGTGAAATTTACGATTGCTAACTTTTTTTCGGCATAAACTTTTCTAATATATTTATGAAAAAATCATGTAGAAGGATTTGATCAATTTGTCTTATATCTTATTTAACTATTTCGTACATATTGATGTATTTTTATAAAAAAAATTATGCCCTAAGAGAGGTGTGGGGTTCTCACCTAAGTAAGCTAGTAAATAATAGGCAGGAGGAACTCCATGCGCGATGTGTGGAATTGAACGTGGTACCACGTGGGTATGGAGTGGTTCTTTCGTTTATATGGGACTATGGGTAGCCTACAAGAGGTGTTCGTCTTTTAAGAATCTTCAACTCCAAATAAGGGAAAACAAAAAAGTAGAAATAAAGACAGGTCACACAACCATCAAAGTTCAAAGACATATCACTTTCTGAAGAAAATTGTAATAGTTAAACGCAAAAACAATTGCGTTAAAAGAAGAACTTTCGTATGTCGATAGCCCACAAACATACAGATATCAAACTGAAAGGATAAATACAAAATCAAATAGAGCCCTCATATATCATGTCGTTATACTATTATATTCAATTATTCAATCGTTAATATATAGCCAAATCGTGAGAAGCATAGATGTTACACTGTTCACCAGTGTTTTCCATTATATTACTAACAGACAGATATTTCATTTGTATTGTAGCTATAATTGGTCTGTTCATTTCAGGGGTTTTACTTTATCTCTGTCCAAATATGGATGATCCAGTCGACAACTCAAGCGTGATGGGTATAGTCTGATAAATATAGCTCATAATAATACAAGCTATAATAGTCCAAAATGACTTAACTGAATTGTGCTCCTCCTTAGAACACGTATTGTGATTAATTTCGACTGAAGATTTATTGTAAGAAAGTATACGGCCGGAATCATCTTTCAGGTCTACGTGATTTCTTGGCCGAAAAGCTCGAAGTGGACATATTTATATTTATCGGAGCCCTACCGAAAAAAAAAAGAATAATGTCCACAGTAACTAATCAAACATGTGACATTCTCATACAAAATACTCTATGAGATTGTACGTATATATGGATGAATTCAAATGTAAAGATCGTTCAAATGTCGACAATATATGAGAAATTATATAGTCTAATGATCTTGAATGATTTCGTTTGTTATATCACCACCTGAACTCAACTCTAGCAAAATGGTATAAATCTTAACATTTACACCCAAAAAAAAAAAAAAAAAACTCTAGCAAAATGGTATAAATCTTAACATTTACACACAAAATGCTCGCTCAATTTCCATATTATTCTACTGGGGTCCTGGTTGTTTAAACTTATACAGTTTCATCATAATTCTGTTTTGTAATGTTCTTTTGTTATTACAGAGATAATGAAGCAACGTCGTCTTGATTTTTTAATAATTAAATATCGTTGTGTTTGCCATTAAGATTTTTATTTATTTATATATATAATATTATATATAAAGTTGGAAATCTATGTGTTAATAGAAAATTAAAATTATTTATAAAAGCTAAATCCTCTAATATTAGAAAATGATTTTGCCCTTGGTAATATTGTTTTTGACCTTTTTTGGTTAAATACCATTGTAGTTAGGAGTAATGAACAAAACGATGCGCTTTGGGTAATATATTTCCTTAAAAAGACATGTGACTTTCCTTTGAAAATAAATTGGAAAGTTGAGTTCTGCCGACAAGTTATGGACGAAAAACATATGTATAAAAGCAGCAAACCAAACCATACACAAACTCCAAAGGGAATAGTACATTCAGACAATGACACGTCTTTACTACTAACAAGAGAAAAAGAAAAAAAGATATCGAGTGAAAGAGTAGTAAATATTGGAGTGGGGCAACTAAATATTCGCACACGCCGTTTATTTCCCACGTGCGTGATAACAACTCAACGGAGGCTGCTGCTGCTGCTCCTCTCTCTTCTCTTCTTCACACCATCCAAAGGCATCTCTCATGCATTTTGCGTTATTATATAAACAGCCAACTTCCTCACGAAATCTTACACCCAAACAACACACAATAAGAGAAGAAACAGTTTCTATATATATATACTCGAGAAAGAAACAATGGCGACCTCAAGCGTGAAGACCATTCCAATGGCGATCCCAAATTTCTCCATGTGCCACAAGCTCGAGCTCCTCAAGGAAGGCAAAACCCGCGACCAGAAACACGGAGGAGATCATGACGAAGGCTTGAGCTACGAGTTCCAAGAGATGTTGGACTCTCTTCCAAAGGAGAGGGGATGGAGAACTCGTTACCTTTACCTCTTCCAAGGGTTCTGGTGCCAAGCCAAGGAGATTCAAGCTATCATGTCCTTCCAACGACATTTCCGGCCCTTTCCCAACGACGTCGTTCTCGCTACCATTCCTAAATCCGGTACGACCTGGTTGAAAGCTTTAACTTTTACCATCCTTAACCGTCACCGGTTTGATCCGGTTTCCTCAAGCACCGACCACCCTCTTCTCACTTCCAACCCTCATGACCTCGTACCTTTCTTCGAGTACAAGCTTTACGCGGACGGAGCTGTTCCGGACCTCTCGGGTCTAGCCAGGCCCAGAGCATTCGCAACCCACGTCCCTTTCGGTTCCCTCAAGGATTCAATCGAGGAGCCTGGTGTGAAGGTCGTCTACTTGTGCCGGAACCCGTTTGACACATTCATCTCCTCGTGGCATTTTATCAACAACATCAAATCCGAGTCAGTGAGCCCAGTCTCGTTAGACGAAGGGTTTGATCTGTATTGCCGGGGAGTGATCGGGTTTGGCCCGTTCTGGGAACACATGTTGGGGTACTACCGAGAGAGCTTAAAGAGACCAGAGAAAGTCTTGTTTCTAAAGTACGAGGATCTCAAAGAAGACATCGAGACCAACTTGAAGAAGCTTGCAAATTTCTTGGGACTTCCTTTCACCGAAGAAGAGGAACGTAAGGGAGTTGTGAAGGCCATCGCTGATCTTTGTAGCTTCGGGAATATGAAGAAGCTGGAGGTGAACAAGTCAAAGAAGTCGATCAAGAACTTTGAGAATCGGTTCTTGTTTAGGAAAGGAGAAGTGAGTGACTGGGTTAACTATTTGTCGCCTTCACAAGTGGAAAGGTTGTCAGCCTTAGTGGATGACAAGTTAGGTGGATCTGGTCTCACTTTCAGGTTGAGCTAAAGTATCAAGACCACGTGGCGCATCTCTAATCTTGTTTATTCCGAGGGCCTATAAGTTAAGGCAGTTGTATTGTTCTTACAGATAGACAATGAAGCAACGTCCACAATATAGTTTGTCGTGTTTCTTTTTTTTTTTTTTTTGGTCAACATCGAAGTTTGTCGGGTTTTATTTCAATAAATATCATTTTGTGTTTGCCATTATGTTTTCATTTTGTACCAGTGTGTTATTGTTCATGTGTGTAACTGGATGTATAGACAAAAATAAATGTATATATGTGTGTATTATTGTTCATATGTATGTGTATGTATTTTCAAATATATTTTTATATTAGTAAGACAATTTTACCTTATATATTATTTTCTTTATTTTGTTTCATTTTGAGCTTGAGAGCAATATAGCATTACCAAAAAAAAAGAAACCTAGATAGCATATTTTTGTGTTTTTCCAATCATATAGTTTTCTGTAAATACGAGACTGAACGACGTATACGCTGATGAATGTCACAAATCATGTCACCGGAGAAAAGCAATGACTAAACGGCGGGGATGGGTTGTTGTGATGTCACGCATAATGTCACCTAGAGAAGAATTTTTAGTTCTGTCTAAACGGGATGGGTTTCTTGTTGAGCAATCACAAACACGTGATTTTAATCTTGGCAGATAAAAAGACAAACAAATACTTATAACGAAGATCTAACCAAATTTTCAACTAAATTTAAAGCATTGGCATGTGGGTAATTCACAAAACGTACATTTGGCAGGTTCGTAAAGTGTAACCTATTGACATTTGACTAAATTAGCCCATGTTGTTCATAACCATATATTACTTTCATATCAAACTCGATTCCTTTTTGATAAACTTGGATGAGAAACTTTTGATTCTGATATCAAATTGAAGTTAGTTTTGTGAGTTTTCAATTCAAGAATTCAATTGATAATAAATACAGTGACTCATTTACTTTCGTCTATTCTAAAGTTTCAATGTGGGTTCATAAATACATAAACATACAATTATCAAATACACAATAAATATCATTCTAGAATTCAAATCAAAGACAGTATGTACATTGGACTATTCTTTGTACAATACCCGTAAAAAATATACGTCAAGTTCATCAATATCTCATTTTCTTAAGTAACATTTTCGATATGTTTTAGAAAATGGAACCAAAACCATTCAATATGCATCCGAAATTTTTGTACTTCATAAACCAAACCGAAAGCAAATCTAAATAACTAGAGTGGACACAACTAGCTACCCAAACTTACATTTTATCATCTACACAGAGTTGCATTCTCCAACAGATGTAATGTAGTGTATATATATTCATGTATATACATACACACACATCACCAACAAATCGTTTCAAGTGCTTTACCAAATAAGAAATTCCAAAAAAAAACAAACAAAATAAAAAAAAGTAGAAGAAGAACATATGTAGTATTAGAAAAAGAAAAAAAGAACGGTTAAATTGTTTCCCCTAAAACGACGTCGGTTTTCAATTGATTAAACCCGAACGAAGAAAATACTTAACTCAGGTCCACTGTTGCCATCAGGATTCATCATGTAATACGTCTCCGAGTCTCTTGAACCGATCACTCTCTCGAAATGTGCTCTCATGTACGTCAAATCTCCTTCTTGCTGCCCTCCTCCTCCACCGCTTTGCTCCGTCGCGCCGCTGCTCACCGGTAATACACCAGCTCCCATAGACACTGCATGGAGCATCTGCATCACGACTAGATCCTCTTCCGTTGGTTGTCTCTTCACACCATAACCGGATTTTTTACCGTTACAATACAGAGCCCAAATCGGTTCATCGATGATCTTGGTTTTCTCACTCGGTTTCTTCTCACACTCCAACGCGATTCTCACCAAACCGACTCCAAGATCTTGGAGCAGCTTCCCCGTAGGGATCGCTAGCTCCAGTAACAGAATCGGCAAAGAACGCGGGTTCTCTTGGACCGCTAAGTTCACTCGCGTTTTGCGGTATCCGAACAACGTCCCCGTGACACGTGTCCCACCGTGGACGTGGTTCTCGTGTAGCCTTCCTCCTCCTACGGGGAATTTACACATCGGTGACATGATCGGGAGTGACCGGAACACGGACCTGACGCGGCGGAAGAGTTTCGTCGATTTGGAACCTGTTGTTTTGTTTTTTCCAGACGGTTGCTCTAGCGTGATCTCAGGACGTACCGTCGCTGTTGATTTCTTCGACTTTGGACTCCCGAGAGGTGACATTGTCGTCGGAGTCAGCATTCTTGGCGTTAACGGTGGTGTCGCCATTACAACACGAAAACTTTTGTCAAACTGAAAAATGTTTTGTATGTTAAAGAGTACAGACCAAAATTTTATACAATCTTTTGAAACTAATGGATCGCACGTTTCAGTTTTAATAGTTTAAAATATGCAAACGTGAGTCAGAGACTTTCTTGTTAGACAATTATATTTTCCAGTTCGCCGGTTCTAGTTTATGGTCGGGTGATATTAAATTTGACTTGTGTTTGTTTATGTTTTGCTGGTATAAGACTAGTTCCTTCCTCCTCTGCTTTGCTGTTTCCAAGGTTGTTTACCACTTACATATGTTTTTCTGTCTCCTCCTATCATGATTTAACAATAAGGTTTAAAGAATCTCTTTTGAACAAATTTTATAACAACAGATTCTACATGGGGTAATGTACTTTCAGAGAGGATCACTCAGTAAATAACATATAAGTGCATCAAGAAATTTGAAACCCAGAAGCAGAGTTGTGTTAAAACAGATCAAAACTGAAGCTTGGGAAGACAAGCAAAACACACACACATATATATAGATATATACACATAAGTTATTTCCCAAGATTATGATGAGGTTTTGTCTTGAGACTCTTCTCTTTACCCTTGAATGGAAGAAAGTCTCTTTGGTGCAGGCATATTTCTCATGTTGGATTCCATCTTGTTGAATGTGAGGTTGGCGATGGCTCTGTCCATTGAGTTTGTTTCCAATTCAGTATTGTTGCTACTGAAAAAAACACAAAGATAGTGATGAGTCTTTTTTTTTATTCATGAAGGTGAGTCCATTTTCTTAAGCAAAGTTTTGATTAATGAAGAAAGCTCTGTATACCTGGTTCCATCCTCAAGGAACTCCTCCGAGTTGGAGTCTGACTTCTGTAGTGAGTTCTTTGCAAGCCGGTAAAATGTATCGCGGAAACACTTGCGGGTATCATCAGTTAACTACAGTTAAACATTGCAAAGTCTTTTACAAGACTGATCTAGTAAAAATTGTAGGCAAGATACAGAACATCACACTGACCTTTTCAGTAGCCCTTTGTAGATCTTGCAACACCACTTCTTCAGCAGAAGCCTCCTCCATGTTCTCCTCACACAGATTCATTGGTGCCTCCTCCTTGAATCAAAATAATGTACCAATATTAACATCTCTACTATTATCCCAAGTTAAACCCCCCCCTGGAACAGCAATATAGTCACAAGTAAACACATCAATCATGGACCAGTAGATCTCAGACCGAAATCCAAACCATACTGAGTCCCTAGAGTGTGCTGGATCCCGCAAGTTCCATCTACAAGTAACAACAATGAACACTAGACTACAATCACTCAGTTGTGTGGTTCAACTATTTTGACATTGCTTGCTAGATAAAAAAAAGAGTCAATTCATACCATAAGTGGCATGTCTTGACAAGTTTCCCAGTTGTAATGGAACATAGGGACTTCTCTGCCATCGGTAGTGTCAAGATACGCAGAGGAGGAAGTTGTGGTGTTGTTATCATTATCCGACTCCTTGAAAGAATGAAAATCCTCATTCCCTGGAACATCCTCCAAAATGGAACTTCTTCAGTCAAAACCGGAAACCAAAACAAAAAGAGACACAACAAAAATATAAACATTTGAAAACTAATATAAAACATTTTTTGATCTGAGAAGTGTTGTGTAAGGGCTATACAAGAACATGTCATCCATCTGTTGGATTTCATCGAAATCATGAAGAGAACGGTCAAAGCAACCACTAGCCTTCAACCTCTTTGTTTCTTCTTCAACTTGGTCACTCGTCCCCATCTCCATCTGGCTGTATAATCCTCCACTGAAACCATTGTTAATGACATCGTAATCAAAGCACTTCTCAGCAACAGCTTCAGAGGAGTTGATGTTCCATCCAGTAGTAGTACCCCACATATCAGGAGAAGGGTATGAATCTGATGTCTCTTGATAGTTAGGCACAACAAGATCCTCTAAGTTCCTCCTCGAATAACGATCCATGGATGATACGTTCACCTGATAAAAAAGGTCACCACTACTATATTCAGAGACCACCAGGGGAAAGGAAGAAAAAACATTTGAATTATAAGAATATAATAATAATTATAAATAAAAGAAGTCACCTTTAAGATCAGATCCAAATCCAAATCCAAAAGATTTTTAACGAGTTTATCTTCTTCTATCTTCCTGTAGATTTTGTGTGAGTGCTGCAAAGGGGAGAAGAGAGAAGACAAAGAAAGAAGCAAGTTGCAAGGAAGTGGAGAGCGCGTGAGTTTGAACTTTAACTAGTGGCTCAGAATTCACAAACGAGATTTGTGGCTTAGATTGCTCCTCCATCTAAAGCAACTCTTTCATTGGTCCACGTGTTTTTAACATATCTTTTTTTTCCTGTGTGAGGTCGGCACTTGAAGAAAAAAAAAACTTATAACACAAACAACTGGCCAACTTGAACAATTTTTTTTTGTAGTTTCCTGTCTGTTTACGGATAAACGACAAAAAGAATTAAAAAAAATAGTAACGAAGAACATAGGTATTATAAAATTACGGATATACCCTTCAGATTCGGACAGTGGTATTAGCACACAGGTTAGGTGACACATCTCATGTTCACTCGATTTGGTCAGTCCACGTGGCCTATAGACATAGGGAGGTGAAGACACGTGCCAGACTGTTCAGCGGTGGAGTGGGGACCTTTGGGTTTATTGGGGATGATGAAGAAGCTGCCTACATCATTCCACTGGATAATGTTTCCTTCCTCCTCACACTCTACTCACACCTTTGTCTTCTCTCATCAAAGTTAGTATATTTTTTTTGGTTTCCAAATATAAACTTTTCTATCAATTGAGGAAGCAGTCGAAACAAGTCATTGGACAAAATTCAGTTGCCCAAGAGCGGCGCATAGGCAAATCGCCGCCACTCCCATTCTGATTTCTCTGAGCTTCTCGTATGAGTTAGCACAATTCGATGCTTCTTCTTCCTTTCAGAGGCCCATGGGCCTTAAAATTATAGATATGGGCTTCATAAAAATATCCAGTTTGGTCCAACATTCTATAAAACATGCATGATCAACATTCTATTTAGGTCATCTCCAAAGGGAGATGCTTATCAAAAAAGTTTAGACTTTCTAGTAATTATTGTGATTAAAAATAAATCATAATAGGTATTATTGTTTAGCAGCACTCCTAAACTAAAGGGTTTTAGCATCGATCTCTAAAGCCACATGTATTCTTATTAGTGGCCGGGAAGTGAGAGAGAAGGGAAGACAAAAAAAGATCAAACAGTTTCTCTCTTTCTCTCTCCAAAATGTTTTTTTTTTTTAATTCAACAAACTTTTATTAAACATTAAATTTAATAAAAATTTGTTTAACACCCCAAATTAAGCATCTCCCTTTGGAGATGCTCTTAGGATTTTCTTATCCTCCTTATTTCTTATCAACTAATGAAATAAAGGTCTGTAATGCAACTTGTAATTTTTAAAATTTAAGTACAATTGTCTAACTAAAATCCAAATTAGTTAAAGTGATCCAATCCAATAAATGTTTAACAGAAAATAAGAATTCTACAAAAAGAAAAATATAATTAACTTAAATCAGCAATTACACCTTTTTTTTTCTTTTCAATATCAATGAAGTTGAGACTTCAAATTTGACTAAATTTGGAGTTGTGGAATCACAAAAAAGAACTTAAAGGAAGAAAACTATTGAGATAATTAAAAGATTTGAGACAAATCAGCAGCATATGATTTTTTTTTTTTTTTTTTTTTTTTTGCCTTTACTTTTTTTTTTTTTTTTTTTCCAATATACAGATTAGATCCTTCGCCCCCGGCGCGTTCTCTCTCACACCACCTCGGAACTAGTCTGCTCCAAAAACAGTTCATTCATTCTTCTTCTACATTTCGAGATCATAATCAAATCCTCTCTCAATTCCTTTTAAATCAAATACTTGTCTGCGAAAATCAGTCATCTCGATCTCTTTAGTAAGTGTGTGATTTTTTCCCGGTGTTGGCGAGGCAAATGATTGGTAAGTAAAGTTTAAACGAACTAGATTTATGCATTCAATGTTAGTCTCTATAGCTCTCTCTTACTTGGTTCACTGAAGTTTTTTTCCCATTTGATTCGCGGCTTTCTAATTCACAGGTTAATTTGAAATCTGAGAATCCGCGGACTGACTTATATTTGCAGCTGGATCGAGATATGGAAGAGTATGTTTTCTTTCTTCGTTTGGATTTGATTTGGCTACTGCATAGTCTTCGTTTCTATTGCCCTGTGTTTTTTTGATCCATGGTCTGTCTATGTATAGAGAAAATGCTGTTGAGGTTCTTCAGCGATATCGCCGGGATAGGCGGAAACTCTTGGATTTTATGTTGGCTGGTAGCTTAATCAAGAAAGTTATAATGCCTCCTGGGGCTGTCACTCTTGACGATGTTGATTTGGATCAAGTTAGTGTTGATTATGTCATTAACTGTGCTAAGAAAGGTAATCTCATGATAACATTGCATTGCTTGCTTCTTTCTTCTGCTGTTCTCTGTGATCCTTCTGTTTTTATTTTGGATTTCAATTAGTATATTATTGTTTTATATGTAGGTGGAATGCTCGAACTTTCTGAAGCTATTCGGGACTATCATGATCACAGCGGTTTGCCTTATATGGTATGGTTCTCTCACTTGTCTCTATTTTTACTATACATTAGCATACTATTTCGTTTATTCACTTACTTAGTGTTAGTTTATCCTTCTCACTCCACTTGTATCAGTGATTTGCTCATTGCTTGGGTCTTATGCCTTTTTCAGAATAGCGTGGGTACTGCTGATGAGTTCTTTTTGGCTACAAATCCTGAATCTTCTGGCTCACCTCCAAAAAGGGCCCCACCACCTATTCCTATATTAATTTCCTCAGCCTCTCCCATGGTTACGAATCCAGAGTGGTGTGAGTCACCAACTGTGCCATCACATATGCGATCAGAATCTTTTGATTCACCACAAGCTCAAGAGCTGACTGTTGATGACATTGAAGATTTTGAGGACGATGATGACCCTGAGGAAGTTGGCAATTTCAGGATCTCAAGGCGGGCTGTTAATGATGCGGCTGATCTTGTGCCAAAACTGCCCTCCTTTGCAACTGGTAAAAAGATTGGAAAATGCATATCTCAAAGAAGTTATTTTAATGAAATATACCATTGCTACTGTTAATCCATTGGATAACCTCATAATATTGAATTTCTAGGCTTTGGTGATTCTCTATTTAGGGATGGGGCACCATAATTTAAGGAACAAAGGAGTACTTGCAAAATTATCATTTCTTATACTATCCAGTAGCCAGACCTAAATATGACTAGACCATAAGTAGTACACACATGTAAAAACGAGAACCCTCTGATTCCTTAAGAAAGTTGTACTGTATTTTTGTTTCAGGTATTACAGATGATGATCTTCGCGAATCTGCATTTGAGATCCTGTTGGCTTGCGCTGGAGCCTCAGGGTATAGAGAATATTAACTTGCTTTTTCTTTTTTTTAAATAAAAAATTTCTTTGTTCAGTTGAGGTGTGACAGTCAGAGTCTTTACTGATATTGTTATTTCTTTTTTACATGTATTTTGTCATCGGATAGAGGTCTCATAGTACCATCAAAAGAGAAAAAGAAGGAGAAAAGCAGGTCTAGGCTGATTAAGAAGCTTGGTCGGAAAAGTGAGAGTATTTCTCAGTCTCAGAGTTCATCAGGATTAGTTGCTCTTTTGGAAATAATGCGAGGCCAAATGGAGGTCACCTTCTCTCCCTCACACACACACACACACACACTTACTGTTACATTCTTATTTCTTTTGGTTTAGTATATATGGTTTGTCAGAGCATGGATTTTACACATTTGTTACTTTTATACTGTCCTGGAAAGTTTTTCTTATGTACGTACCATGTCAAGATGCCCTCATTTTTTGTATGTGAAATGTCTCTGCTCCATTGATTTTTAGTAACTCTTTCCTGCGAGCAGTCAGAGTTCACCCGCTTCATGTGTTTGTTGTGTATGTGTCAATCAATATTTTGGGTTCATTCAGATTTCTGAGGCCATGGACATCAGAACGAGACAGGGATTGCTTAATGCCCTAGCGGGAAAAGCTGGAAAAAGAATGGACAGCCTCCTGGTGCCTTTAGAATTGCTATGCTGCGTGTCTCGTACTGAGTTCTCTGACAAGAAAGCGTACTTACGTTGGCAGAAAAGGCAGGTAAAGACCAGCTTTTCTCATCCGGTTGTATTATTGACTGCTTCTTACATTTAGTAGCTTCTGTCATCTATTTACATTTTGGTATCTCAGCTGAACATGTTAGCAGAGGGGCTCATTAACAATCCAGTTGTTGGATTTGGAGAATCAGGTCGTAAGGCAACTGACCTGAAGAGTCTTTTGCTAAGGATTGAAGAATCAGAGGTATTTTTATAACTTGATTATGTTCATGTGATTTATTACATGGTGTAGACATCAAATAATAAGGTAATTTATCGGGTTTCTGTTAGGGTGTGGGAAAAAGTCATAGTTTTTTTTTTTTTTTTGGCAGTTTTCTCTATTATGAGCTCTTTGGCTTTTATTCCATATAACTGAAAATTGAATCGGCTTACATTAGTGTTTTCATAATGTTTTTCTTTGACTTCGCTTTTACTTTCTTTTCTATTTATAGTGTCTTCCATCTTCAGCCGGAGAAGTGCAAAGAGCAGAATGTTTAAAATCTCTTAGAGAAGTTGCTATTTCACTTGCTGAAAGACCGGCGCGTGGTGATTTGACTGGTGAAGTGTGCCATTGGGCTGATGGCTATCATTTGAATGTCAGACTATACGAAAAATTGCTTCTCTGTGTCTTTGACATGTTAAATGAAGGGAAGCTCACAGAGGTCTGTGATTTCTGTCAAAATAGTATTGATAACATGTTCCACAGAATATTCTTGGTCGTTTTCTAATCATGTTGATCTGAAAGGGTTATGTTATTCTCAGCTGTCACTCTTTAAGCTGCTTAGTTTCCTCCTTTTTGTTTTTACCCCTCATTTTGGTATTCCCATATACATTGTCGGACAAGTTTAGTTTATTATTGGTAAAGTCATATTGATCTGAAAACCTTGGTCTTTTTATTTTAGGAAGTTGAAGAAATTCTTGAGCTTTTAAAGTCAACTTGGCGTGTTCTTGGAATAACAGAGACCATTCATTACACATGCTATGCATGGGTGTTGTTTCGGCAGGTAACAAAGAAGTATTTTCGTTTTTCATTTTGATGCTTCATATTGGAATTTTACAGTAGCTTTATGAAAATGTTGTGTGGTTACAGTATGTAATCACTAGTGAACGGGGACTACTTCGACATGCCATTCAGCAGCTGAAAAAAATCCCTCTAAAAGAACAGCGTGGGCCTCAAGAGCGGATACATTTGAAAACCTTGCAGTGCAGTGTTGAAAATGCAGAGATATCCTTCCTGGAGTCTTTCTTATCACCTATACGGAGCTGGGTAGATAAGCAGCTGGGCGACTATCATCTGCATTTTGCAGAGGTTTTACCTCAAAACAAACGCTTTTCAATTCAACTACAGTAATTAGTATATGGAATCGACATAAATCTCAGTAGAGTCAGGGACTTGATGCATCATTTCACATGTAGAGTTATCCCATATGCATGTCACACATACACATGCTTATTTATATATATGTATATATGGACATTCATATCTCACATAAATTTAAATAAGAGCATATCCACCTCAAGTCTTTTATACCGGTCTCACATCTAGTTATATTTCTATTGCAACTTGCAAGGCATTGTTTTTTTTTTCCATTTATACCATTGAGGTTACTTATTTTGCTCTTTTTCTCTACAACTTTTGTAGGGTTCTCTTGTCATGGAGGAAACAGTTACAGTTGCAATGATGACTTGGAGGCTATTGTTGGAGGAATCTGATCGAGTATGTAGCCTGCTTTTTACTGGATCAACATGAATTTACTTGTAACTGAGAATGATGGTTATTTTTCTCTCTACAGGCAATGCATTCTAACTCTTCAGAGCGAGAGCAAATTGAGTCCTATATTTTATCTTCCATCAAGAATACTTTCACGAGGGTAAGTGTTAATTAAATCAGTTCTCATTTATGCCATTCAAAGAATTGAGTCAATCCTGTTTCCAATGTGCACAATTTGATGCATATATTATAGAGGGTAGGATGAGGCTGATTCTTGCAATTTACAGATGTCACTTACGATTGATAGATCAGACAGAAATAGTGATCACCCTTTGGCATTGCTTGCTGAGGAGACCAAGAAACTTATGAAAAAGGATGCTACCGTCTTTATGCCAGTTTTATCTCAGAGGCACCCACAGGCAATTGCATTTTCTGCCTCCCTTGTTCACAAGCTTTATGGGAATAAGTTGGTAAGCTTTATGCTGGTCTCCCATCTTAGAAATTTTTGGTTACTACAACTCATTATAAATGACATCTTGACTTTGTATTTTATTTCAGAAACCTTTCCTTGATAGTGCTGAACACTTGACTGAAGATGCTGTCTCTGTTTTTCCTGCGGCTGATAGCCTTGAGCAATATTTACTTGAATTAATGACTTCTGTCTGCGGAGAGGATACAAATGGACCTTACTTCAGAAAATTAATTCCATATGAGGTCTGACGCACATATGTTTCACTTTAAGTTTAGACTGCATGGCTTAACCCACGTTATAAACAGGGTCGAATTCAGTGACCAATCGAGTTGGCTCTAATAGTTCTCAGTGATTTAAATCTGTTAGGTCGAATCCCTCTCTGGCACATTGGTTTTGAGATGGATCAATTCACAGCTGGGAAGAATTTTAAGCTGGGTGGAGCGAGCTTTTAAACAAGAGGTGAGATTTGCTGTTTGTTTCCTTCTCTCATCTTTGACTTTCTCTGTCTTTTGATACCAGTTTTTTTCCCCTTTTTTTTTTTTTAATATTATTAAATGAAATCATAACGCATCTTAGCTTTTCTGTATAGCGTTGGGATCCAATATCACCTCAACAGCGGCATGGGAGCTCAATTGTTGAAGTTTTTAGGATCGTAGAAGAGGTATGGGTTCCTACATTCCAATTACTTTCATAACAAAGATAACTAGACTTCGATGAAGTTGTGTCTGTTAATATATGAAGCAACTCGTATTGAACATAGCTGTGTTATCTACTTATCTTTGTTTCTTGTAGAAGCATATGTTGATCTCAGTTAGCAATATGCCTTCACTTCGAAGAGTGTCTAATTAAAGTTTTGGATAATCTTTGATGCAGACTGTTGATCAATTTTTTGCGCTGAAAGTTCCAATGAGATCCATTGAACTAAGTGCTTTATGTCGTGGCATTGACAATGCATTTCAAGTATATACTAACCATGTCATGGAGAAGCTAGGTATGTACCATGTGACTGGTTGAACCTCCTTCTTAGCTTTGATGTTGATTTTTTTTTATAGTATTCTTCCATGACATGGATATTGTTTTTTGGTCTACTGGAATATTCTGGTATCGTTCCAGCTAGCAAGGATGATTTGGTTCCACCTGTACCTGTTCTTACTCGTTATAAGAAGGAAACAGCAATCAAGGTTTTTGTTAAGAAGGAACTATTTGAGTCAAAACTGCCTGAAGAGAGAAGGTCGATTAACATTGATGTTCCTGCAACCGCTATACTTTGCGTGCAGCTCAATACTTTACATGTAACTTCAAAACTCGCTTCCTCAGTTTAGGTATTATTTTCAAGTTTTGCTGCTATCTATAATGTTTTCATATGCTTTTCACAGTATGCTGTTAGTCAACTGAGCAAGCTAGAAGACAGCATGTGGGACCGCTGGATAGCGAAAAAACCTCGTGAAAAGATTGTCATCAGTATGGACCTTCTATATGCTTATTCAATGATGAAAACTCATTTTCCCTTACAAAATCTTATTTTCCAAAAATTTCATCATAGTCATAAGAATGGTTTATCCCTATTTTGGCTAAATTTACAGGAAAATCTTTGGTTGAGAAATCCAAGAGTTTTAATCAGAAGGAATCTTTTGAGGGGAGTAGAAAAGATATCAATGCAGCTCTGGATCGTATCTGCGAGTTTACTGGTGAGATGTCGTATATTTACATATCCTTGAAAAATTCATTATCAAAGGGTTAAAATCAATCATGATTCTTTGACACTGCAGGAACTAAGATTATCTTCTGCGATTTAAGGGAGCCATTTATTGAAAATTTATACAAGCCAAGTGTTTCTCAATCAAGACTGGAAGGATTAATCGAACTCCTTGACACGGTAAGAAAACTCCCTTAGCCAAGGCATTTTATAGTTTACGTTAGGTCTGAACCGCCAAACACATGATGCTGGTACATGATTCTGGGTATTAAAAACTATGGTGACTATTTTAAATATTTATATGGCGATTTGTTACCAATGAATATTAGCAAAGGCTTTCTTCTAGACAATGCTAAATTAAGTTTCCAATTACTTTGACCAGGAACTTGGACAGCTATGTAGTGTCATAATGGAGCCATTGAGGGATCGTATAGTCACCAGCCTGCTTCAAGCATCACTTGTCTGTAGTTTAATCTCCGTCGGGTTTATTAACATTATAGCTTCTTCAAGAATTTGCCTTTTGATTGATAGTATTTAAAATCTATCAGGATGGATTGCTTCGCGTACTTTTAGATGGAGGCTCATCACGTGTATTCCATCCAAGCGAGTCAAAGCTGTTAGAAGAAGATGTGGAGGTCTTAAAGGTAACTTCTTCTTAACGGTACTATTGTTGTTATAGCCCGAAATGCATGTGTTGGTAAAGCTCATATGTTTGTTCCTAGGAATTCTTTATTTCTGGCGGGGACGGACTTCCAAGAGGAGTGGTTGAAAACCAAGTATCCCGAGTTCGTCTTGTTGTAAAGTTGCATGGATATGAGGTTAGTACAACTGCAGTTTATTCGGTTGGGTTACACTAAGTTTGGTTGGTATAAAACAATAGTTGCCGTTAGGTTTATATGAAGTCTGGTTTCGGTATCGGTTTCAAGAATTTTGGTTGGTTTTATGCCAATGGGTAATGTTTACTCACATATAAACAATGAACAGACACGAGAACTTATTGATGACTTGAGGTCTAGAAGCAGTCTAGAGATGCAGCAAGGAGGAAAAGGCAAACTTGGAGCGGACACCCAAACATTGGTGCGAGTGCTGTGCCACAGAAACGATTCAGAGGCGTCCCAGTTTCTGAAAAAACAGTACAAAATCCCAAAATCCCACGCCTAAATCCATGCGGCAGCTAGTAATTTGGTTCTTTCGGTCTTTTCTTTAGTAACAAAACCATTTGTATAATTGATTCTCACCAAGTACATGTTGTAGAGAAAAAATATTACCCGAGCTGCTTTAGTGAGGTGTCATTCTTTTGACTTATCTTTACTTTCTTTATACAAATGTTTGTAATTTGGATTAACAATTTCTTCATCAAACAACTGGAACCAGTTAGTGCTCTGGCCTGGGTTTTATTTTAAAACTAGTACGTACGTTGTGTCCGGATCAGACTGGCTTGTTAGTAAGTTCAGTAAAACTCTTCAATGAAGAAAGTTAGATCTTAAAAGGTTTTTTTTTTTTGTTTCTTTGGTTAACATCATAAATCAGTTTCTTTGATCATAAACTAGTTAGATATGAACCAGGATCGTTTTTTAGGTCACCAAAAAATATATTTTCTTAAGCGTTCAAACATGATAGATATCTTAAAAACGAAGAAAATAAAGATTATTGATTTATTGACCGTTGAAAAATCCCATAACTGTTTTGATTTTTGACCGTTCCGACTTCCGATAACTTCACCTTTGTATACATAGATTTTTTCTGTGTGGCTTGATTATATTATTACTGTTTCTGAGAAACTTCTAAAGTGAACCAAGTTCTAACTATGTAATACAATTCCTATTCTACAATCGGATATAGAACTGTAAATACACGGATCCATAAACTATTCAAACCTGACCTGTAATATATAAGTCTAAACTGAAGAACATTCTCACAATCAATAAAATATACAAAACCCGTATTAAATAATCAATGGTTCTCTTCTCTTGACCGGCCAACACACGCAAAGATCTATACATGTATAATATATAGATGATCAGACACAGTTCAAGATTTCTAATTAATCAAAACTAATCAGATATACTAAGAAATAACGAATCAAAAGAGAGAGACTCAAGAAATCAACAAGGGAGTGAAATAATGGATACGTATCAGCAAATGAACAATGGTTACGCGTACGGAGTTCCCGTGACTGCTCAGCAGAACACCAACGTAATGGTGGTAAGTGACGTATTCTGCTGTCCTTACCCGCTTGAGCTTACCGTCAAGAAGAAATGCAAAGGACTGAGCGGTGCGAAGCTGGAGGTCGTGGACATAAAGTCTAACGTTGTTCTTCGTATTGACGGTCCTCACGACAGCTTCAACAAGAAACGCATTCTCCGTGACCCATCCGGTTACCCTCTTCTCACCATGCGCGAGAAGGTGATTCTCTTGATTACTTACTAAAATTGTCTTATTCCACTTCCATTCAGCGTAACCGAAACAAACCGGATTCGATTAACCAAAATTGATTTAATTATTTTGTTACTGTACTAGTTAAAATTAGTTATTTATTTATGCTTTATATTCTTTTTTAGCCGATACTGTTTTACATTTTTGTATAACCAAAACTATACAGTTGACGTCGTTAAATCACCGGTGGACGGTTCACCGAGGAGAAGGCTCTGATCCAATGGAGCTGATGTTCACAGTGCAGCGTTCTCATCCTCTTCAATGGAGGGCACGCCTCGATGTCTTCTTTCAATCTAACCAAGTCAACAACTTCAGCGTCGTAGGCACTTACTTCGACGACTCCGCTAAAGTTTATCACGCCAACACTCTCGTTGCCGAGGTTATACTTCATCCTCGATATCTCTTTACTAACCATCACAAGTTTCTTAGAGGAGAAAATAATAATTTGGTTAATGTTCACACATGGCATGTGACTTTGTAATATATGATTGGATATTAACTTTGTCATCAGGTGAAAGAGAAGTCGACGTTTGGAGGATATTTTAAAGGGAAGCAAGACTTCGTGGTTAGAATTAATGCAGGCGTCGACTACGCTTTCGTCGTTTCTCTTCTCGTCATCTTGAACGAGACCAACTCCATCTTTTAGCTCAAATCCACTTTTATTTTGATTGTTATATATACTATGGTGATGCTTAGATACTGCATGATTGTGTTTAATATTTGTAACTATTTGTACAAATCAAATGATTAAGAATTGTGTTGAATTGCATGCATTCTTTAGTTACCACGAAAAACGCTAGACTCTCCAAGGCTATGGTGAATTGGTGATTTCAAGATACGTAACACTCGGATATTACAACACAATACAATATAATCATATTCTTGTATACAATTCTGAAGTCGTCAAATCTTATGCTAAGAATCTTAAGTTATGTGGCCCTTCTTTGAAGGAGAGAATAGTGGTATAGTTGGTTCACTCTCTTGGTCTGGCAAGCCATAAAGAGCTAAGAGCACGTAACCGCAATGAATAATTGTGCACCGCGAGGAGAGCACGAGCCGATTGTCGTGTTGTTAATGTTCTTACCATCTGTTGATATGTTTGTAGCCTCAAGTTATCCGCCTGCCACAGAACAAAATGATGAAGCTATCAAGTTACTGCAACATACTTTTAATTCACTAGATGTAAACAACAATGATTGTAACGTACGTACCTGGCGGATAAATCCTTCAAGGGTACCTAACTTCCCCATTGCCATGGCCATCTGACCCATGTAGCTAGCCACATTCCCTGATGAACTCGAACCGAGAGTCCCGCTCGATAAAGTATCAGCCAGTGATTGCTGTAAGTTGTCCATCCCTTGAGACAAAGCATCTTCTGCTTGTTGAGAAGACTGTTGCAACTTATTTATGTCTAGCGATTGTTGTTCTGTCAACGGCTCCAACTGATTCGCTATAAGCTGTAAAGACCATAAGAATTTGAAATTTGCAGGTGAAACAAATTAAATTATCATCAGGAATAGACCACAGATAAACTGAAACAGATTGGTGTGTTTTGCCTTAATTATTACCTTGAGCAGTTCTGATGAACGGAAACCTCCAAGCCACAAGAAACATCTCTCAGCTGGTGTTTTCCACATCCCTGATAATAGATGGAAGACGTCGTTCTTAGCTGCGTTGCTCTTTATCCTGTAAAGCTCCTCATAATGAGCTATTACTCCGTCTACAATTATCCGAAGCTCAGCATCACTCGCGTGAGAATCTAAAGCAGCACTCAGCTCTTTCATCTGTCTGTTTTTATCTTCCTGCCATCGTCTGTATTCTACATCAAATGCCATTGCCCCTGTAAAAAGAGAAGCATGAATAACTTATCTCACATGATAACCAACAAAAGTATCCTTATTATTTGATAACCGACACAACTATAATCTTTTAACCAGATCATGGCTGTAACTGCTAATATTAAGATGTAAGAGAGAGATTCAGGAAATTCACCATCTCCAGCAGTGGAATGGGCTTGGTCTCCAGAGCTTGAGATAAAGACACCCTAAGATCAAGAGAAACTATTTATGTATGTTGAATAGCATATATCCACACAAAATAAAGCAGAACACAATTAAAACCTGTTGCCTTGCTCTTTGCAGCTCCTGCTCAAGTTGTGTTAGCTTCAATCGACTGTTCTCTAGCTGCTGAACATATGCCTAAAAGTGCGGTGACCAAGGGACATCTTTAGAGTTTGCAAATAGCTATGGATGAAGAAAACATACAAGAATTGCAACAATGAAACATAAATCTAAGTATACCTTCTTCCTCAATCTGCTTTTCCTTGCAGCTTCACGGTTTTGAGCGAGCCTACGAAGTGTCTGTTGATTACAACAAGTAACAAGAAAAACATAACTGAAAGGCTCAATCACAAACAAAAGAAAAAAACTCTTCCAGTACAGAGATGTCTATATTACCTTTTGATCCATCTTACTCTTTGAACGGTCACTAGAATCAGAAGCACCGATACCCAAATGCCCTTCATCAAACTGCATAAATGCTGTTTTCTTTTAAAACTTTTGGCCATTTAATCAGAGCTTAAAGAAGCAATATCTAGAAATTTTACAAGCTAACCATTAGGTTATTATGATCAGTGTCGCCATCTGTTGAGACTGATGTTCTTGGACTAGTATCTCCCATTTTAATTTAAATTTTCTTCCAAATCTCTATTACTGAATCATCAGACAAAAACTGATCCAAGCGTGGTTCTCTTTGAAGTAGAAACTTCTAGAATCCCCTAGATGGAGTAAAGACAGCCAAAGGAAGATGGTAAACAGATACCCAAAAAGAGGAGTTACAGAAAAACAAAAATAAGTTTAACTTGACGACATTTTGATTGGTTTGCATAAAAGATAGAACTGTTTAAGAATGCCATACCATTGGCTAATATATAGTTCTTGGATGTAGCCTAGAAAAAAAATAAAAGAAAAGTCCTCTGATGTAAACCCAAAAGGCTGTTCAAATGTTACAAACTTGTAAACATCTTAAGATCCAAAGCACTACACTTAACTTAACATGAAGCGACTTTGAGTACTCAAAAGCCAAATCCAGCGAATAAAAGTAAACAACAAGAAAGCCTATAATTCTCTTCATAACAGCGGGATAAGATAGCATAATTCTCTTGATGAGGTGATACAGTAACTAGACTAAAGATGAACTAAAAGATTCAGAATTTAGCGCACAAACCCATGAAACAGAACGTAAAGACACAAAATTCGAACCTCTTAACATCTAATCCCAAGCAATTTCACTTCTACAGTGTCGGAACCAATGAACACGTATAAATATAAAGCAAAAAATCCCTCAAAGGTCAAACTCTTCCATGAAAAAAGCAATTATGAAAGCAGAGACAGAGAATAAGAAAACTGAAGAATTCAACCCCTAAGACTATTGAAGGAGAACTAACCTGGTGAACGGATTCTCCAGCTTAACCTCAAACAAGGGTTGCTCAGAAGAAAAAGGATTGAGACAAAGATCTCAAATGATTCCAACCTCCAAAGATGTCGTCTTGTATAAAACCTGCCAACACAGATATCAATCAAAGGTTGCTACTTTTGTATCTTCTTTGAGGTATTTTAGTTTGTACCATCTTCCTTTTTTTGTTTTTCTGGAAGGCAAGACGAACTGAAGTGATGGTGGACCTCAAGATGCTGAGGGTTAAAAGTCCTCTGTCTGAATGCAACACTTTTTTTTTTTTTTTTTTTTTTTCTCTAAAACAAAATATTCTTGGTTTTGACAATGACATGTAATATTCTTGGTTTTGACAATGACATGTTATTTTTTAATTTTATAATATATCCTCTAATACTGTGTTAACATTAATATTTAAAATTATCATATACTTACTTGAATAAATTAGCGAAAGTTTACAACTCATAAATCATAATCATATACAAATGTTCACGCTTAATTTGAAGTTATTTTTTAATGTTCTCAATGCATAAACAGTCACACTTTTACTAAATGGGAGATGTAACATTTTGGAAATCGAAACTACTTCATCATCTGTGTGAAGTTTGCCATTAGGATTCCCTAATAAAAGTATCAGAATGCCTTTAAATATTGTTAGATGATTACGATAAAAAGAAGAAGAAAAAAAAAGTAAATAAAAACACCTTATCAGAAGAAAAAATTACAAAATTTAGTGACAATGCTGATGTAGTCAAAGAGATATAAACAATACATTAAACTTTCCAAATGCTAAGAAAGAACCTGACGGCTACAGCTAAACAATATGAGTTACCACAACCATTTAGAAACCTAGAGACAAGAGTCTTTGTTCTCCCAGATATTTGCTTATTCGTTGATGGATTTGGTAAGAAGAATCTGAGAAGAGTTAATTTAATAGTCTCTCTTGGTTTGTGTCCATATGGGTTTTGTACAGCTGACAGTGACCAAAATACAGTTTCACTCTCTGGGTCGAGCAAGCCATAAGGAGCTCAGAGCTCGTAGCCGCGAGAAGTAATCATGAATTGCAAGTAGCGCACGCGCTGACTGCCGCGTTGTTAATACTCTTATCATCTGTTGCAATGTTTGTAGTCTCAAATTATCAGCCTGCCACCAAAACAAAAGGATCATTATTACCCTATAGTCTAAAGATATCATCTCAAAAATATCACAAGTTGTTGTACCTGGCGGATAAATCCTTCGAGGGTACCTAACTTTCCCATTGCCATGGCCATCTGACCCATGTAGCTTGCCACATTCCCTGATGAACTTGAACCAAGAGTCCCGTTTGATAAAGTATCAGCTAAAGACTGTTGTAAGCTCTCCATCCCTTGAGACAAAGCATCTTCAGCCTGCTGCGATGTCTGTTGCAAGTTATTTATGCCCCCCAACTGTCTCTCTGTCATTGGCTCCAACTGATTCGCCAGAAGCTGTTTGGACATTTATTTATTTATTATGCCCATTCATCTTATGTAATATGTAAAAACAGATGTAACCGGAGAAGACACAGTGAAATGACCTGACCTTTAGAAGTTCAGATGAACGAAACCCACCGAGCCACAAAAAACATCTCTCAGCTGGTGTTTTCCACATACCAGAAAGCAAGTGAAAGACATCATTCTTAGCTGCATTGCTCTTTATCCTGAAAAGCTCCTCATAGTGCGCCATCACACCATCAACTATTGTTCGAAGCTCAGCATCACCTGCGTGTGCATTTAGAGCAGACCTCAGCTCGTTCATTTGCTTGTTCTTTTCTTCCAGCCACCGTGAATGTTCGGCATCAAAAGCCAAAGCGCCTGAAAGAAATAAGTTATACTTAAACAAGAACAAATCCATGAAACTCGATCTTGTAAATCTAAATCCACACCATTGCTAATTAGATGGAACAGTTTTTGCTATCAGAACCACGTCAGTCAGCCATTGTCTCTGATAAGCCACTGTACTGTTATGGGATGACATGGTGTAACTAACTGATCAGTTTACACCAAGTCAATACCAATTTGATATATAAACTTATCTTATAAACAAATTACAAGCCAAAAAACACAATATAAAACTAGTAGAGAATAAGCAACCAACCATTTCCACCAGTAGAATGGGCTTGGTCTCCTGTGCTTGAAATGAAGACTCCCTAAAAGTGAATTTTTTTCCTTTATGTATACAGAATCACAAATGAATAATCAATAGGAATAAGAAAACAAATTTGAACCTGCTGTCTTGCTCTTTGCAACTCCTGCTCAAGCTGGGTAAGTTTCAAGCGGCTGTTCTCCAGCTGCTGAACATACGCCTATGGAGGGAACAATTGAAAGGAATTAAGGTAGTAGCAGATAACTATGGTTCTTCTCGGGATGTATCAATTTAGATAAAGAAAAAGTTTTTTTTTAAAACAAAGAACTAGCCACAGTGGTTTTACCTTCTTCCTCAATCGGCTTTTTCTTGCTGCCTCGCGGTTTTGAGCAAGCCTACGAAGGGTCTATGGATCAAAATACAAGAAAACAAAAAAGATTATAAATTGGCTCCATAAAAATAATTATCTTATCTACAGAGATGGATATATCACCTTTTGATCCATCTTGCCCTTCGAGCGATCACTAGAATCAGAAGCAGCAGTATTCGCTAGTGCTCCCTCAGACTGCATGATATTAACACAAGAAAAAATTACTGGTCCATCAAAATCAAACTCATTCGAAAAACATAAGTGAAAAAATATAGCCAGATTATGAGCTAACCCCAAGATCTGGATGATCTGTGTCGTCATCTGTTGAGGCATCAGTTCTTGGACTAGTATCACCCATATCACTTTCACACCACTTTTCTGTACTAACAAGTAATAACAAAGACAATTTTCACTAGTGGCCTCTCTTGTAATAGCAACTTCTTGAGATTTCTTTTGCTTCTAAGACTGCCAAGTTTCAAAAAGAAGTTAAAAAAAGAAGAAGAAGAAAGACAAAAACGAAGGAAGTCAGCTGATAGAGAAAGAACAAAGAAAATTTTAACGGAACCTTACAAGACGAACATAAAGAAAATGAATCAGGAACAACTGTTGGTCATCTGGACCATTGGCTGTGCTGAATGAACATAGAAAAACAGTATTATGTACCATCTCGTTCGCTAACATAGTTGTTTTTAATTATGGCTTATATAAAGTCAAAAGAGAGGTTCTCTAGTAAAGTGGCTGCTTTTGTTTCAGTTAACAAACCAGAAAATGAATGTTGGAGAGTCTTTTACTAATTCAACATAGAAGTATCCCCCACGGGAAATTCTGCAGACTACCAAAAGTCACAAACTCAAGAATATAAGAATCATTGGTTTGTGCCTAACAGACGCCCACCAAAATGGGTACCAAATACGCAAAACTTATGTACAGAAGCAAGCTAATTGAATGCAGATGTCACTTGAAAGAACAGTAACACTATTAGCTGCAACAAGTATAAACGATGAAGACACTCTGTGTAGCAGCAAATACTGATATACCACCATAGTCCTATTAAAACTAACCTTTGAAGCAATTCTATTCATTGAGTAGAGTGATGAAATTAAACCTAATCAGAAAATTAATGACGCTGAGGTAACTTCAGTAGCTTAATTTGCAACTCTAGCTAAGAACAAAATCCACTCAGGTACTCACACATCTGAGTTGACTAGATTTCTACTCAGTATTTACACCTAGCTGCAGCGAGAACTTCAAATGAAGCTGAAGCTATGAATTCAAACTAATAAATTACCACCAAAACAGAAAATTAAAAGATTAGCATTTGAATCCAAATATCAGAATTAGATGATTTTGGTAGCTCAATTAAGAACCAAATCACGAATTCTAAAAAGAAAAAGCAGAACTCTTTAAGCTTTTGAAAGTCAACTAGGTTTAACTTCCAAAGACAAAAACACAAAAGTTAACAAGTAGCTTCAAATGACTGTGAAGCAGCAACACAGACAAGGAAAAAAAAAACAGAACCCTAGGAAAAAAAAACTTGGCTTGATGAAGAAACTGACCTGGTAAAATCAAATCTTTGAGGTGAAGAAGTAAAGGGTCTGTATTGAAATCGGATTGGAACAAAGAAGCAGAGAGACACGATCCGAAATTGCAATCTCCGAGACGTCGTTTTGTCTACAAATCTACCAGTTCCCAAAGACCGTCGATGAAAAATTAACGGAAATTTTCAAACTAAACCCTCTCTACTCTTTCTATTACCATAACCAACCCCCATTCTCTTAAAATTGCAAAATCACCCTTATTTTCAAGTCTGTCCGAATTGGCTATTTTTAGCACCTGAAAATCTGAAATCTAATTTGAAAAGATTTGTGAAAATGATGTTGTACAAAAAACTGAATTGAAAATAACTGAAAAAACAAACTAATAAAAAGCTATAAACCGGATTATCTTTAATCAACCAATCGAACCAAAACTCTTTAATATCATATCCTTCCAAGTGGTGCTGGCGGGAGTAGGTGAAGTGTGATGAGAACACACAGGTTAATTAGAGGGTTTTCAAACTCATATAATAAAAGGAGCATGAACACACTTTGGTTTATATGGAGGGATCCATTTATAGGGTTAATGAGATCATATCAACAAAAAAACTTTAATTTTTAAAAAATTGTTGTTATTTACCAAAATTGAAATTTACATTCTCCAAAATAAAAATATTTATTCTTGTTATTTGGCAAATGATTAATCTTGATAACTTTTAAATGTGTAAAAAAGCTGATATAATGATATTTATTACATTATTACATGATTGCGCTCTCTCTTTTTTCAACATTTGACCTTTATTTACTTGTTTATCAATAATGCTCTAGATTCTCTGTTTCACTATCACTGTCACTCTCACTTGCTCACTCATTCAGCAGATCCTCTTTCATTCTCTATCTCTTAACTCCTTTAATGGCTACCAGATTCACGCACCGGTTTTCAATCTCACTAGCTTTCACATTCTTCTTCTTCTTCTTCATCACTAAGAGCACCTCTTTCACAGAAAACGAGGAACTTGGTAATCTTCTCAGATTCAAGGCCTCCATTGATGATCCAAAAGGCTCTCTTTCAGGTTGGTTAAACACTTCTTCTTCTCACCATTGTAACTGGACTGGTATCACTTGCACCAGAGCTCCTACTCTTTACGTCTCTTCCATTAACCTTCAAAGTTTGAATCTTTCTGGTGAAATCTCTGACTCCATTTGTGACCTCCCTTACCTCACTCACCTAGACCTTTCCAAAAACTTCTTCAATCAGCCAATCCCGCTTCATTTGTCTCGCTGTGTCACATTAGAGACTCTGAATCTCAGCTCTAATCTCATCTGGGGCACAATCCCTGATCAGATTTCTGAGTTTAGTTCCTTGAAAGTTCTTGATTTCAGCAGTAACCATGTCGAGGGTAAGATTCCTGAAGACTTAGGCTTACTGTTCAATCTGGAAGTTCTCAACTTGGGAAGTAATCTGCTCACTGGTATCGTCCCTCCTGCAATTGGCAAACTAAGTGAGCTTGTGGTTCTTGATTTGTCTGAAAACAGCTATTTGGTTAGTGAGATTCCTTCTTTTATTGGGAAACTAGACAAGCTTGAACAGCTTATGTTGCATAGGTCAGGTTTCCATGGAAAGATCCCCACTTCGTTTGTTAGTTTGACAAGTTTGAAAACCTTGGATCTTTGTCTTAACAACCTGAGTGGTGAAATCCCTCGATCCTTAGGGCCTTCTCTCAAGAACTTGGTGTCCCTTGATGTCTCACAGAATAAGTTATCTGGTTCTTTTCCTACTGGAATTTGCAGTGGCAAAGGGCTTATTAACCTTTCTCTCCATTCAAATTTCTTTGAAGGGTCATTGCCTAACTCCATTGGTGAATGCCTTACTCTGGAGAGGTTTCAAGTGCAGGACAATGGATTCTCTGGTGAATTTCCAGCTGCCTTATGGAAATTACCCAAGATTAAGATTATTAAAGCGGATAATAATCGGTTCACAGGTCAAGTGCCTGATTCTGTGTCCTTGGCTACTGCATTAGAGCAGGTTGAGATAGACAACAATTCTTTTTCTGGTGAAATCCCGCATGGTCTTGGAATGATTAAGAGCTTGTATAAGTTTTCTGCTTCAGAAAACGGGTTTGGTGGAGAGTTACCGCCGAATTTTTGTGACTCACCTGTTCTTAGTATTGTAAACATCTCTCACAATAGGTTCTTAGGGAAGATCCCAGAACTGAAGACTTGCAAGAAGCTTGTCTCTTTGTCTTTGGCAGGCAATGCATTTACCGGAGAAATCCCGCCATCAATTGCTGATCTACATGTTTTGACTTATCTTGATCTATCTGATAATAGTCTTACTGGTTTGATTCCTCAAGACTTGCAAAACCTGAAGCTTGCTCTCTTCAACGTGTCATTCAATAGATTATCAGGTGAGGTACCTCACTCTCTGGTCTCAGGGTTACCAGCTTCCTTTCTGCAAGGAAATCCTGAGCTTTGTGGACCCGGTTTACCTAATTCTTGCTCCTCTGATCGGTCTAGCTTCCACAAAAAAAGTGGTAAAGCGTTGGTGTTAGCTTTGATATGTTTAGCACTTGCTATTGCCACTTTGCTCTTTGTGTTATACCGGTATACCCGAAAGAAAGTGCAGTTCAAGAGTACTTGGCACTCGGAGTTTTATTATCCCCTCAAGTTAACCGAGCATGAGCTGATGAAAGTGGTTAATGAAACTTGTCCTTCCGGGAGTGAGGTATATGTTCTCAGTTTATCGAGTGGTGAGTTAATAGCCGTGAAGAAGCTCGTGAATTCTAAGAATATATCCTCGAAAGCTCTGAAAGTTCAAGTGAGAACCATAGCAAAGATACGGCATAAGAACATTACTCGAATTCTTGGTTTTTGTTTCACAGACGAATTGCTCTTCTTGATCTATGAGTTCACACAAAATGGTAGCTTACATGATATGCTATCGAGACCTGGCGACCAACTGCAGTGGAGCATTAGGTTGAAGATAGCACTAGGTGTTGCTCAAGCATTGGCATACATAAGCAAAGATTATGTGCCACACTTACTCCATAGGAACCTAAAGTCAGCAAACATTCTCTTGGACAAAGATTTCGAGCCCAAGCTCTCTGATATTGCTCTTGACCATATCGTTGGAGAAACTGCTTTTCAGTCTCTGGTACATGCAAACTCCAACTCCTGCTATACTGCACCAGGTAAATGTCTAGGACCGCTGCATTTTTCTGTTATGATGTTCTGCAATCCTTAATGATTTTTTTCTTAATTGGATCTAGAAATCAATTACAGCAAGAAAGCAACAGAAGAAATGGATGTTTACAGCTTTGGTGTTGTACTACTAGAACTTGTGACGGGTCAAAGAGCAGAAAAATCAGAAAGAGGCGCATCTAGAGAGTCCCTTGACATAGTGAAGCAGGTCAGGAGGATGATAAACCTGACAGATGGAGCGGCGCAAGTTCTTGACCAAAAGATCTTATCTGATTCTTGCCAATCAGACATGCTAAAGACCTTAGACCTTGCTCTAGATTGCACCGCCATTGCTGCAGAGAAACGACCTTCATTGGTTCAAGTTATTAAAGTGCTTGAGGGTATTAGTTCCTCTGTCTCAGCTTCTGCTGAAAAGCTTCCAGTTTCCGCATAAACAATAAACCAAGAGAGACCATTTCTTGGCTCTGGTTATTACTTAAAAACCAAGTTTTTTACTGAAATGGTCCAAGCGCAAGATAGTATGTTTTGTTTGTGGAACATTAGAGTATGTATTAATGTACATTGGTCATTTGATGTTCAAGGATAATAAGAATCGGGTTTTGAGTTGTACTGGAATATCTGCAGGCGCTTTTTAGTCAAACAAGCAAGGTTTAGGCTTCTCCAAGGAGTCTGTATCTTTCGTTTTTCTGACAAAAACTGAGGGAATCCTTTTCTTCTGCCCCTTTGATGATGTTGCAGTGTGGAGGAGATCTTGATGTTTCTACCTCTCCGTTGCTGTTGTTTTCTTTGTTTAGAGCCATAAAAAGCTTATGCTTGTCATCGAACTCTGCAACAATGTCTGTCAAGTGGCTACAAGAAGGAAGACAATATGAAACCGGATGGACTTGCCTAGGAAAGCTTCTAGTTGCATCTCCAGATGAGTTTCTACTCTCTAGTATGCACTGTAAACACAGAAACATTGTAGTTTTAGACTTTTAAGCAAGATAACAGTTTTTCGTATTTGGTCACTGAAGGACTGAAAAAAGTAGATCAACCTGAGTGTTGATTTCCTCAAGAACAGCTCCTGGAACAGGGTATGGACAGAATTCATCGGGGGTGAAATTGCATAGTATCCTTTTTATTAAACTCAGGCCAATAGATGGGCAGACCTGTGGAACACACAAAAAAAAACATACACCGGAAGCTACATGAAGAAACCAAGCAACTAATAAAGATCACAACTGCGCGGAGTTAATAAGCAGGAGTAATCATGAAGCATACATACCTCATCTCTGGTAGAACTTTCAACAAGCATTTCTTTTGGTAGCATAAGAAGATCGCTCAGTTCATTGAGCAAGTAGAAAGATTTAAATGTCTCATCCCCTTTTTGCATTTGTTGCTCCTTTTCCGGAGAATGATCAACATCTATCTCAAATATCTCCGTAAGCAATCTCGACCAGTAGCCAACCTGCAGAAACATCTATATTAGCATACATGACTCTGACTCGTTTCACTTAAGTTTTCAAGCTAGAAAAAGAAGTCTAAAGTAGTAAGTTGCTTCCGAAGAAGGGATATGTACGACTTCAAAAGATTTGTGAGAATACCGTGTTTTTCAGTTTTACGCCAGATTCAAAGCTCAAAACCCCTGCTGGAATTGGGAGAACACTTGGGTCAGCAATGGGATCCGAGACAGCATCAGACGATATCTGATGAGCCCACTCCCGGAGAATAGCATTAAACATAGCCACATCAAGCCTTACAATGCATTGCTCCATAACCTAGTTAGACAGAACATGTCAGTTCAATCCAGAAGAAAAGGTACCATCCCACTGGAAGAAGGTAATTAGAAAGGACTATACCATTCTGGTCAATACATGCAAGCAACCACATTTACGCTTTGCTGCTTTAACAGGACAGAGCCTGTGAAGAGCCTCCTCAAAAGCTTTTTTCCAAAGGTTGACAGAAAAGCTCTCTTGTAACCTGTCACATGTTGCTGGTTCTGAAAAATTCCCCATCATTTCACCCATCGTCGAGGCTACTCCTTGAGGTCTCATGTGAACCATCATTACCTAACAGAAGGAGTGGGAATCTAAAGCCATTTAACATCTGGCATCTGCAGCTTACTTTTACGAGAGAATGATCCATGGTTTTTTTCGTTTTTACCTGTGACCATATTGATTCAACTGCTTGGGTGAATAAACATGATTCAACTCTTCTTAATGCCGCTATCAGAGTTCTTACATCTGTCAAATCTTCTTCAAGATAATTTGAACCATTTTGATTTGTGCCACCAAATTCCTGTGAAATGATCTCTCGCAACATGACAGTGTTGGACAACCAATAAGTTAACCTGAGCCAAAGAAAAGACAAGCAGCATAATAAGGTTGAACAGATCCTATAGAAACATATATACAAGAAGAAGAACATCTCTTTTAATTACCTTGGTACATCGCTCCCACATGATTTCAGCACCAATGACAGACCAGACACAATGTTTTTGGTTACAGAGATTAACTTGTTCTCACTCTTATTTTTTCTAGCAAGTGCGTAGAGTCTAGAAAGGTCTATTGCAGGTAAGTGCAGCTTGTGTGATGAGCTCTCATGTTCTGGAAAAACAGAGTATATTGACATCTCAAGAGCAGCCACTTCTCTCAGCTCTTCTTCAAGTACCACAATTCGAGTTTCCAGGTTTCCAATCTTTTGAGTAAATACTTTCTCCACTTCACTCGTTTTGTTTTCCTTGTACACAATTGTTTCATTGTCACTTTCAGTGTTAGTAACGCTATTCAAAGCATCTTCAAACTCGTCATCTTCTTTTGCCTCCTCGAAAAGCACGGAATCAACTGCTGAAGCAGAGGAAAAAGCCTTGTGATTTTCAGAACTTCCGTAAGAGGAGAAATCAGAAAAAGCTCTTGCCTGGCTTTTGCTGGATCTTACTGTCTTTCTAGCAGTGCCGTGAAAGGTATGGGATCGAGATCTAACCGAATCAACATTGTTTCGTCCCTTTGATGTTAAGGGTCTGTCCTGGGAGCTTTTGCTCTTAGGAACCGTTGATGGCCTATCTGATTTCTTCTCTTCAGGGGAAAACAGATCACCTTGAGAGGAAGACACAGACTCATTGTTTGTTTCAGTGTCTGATTCATCACCATTACCTCCTTCTTCACAATACACCAGATTCCCATAAATCCTTGATTTCTCTTGAGCATCATCCATGTAATGCACATTGACATTGTCATAGACATCAGAAGACTCTGATCCAGTAGTTGAATCAGTTACAACGATTGAAGAAGGCTCAGAAGCTGTCGTCGCATCCAAAACTCTGGAAACTAGCTGAGCCGCATTCAACGGTTTCAAGCCATTCCCTTTACTACTACTAGTACGCGGTTTCTGATCTTTCTTTGTTGAATTGGCAGTGGCTCTAGCCTGCGAGTTAGTCGAAGTCCTAGGCCTCTCGAACCTTTTCATCGCTCGCTCTAATGCACAATTAACCACCTGGAAAAAAAAAAAAAAAAAAAAAATCTCTGGAGAGGCTAACAATGACGTTGAACCTCACAAGAATCTCACTCAATACAACAAAGGCCTGATTCAGTCACATTCTGCAGAAGAAAGCAAGAAACTTTATTGTCTTTAAAGTCAATAACAAAAATAAAAATAAAAATAATGATGAATAAGATAGCTTGAAGGCAGAGATGGGCAGGAGTAAAATCTTAAGAAGCAAGCAAGCAAGAGAACATGCATCACCGACTAAATTGTCAAACACCTTATGAACATTATTAGACTTGTCTTAACTGGTGACAGCAACCGATGTTTCCTCTTAGAAAAACAAACATTTCATTCATTCATTCATGAGATTGAGATCACACACACACTATTTTAAAAAAATAATTAAATCAAGTTGCAGACAAGTTTTATATTGCCGCTAACCACGACACATGGGGGCATTAACAACATATGAGCACGTCTTTGTCTCTTACTATTACTTAATTAAACACACACACACACACGCAACAAAATAACGAGTCGTCTAACAACAATGAGCACGTCTTGATACTGATTCTGATTGAAATGAGATCGATGAAATCGGAAATGTTTCTGAATGAATGTGAACAAACCTGAGACAAAGAAGCTGGTGCGAGATCCAAATTTGTGATTTATGAATCTGAATCAAGAAAATAGCAGAGAAAGAGTAAAAAGGGAGGAATTTTTTTTTTAAGGGAATACAACAGTTATGGTTTTGTGAGTGTGTGTGTGAAGATGAGAGAGAGTCGGGTTTAAAAGAGGATTAACAAGTCCCTCCCTCTATGGATCGGTCGGTGGTTAGTTTAATCAAAATTAGGATTGGAATCGGTTACAAGGTCATCATCTTCTTCCCTAGACGTTTTACCACATTTTTTTTGGCCGCTTTTCCTTAATCTAAATTAAATTATTATGGAATTCCAAAGGTTTATGTTATCCACTAGACAAACAAAAACATGACATATATATATGTATGAAGATGAATAATAGTATATAAATAGACTTTTATTCTAATTTACTTTATAGAGTTATAGTATTGGTTTAAAAGTGAAAAATTAGAAATGAATATCTCCTTGTTATCGCATCAAAAACTCAAAAGAATGTGTGTACGTAGCTACAAAAGGAAAGATGAAAATGGTCTAGGCATGTGGGATATCAAGAGTGTGTGATATCCCATGAATTACAAAGCTTGAAGAAGAGAACATATCTGGATCTACAATCTCAACTCCAGATATCATGAAATCTCCTCCAGACGAATTAGCAACCTCTCTTCTGCTGATTATGAGATCTTGGTACGGATCCATTGTCTTCACTGTTGCTTTATCAGGCATTGATGCTAAATCTTTGTTCGTAAGCCGTTGAACAAGAATGTGATGTCTCACGACCTCATACAGAAACGGAGAGGCAGATGACAGCGAGACCAGGTTCGGTGTGGCTAGTATCGTTACTCCCGTCAAGTTCTTGTGGTGATGATCGTTAACGATCCTGTTGAGAACAGAGTGCAGTCCAATTGCGAATGGTACAAACCCGTTTGAACTTAGCAGCTGAACAATCCGAGTCCATTCTATCTTAACCGGAACGTGGTCTTCGTTGTAGACACTGGTTTTGTTTGCATCAGATTGACATAAAGATGACTGGATAATATGATCACTGTGAGGTTGCAGAGGAGAGAATGGTCCAACAACGCCGTGAATGACCAATGAATCTCCAAGGAACATGTCGGGATGCGAAATCCGGACATGATTCACTTCAGCTCTTCTTGATTCTTGATCTACGGTGGAGATTTTGACACTCTTGTGGCGGAGAAGCGTGGGGAGACAGGTTCCTTGAGGCTTCTTGAGAAGCTCATTCATCGGCAGCATAAGAGGGACTGTGTGATACTGTAGAAGCTGCTTGAGAAACAAAGGATGAAGCGATGACGTGTTGAAAAAGGAAGCATCTTCGATGGCAAAGAGGGTTGTGTTGGGAGACGAAGAGAGGAAGATCTCGGGGGAGATGTGGAGGAGAGTGGCGATTGCTTTGAAATGGGATTGGCGTAGAGTGTTTGAGGCGTTTGATGAGAGAGAAGACGAAGAAGAAGCAATGGGTACTGTGGTGTCAGAATCCGAAGGTGAACGTAGAGTGGTAGAGACAGCCATGAAAGCTAAAGCTACGGAGAGGATGAAGTAGACAAAGCAATCTGATGAACAACAACCCATCGCTTCACAAGATAAACCCTAAAGGCTTTCTTGGAGAAGAAGATAGTTCGTCAAAGAAAAGAGTTTTTCTATTTTTACGGTTTGGGTTCAGTCTCGTCCATCTTTTTAATCAATCTCCTGCTTTTGTTTTTCACGAGAAGAAACTTATAATTCTTGATAGTAATTGCTCTACTTCGGCTTTTATGGAGACCATCAAACTTAACAAGATAATTCCTCTATTTATAAAGTAATGATCAAATTATTTGCGAAATTTGGAAATGGATGCACTTTAAAACAATAAGCATACTACTTGTTCCATCACAAACTACTAGGAAGACAACTCTGCTCTATAACCTTTTACTTTCCTCTTGACTTCTTGGATGGTCTTCTGCTTTCAATCCTTCTCTGGGCAGCTTCAAATTCTTCTTCAGTGGGCTCTGCTTCAGCATTACCACCATACCTAGAGATGAGTGATGAAAACATTGAATCCACTTTCCCTTTCCTCGCATCTCTTCGTTGCGCAATCAACAAGCAAAGATCTGTCTCTGAACTCTTTGCTGACCTACTACAAGTTCATGCAAATTGAAGCGAGGTGGTCAACAACAAGGTCAAGTTTGATTGGTGGAAATAACTGAAACAGAGGCAGCGATCTTACTTCTTCCTCTTCCTCGATGGACTGGTGGGCGGTTTCGTTTCTGAAATTTTCTTTGCCCATTTCTCATATGCCTTGCTTGACTTCACTTCCCCTGAAAAGGAAATCAGTTGTATTACACAACACACGTATTAATCAGCAACCCTCCCAATCTGGAATCTTAACTAGACTAGAACCAAATCAGAGAATTATCTTGCAAAGTTAGTTGGATACTGAAATATCAAACAGACAGCTCAAAAATTATGGTGCATCTTACACTCATACTATCAATGGAGAGGGCACAACATCACTTCTATAGTGTTATCAACATTCATCAATGTACAAATAAAAGGAAAGCTCATGCTGTAACGTCAAGGATTCCTGATATGAGAAGATAATCTAGTAAGACGTATGTACTAGTTACAGAAAGATAAACTACCTGCTGCAATGGCCTCATCAAGAATGTCTTTGAAACGGTGTGAATCAAGCTTGGGGTCTGAGCAAAGCATTGAGCAGAATAGCCTGGGAAAGAAATATATATTACCAACTCACAACCTCAACCATATCGAAAACAAAGGATGATAAATTACCTGTTCATTTTACCCTTAAACTTGTTGAAGAGTTCAAGTAGGTCTTTCTTCTCTGACTCAGATCCCCTGTAGTTTGCCTCAAACTCTTCAATATCTGCTTCGGTGACCTATTAACCAGTGAGATAAATAAAAAAAGAAGCTAGTGTGAGCAGCAGAAGTAGATGTGTAAAAGGTGCCACTTGTGAAAGTTGCTGCTACCTTCTTGTACATGGACTTGAAGAAATCCCGCAAATTCTCAAATACGTCGCCAGAAATATCCTAACGAGCACAGAAGATACCCAGGTTTCAGGAAAACTCATAATACATTTACAGAAGTTAAATGCTTTCTCTTCTAGATCAGATAAAAGTGAACAAAAAGAGGAGTTAGTAAAAGAGACTACTTGCTTTATGTGCATTGGGGATTCCACTAAAACCGATAAAACAAGAAAGAGAGAGACTCACAGCATCATCAACAGAGCCAGTTTGATCATAGACAGCTCTTTTCTCTTCATCCCCAAGAATTGAAATCACTTTTTGTAGCTGCTGGAATTTCTCTTTAGCTTCCTATATTATATATAGCAAGAGCAGAATCGTCATGTAAATGAACCCAAATAAAAGGTCCCAAGAAAAAAATCTCAACGATAGACCAAGAAAAGAGTGGTTAACCTTATCATCTTGATTTTTATCTGGGTGAAGCCTCAATGCCAATTTATGGTAGGCTTTTCTTATTTCCTGTGAAGTAGCTGTTCTTTCAACTCCAAGAACCTTGAGTAAAGAGTGAGAGATGTGTTAGTTTCACTTTATTTTCAAAGGACTTACTTAAATCCCTCTTTTTTGGCTAATCAAAATCATTCTGATACCAAAACTCCTAATCAATTAAGACCATCTAACAAAACCCAGAGGATTCATTCACATACATGAACAACAAAAACCTATGATATACAAGTAGTTCAAATTCAGACAACAAAACACCATTAAACAAGGATTAAGACATGAGATTCATGAAAGTAAGAAACTTCCCAAGTAATTTCATCAGAATCACGAATAATCCAAACCTTAACGCAGGCATCGTGGAACTAAGATCAGGTTTTAAATCACTGACAAAAAAAGAATTGAAACCGTAATTACCTCGTAAAGACTAGTCTCAGAAGATCGCCCATCATTACCACTCTCAAACTCATCCTCGTTTGTCGAAGCCCTAGATTTCTTTTTCCTACCCATCTCTGAACCGTAATAGATCGATACAACCTTCGATGTCGTGAAGATAAGAAGAATAATAACTCGCACTATTGATTGCAGTTAGAGTGGGCGAGCTAATTCCTTGCTTATCTGGGCGCCAATTTTTTCGTGTTCCCCGCCATTGTAGGTGAAAGGTTTCCTTTCTGATTTTTTTTTTTTCGATTGCAATGCTATTTATTTAAATACGTTACAATAAAATGTAGTGTTTTATTTATTACACTACAGTTTATCAATAAAATCTAACAGAGTCTAATACTAAACACTGACAAAGTGAAAAATAAAAAATTTGTAATCAACAATGTTAAGTCATCACAGAATATATATTCTTAGATCCTTCATGGCAAGAAGACAAGTTTTGTAGAATTTTTCCAAACAACATAAGCATTTTATGTATATAACATCTTACACATGTTTAATCCTTAATCAGTAATCGGTTACAATGAATATGGATACGAATTACACAACTTGTTCCTATCTCCTCTTCTTCACATTCATTACCATCTTCCTTCTTCGTAGACTCTTCAGCTCCTCTAGCCGCCGCGATGGTCTTCCTCCAGGTCCACGAGGACTTCCCATTCTCGGTCATATGCATCTCCTCCGGTCTAGCCTCCCTCGTTCACTACAAGCCTTGGCTCAAACGTACGGTCCTTTGATGACCATACGCATAGGATCACTACGAGTCCTCGTTGTCTCAGATTCCGACACGGCTAAGCAAATCCTCAAGACTCACGACCCTGATTTCGCTTCCAAGTTCGTGTTTGGTCCGAGACAGTTTAATGTTTACAAAGGATCAGAGTTCTTCAATGCACCTTATGGACCTTATTGGAGGTTCATGAAGAAGCTATGCATGACTAAGCTTTTTGCGGGTTATCAGCTCGATCGGTTCGTTGATATAAGAGAGGAGGAAACGTTAACTTTACTGAGATCGCTAGTTGAGAGATCGAAAAATAAAGAGGCGTGCAATCTCGGTTTGGAGTTTACTGCTTTGACCACAAAGATCCTATCAAAGATGGTTATGGGGAAACGTTGCAGCCAAAACTCGAATCTTCCCATAGAGATCAGGAAGATAGTGAGCGATATTATGGCTTGCGCCACAAGGTTTGGATTCATGGAGCTGTTTGGACCATTGCGAGATCTAGATGTGTTTGGGAATGGTAAGAAGCTTAGATCCTCCATCTGGCGGTATGATGAGTTGGTTGAGAAGATACTGAAGGAATATGAAACTGAGAAGAGCAAAGATAAAGAAGTGAAAGATAAAGATATCGTCGATATCTTGTTAGACACTTATAATGATCCAAAAGCTGAGCTCAAATTGACTATGAATCAGATCAAGTTCTTCATCCTTGTAAGCTATTTTCATTACTTTTCTTTAGATTCGTAAGAATTAGCCTTAATAAGAATATTGGTCCCTCGTTTGCAGGAGTTGTTCATGGCGAGCTTAGATACAACTTCTGCAGCTTTACAATGGACAATGACTGAGCTAATAAACAATCCGGATATCTTCACAAAGATCAGAGACGAGATCAGATCGGCTTTAGGAACAACGTATCGGTTAATCAAAGAATCAGATTTGCAGAAGCTACCTTATTTGCAAGCAGCTATCAAGGAGACATTGAGACTTCATCCAGTAGGACCATTACTACGCAGAGAAAGCAACACAGACATGAAGATCAACGGGTACGATGTAAAATCCGGGACAAAGATTTTCATCAATGCTTACGGTATAATGCGCGATCCGACCACATACAAAGATCCTGACAAGTTTATACCTGAGAGGTTTCTTGTGGTGGAAGAAAACATAGAGAGAAAGATGGGCTATTACCAGCAATATATGTTGGAGTTAAAAGGTCAAGATGTGAATTATCTTGCGTTCGGGAGTGGAAGGCGAGGATGTCTTGGAGCTTCTCACGCTTCTCTGGTGCTGAGTCTCACAATAGCATCACTCGTGCAGTGTTTTAACTGGACGGTGAAGGGAGACAAAGATAAATTCAAGATCATATTACCTACCGGCTTTTCGGCTTCAGGCACTGCTGGAGGAAGCTCACTTACGTGTTCTCCTGAATTATGTTTTGATCCATTTGGACACAAAATTGAATAAACATCATTAGGAATTTGGAAACATATATACTGTGCTCAATTATTCTCATGCTCTGTTTTGTGCTCTGTTATTCTCATGTTCTGTTTCTGTTCTGTTTCAGACTTTTGATGAAAATGTTTCAATCTTGTATAATCACACAAATATAATTATGTATACTTTTCTATAACTTCCGAGCTCTAAATCTTACATTCAGTAAATGATTAGTAACCTAACATCGCCTAAACAATGAAAACATTTTTAAATTTGTTAACAGATAATGAAAGCTTAACAACGGTCAAGTACACATTTCTATAATATTATTTGTTTAGAAAACGACATAAGATGAATATACAATAAAACAGGATCAAAACCAGAGATTATACCCTTACAAAAGAGACAAAAACAGAACAAAGACAACAAGATATAATAAAGAATCTTGAAGTTGGGATTAATATTTGATACCATGAGGAGTCATAACTTGATTCTATCATATAAGATCATCTTAATATCACTCTCATACACAAACAAAAATGAGAATGGTGGATTTACAATACTTCTTTGTAACAATCCTTCTATGCCTTGGGATTACAGTCTTGATCCAAGCCATTACAAACAGATTACGCAACAAACTACCACTCCCACCAAGCCCAACAGCTTTACCAATCATTGGTCACATTCACCTTCTTGGTCCCATAGCTCACCAAGCACTCCACAAGCTCTCAAACCGCTATGGACCCTTGATGTATCTCTTCATTGGCTCCATCCCTAATCTTATTGTCTCATCGGCAGAGATGGCAAATGAGATTCTCAAATCCAATGAGCTCAACTTCTTGAACCGTCCCACAATGCAAAACGTTGACTACCTTACTTATGGCTCAGCGGATTTCTTCTCAGCCCCTTATGGGCTTCACTGGAAGTTCATGAAGAAAATCTGTATGATGGAGCTCTTCAGCAGCAGAGCATTAGATAGCTTTGTTTCTGTGAGAAGCGAGGAGTTAAGGAAGCTTCTGAATCGAATTCTCAAGAAAGCAGAAGCAGAAGAGAGTGTTAATCTCGGTGAACAGCTTAAGGAATTGACAAGCAACATCATAACGAGAATGATGTTCAGAGAAATGCAACCGGATAGTGATGCCGGAGGCAAAACAGAGGAAGTTATCAAAATGTTGGTGGAGTTGAATGAGCTAGCCGGGTTTTTCAACGTTTCTGAAACGTTTTGGTTCTTGAAAAGGCTTGACTTGCAAGGACTCAAGAGGAGGCTCAAGAATGCTCGAGACAAATATGATTTAATCATAGAAAGAATAATGAAAGAGCATGAGTATGTGAAGAAGAAGGATGCAGGAGCAAGGAAGATGCTAGACATTTTGCTCGACATATATGAAGACAAAAACGCAGAGATTAAGCTTACAAGAGAAAACATCAAGGCCTTCATCATGGTAACTTCAACATTCATGTTTTGATATAAAATTTTCACAAAGCCTCAAAATAGTCTAATTCATTGTTATACAGAATATTTATGGGGGAGGAACAGATACATCTGCAATAACAGTAGAATGGGCTCTAGCAGAGCTAATAAACCATCCTGAGATCATGAAGAAAGCGCAACAAGAGATAGAGCAAAATGTGGGAAACAAGAGAGTAGTTGAAGAATCAGATCTGTGCAATCTCAGTTACATCCAAGCAGTGGTGAAGGAGACGATGAGGTTACACCCTGGAGGACCAATATTCGTAAGGGAATCTGATGAAGAATGTGCGGTGGCTGGATACAGAATCCCCGCGAAAACAAGAGTGATAGTTAACGTTTGGGCTATTGGGAGAGATCCAAATCAATGGGAAAATCCATTAGAGTTTAGGCCTGAGAGATTTGAAGGGAATGAATGGAAGGTTATGAGTGAGAAGATGATGTCTTTTGGTGCTGGGAGAAGAAGCTGTCCAGGAGAAAAAATGGTGTTTAGATTCGTCCCAGTCATTGTAGCTGCAATAATACAGTGTTTTGAGCTGAGAGTGAAGGGACGTGTAGAGATGAATGAAGGGACTGGATCATCTCTGCCTAGAGCCACACCTTTGGTGTGTGTTCCTGTTGCTAAAGAAGCTATACAATCATATCTCCACTTTAACTGAAAAAGCTTAATGGTTTTAGAAGAAGAAAATGAATAAAAGCAAGAAAACTACCACTTGTGTAAAGAAAAAGAAAGAAAAAAAAAACTTTACCGTATTTTACAAAACTTGGTTTCTGCAAAATTTAGTTTGCAACATACAAAGAAAGTATGTGAAGTAACAAACTGGACAATATCATATTGTAAAATTTAGTGTAAAACCATCTATATATATAACAAGAGGTGAGAGGCTCAAAAAGCATTTACCTGCATCAGTTTTCACAAAGACAGTGTTAGGATGTCTCCTGCTCCAACATTGTAATGTGCAAGTGACATGTTGTCTTTCAAGAAACATTCTAATTATTATTATTATTGGTTTCACAAAATCGCCGCTACAAAATATCAAATCTAGTGAAATAGGATGATTGACGCAGATATAAGTAAGTCCCATGGGATGAGAAGAGAAAGAGATCGATATGAAAAAATTAATTATAAGAGGACTCGGCAAAGGGAAGGAGTAGTGAAGGTCTCGTATAGAGATAAGAACGTAACCTCTGCCGGGAGAACGAACGGCTTTTCAGATCTAAAAGCTTGGAATTCAAGGTTCACTCAGTTAATATGATAGAAAGGAGTTTGTTCCCATTAGTTGATCAAATCACAAACACTTTTGAAAATATGCTATAACTTCATCAAATGCGAGTTTCGGTTCATGTTTTATTAAACTTCCAATCGTTGTAGCTGAGATAATACATTTATTTTGAAATGATCATCAAAGTGAAGCTTGTAGCCTACACTTCCCTACAACTTCCCTACAAGTTGTAGGGAAGTGTAGAGTTGAATGAAGGAACTGGATCATCTCTCTCTCTCTCTCTGCCTAGAGCCACACCTTTGGCCAGGGTGTGTTGTTCCTGTTCCTAAAGAGGCTATACAATCATTTTCTCCACTAGAACCAAAGCTCAAATTCTTCTATACAAGAAGAAATTGGATAAGAACAAGACAGCATACCACTAATTTGAAAAACATTTTACCGCAACTTTAACTTTTTGGTCGCTAGTAAAATTGGTTGTAACATTCAAAGCATGTGAAGAATCATACTAGACCATACTTATGGATTATCCACTTACTTTAATAGTATAGTACTTGATAGCACCCAAATGATTACATACAAAAAAAAAAAAAAAAAAACTTAAAAGGGGCAAGTTGAGAATCCAATGGTAGAGCTTAGATCAATCAATGATGAGAATACAGCTCTCTATCATCATCATCTTCTTCTTGCCAAGCTTTGAAAGCTGCAGCTCAGAAGACAAAACTACCCTCCTCAAAATCAAGATATCCCTAAACAACCCTCAAATCCTCAATTCTTGGGATCCACGCACCGACTGCTGCAATGACTGGATCGGCGTGGAGTGCACACACCGCCGCATCACCGGTCTCACCGTCGCCGCCGGGGACGTCGTTGGTCATATAGCGGAGGAGATCGGCGACCTCCGTGACCTCGTTATCCTTGACTGGAGCAGTCTATATCGTCTCAGAGGAACTATTCCACGCTCCATCACCAAGCTCAAAAATCTTACTTACCTCCGGTTTAGGGTAACCGAACTCTCCGGTCCAATCCCTGAATACATCAGTGAGCTTCAAAACGTAACGTTCTTGGACCTCTCCTTTAACCGGTTTAACGGCTCAATACCCGGTTCGATTTCCCTTATGCCGAAGCTTGAGGCCGTACAGCTCAATCGTAATAAGTTAACCGGTTCTATACCGGAATCGTTCGGTTCTTTTGTAGGAAAGGTCCCGGATCTCTACTTGGGTAATAATCGCCTCTCAGGTAATAATTCTAGTTTTTTCCCGTAAATCTTTAGTAGAACAAATTCCATTATGTCTTAATTAGTTTTGCAATGTAGGAAAAATTCCAAAGTCGTTATCCAAATCCGACTTCAACACTCTGAGTTTGTCAGGAAACAAATTAAGTGGAGATGCTTCGATGTTTTTTGGACGTAACAAAACAACCGTAACACTGGACTTGTCTAGGAACAACTTCCACTTCAATCTCTCAAAGGTGAAATTAGCCAAGAGCTTGGTGTCACTGGACCTTAGCCATAACCGTATTTTCGGAGAGCTTCCTTTGGAGCTGACCAATCTCCGTCTTGATCATTTCAACGTAAGTTTCAACCGTCTCTGTGGATCTACCCCACAGGGCGGTCGGCTCCAGTCCTTCGAGGTCTACGAATTCTCTAACAACCTCTGCCTATGTGGTACGCCACTCGAACGTTGTTAGCCTATCAACTGGAAATTAAATACGTTTTGAAAACGTCTTATGAATTTTTTATTAATCATGCATGCATTTTATTAACAAATAAAAATACAATTGTCTAATAGACTTGATTGATTATTTGGTACATTAGAGATGATTAAAGCCTGGTTTAATTTGCTTGAATCTTCTTCACTTGCAACTTGGAAGAGGTGCACCACACAAACACTTGTTGTGGAGAAAGGAATAAGAATCAAATCTCTGGATATACTCTCCTTTGGGGATGCGTCCACACAGTCTGTTGTAGCTAACATTGAGTAACTGAAAATAAGCTTTGCTCCACTCGGCCGGGATACCCCCTGTGATCCTATTGTGATTCATGTCCAAGTTATTAAGTGTCTTAGCGAGCTTAACCTTGGAGAGATCGAACTGGAACATGTTTCTCGATATGTCAAGGATCCATGTCGTTTTCTTAGCTCCAAACAAGATGGACGCATCGCCTTGAAGTTTGTTCCTGGATAGATCGATCCGGTAAAAGTCGGAGTTGCCTAGTGATTTTGGTATCGTTCCAGAGAGCTGGTTGTGTGATAGGAAAAGGCTAGGGACTTTTCCTGAAAACGAGCCAAATGACTCTGGTATCGGACCTAATTACAAGTTTAAAAGTTGAGGTTAGAAAAATTTACATTTTGTTGATGAGACTAATCGATATGACTAATAGAGACAAAAAAAAAAAACAAGAAAAGGAAAAGTAAAAAAAGTGATTCACCTGTAAGCTTGTTCCTACTAAGTTCAAGATACTCGAGTTTAGGTAATGAAGAGAGAGAACTAGGTATGTAACCAGAGAGGTCATTAAAGGAAAGGTCAATGTACTCAAGATTCTTGAGCTGACTCAGAAACTCAGGAATTGGACCGGTCAGATTTGTCCAGCTTAGTCTGAGAAAAGTGAGATTCTTGAGCTTGGCGATAGTGGGTTGAATGTGACCAGTGAGGTTAGTGAGTTTGCGGAAGATGAGGGACTTCAAATACGGTAAGTCACCCACTTCAGGGGGGATCTGACCGGAGATCTCACCGTCTTGTATGAACAAAGAGGTGACGCGGTGGTTAACAGTGGCGTCACCGCACTCAAGGCAGTACCAAGAGCAGCAGTCGGTTTTGGGATCCCATGAGGCGAGGTGGTAAGGGTTGTTTAGCGATTTCTTGATTTTGAGGAGGGTGATTTTGTCATCTTTGTGGCAGAGATCTTTAGCTAAAGAGGCCGTGAGGAGAAGAGTGGTTGACAAGAAGAACAAGAGTAATGTCATTGTCTTATCCATTAGTGTTTTTGTGTTTGTGTTTGAGTTTTACGGAAACTATGGTTATATAAGCTTCAAAATTGGAGGGAGCATTGGGTGCGATACAGATGTATTAATGATTTCTGCTGACTAGACCACGTTTTAAACAAGTTCGGTACATATTTCAAAATATCCAGAAGGGCGTTCTCACGAAGACAGTATTAGGATGTCTCCTGCTCCAACATTGTAATGTGCAAGTGACTTGTGGTCTTTTAAACCCCCGGCTTTGCCATTTAACTCCAGTTTGTTTGCTATTTTCTCCTTCAAACTTGCCACATTTTCGGATAAAGACTGCACTGTGATCTCAATGACTTGCCCATCATCTACGTTTGGAACAGAAACCTTGATCGTAGAAGACCCCTGAAAATGTATGACTGCTAATTAGATACAAACAAGTCAATTCAAACAAAGCAAACAAAAAAATAGGCGGTCAGAGTCGGAAGAAAACATTACCGGATGTTGAGCAATAAATTGGTCTTCTGGAATAAGTGCTGACTCGTCAAACTGTGGTGGTGGGTTCTTCACAGTGGTGAGAGGCTACATCAGAGAAAAAATCGAATCTATTATCAGTGAACTTCTTCATAAACTGAAACTGAGAACCATAAACACACTCTTCATCAAATCCTTCTGAAAACTCGACCCAAAAACAAAAACAAACTGTGCTGTGAGCTTAGTGATATTGAGCTCCTTGAGTGTGATCCCTTCAGGAAGTTTGATAGCATTCTGCATCATCCGCAATATCAGCTTGGATATTACCATAATCCTCCACGGCATTCTAAAAAGTAACCTCTTTCTGCCTTAATCATTTTTGCACATTCTAGAACCATGATTCTGATTCCGATTAAAGTACCAAAACAAACAAACCACGACTTTTTCGATAACTTGGGGATTTAAAAAACACTTGTTGGCACCAAATGTGGAATCAACCAACTAATCCGACGGTGGACGCTTCATCTTGAGAAGATGAGAGATACCGGCAATGACATGAGCACGACTACTTGGAACTCCTGTCTTGGCCAAAGCTTGTCCATTTTTGTCCAGCAAAACAAAGCAAGGAACATACTTTACATCATAGTGGAGAAGCTACATTTGAAAGCAGAGAAGAGAAAGATAAAAACTTTAGTAAAAGCTCTGTAATTTGTACATGCAGCCGAAAAGAGAAAGAAGTTAACTTTGTTTATTATACCTCAGGAAACCAATTCTCATTCTCTGCGTCTGCCATTGTAATGCTGAGCCAATTTGAGTTTCTCTTCTCTACCTCTAAAACAAAGTTGAGCAACGAATTGCAGAGTCTGCATTTAGGTGAGTAAAATTCAAGTACTGTGGCTTCTTTCTGGCTAGCTAAAGCAGCTGCAAAAGCCCTCTGCTCTGCTTCTCCTTGCTCACTACTGCTTAAAGCCTTCTTCTTTGGTCTAAAGTTTGGATTTTGGCCAAGTGAAGTCAAGGAGCTGAGAGCAATAGAGCCAATACTTTGCATAGATCTGAAGAGCCACGGTCCTTGAAAGTCGCAGGGGCTTGATGATTTGGGTTGATTGTTTGAATCCCATGGCCATTTCAAGCAAAAGAATGGATCTTTCGAAGCAGACGCGCTCTTAGTGATTTTTGAATCCATCAAACTGCCCTTCGACTTGAAATCCACAGCAACGATGATATGATGATTATGAGAATGCAATTCAGTGATGATTTATTGGAACGATGAGAACGAGCAATTTGGGAATTTGGAAGAATTAAGGAAATTAGGGCTTTTGTGGGAAAGAAAAAAAAAAAGGTAATTTGGGGGATTTTCTTTTTTATTTTATTTTATTAAACCAATCTGGTTTTACTAAACCAAACCGAATTGAGAAACATACCAAAGCGTGACTCAAAGATTATATTTTGTTCCCCTGTTTTCCTATAAATCCATCAAATCAAACACTTTTGAAAATGCGCCATCAAATGCGAGTTTTAGGTTCGTTGTTTTATTAACGAATGGAGATAACGTTACATATTTGTCAATAATATAGAGAGACCCAAATAGATATTTTTGGGAAACCTAGAAGACAAGTAGTTCACTTGCAGCTGTCGAGAGGTGCACCACACAAACACTTGTTGTGAAAATAGGAATAAGAATCAAATTCCTGAAGACTCCCTCCTATTGGGATGTGTCCACACAATCTGTTGTAGCTAACATTGAAGATCTGAAGAGGATTCTCAGTCCACTGAACCGGGATATTCCCTGTGATACCATTGTGGTTCAAGTCCAAGACACCAAGTGAGTCAGGTACCTCAAGCTTTGAGAGATCGAACTGGAACATGTTTCTTGATAAATCAATGGAATATGTCGTTCTGTTGTTGGCTCCAAAGAACATGGAAGCATCGCCTTCGAGCTTGTTGCGGGAGAGTTCGACCACGTTAAAGTTGAGGTTGCCTAGTGACTTGGGGATCGAACCGGAGAGCTGGTTGTGTGATAGTCGAAGGTCAGGTACTGTTCCTGGAAACGATCCAAATGACTCTGGTATCGAACCTAATTGACAAAAAGATAAAAACAGTTTTGTAAATCAGATTGAGAATAATAAATCTATATATGATTAAAGAAGACAAATTAGAGAGAGTTCTTCACCTGTAAGCTTGTTCCTGCTAAGTTTAAGGGCCAAGATCTTAGGTAACGTGGAGAGTGAACTTGGTATGGAACCAGAGAGATGATTGTAGGAAAGGTCTAAGATCTCGAGATTTTTGAGCTGACTTATAAAATCAGGGATTGGACCGGTAAGATTTGTCCAGCTGAGCGTGAGGTCCCGGAGTTTCTTGAGTTTGGCGATGGTGGGTTGGATTGTACCGGTGATGTTAGTGAGTTTGTGGAATACAAGCTTCTCAAGATAAGGTAAGTCACCGACTTCAGGCGGTATTTGACCTGAGATATTGGCGGCGAATATGGTTAGGGCGGTGACGCGGTAGTTAACGGTGGCGTCGCCGCAGTCGAGGCAGTACCAAGAGCAGCAGTCGCTTTCGGGGTCCCAGGAGACGAGTTGGTGAGGGTTGTTTAGTGCTTTCTTGATCTTGAGGAGGGCATTTTTGTCATCTTGGTTACAGAGATGGTTTTTAGACAAAGAGGTGGCGAGGTATGTGAACGAGAACAAGAGCGAGATAAGCAATGTCGTTGTCTTATCCATAGTGCAGTGCTAGTGCTTAGTGTTGGATTTTCAGGTTTCATTGTAAGTGTGATGATGATATATATATAGAGAGATTTGATTTGATCTGTCAATACATTAGTAAGTGCCTCAATGTCAATCCTGTGGTCAATACGTCGGTGTTGAATATGTTTGGGTACTTCAAGAAACGAAACTTGGAGTCTTTGAACAAATCCGAATTAATGTCAATTTAGAAACTAACACATCAAAAAGATACCTTTGATAACAAAACAAAAAACACTTCAACAAGGTTTATGAAAAATTAAGATAGTTTTTGACAAAAAATAATAACACTAGTTAAAATTTTATTAATCAAACTCAAAAGTACTACTTAACAAAAAGTGCTAATTAAGCGAAATGACACAATATTTTGTTTCTTTTAATAAATCGGATTTGATACGTTGGATGTACCTCAACAAATTAAAAATAAAATGCTATAAAACTTCTCGAATAAAATATCAAAGTTCACCAACGTAGCTGCACCACACCTACTCTATTTATTGTGTAGAAGATACTACGTAATTGTTAGAAGTGATTTAATTAACAGATAACTTTTTTTTTAAAAGAAGTACCATAATAGGAAATTAGGAATGCCCCTTATTCTTTATTTGGGAGGTTTTGAAAATGTACTAAGAATTCATAATCAGAATTCAGATGCAAAGTTTTGGGTGTGATGTTTTTTATTAATCAATCCGAATAAAAAAGATACAGTTGTCTATCATATGGATTCTTTGGCAAAAGTAGAATAGTAGCGCCTGGCTACTTGAATCTTCACTTGCAATTATCGAGAGGTGCGGGTGAACTATTAATTCATTATTCATTTTGAATGCACTCTTATGCATATAATAATAATGAGTTTGATTGTGCCTTTTCTTATTCAGAACCTAGGTCTTTTTTTGCATTTTATTTTGAAGGATTACACAAATCTACGCGTTTATCTGAATATTGGGGTTTTATCTGTTGGAGTAATCAAATATTTTTGCAGGTCTGAAGTGAAATGACGTATCTTGTGGAGTCTTTTCTCTAGAGCCTGCCTGGTTTAATCTCCACAATCATGCATGTCACAGACTCACAGGTACGAATGCAAAAGCTCCTTCCCCTCTCTTTGTATCTTCTTCTTCTTCTCATTTGCTTGTAATGGTATGTATGTTGTGTGTCTTTTAATACCATTTACAATTTTCAAGTAATAGACTTTAGTGACATGGATTTTCACCCTCAGATTATTTCTTTGAGTCTGCGTTTAAGTGAGAACAAAGATAAAGACTCATACATAGTAAAAGCTTAGAACAAACTAGTTCAAAAAGAAAAGGCTTAGAAGCATCAACATGAAACTCTCTCTCTCTCTCTCTCTCTCTCTCCATCTCTAAATAAACATAAGACTTTCTACGTGATGTAAGAAAGTAAATACTTTATCAAAATCTCTAAACTTGTGTTCGGTGTTTCCTTGCAGCTCGACAGTTCTAATCCGGTTGCTTTCGTGATCCACAAAGTAAACATTCAACTCTTTAATCTCGATGGGTGCATAGACAAACTCTCCCGTTTCAGAAACGCCCAACATTTTCAGACCGGAATGGCGTTGCCTGTCAGTACCATTTAGAGAGACAGATAGGAGTTGTTTCGACCAATCTTGTTTCTTGGCGTCCTCTAGAACCCACAGAGTGAAAGTGAAAGTGAAAGTGTAGCGTTGGTGCACTTGAGTGACAAGAGCTACTTTCCCATGGTAGTTTATCAAAGTTGTTTCGTGCAACTTATCAGATCCTATGCCCTCGGGAAGTGTGGAAGCAATTTCCAAAGTTTCAGACCTCAAATCAAATCTTATCAAGAGTGGTTCCGTGATGGTAAAGGAACCGGAGGCAGTGTAATATAAAACGCCGTCTATGCAGACAGAGTCAGTTCCTAAGGGACGGTGAGGAGTGGAGCATTGGATCGTTCTCCAAGATTGAGCTCCTCCCAATGTGAGGACTTGATGCTCACAGAAGCGAGTAACATTGGTCAAGCACAAGATTTTGTATCGGGCATCGATTGGATCATATCCTAAAAAGGATCTGACGATGCAATCAGTGGAGTTGAGAGTGGGTAAGGTTATGGATTGACCGGTGGTGGGATTACTGACGAATTGTTCCTGGCCATTATAAAAACTGATCAACCCATGGACATAACTAGGCTCCCTGTAACGGACTTCCTTGGAGTGACACACCGTACTTGATAGAAACTCAGGAGGTGGTTTCTTCTCCTCTTCCGCTACATGAGGACCTGGAGGAGTTGGTTTGGAGAAAAAGTGCCAGTTTTCTTGATAACCTGTTATTCTTCTATCATTGGAGGCATAGCGGAAGGGATACTGCTTGACTAATTGCACAGAGTGGAAGGTTGTTGCCCATGACCTGGATACGTAAATGAACCTGCCTATAGTTTTCAAAGGCAACCTCGTCAGGATATCAAGCAGTATCATCCTCTCGGGAAGTGGAGTCTTCTTCTGCACCGTCTCCAACTCTGCTTTGCAGTTTTCTTGACAAAACACTTTTATTCTATCAGTGAAAGCAAAGAAGAAGCAAAGAGGCTGCTGCTTCTTTGGGTGAGACCGTAACGAGAACCATCTGACGAAATCCTCACCGTGGATGATGCTTGCCCATAACTTTGATACGCAAACGAACCTGCCTATAGATTTCGCAGGCAACCACGACAGAATCTCGAACACTATGTCCGCTGGAACTGGATTCTTCTCCTGCATATCTCCTGCTTTGTTTTCTCTCTTCTCCAACTCTGCTTTGTTTTCTCTCTTCTACAACTGTTCCTTGGCCTCTAACCCTTTATATATATGAAAAGGAATAAGCAAAATCAAAAAGAAAAAGGAAATACATCTTTTTATTTATTTATTATTTACATTTATTTTTGGATTACTCGTATTTCCCAGACTAAACCTTTATTTTTAAGTTTCACATCTATATATAATAATAATAATATAATGCATAAATAAAATAAATAAAGAGGGTTGGGGATGGTTACGGCTTGTGGTGGCTTTGAGTGTAGATGTAGTCTAAGTGAGTTTCAGTGGTCATCCTTCTCTTCCTAGACTCTTCATCCCTCTCCTCACACTTCTCCTCTTCTCCCATCAGCTTCATTGCACCACACAATTCACACGAAAATATAAAATTTTAATTTACTAATAACAAGCTGTACTAGTAGGATTGAAAATTGGATAAACAAAATATATAAGTTCGGTAAATAAAAAACTTACCTGCGATAATTCTTGGTCAAAAGCCTTATCAGCTTGTGTAGCCTTAGCCCAAACCCAATTATCATTCTTGTTTCCTTCATCTTTTACAACAATGTAAAAAATTGGTCAGAAAAATAGTCTAGTAGATTTTAACAAGAAGAACTATTATATATTTCCTTTTTGTCACTCATTGTCATTGAGGATCTACAACCAAAATTGGTTCTAGGTAGCAGTCACTACACTTAATCACAACTACACTGCAAGATGACCGAAACCTGTTAGAGTTATATGTGTTATATGTGTATAAATGTATGGGAAGATTAGTCATTCTATAGTACATATGATTAGGTTAATCTCTTGTATAAATACACTAGTTAAGATAGTTTATAAAAAAAAACACTTCAACAAGGTTTATGAAAAATTAAGATAGTTTTTGACAAAAAAATAATAACACTAGTTAAAATTTTATTAATCAAAACTCAAAAGTACTACTTAACAAAAAGTGCTAATTACGTGAAATGACACAATATTTTGTTTCTTTTAATAAATCGGATTTGATACGTTGGATGTACCTCAACAAATTAAAAATAAAATGCTATAAAACTTCTCGAATAAAATATCAAAGTTCACCAAAGTTCACCAAAGTTCACCGTAGTTGCACCACACCTACTCTATATATTGTGTAGAAGATACTACGTAATTGTTAGAAGTTATATAGAACCAATTATTCAATGTGATTTAATTAACAGATAACTTTTTTTTAAAAGAAGTACAATAATAGGAAATTAGGAATGCCCCTTATTCTTTATTTGGGAGGTTTTGAAAATGTACTAAGAATTCATAATCAGAATTCAGATACAAAGTTTTGGGGGTGATGTTTTTTATTAATCAATCCGAATAAAAAAGATACAGTTGTCTTCTATATGGATTCTTTGGCAAAAGTAGAATAGTAGCGGTTGGCAGTTTGAATCTTCACTTGCAATTATCGAAAGGTGCACCACACAAACACTTATTGTGAGAATAGGAATAAGAATCAAACGACTGAAGTTTCCCTCCTGTTGGGATGTGTCCACACAATCTGTTGTAGCTAACATTGAAGAATTGAAGAGGAGTCTCAGTCCACTGAACCGGAATATTCCCTGTGATACCATTGTGGTTCAAGTCCAAGACACCAAGTGTCTTAGGTAACTCAACCTTTGAGAGATCGAACTGGAACATGTTTCTTGATAAATCAATGGACCATGACGTTTTGTTGGCTCCAAACAACATGGAAGCATCGCCTTCGAGCTTGTTCCGGGAGAGATCGATCCGGTTAAAGTCTAGGTTCCCTAGTGATTTGGGTATTGGACCGGAGAGCTGGTTGTGTGACAGGCGAAGGTCAGGGACTGCTCCTGGAAACGACCCAAATGACTCTGGTATCGAACCTATAGCAAAGAGATCGATCATTAAACAAGAAACTCTCGGTCGATGGTTCGTGAATATGGAGAGAAGAGAGTTCTTTACCTGTAAGCTTGTTCCTGCTAAGTTCAAGGGCCATGATATTAGGTAACGTGGAGAGAGAGCTAGGTATGGAACCAGAGAGATCATTGAAGGAAAGTTCTAAGAACTCAAGTTTCTTGAGCTGACTTATAAAATCAGGGATTGGACCGGTCAGATTAGTCCAGCTGAGCCTGAGGTATTTGAGGTTCTTGAGTTTAGCGATGGTGGGTTGGATTTGACCGGTGAGGTTAGTGAGTTTGCGAAAGACAAGGGTCTCGAGATATGGTAAATCACCGACTTCAGGCGGGATCTGACCGGAGATCTGGCCAGAGAATATTGTTAGGGAGGTAACTCGGTGGTTAACGGTGGCGTCGCCGCACTCGAGGCAGTACCACGAGCAACAGTCGGTTTCGGGGTGCCACGAAGCCAGGTGGTAAGGGTTGTTTAGGGATTCCTTGATCTTGAGGAGGGTATTCTTGTCATCTTGGTTACAGAGATCTTTAGACAAAGAGGTGGTGGTGAGGAATGTGAACAAGAACAAGAGAGAGGAAAGTACTGTCGCTGTCTTATCCATGGTGTTTGGTTGTTTGGTATCGGTCTTGAATCTGGGGTTTAATAGAAAGTGTAATGGTACATGTAATACTATATAGTGAGTGATTAGAGAGACTTAAGAGAGACAGATTCGATTTGATATCTGAGATTACACATGGTCCATAATAATAGTCAACACATATATTCAAGATGTCGGCGTTGAATATGTTTGGATAATACAATAACACGCTATTATTTAGGCTACAGCTGGTGGAAGTTATACCTCCTTGAACCATTTGGAACTTGGAAGTGTGAAACGAGGACAATGTCTTCCCTTTTTACCATCTACTACGTACAATTTATCAAATATTCATCATCCAACTTCAGTTTAAGTAATCCAATTGATCGATCTGTGGAACAAACATAAGACTTGAGAGAAATTTCGAATGAATTAGGTTATGGATATGTAAATTTCAAAAAGAGTTTAGAGTGTCATCTTCAAACGGTTATATCGATCCAACCGTTGGAACTTAGAAGTGATTTCTATGAACAAAGAAGTCATCGAAGAAGAGCGTAAGTGTGGGCTTAACGTTCCCAGATGAGGCCCAAATAGTTTGCTAGACTAGACATTATGGAATTGGAAGCCATAAACATATCTCGTACACACCAATGAATCACACACATATTGACACATACTTAGATTTGGTGATGAATATAATAACATGATTCCATTCTCAAAAACAATATTCTGATCGTCTTTGTCTCCCATTCGGTTTTCGTTTCTTTCTACATGAATAAATCGTATAAAATAAATGGGAACCAAACATAACCAAGAAAATTGAATTTTTTATATGATAAGTCTATCAAGTTGATGAATTGGATGGTGGGGGAAAAAATTGGACATAAACTAACACATAAATAATATGGTCATCATTACTAAGCATTTTTTGAGACGGTACCACTAAAGTTGGATCCTTTACAACTTGATAAGTTGTTGGTTCCTTAGAAATTAAACTCACTATCCTCCATAGAAAAAAAAAGAAAAAGAGCAATTTAACTTTTATTTATAGTTAACATAGTAAAGTAAAATGTTAAAACTTAAAACCAACCGATAACTTTTTTGATAAAGAACAAATGTAAGAGCCACAAATGTAACTTTATCCCCACAAAAGGGTTCTTGGTGTTTGTGTAGAACTCATCTGTTGTCACATGGTTTTCAAGAATGAACATCATCCTTATGACTTATGAGGAAGGTCGAAGGTGGGAAGAGTACATTTGTTAAAATTACTTATCATTTCATACTCTCATCGAAGTAAATATTTGATGTGATAAGTATGCATCTAGAATGATTAAGTTAACTTTTGATTATTTTTTTTCATTCATTCTAATTAATTAGAATTTTGCTATGTACCTAACCCTATATAATATAGATAGCAAGGAACAAATTTTCTTTGTACAACTAGTTATATTTGTACAACTAGTTATATTTTCTTTCACAAATAGAGTATTCTTTTTTATATAGCAAATATGGTTTTATATGATCTAGTGCGGGCATCAGAATTTAAAAATGACGGGATAATAAGGTAATGATGTTACACAATCAAATGATAATCACTGCTTAATTAGGCTACCCTTTTGCTTTTTATTAGAAAAAGATTGCAGGGACTCGAAAAAGCTAATTTTTAGATGCTTTTATTCCAATCAGACAGAAAGTCACACTAAAGATATAAATATGCTCACAGGGAAAAGTTTCTCTTGTTAAATGTTTCATAATGTATTATTAATCACCACTTAAGCACTCATTATATTACTATTCGTTCTATAACTGTATTCAATCTCTCAAGAAAATAGTGAGAAGGGTGTATACATACAATCTGTTAAAATAAAAACAAAAATATCGTATGTTGCGTTCATCATTGTCGTGAGTGAAGCCAAACACGTAACGAAAATTCTCTAGGTATTACATATTTTTGTGGATGGACATATTTTAATTTGTTGTTTCAAAAAAAAAAACAAAAGAAGACATATTTTAACTTGTTTATATGAAGATGGTGATTAGAGCATATGAAGAGTGTGATATAATCTACTGTTTTTACCTTTATCACCGGGGTAAAACTTTCTTGATGTAAATAAAAGATTAAAGAGCAATAAAGGAATCTGCTTCGCTCGCTATATAATGAAGAAGAAAAGAAGAGAAAAAGGAGAAAAGAATCAGCTTCCCTCTAAAAGAAGAGCAAGAAAAAAAAACAGAGAGAATATAAGTCTAGTTTTTTTTTTCTTCTTGCGTTTTTGCTGCTTTTTGTCATTTTGATTCCCCTTTTTCTGTGTATTAGAATTGTTTCTCATTCGTACTCTATCTCTATCCCAAAATTTCATTATGCAATACTCTTAACTTCTTGACTTCTTCTTAATCTTTTCCTCTGGTATAGCCAAACAGAGAACTTCATGGCAACTTCTTTCTCAAGGTGCTACTAACTATACGCATCTTTTTTTGTTCACGTTTGTATATGTACATACATTCGTTTGTGCTTCATATTTCAGTGAGATGACTTCTTGTTAGTTCTTGAAATATTGTTGGTCCATATACAAAATAGCTCTGTTTTTTCTTTTTGTACGTTCGTATAAATTAGGTTATCTCTCTCTCATTGGTTTTGTTAATTTGCTATCTTCGTTATCTCTTCATTTAATCTTGTGTTTCACGTTTTAATATTAATCCTTCACTTACTTTTTATGCTAGAAAAGATGATCGAAGCTATTCTGTGTTTTCCTAAAAACATTTGAATGAGTTTGTGAAACAGAACAAAGAGACATAGTGGCTTGATTTGCGTCAACCACTTAGTGTATCCCTACATCAGGTAAGAATCTTATCAGTTATCGTTTTTGAGATTGAAACAATATTACTTAATCCTAATTATCAAGGTTTTAGTTCAGTTTAAAGGAGATACATTCGTTTAATTTCTTTATATCCAAGAAACTAGTTTTCTCAGATTTTGCTCTTCCCTGCAATTTTATGCTTCTGTTTTTGTGTGTCAGGTGAAGAACTGTAGCGTTTTTTGAAAGAAAAAGGAATCTTTTGGTTCGAGTAATCTAAAACCATGGCAGCCAAAGATGGAGCTAAGAGCCAAGAAGACTATAAGCTTAAAGACATGAAACCAGAACTTGGAGAGAAATGGCCTCATGGAGGACAGCGTGGAGGAACCGGATGGATTGGTAGTGAACGAGCTGCAAGCACATACGACCTTGTTGAGCAAATGTTTTATCTCTATGTTCGGGTCGTCAAAGCCAAGGATCTTCCTCCAAACCCTGTCACGAGCAACTGTGATCCTTATGTGGAAGTGAAAATTGGAAACTACAAAGGAAAGACTAAACATTTCGAGAAAAGAACCAACCCGGAGTGGAATCAAGTTTTCGCCTTTTCAAAAGACAAGGTCCAGTCCTCTACAGTCGAAGTATTTGTGCGCGATAAGGAGATGGTTACGAGAGATGATTACATAGGGAAGGTTGTGTTTGATATGCGTGAGGTTCCTACAAGAGTTCCTCCTGATAGTCCACTTGCACCTCAGTGGTACAGATTAGAAGATCGGCGAGGTGAGAGTAAGAAGAGAGGAGAGGTTATGGTAGCGGTTTGGCTTGGGACGCAAGCTGATGAAGCGTTTCCTGATGCTTGGCATTCGGATGCTTCTTCAGTCCAAGGAGAAGGTGTCCAAAGCGTGAGGTCTAAGGTCTATGTATCCCCAAAACTGTGGTATTTGAGGGTTAATGTCATCGAGGCGCAAGATGTTGAGCCTAGCGACAGGAGCCAACCGCCTCAAGCTTTTGTTAAGGTTCAGATTGGGAATCAGATTCTGAAAACAAAGTTATGTCCTAACAAGACTACAAATCCGATGTGGAACGAAGATCTTGTTTTTGTAGCTGCAGAGCCATTTGAAGAACAGTTCTTCTTGACGGTCGAAAACAAGGTGACATCAGCTAAAGATGAAGTTATGGGGAGACTGATCTCACCTTTGAACGTGTTTGAGAAAAGATTAGATCACAGAGCTGTCCATTCCAAATGGTACAACCTCGAAAAGTTTGGGTTTGGGGCATTGGAAGGAGACAAGAGGCATGAACTCAAGTTCTCCAGCCGAATCCATCTACGAGTTTGCCTTGAAGGCGGTTACCATGTAATGGACGAATCAACTCTGTACATTAGTGACGTAAAGCCTACGGCAAGGCAACTGTGGAAGCAACCTATTGGCATCCTTGAAGTAGGAATCTTGAGTGCTCAAGGTCTTTCGCCGATGAAAACAAAAGACGGTAAAGCGACAACAGATCCGTACTGTGTTGCCAAGTATGGACAAAAGTGGGTGAGAACAAGAACCATCATTGAGAGCTCTAGCCCTAAATGGAATGAGCAATATACATGGGAAGTATATGATCCTTGTACAGTCATCACACTGGGAGTATTCGATAACTGTCACCTCGGCGGGAGCGAGAAATCAAACAATGGAGCCAAAGTGGACGCTAGAATCGGAAAGGTAAGGATCCGATTATCAACTCTAGAGGCTGATAGAATCTACACTCACTCCTACCCTCTTCTTGTTCTGCAAACAAAAGGGTTAAAGAAAATGGGAGAAGTCCAACTAGCTGTGAGATTCACTTGTCTATCTTTGGCTCACATGATCTATCTTTATGGCCATCCTCTTCTTCCAAAGATGCATTATCTCCATCCATTCACTGTGAACCAACTAGACAGTCTTAGATACCAAGCGATGAGCATCGTTGCAGCGCGGTTGTCCAGAGCAGAGCCTCCTCTAAGGAAAGAGATCGTTGAGTACATGCTCGATGTTGATTCACACATGTGGAGCATGAGGAGGAGCAAAGCCAACTTCTTCAGGATAGTCTCTGTGTTTTCAGGTTTGATTGCTATGAGCAAATGGCTCGGAGACGTCTGCTACTGGAAGAACCCGTTGACAACGATATTGTTCCACGTCCTCTTCTTTATACTGATTTGTTATCCGGAGCTAATACTCCCAACCACATTCCTCTACATGTTCTTGATAGGGCTTTGGAATTTCCGGTTCAGGCAGCGGCATCCTCCTCATATGGACACAAAGCTCTCTTGGGCTGAAGCGGCTAGCCCCGATGAACTGGACGAGGAGTTCGATACTTTCCCAACTTCAAAGGGACAAGATGTTGTAAAGATGAGGTATGATAGGTTAAGAAGCGTTGCTGGTCGGATCCAGATGGTTGTTGGGGACATTGCAACGCAAGGGGAGAGGTTTCAAGCACTGTTGAGTTGGAGAGATCCGCGTGCGACTTGCTTGTTTGTGATATTTTGCCTTTTTGCAGCAATGATCTTGTACGTGACGCCATTCAAGATCATAGCTCTGGCGGCGGGGATATTCTGGATGAGGCATCCCAAATTCAGAAGCAAGATGCCTTCTGCTCCAAGTAATTTCTTCAGGAAATTACCTTCGAAAGCAGATTGTATGCTTTGAACGTTACAACTTCTTCCTTTGTCGCTTCAGGTCTCCTCTGCTCGTTTGAGGACTGTGTGTGTGTGAGAGTTATAAACTCTGCTTTGCCGTAATTCCTGTACTGTGTGGTTGGGTTTAAATACTAAAAACCTAAAACTAGTGGGCTTTACTTATAATGGGCTATTTGTAATACTTTTCCTTTTTGCAATTTCAATAGAAAATTTTCCTTTCCGTGGTCGTAAACATGTGTTTCCAGATTTTATATTATCTGTCTTGTGAAGTAAAAATATATTAAGTTTTTCGTTTGACCGACCATAGTGTAATAGTAAAAGGTTACAAAGAGAAAACTATAAAGTGAAAAAGACTGGAAAACACAGGTGTGGTGGTGGTGACAGCAAAGAAATGAAAAGTAAAGAAGAGAGGAGATCGAGGAGGGGGCGTTGTACCCAAAGCAAAAGGGTACTGATCCCAAGTCACTGATGGGTATCCTAAAAAACTCACCATTTGTCACCTTCCTCACTGGTCAATGCTTTTAATTTGACCTAACAAGTTAATTACAAAGCCCCTCTCTTGCATGCAATTGCATATGTACTGTCAGCTCTTCTCTTTATTTTCTTTTCTCTTTCATATTCTATACATGTTCTTGAGTTTGTAACTGATCATCATCATCAAGTCTATGTTTTTTGCACAAGGAAGACTTATAAAGGTATGGAAATAGTTTTCTATCATCTTTATCAAAAACATATATATTAAGAATCATAATATAACAAAAGAAGCCCAAGCAATTTTCCCTAATTGTGCTGTATTTGAGTAGAGAGACAATATATATATTATAAGGAGGTCAAAGCTGGCTAACTAATCAACCTATTCTCTTGTTTTCATTTTTTGGTTTTGCTTCATGATCAGTTGTTGAAGTATCATCCGTCTTGTCGAGGACGGGCTAGCCAGAGAGAACTTAGAGCTTGGAGACGGTGAAAGTACTCCGCAACTGCTAGAAGGCACCGTGCTTCTTGACGGGTCGTTAATAATTGATTCAGCCTATGGATCGTTTGATGCCTCAGATTATCCGCCTGTAAGTTTTCAATATGTATTAGTCACCAAAAACTATATCAAAACTAAATATGGACAAAGTAGTAGTGTTCATGTTTTTGACTAAGAGTACCAAAGACAAATTAATTAAATTGGACAGTGTGACTAACTAATATATAGTCTCATAAATCGGAGTATAAAAGACTACTAAGCTATAGGAAAAATCAAGATAAAAGACTAATTAATGCCGATTATTCAACATGTTGATCGATCGAGCAAACAAAATTCAAAGCTATGTTAAGAACACGACAACACCAAATTGTCAAAAAGGTGAAACCGTGAATTCCATACTCTCGGTCCCCACGCCATGCTTTCATGATTTTTTTTTTTTTTGAATCACTAAATTAATCAGAATTATACATAATCAACATATCATTAACAAAATTAAGTAGAGAAAATACTTTTTTAAAAATTTGTGGAATCAAAATGTAAGATGGGATACTACTCTCGGGTAGTTACGTCCATGACATCATGCAACGATATGGGCTCAAAGCAATCCATGTTTCCATTTTGATGTGATATATAATACAAATCATGGTCGCAATTTTCACGTGCGTTTAGACCAAGTTTGATAACCCCGTCATCCTTTTTTCAGTAAACTAACCCCCATATTTACTGCCTCTCTTTAGATGACAAAAATAAATAAAAAATTTACTGCCTCTTTTAAACTTTTTGTTTTCATTAAAAAAAAATCAAATATATAGTGGAAAGGTTGTATTTAAGCATGTATCTAAACACGGAGACCTTTTTTATTTTAATTGACTAAAACACGAAAAAACAAAGAAAATGATTGAAATTGAAAAGATGCCACTTTGTATATGCATGAATGTTCATATTATTAGCCTATAAACAGCCATTTGCATATAGTTGATTCATTAATACTCAAGCATATATATAATTTCTTTTATGAACCTGCCCGTTCTAAATTAGTAAATGATTATCAATAAACTAATTAGTCTTCTAAGAAAAGCAACCCGACCAAGTTTGATATAAGACAGAAGAAATGTTTGTTAGATACCTACTTGCATAATGTCGGAATCAAGAGGTAGCTATATACTTTTCATTTCATATACACATATATGGTAATGCATAATTAATAATAAGTTTGAAAAATTGTTTTTAATATCCTCTTATAACCCATACAAAAAGCAACCACTATATTTATTTTATTACTATATACTTATACAGAAATTTACGAATGTCTTCTAACTAATAATAGCCGACGTTATACCTATATATATATATATATATATATATATATATATATATATAGTAGTTACACAAACATACCAATAACTACAAACATCTATATAAATTTAGATAGCGTGTTATAACAACCAAATATATATGTCTTTAAATATATGATGGTTGTGTTTAATAAGGAGTAGTTCAAAGAATCAAAAATATGTATTCCTAGTCCGATTAGGACCACATCCTCTATAGGGATCCCCTTTTATATTTCTATATATAAAACTGGGGTATAGGTATAAAACATTAAAATAAAAAGAGAAAATTAGATGGTACGTACCTGGAGAACGAAGCCCTCGAGAGCAGAGAGCTTGTTGAGAGCTAAGGACATGTGTGACATGAAATTGGATAGATGAGGAGGAAGTGGTGCGGATGCAGGCGAGAGAGAGTCCGAGACAATACTGTCGGAAAGCGATTGGTTCAATGCCTCGAGGCCTTGCGAGAGAGCCTCCTCGGCCTCTTGTGTTGACTGTTGCAGCCCACAAATCCCTACTATTTGCTGCTCCGTCAATGGTTCTATTTGGTTCACAATCACCTGCATGTGCATGCGTTTTCAGATTAGCACATATATACAAGTTGAGAACTTTAGAGAATTCTTGACCGATGCACATAAAAGAACGATGAATGCATTTAATGTGTTGTGTACTATGCACAAGTTACTAGCTACACCCAAAATCTCATCTTTTCTTTTTGTTTTCACTAAAATGGATATAAGATTGAGACATTGCCCAATGTCTTGTCAGATATGCACACCCATTCTTCATACATCAAATTATATATTATTATAATTTGATATCTTATTTTATAACAAACATATTATTTACGATAAAATATAGGTTTAAAAGGCTTTTACGAATTTAAGTTAAAAATAAAATAAAAGAGGCTTCATACAGGATAATTTTGGATATGATAATTATCCAACGTATGAGCTTGCTAAAAAGGTTAGGTAATCACAATATTGAGTCTTGTTTATTTTAGAATATGATTATTATGGCAGTCTCTGTTAAAGTTCATGGTGATTTATGTTTCTCTCTCTCTCTCCCCTATGGACCATGCATAGATTGAAAAAACAGACAGACACTTTCGTTTACATTATGCCAAAACCTAACTGTTTCTAGAAATACTTCACTATCACACAATTGCATGCATTCTTTATTTCCTTTTAACATTAATTTTACGTGTACGTACGTACCTTTATTATTGTCTTAAAACATATACGTATATAGGGCTGGTTTTATACGATTTATAGTTCAAATCCATGTCATGTATTATGTATATATATACCTAATACCTTCTCTTTTTTTGACGTCATCTAATACCTTGTCCAACAATATCGCTAGCTATATATAGTCTATGCCTTGTCTGTCTTATCTATTATTACCATATCGTACTCTCTTTACGAAAATCAAAGACCAATTTTAAAGGGAGAAACTATTTTTACCATTTGAATAAAGTTGAAAGTACTATATATATTCTTTTTTTTTTTTGGGCAAAGTACTATATGTATTCTATGCACATATATGTACGATAAAAAAATGTCAAAATAATTCTGTCATTATTATATGTCTTGCAAGTAATCCATTTCAAAACTGATAATAATCAATGATTGTATATATACTCTGGATGATTTTAGTTTGTACGTAAGATAGAATTTAATATGATTAATCTTTAAGTAAAAATTCCAAAGTTTTTAGATTTTGTATTAATCTATATTGATTAGTTTACAATATCATCATGATTTATGACTAATTTAACACATCCTATCTTAAATTTGTGTGGGATGTGGCTCCATTAGAATAAGTAAAAATCTATCAGAAAACATATACTCTCTCACCAACTTAAAAGATAAATATATCATATATTGTATATAAGAAAAGAAGGATATGTACCTTAATGATCTCTGATGGACGGAAACCACCCATCCATAAGAAGCAACGCTCAGCTGGAGTTTTCCAGGCTCCAGAAATGAGGTGGAAGACATCAGTCTTAGCAACCATAGCTTTGAGGTTGATCAAATGGTCATAATGAGCTAAACAAGTGTCCACAAACATCCTAAGCTCGTTCTCGGCCAAGTGCTCTTGTGTCGCCACCCTCAGTTCTGTTAACAGCCTCTGCTGCTCCTCTAGCCACCTTGCATATTCCATATCGAACACCGCTGCTTCTGCTTCACGTTGCATTATATATTGACTCAGTATATCTCATTTTTCTTTTCCGATATTCAAAAGTCAGTTTTTGAACGATCCATCGATCACATGGATACATGAAACTATATATTAACGTACCGGAGCTGATGCTGCCAGAGCCAATGGGTAGTCCACCTTGCTGTTGATCTCCTCCTATAAGAGACCCTCCAAAGAATACGCCCTAATCATCGGAAATCAAATTGGTACGTTTTAGACTTAAGGTGAAGTAGTATATATAATATATATGAAAAGACAGGTCAAAATGTTTATTTTACTTGGGATCTGGCACGTTGAATCTCTTGTTCTAGTTGGGTCAGTTTGATCCTACATGACTCGAGTTGCTGAACGTAAGCCTGTCATAATTTACCAAAGTAAATAACGTTATAAATAATTATATTGGATATAAAACTATATATTTTTGCAACTTACACATATATTGAAATATATATAATGCTGACCTTTTTACGTAATCTACTTTTTCTTGCTGCTTCTCTGTTTTGTGCTAGTCTTCTCAATGTCTGTTGAGAGATTAAATTAATAAAGAAAATATGAAACTCCAAAAAGTTAAAAATTTCAGGAGTTGTATGAACACTCACTTTAGGGTCTGACGATTTTGGTATGTCATGGTCCGATGAGGCAGGACCCTTGCGGTTCCCTTCCTTCTGTCATAACATTTCGAAATGACCCATTCACTTAATTATAATTTTATACTACAACATGTCTAAAACTATATTCGATTTATATAATTTGACTAAGCAATATAATTATTAAAAAAATTAAAGAATATAAATTATAGATAGAGACCTTGATGGATTTAGAAGCTTGAGGAGGAGGTTGAAACTGAGAATGATTGGTCAAATCCATGGACGGCTCAGAAGATGGTCGAGTCGAACCACTAGGTTGAGCAGCCGGAACTAATCTTGCATTATCGGTCTTACCAAACACATTATATAAAAAAAAGACACAAAAACAATCAAATCAGTACTAATTAGAAAAATGAGAACGTATAATAATTGGTCTGACTTGATATTATATGAAATAGCTAGTAGTTGCGCTGACATTATATTAAATTAGAAACAGAAACCAACTAAAATTGGCATATACATATAAAGTAAAATAATAATAATTACATTGGGTGTAGAAGAAGGAGGTGGCTCTATGTGCATCGGCTGAGATGGGAAGATGTTGAGTGTCGATGTTGGAGGTCTCATCGCCAAATTCTCTGCCATAAGAATCATATATAGATGAGTGGTCATGTGAGGTTTGTATGAAACGGTCTAGTCATATAGACCAAGTTATATATATATATATATATATGTTATATAAATAAGTACGAGTGGACTAGTTCTAGCTAATCAGAGAACAAGAAAGAGAAAAGGGTTTAATGAAAGAAGAAGATGGATATGGTTTAGGAAGATCTGATGTCTGAAAAGGGAAAAAGGGAGAGGATCTGGTCAAAGCTGAAAGTAGAGTACTGATGGCAGAAGAAAGATTGAAATCTGTTGGGCATGCTTTTGCTATGACTCTCTCTCTTTCTCTCTCTTTGAAGGGAATCTTCCTTATCTGCTGAAACCAAAAAAAAGACCAAACCCCAATTCCCAAAAAAAAAAAGAAAAGAGAGAGAGAGAGAGAGAGAGTGCATACGAGTTGTGTGATGATAATGATGAGGTAAAGAAGAAGGAGCAGTTGATGGAGGATCATGATGTCCTTGTCCATCAAGATAGAGGAAGAGTGATGGGTCTATCTCTCCAATATCATACCCATCTTTGTTCCTGTGCACATCATATGTATATATATCAGCTTTTCATCAAACTTAGGGATCGGATCATCATGATCAAATCAATTGACAAAAAGCTTTTATACGATCGACCAAGATATACATAAATTAAAATATATGTATAGCTAGCTAGGGTGTGACTGTTAAAAACTTACATGAAATTTCCATGGGAAGAGGACGTGGCAGAGGCTGATGATAAGTGTTGGTGATGGTTCTGGTGATGACCTTGCATTTGATGAACAAGTTTTTTTTAAGGATGATGATGTTTGAGCGTGTGATAGTAACAGCTAGCAGAAGAAGAATGATGATGAAGAGAGATAGATTTGATCTTCGATCTCTATAATTATGTTGGTCTTCTCTCTTTCTTGGTGATGACGGTGCCTTTGATCACTAAGATGATGATATATACAGGCTAAGCTAAGCTAGCTTCGTCTATATTATTTTTCTTTCTCTATATTCTTGGAAAGAGATAGAGATTATGTAACGGAGCATTTAAAGCTACTTTGATGTTTTTTAGGGGAAAAAGAGAAGAGAAGAGAAGAGAAGAAGAGAAGGAGAGGTCGGTTAACATTGAAGTGGAGAGGGTTCTAAAAACTCTTTAAGAAGAAGGATATATTGGAGAAGAGAACCAAAAGCCAAACTCCTTTATTTTTATTTTATTTTGCTTCTCCTTATTTATTAGTTTTGTATAAATAATGTTTCTTCTACCTTAAAATATTAGAAGACGACTTTGTTTTTTTGTATAAAAACCCAAGAAAAATATTCTGATAAAGCGGTCAAGAACATGTCCTTTTCCCTCCTTCTCTCCTCTCTCTCTCTCTAGAAAAAAATGGCTGATAACAAACTTGTATAAATATTTTTTGTTTGTTCTCTAAACTATTATTATTATATTCTCCTATTATATAACTATATTCTTCAAGTATAATTTTTTTATTTTATTTTATAAGATATAGTTTTCAATTCCATCAGATATATTATTATAAGATTTTTTTATTTTTTTCTATTTTTTTTAATGATCCATTAACTGGTCTTACATTAGATTGAGTTAACACTAGATTGTTACCACATACTATTATGTGATAAACTCTGATTGTCAATAAATTGTTTTGAATTTTTCATTTGTTTGCATTCCATTATTTCACTAACTGTTCCATTTGATTTTGTTTGTATGGGCAATGATGATGACTATTGGTGTAGGTTTGGTTTTTGTTAAATTTGATTTGTTTGGTTTAACAAAATCGAATTTTTCTTTTCATATCATTTTTTAGTTTTATTTTTAACTAAGAAATTAAACAATGTTAATGTCTAACTATTATTTTTATCATTGCAATTGTTTATTCTTAAATATTATTGCCTATTTGCTAACATAAAAAATGGAAAAGTTGAAATCAGTTAATCCGTAACGCGGTTTGTATAAACCAAACTTAAAAAAACCGCGGTCATGGAGCAACCCAGAAATAATTTTAGTTTACCGGGACCGGAGTAATTTGGTTCGGTTAGAACGAAAACCAGAATCGGTATAGCAATTGCGTTTTCTCTTCGATGTTGAAGACTCACAAGCAGCAGACTCCAGAAGGACCAAAACCTTAAAAACTGAAAGACTTGGGAGATAACATACTTTCCCCAGATTTCTCAGGTTTACCGGAAAATAAAATAAAATGCCGACACAAGACGATGTTCAAAATCTTCCCATTGACATCACCTTCTCTCGTCTCGGAGGTAATGCATAACTATCAATTATGACCTGTGACTACACAGATTATTATTATTATTATTTTTTTCGGTTTTGCATGTTCTGTGTTTGAATTCGAATGTGATTCGGAGATTCTAATCTTAATTTGGTTTCAATTTTGTTGAATTCGTAGAATGGTTGGTGGATCGGAAGAGAATTCCGGCGGATTGGAGGAAGAAGGTGGGAGTGATCAGAGTCAAAATCTTAAAAGAGTTCTCTTCTTTGCCTAAGGAGATCGATCCATACTTCCAGACCCTAGATCCTGAAGGTTCGAACTTTTAGTCTTTTTATATTTTTGTCTTATCAGTTTAGCAATTTTGGTTTTTGAGCTATCACTTAAAGTGTTAGTCTTTTTGTTGAAAATGCCAAAGAGATTTGATTTGCATCTCTGTGAAACACAATAAGGTTGTTTGGAGTTTAGTTATGTCTGATGCTTGATGTGTTGTTTTGCTTCCAGTGATCGGTTACTTGGAGGTCAAAAAGATTTATGAGATTCTCCTGAAGACAACTCCGGAAAGCCGGAACATCTTTGGTCGGCTTTCGGGTGCTTCTGTATGGATAACTCTCCATGTCTCGCTTTCTTCTGGTGGTCATTGTCGTTGTACATTTTGTGATCTATTACTTGGCTCCTTTTTAGGGTGTTTGGGAAGCAATTGTTCGTGCTTTTGAAAAAGATCACATTTTTCTTGGGGAAGCAGCTCAGATAATAATTCAGAATGTCAATTACGAAATGTAAGTTGCTTTCTTGCATTGCTCTACTTGATTTTACCTAGAGTCTCTCTACTTAGGCATTTCCTGATGATTTTTCTTCTTTTCAAAACATGAAGCCCATATCTGAAAAAGCAAGTGCAAAAGGTTCAGCAACAAATGGCGGAACTTGATCGTAAAGAAGCTGATATCAAAAGGAGCGTTGCACTCTCAGCAACAAAATACGAGGATGCTTGCCGAGAGCTTGGATTGCAGGTTTTGTTGTATACTTAGGTTGATTTCATCCATAGTTTTCTAGAGGATCACGTTAATTTGAAACATCTTAAATTTCAGGGAAACAACGTGAGGCGTGAACTTTTGGAGACTGCAAGTTCGCTTCCTAGTACTTTTAGGAAGATTCTGGAAGTTATCAACAGTGACTCAGTAACTGGGGCAATGGAGTACTACTCCGCTTATGTTAAAGATGTTCATACTGAGAAAGATGTAAGATCACTCTTAACTTTACTCTTTTCTCTCTAAAATTTTGGCCCTTTTTCCTGGGAGGCTGAATTGACACTCTTCTGGTCTGTCTGTAGAAGCCTTTGAGGATTGTCTTACAAAACTTGAAAGACATTCGTGAAAAGCCTCCATCTTTAAGCGTTTTGGGGGTCTCTGAAACTCCTGATGCTGATAATTTTCAGTCATCTGAGAATGCAAATGGTACAGACGCAGCTGCAGACAGTATTGATTGGGATATTACACTTGATACTGCTGAAATAGATTGGGATGTTAGTATGGTAGAAGAAGTTGATAGTGGAAATGATCTAGGTTCATATGAGATTGTCAATGCCAGTGATATTCCTGAGAATTCTCCATTTAAAGTGGAAGAAAGCCAAGTCCCTGAGGTTGATGTTTCTGAGATTTCTTGGGATGTAAGTGTTGAAACCCCTCAGGTAGAAGAAATAACTGATGCGGCTTTGCTAGAATCAAATCAGACACAGTTGACAGATGCTACAACTCAAGTCTTAGGGAGTGGAGGAGAGAGAAGCCAGCTGTTGGACACAGAATATAGGAATAAGATCCTTGATGATTTGTATGAGGTACTCTTATCTCTGACTATTTAATACTCAGTTTAGTCCTGGAGGCGCTTCTTGAGAGACACTTCATGTGGATTCTCTTGTTTCAGGTCAAGGCATTTTTGAACCAGCGTTTGATAGAACTGAGAAATGAAGACACTCTGTCTTTGCAGCACCACGTGCAAGCAGTTTCTCCCATGGTTCTTCAGCAGTATTCTCCTGAAACCATTGAGCCAATGGTAGTTGACATCTCCATGGCCATTTCATTGCTAACAAATAAGAAGTCCCGGGATCTGATCATGATTCTCAACTCCAAAAGGTGCGTTAAGATAAATAATTGCTACCAGGGGATTAACAGTGAGTACCACAGCTTCTGATATATGTAATTTTGTTGTACAGATTTCTAGATAGGCTTGTTTCAGAGCTGGAGGAGAAGAAGCACCGTGAAGTGAAGCTAAGAGAGAGCTTGAAAGATGTGGGTAAAAGACGCATGGAGCTGCAGAATTCACTCTCGTCGATCTGGCCAAAACAGGTACGCTCCTCAAAACGATTTGCTTTTGTTTTGGCTAAAATGTAAATTGACAGTGTCAGATTGCTTTAGCTTTTGTTTTGGCTAAATGTAAAATATCAAATTAACAGTGTCTAACAAATTCTGTTTATTTTTTTTGGTGTTGAATACAGGAAGCTGCACTTTCAAAAACAAGAGAATTGAAGGAGCTTTGTGAGACTAGTCTCTCTTCCATGTTTGATGGAAGACCTGTGAATATAAGAGGAGAGATCAATACATTGTTGAACGCTGGGGTTTCTTCTTAGTTTGATCTCCGGGATTGGCTAGAAAACTTAGTTTCAGAAGACCAAGTGACCCTGTTTCTTACTATAGGATTTTGCCTTGGTTCAAACTCTTTTTATTTATTTATATCATGTACTAAGAAACATCCTTTTTTACCAAGACTAATATATGTATTATCATCATATGCTAAGAACTATTACTTTGACAGTAAAGTATATATGTGAAGAAGAGATACAGAAAATGGTCAAGAGGAGAGGTAGCTGAAGGTAGGTGAGGAGATGAAGCGTGTGCGTGTTGAGCAGAATGATTTACTGAAAGGGTCAGTCTTGTCTGCAACACTACTGCTTGCTTCCTTGTTCTGTTTCTGTATCAGTGCAGTAAGTGCTTCCACTATTTCTGAAACCGGTGGTCTGAACTCCTTCTCTACCTGCTCATGAATGAATGATTAGTTGTAATGTAATGGTCCTGAGTGAAGGTCTAATTGACAATACCTGAGTGCATAGGGAGATAATGTCTGCGTATTGTGAGGCAACTCTTGAAGAGAAGGTGCCTGCTATGCCACCATCAATCATTTGTTCTAAGCTTCGCCTGTCATGAAGTCTAGTTGATGCCCATTTCACCAGTAGCTGTTCTCCTCGGGGTCGTGAGCTGCAACATTCACCGGAAAACGTCAACAGCATAGCTTAGCTATCAATGATTATTATTAGTAGGTGAAATGCTTGCGTACCTGTCAAATGCTTTCCTTCCTGTTAACAGTTCCAAGAGTAGCACTCCCAGTGCATACGTGTCACTCTTTGTGGCACTGCTTCCTGGTTGTCCATGTTCTGGTGCTATGTAGCCAGTGTTTTGTATCGCTATCTCTGAAGCCTGCTCTTATCTCCACTCATTAGGTCTCTCTCAGTCAAATTATTAAGTGACAACATCATATTCTGTCTTTCTTACTTACCCGAAGTTTAACACTGTTGCTTGTAAGTGGCCTTAAACTAGAAAGCCCACAATCAGCAATACGAGGTGTAAGTTCTTCGTCTAGTAAGATGCTTGTTGCTTTCAGATCACTATGGGCTATAGGAGGGCAAAACGACGTGTGCAAATAGCTGAAAGTTTTTGATTCACCAGATAGGGAAGAGTCAATAATAAATGGCTGCTATGATAGGGAATAGCTACAACTAGGTTGAGAAGATAGGATACTTACTCCAGAGCGCGGGCAACTCCAATAGCAATACGTAGACGCAAGCCCCAGGAAAGTGGCTTGTATACCTCATCATGCATAGCATTGTACAACGACAAATGCCCAACATACTCATAGACAAGAAGATGCTCCCCATTCTCAATGCAGAAACCGAGAAGTGTCACAATGTTTGGGTGTCGTAGTTTGGAGGCTGTCTGAAGCACTTCAGTAAACTTTTCCTCTTCATGTAAAGACAGCGAAGACATTGGGATGTTTCTCACGACTGCAAACTGTTTTAAGAAAATATCAACGGATGAGAAAAGACTAACGGAAATTCCCAATTTTGAGTACTTGAAGAGGTATAAAAGATATACTTGGCCATCTGGCAACTTTGCTCTGTAAACAGAACCAAGAGGACCCTCTCCGAGTAGGTTTTCTTCACTGAAACTGTTAGTTGCCAGTTGAAGCTCTGCAGCTGAGAATAGCTTAGCAAACGATGGATATTGACATGTAGCAGAGAAGCTTTTTCTTCTCGCAGATTTATCAATTCTGACAGGTGGAGAAGGTAAATGTCTGAGCTGGGGAATTGACGGTGGCTGGGCTCTTTTCATCTGTGGGTTATCTTCAGTTGCAACAGAGTAATCTGTTACATGTGAAGGTAAGAAAATGAGCACTGAGGAAACTAATTGCCATTGTAACAATGATTGGAGAGACAGCATATATCACCTCGGCCTGTACTGACTGGAAGAGAGTATGCTGTGCTATTGTTGCTTATGTGACTAGCAGCAAGGTTTTGCGCACGTTGATGACTCATGCGGACTGCAAAAAGTGCAAAAAAAGTTCCCAGCAAAGCTAATCCGCCAACTAGTAAAAAAGTACTTCCTGCTCCTATGCCTTTCTTCTTCTTTCTGACCGTCTGAGGTCTGGGAAAGTTCATAATGGCACTCGACTCTGTCGTTGGATAGCCAGTAGCATTTTGTATCATCGGCCTGACATCCAAAGGGAATTTCCACGGTTTATAGTTGGGCTCTACATGGAACTTGTTTCCCCAAATCCTGTTCAGCAAAAACACCATGTATGCTTAGCATGAGTCTTAGGTGTCTGAGCCAATATTTTGAAAAGCGGGGAGTAAACTCACCAAAGATGAGGAATGGACTGAAAATGACTTGGGATAATACCACTGAACTGGTTATCTTCGATATTCCTGGAGATATATTTTGAAATCATATGTAAAGGAAGTTCAATGAAAAGCAAAATGAAAGCACAAAGAGAGTGAACTACAGGTCAGCTAAAGGAAGATCCGCGAGATAAATGATTGATCCTGTTAATCTGTTGTTCTGGAGGTACCTGCAGTTTTGTTATCACAGCATAAAAACCGTTATTAGGTGACACCTATGTGCAGGAAGCAGATTGCAGATAAAATCCTAGATACTTACAGTGAAGTCAGATTCATTAGAGTTCCAAAAGAGCTCGGTAGATCTCCCGTTAGGTTATTGAATGAGAGATCCCTAGCAAAGTCAAATATTATTGAGTGAGAGATCCCTATCTGCATCTATATATGGTGATGAAAGACTACCAGAGCTGAACAGAAGACTCACATTTCTTTAATTTGTAGCCCAGAGAACACATTTCCAAGAGGTCCAGATAATGCATTATGGCTCAAATTCCTAGAAGACAAAGAAAGCCATATTTTAACAAATCAGTGGAAACGTAAAGCAATGTAATGAAATATTTCATAGATATCCATTTGGAATAACCCACTTACAGGGACTGGAGAGATGTCAAAAGAGGTAAGGAAAAAGGGATACTCTGAGTTAGATTGTTACAAGCCATGTTTCTGTAATCAACAAACAACGAAAACACTGGTGAATGACACTCGAATGTAGGATTAAATGCTGAATGCATTTGGTCAAACACTTACATATGAGTAGCATTTGGAGGCAACCCAAATGGAATTTCACCTTGAAGGCTATTGAAGCTAACATCCCTAACACAAACGAAAAAGAGAGACCAATACTTAAGACTCTGTCTCGTAAAGAAGTAAAAAATCAAGAACTAGGAAATTTTGCTTACAGGTTCTTCAAATTGTGGAGATGTTGAAGCTGGTTCCCAAGGCTTCCCAAAAGCTTTAACTCTCGCAGTTGTCTGAGCTAAAATGAATCAGATTTGTTCGAACCGGAATTATATATAAAAAAAAAACTGAAGGAAAGGGTTAACAAGAACACTACAGGTCTACTATAGAAGAACCAGAACAAGAGACTCCAATCCAGGCTTCTCCGCATGGATCTCCACCCTCCAATCTCCATCCTCTCAGCTGCTCTGGATTGCTCAGTGATTTGTAGAGATCTTGAAGAGCCAAAACTAACGGAGAAAACACAAAATAAACAACAATCACATACAGTCATTTCATCGAACAGGTTTTGGTGGTGACTTCAACATGATCAACAAGATCAAAACTTGCGATTAAACCCATCGAAAAATTCCAGTCAAGAAAGGGTTTTTGTGTTTATTCCAACAGTATTAATCATCAGCTCGATTTCAAAGTAAGCAAAGATTTCACTACAATCAACCTCAGTTCTTAAACAGAGAAGAACGACGAACAAGAATCTTAGCGCTAAAGAGTCATTCCTAGACTGAGAAAAATGAGACGAGACTCTGAAAATCACGTACCTTCAAGCGGATCAGTATCAGCCTTCGCCAGCACAAACCAAAGCACCGTGAACAGAATCGCACCGAGGTATCGCCATTTCTGTTTGGTTTTCATCGCGACGATCTCTCGACTCCTGAGAAAAAAATGGTGCTTAATGCATAGAACTGATACGAGTAAGCTCCGTCGTCTAACGCAAAGAGAAACGAAGAGGAGAAAGAGTGGGAAAGAAGAAAAGAGTTGTGAAATTTTCTCGCACTTTCTCTCGTTTTCTGGGGAAACAAACAGAGAAAAAACTCGAAAGAGAGAAGATTATAGAAGAAGAGATAGTATTTAGTCGAGAGAGATGGAACTGAGTAAAATGCGAAAGCGCGAATATTCCACGTCAGCAAAAACAGTTACGGACGTTGGAGTCAACTAGTCGAACCTCTCTGCCACGTGGCTTTTCTTATTCTCCGATTTTCCGATAATATTATGTGACCATCGTTATATGATAATAATGTTTGAATCAACTTATAAGTTATAACTCTCTTTATCTACCTTTAAAAAACAGTACAACTTTTTTCCCACCTTTAAAATAGCTATAGAACTTGTAAAAACATACACATAGCAATATGCTCGAGAGGGAATAACACAAAATTGAAGTTACTGCTCCACAAAATTGTCATTAGACTAATTGTGCTCTAACTCGAATACAAAATCGAATTGCTTGATCTATGTTTGAGTTTCATTTTGCATTGTTCTGGTCAATACTATAATGTCTTGCTGCATTATTGTTCTCTACTCACACAGAAGCAGTTTCTTCAGATCTTCCAAATGCTTAGGCCCATCTGGGTGACGGTTTACAAATCTAGTGGCAAAGAACTTGTCTGAGCACACAAGTATAGTACTAACTGCAAGCTTTGGGTCTGCCTTGCCTCGAGCTTGAAGCCAAGAGAACATTGCAAATCGAAGCTTCATCCGCTGAAGAGTGTACTTAAGACATGTTGGGAAAGTGATCAAAGTTGAAAGCGGATAACCTAATTCGTCAATAAGGTAGTTAACCTTTGATTCTAGGATATCACTTGCCTGAGAGAGGATACTAGGACATGCTTTCACCATATCTTTGACAACTTCCTCCGTAAAACCCAAACTCACGAGGACATTAAATCTCTCATGGAGTTCAGATCCTTTGCCACGGAAATTCTTGAGTGCTCTCTCCATCTCCTCTGAGTTTTCTTCGTATCCGAGGTCTAACAAGAACTGGGTCTTCATTGTTTTCGACTTTGAATCTACCTTGCACCTAGTAGCCGGTAGCGGCTGGACTCTTAACCCCATAATCCATTTTTTCATCTCTTCGGGATTTTCTTGAATGGCTTGACAAAGCCGCCTTTTCCCACCTTTCAAATTGATAAGTAAGGTACTGGTTTGCTTCAAACGAGTTCTACCGAGCCAAGAAGAGTGCAAACGGAAAATCTTGCTAATCTCATCAGCCTCCATCTCAATATCTTTCAGGAACAAGAAGCAATGTCTTAGATTCATTAAACATTTCCCTAAACTCTGGCTCTGAGGTAATTTCTGAAACAACGATGAGAGCTCACTTCTAGATGACCCTAGTTTTGTTTCAAACGCAGCTAGAATCAGTGTCCATTCTCCTGAATCCTCAAAAATCAGTCTTGGCCGCATCCTGATTAACTCACGAAGCTCATTCCCATCTACACAAATATCCCTAAGAAGACTTAGACAGCTATGCATAGAACTCCAATCATAAGACACCTCCTCAGACAAGTTCTCTGTTACCCAATCAACACCAAAACCAATAGATTTCAGCATCTCCATAACTTTAGCCAGTCGGACATTCATACTCCCAATCAAGATAGTCGGGCTACAAACAATCAGTTTGGACAGAAACAGTCTACTAAACCCCAAATCCTCATAAGCCTTAATCTTGGAAGCTAAAACCCCGGTTTCATACCCGAAAACTTGCCTAGCTTCACTAAAAATCTTCCCCATCTTCTCCCTCCCAATTCCATAGTTCCAAAAGACATGGTAGTTCTCCAGGAGAAAAGCATCTTCATTCAAGAACATCTTATCACAAGGAACCAAATGACTAAACTCAGACGGCTTTAAACCTAAACTCTCTAGAAACGGCTCAAATTCGTTCACAGGATGAAACAATAGAAACCTGGTAATGGATCGAACTATTTCATCCTCATCATCAACATCACAACCATCTAGCTTCCTCAAGAGATTATCATTAAAAACAGGAGCATTCTTACTCATACTCTCAGCTACCAGAAACTGCAAACCCCTCGTCTCGTAGAAGTAATCGAACATCGCAACCTGAGCCATCTTACGAATCTCGTTTCGACTTCTAACACCCCATTTCTCGCCGCAAAGCTCAGCATCGACGAGTGTGCTTTGGGTGGCGAAGGATCTAGGGTTTCCTGAAACTCGGGTATTAAAAGGGGCTTCTGCAAAAGCTCGTGATACCCAATTGAGAAGACGAGAGAATCTGGGGTTTCGTATAAGAGACATTACCTGTAACGCAGACACATGGAGATATGCACAGTATGCAACACAGGAGTCGGAGGTAGAGATATGTCTTGCCAAAGCAAGAGGTATGTGAGAAGAAGACGAGACTAGTTCACCAAATTTTTTTTCTTTTATTTAAGTAATATTTAAGTTTGAATATATTCAAAGGTAAACAATATAAAAGATGAATTTAGAAAATTTTATCATTAGAAGAGAGTACACCTACAAAAGAAAATTGGATACAAAGTGATCTACTACTGCTACAAAACGTAGTAAGCAATTAGTTCTGCACAACTCAAAGATGCAGCTTCTTCAAATCCTCCAAATGCTTAGGACCATCAGGATGACGGTTTACAAAAAAACTCACAAAAATCTTGTCCGAGCAAGCGAGCATTGTACTAATTTTAATCTTAGGACCTACTTTTCCTCGAGCTTGAAGCCAAGAGAACATCGCAAATCTGAGCTTCATCCGCTGAAGAGTGAACTTTAAACATGAAGGGAAATCCACCAGAGTCGAAAGCGGATAACCTAATTCTTTTACAAGGTAGTTAACCTTTGATTCTAGGACATCAGATGCCTGTGTGAGGATTTTAGGAGATACTTTCACCATTTCTTTGACATCTTTCTCTTTGAAACCCAAACTCACAAGGACATTAAATCTCTCCCGGAGTTCAGATCCTTTGCCACAGAACCTCTCGAGTGCTTTCTCCATTTCCTGTGAGTTCTCCTTGTACCCAAGGTACAACAAAAACTGAGCCTTCATTGATTTCGACTCTAGTTTCTCTTCAGTAGCTGGTAGCGGCTGGACTTTCGACCCCATTGTCCATTTTTTCATCTCCTCTGGGTTTTCTTGAATGACCTGACAAAGCCGGGCTTTCCCAGCCTTCAAGTATAAAAGCAAGCTACTGGTTTTCTTTAACCTGCATGAACCAAGCCACCAGGAGTGAGAACGGAAAACCTTATGAATCTCATCATCTTCCATCTCGATCTCTTTCAGGAACAAGAAGCAGTGCCTTAGATTCGAAACACATTCTTCTACTTGTATCTGCTGGAACTTCTGAAACAACGAACATAGTTCACTTCTAGATGACCCATGTTTTGTTTCAAACCCAGCTAAAACCACTGTCCATCTGCCTGAATTCTCAAAAATCAGTCTTGGACACTTCCTTATTAACCCACATAGCTCTTTCTCATCAAAACAGATATCTCTAAGCAAGCTTAGAACACGATACACAGAGCTCCAATCACAAGATGCCTCCTCTGACAGGTTCTCCATAACCCAATCAAAGTCAAACCCCAAGGATTTCAGCGTCTTTAAAACCTTACCAAGTTCAAGATTCATATTCCCAACCAGGATTCCCGGGCTACAAACGATAAGCTTGGCTAGAAAATATCTGCTCATCCCCAAATCCTCGTACGCCTTAATCTTAGAGGCTAAAACCCCGGTTTCATAACCGAAAACTTCCCTAGCTTTGATGAAAATCTTGCCAATCTTCTTTGGGTCAACCCCACTGTAACACAAAACATGATGATTCTCCAGCAAAAAACCTTCTTCATCCAAGAAATCCTTATCAGAGGGAATCAGATGAGTATACTCAGTGGGATTCAGACCTGAACTCTCAAGGAAAGGCTCAAATTCATTGACAGGATGAAACCGTAGATATCTAGTAATAGACTGGTTAATTTCAGAAGCAGTAACACAGTCAACCTTCTTCAAAAGACCATCAATAAAAATTGGACTGTTCTTGCTCATGCTCTCTGCAACCATGTACTGTAAATTCCTAGTTGAATAGAAGTAATCCAACATAGCTTCCTCGGCCAATTTGCGAACAGTGGGAGTGATCCGAAGCCCATTTCGGGTTCTCTTCACACTCGATTTCTCGCTGGGAACTTCTTTACTGGTGGTGACGGTACTCTGGGTGGCGAAAGATCTAGGGTTTTGCGTATAACGGAGGAGAAAGCCAGTTCCAGAAATCAGGGGGGGTTCTAGAGAAATATGTGCTACCAATTTGATAAGAGACGCGAATCCACTAGGGTTTAGCTTAAATCTCATCGCCTAGTTGTGAACAAATCGAAAGCTTTTACCTTTGAATCTCTGACGGTCTGATTTCGGCTCTTGGAGCTCTCAAGTCGCCGGAGAAGACAGAGGAAGCATGAGACTTTGTTGGGTTTATTGTGTCAGTAATTGGGTTAATTACAAAATCCCAATATATTATTTCGTTTCTATAGACGGACATGCCAATGTAATTCTATGTCAACCTGTTCATTATCTAGATTATAGTATTAAGTTCATACAAGTTAAAATCTTAATTAAGATATGTTATTACAAGTTTTGTTTTCTTTTTGCGATTTAATCATCTCGTGGAGCTGTTTATTTTGTTCTTCAACCAACAAGAATAGCTCTCTCTGCATCTGCCAAAGAAGAAAAAAAAAAGAAAACACGCATATCAAACAACATTAGCAAAATAAAAATATGAATATAGGAGACTAATTTGTTTTTTTAACTTTTTAGTCTATTTATCAAATCATAATCACCAACACTTTCTATTTTACCATTCAGAATATTGGTTTCAAAAACAAGTACCAGAATTTTGGTATACCTGTTTCACCTCACAAGTCACAATGTAACCACTCTCAAACATTCATGGTCTACAAATATTTTTAACAGACAATGAGGTTGGGCTTTAAATTGTTTATATATTAGCCCATCAGCTTAAGTTAATATTAGTGGACTGGATTGAACAAAAATAAATGAATTTGGGCTTAAAACAGACCAGGCCTAGCTAATTGTAATCTAACGAGAACCGGACCAATTTAGTCACAACCCGATGAAATGACCGGTACTTACGAAATATATTGACCGCAAAAGCGAAGGAATATGGATCTTGTCTTCGAAATGGTTCCCTAATCTGAGCCTAATTCAAGTTCAAATTCATATACACAACATAAATATTGTAGACAAAAAAAAGTCTCACAAATACGTACTGCGTGCGAAGTGCCAACACAATAGGGAAGGAACCAAATGAACCCAATCAATTGGGACATTAAACCGCTTACCAACTCAATCAAAGGGTGATCAAACAGTTTGATTTGACGTGTCACGTTGATGCCGAGGAATTAGATGAAAGTCTTAAAATCATTTCACAATTGGTGAGTTTTGTGGGAAACTAAATCGAATATCACTTTTTTGGTATACAAATCCAACCCAATCCATTTCACATACACGTCTCTACGTATAATGATCATTTGACTTACTGACTCACGCATCACTTCCATGCAAAATGTTTTATACCAATTACCTCAATCTTGAAAAGGCATATGAGAGAGTTACAGGCCGATTGCTTTTCGTACAAACATAACCAAACTTTGTAATACTTAAGAGTAAACAAGTTCAGAGAAGAAGAATATTATGTATATAAAGAAACTGAATATTCAAAATAGAAATGAAGAAAGCTAAAGGAGAAAAAGTGGGGTTCCTCGTGCACGATGTTAAAAAGGTAGCGTTACTAATTTAAGAAGTCATCTCTTCGTGTGAGTTTTTTTGTTTAAAACACAAATCATATAGTTAATTAAGAATAATGTCTCACACATCTATTACTCTATGACTAATGAGACCCCATCACACACCACTTGCACACATTTAGTACCTGATTCTGTTCCCAAGTGTTAGTGTGTGTAGCACTTTGGACATTCTCTTGTCGCGACTCTTATGACTTTATACCACTTTGAATAGAGTAGAAACATGCTTTTAGGCCCTTTTTCTATGTAGCCAATATCTCTCATTCTTTCTCTCTTTTTTTCAACTAATCTTTGACTGGACTTGATTGTCTCCATAACTTGTTAGCATCTGCAGGGCTTCAGTGTCGTCTTGTACCAAGAAGGGCGGAGGAGGACGAGTGCGATCCGAAGCCGGAAGAGACAATGATACTTCAACTTCGGGTGTCTTCATAAGACTCTCTTTTGTTTTTTGTTGTTGCTCCATCATTATTTTCAATTGTTTCCCTTGTTCTTCGATTCTTAGTTGTAGGTTTCGTTGAATCTAAATAATGAAAGGTACATGAATCAAGATGAGTGTGGTATTACCAAAAAAAAAAGTATCTATGTAAGATAATTATCAATAAATTGTTCCATAGAACTATAAAGAAGAGTCTTAATTATCTCTAGTAACAATTTATAACTTACTTCTAGTTGTTCATGAAGATGCCTCTGAACATCTAGTTGAAGCTGAAGTGCCTCTTTAATCTGCACTCCACTGCCTCCACAACATTATAAAAAAAAAAATATTAACAAGTAATTATTTATCATTTTTGAATAAGGTTAATCGTATGGTGTTGCTATTGCTACGCTAAGCCATTTGGTCATTAACTTTGGATTTATATGGAGAAAAAATAAAGTGCTAATTAGTAATAAAGAAAGTATTAGTTTTGGCTCAGAAAAAAAGAGAGAAACGTACGTTTTAGTGTCAAGCTGAGACAGCTCTTTACCACAAGCTCTCTTCTCAAACTTGCCTGCAACATAAAACTCTTTACTTTCACACACATAATACTCTTTCGATTTTTATTATTCCATATCATCAGTTTATTTTTTTCCAAACAAAAAAAAATTAGTGCAGAGATTAATTAGTGTACCTTCTTGGGTCTCAGGCATGTATTTTGCAATCCTATATTTCTGAAATTTAAAAGACAAAACGTTATTTAATAAAACTTTCTTTGAAAAAGAAAAAAAAATGATAGAGAAGAAGTAACCGTAACCTGTAAGTGGCTTTTGACATGAAATATTGTGAGTCCATCAGAATCCATCAGCTTCAATATCGCTTTGGGCGTTGCCTCTGCAAAGTTTACCACCACTTACACATTTTAGTGACCCACAAAAGAAACAAGGACACTTCTATCCCATAAAACGACATTTATGTAAATACTTTTATTGAAAGATGTAGACATATATCCAACTAATGCAGCAAAAGTGATCCACATGCACATATATAGTGTTATATATATACTTATATGAGAACGTTATAACTTCTTTGCCCAAAAACAAAAGAAGAACGTTATAACTTCTTTGCCCAAAAACAAAAGAAGAACGTTATAACTTCATAAAATGACTTTTAATTCTATCCATCCTATGGCTATTCATGATTCATATGCATGTGAAATATAACTTATTTTGGGTAACCAAGAAGTTCTAGGTTTTAGTAACTTCTTCAGACCGAAGACTTAAAGCAAGTTAAACTGGTCCCCCTCTTGTAGCATCTACTAGCTAATATGTCTATAAGCTAATCAAACAAAAGCGACTAGCTCAATATCAAATGGTTATATAAGAACATCTTGCAATGGTTCAAAGACTTACTATCAGCACCACCGAGGCAATTAACGCACTCCACAAACTTCTCATGTAGATCTTGAGTCCATCTTATTCGTGTCTTGTTCACACAGTTAGGAGCCACCGACCCTCCATGGGTTGAGAATGATGTATGAGAAGAAAATTTTGAAGGAGTTTGTTTAAGTTGTTGATGCGATGATGAGAAATTCAAATGTGTTACATTAGAATTACTATAGGTCCTCCTGCATAGTTCCTGTGGATCAAAACAATAAAATAAAATAAATCATAAGAAAAACAATATAAAGGGGAATTTTATTTTGGCATACTTGTGGATCTTGACTTGCTTCAAAAGAAAGTGAGTACGAGGCCGATGAAGCATTATTTGCTGCGGCGAAATCGTTCGCGCATGATCTTTGATATAATGATGGCTTCAAATATTGATCCGGGAGAGGCGGCATAGGAACCATGGATAAGGTTTGGTCTAATGATGTGTGATCCGGTGATAGATGATGGTAGGGATGAAACGAGGAAGGGTAAGGCTTTGAAGATGAACATTGTAAGGGGAAAGATTGATTGGCTGTGCAATCGTATGGAGGAAACTCCGAGAAGGTTTCGGCTCTAGTCCATGGAGATGATGGTTGATTGTATTGAATCATGTTATTCAAGTTCTGTAAATTAAACGGCTGGGGCGGTTGCGGTTGCGGCTGAGACTGTAGCTGGCTTCCTTGTGAAGCGTTTGAGAATTCAAAGTTGATATTATCCATTAAAGAAGAAACAAGAGAGAGACACAATTTGAGACTTTTGCATCAGAAACATATAATCTTTGTTTTGTACGTTCAATGATATATTGAACGAACGGGTAAACAAGATGATAATGGAAGGAAAAAAAAGATTCGATTTATAAAAAATCGGAGGATTAATAATATAAACCGATATGATGAAATCTAGCTAAGGTGTTATGGTTTTTTGGGTTTTATGGAATATGTGTGTGCATCCTCCAAAGTCTTCAGGTGCAAGAGGGATGCGTATAGATATAAAGCCAACGCCTCTCTTTTTTTTTTCTTTTGATTATTCTTAAAATGGATAGGAGTGCGCAATTTTTAATTATCCAATGGCCATAATTGCAAAAGTCCAAAAATTCGTATATCAATATAGTAGTATTAACAAAAGAAAACATACATTAGTTTAACTTCTACTTGCGTAGACCTTGTCGTTATTCTTCTTCATTTGTAGAAACATCATAAAAGAGTTTCTTCACAAAAATAGTAAGATCGCACGGAATTCGATTATGGTACCATCATCAATTCTTTTTTTAAAACCCTAATTCATATCATCATCTTGTTTATATATTAAACCATGCATACATATATGTATATATATAATTAGCATTTAATCCGTTATATATTTATAAATATATGTACATACTTAAATATCTAACGTATGTAAAATGGTATGATCGACGGATTGATATAGCTGATAAATTATTAAGCTATATTTTTCCATTAGTAATATTCTGTAAAAAATAGAGAAAGCTTATATAGTTTAAACTTTAACAAGTATTATATGGTTGTATAAAACAATAGGTTTTTAGTTATTTAAAAGTAAAACATACAAACTCACTTTAGATAATTCACCAAACTATAATATAGAAAATATTTTATTAATCTAGCCGTTGACGTACGAAACATAAAAGACCAAAAGAGTTTCGAACTGAATAGTTATTTTCATTTTAAGTTCAGTTAATTTCAGACATTACAGTTTACCATGCACATTCTCACACAATTCCTGTCATTTTATTTGAATTATTTCAAACTAATTAAAAGGAGTTAGAAATTAACAAAGCCATATTTTGGTTTTAATGTTAACTGACACATCCACATTACTAGGATATATTACTAATGAGTCTCTCCAATCAAAATGAAGTTGCGTTTTTTCAAAATTAAAGGCAAGATTAGGTTTCGGATACACCTCGAACCACTGAATATTAAAAAAAAACTATACATAATAAAATAATTATATTTTAGTGCCCCAATCAAAAATTGTAAAAACTATATTCTGGTTCTACCCAAGATATGGGAGAATATATTTTACATGAGCATATTTTTTTCTTAATAGTATTGTAATTATATTGTGAGGATTCGTCTCGCATAAAATTTCAAACGTTTTTAATAACGCCCATGAGTTTGGTTTGGTAGTCTAAAAAGAGATATCGAATTATTCTGGATAGGATGCATAAAAAATAGCTTTCCATCCATCTTACCAAAAAAAAGTGTTTTGTTTGGCCTTCGTTATCTTCTTCTTCTTCTCACAGTTTTGGCTGAATTATTCATTATTGTTGACATTATATTATTTATATTATTTGAACCAATTATATTTTTATAATTCTTTAAAAAGAAAAAGAAAAAAAAATCATAGAAGAGATTCAAATATTCCACTGCCAAAAGTTGCTTAGAGGCAAACCACATTCCGCACCCAAAAAAAACCAAATAAATTCAATCAATTTAAAACTATATATATAGGTAAGACCACACAAATATAGAGGCAGTATCGAATTCCATTCCAAACTCTATACATTTTTTTAAGTAGCTAGAAGAGAAAAACATCTTATATCGTTTCTACGTCTTGCAACATACATTTAGTTTTTATTCAAGCATGCATTATTATAGTTTTGATTATCTGATGAATATCTGTGATTGGTGATTTCCCATGAACAGTTTTATCAGATGAAGGGGTTGTCGTCGTTAAACAGAGGTATCTCTATGCTAATGGGTACATAACGTCTCGGCTTTAAGTTGAAAGATTTATATATGAATATGACGAGTCTTTGGATCACTATGAAGCTAATAATTAATGATGGGTCACTTATAAGTGAATGCCTTAAATGAAAAGAATTATACATAAGTAGTAGTAGTAGTATACTTCTTCTATATGTTAAAAAATAGCTAGGGGTCTTTAATTTGTAACTTGTCACGACTCACGTTAGTAGCTGTTTTACGAGGAGTTTAGTTGATAAATTCTCTCTATCGCTGTAACATTGCTTAGATTTGTTTGTTTGTTTGTTTCTTATAATTAAGTTTTGAAGTCGTTGCCCCGTAAAAAGTTTGGTAATTGAAAAGAACACAAAGAGGTGAAGAAGGTGGACTTCTGATTTTAAATGATAAACAAATTATAAAAATGGAAAGCCACAGTGGAACAACTGTAAGATTCCCCCCTACGTGTTAAAATATTGCCCAATACTATTCTTACAAGTTGCACTTCCCAACTTTTGTCTTTTTTTATATAAAAAAAATTACAATATTTTTTTAGTTCAGACGACAGTTCTCTAATTTTTTTATTTTTTTTTACTTAGTATGTTTCTTAATTTCGTTTTAATAAGAATAGATTTTATATTCGTCTTGGCCAGTCACAGATGTCCCCCCCTGACTCGTGTCGACATGACAAATATAACAAATTTTTAAAATGCAAGTATTTTTTATTTAAATATGTTCGACATCGAGGTGAAAATGTATATATTTGCGTAAATTATTCCCTTGTTGGCAGAAAAATAATATATATATTGTGATAGGAGAGACAAAATTGTGGGTAGACTTTTGTTAAGGGCAATATATTTGATGGGAAACTTGACCTTAATTTAAAGTTTCTCTATCGATTATATACACATTCGAAGTTCCCCAGAAGAAAATCTGTTAAACAAAAGAATCACGATCTGCAGCCGGAATTTATAAATACCCTATTAACCCTTATAAAATTATTTAACCTTACGTTCCGAATCTCCACATATCAACACACATATATCATAAAAATCTTAAAAAGTCTTATATATATACGAGAGATTGTCTCCGTTCTATGTTTTAAAACAATTATGAGCGTCCTACTATGTATTCTTTTTACAAATATTTTATGTTATCAACAACATACAGATGTATGCGAGTTAGAAACTCAGTTGTGTGCATAGCAATGATAGTAACATAAACCATAAAACCATAGATCTTTGCTGTGCTCTTGTTCAGACTTAAGGCCCCAGAGAAGAGCCGAATTGATCCTTTACTTATAATGGGCTCAAAAGATTCAAATTAAAGCCCACATTACGAAGGTTTTTTTGTGTCTTCACAGTTGGCTCGTGACAAAAAGTCTCTCTCTCCATGATTGAGAGAGGAAGATGAGGCATGCATCGCTTGATGGATGGATGGATCGATACTTATTCTTTTTTTCTTTTCTTCTCTGACTATCAAAAGTCGTGTCACCGCAAGATTTACATATTGTCACTATCTTTTCCATAAAACGCATTTCGAGAGTCCTTTCTATCTCTAGTCCTACTCTAGTATAGTCAGATGGTACTTGGCTTTATTGATGCATATGAGAGTCAAGAGAAGAAACAATCAACACCAGAGTACATATCGAATTGTTGGGGGACACGGTGCCTATAAATGTCCTATAAGTGGAGCGGCAAAGGAATTTTTTTTGGTAATAGTATCATAGCTTCATGAATGTTTCAATCTATGTTAGAAAAAAAAATTAGTGAAGTGAGACAAACACAAAGCGGAGCCGTGGCGATAGAGAGGATAATGCGATTATTTCGCTGTATTCATTATATAGATCGAATAAACCATAAACGAAACAAACTTAAATGGTCTAAGTCCAAAATCGCATATGAACAACAACATAATAGATATAACTGACATTCGTAGGCTAATATCACCTAAAAATCTAGGTTAAAATCAATTTAGGAAAAAATTCAAAAAAAAGATTTTATCTCATTTTTCAAAACTATAACTGTAAAAATGAGTAAATTATAAAATCACGTTTTTGACGAAATAATTAAAAAAATCATTTTTGACGATTAAATATATATGTATGAGTGTATGATTGATGATGATGTATTTTATGTTATGGTTTAAGTTAACTTTTAAGCCAACGATGTAAGCCAAAAATGTAAGAGTTTCTTCTAAAGCATACAAAATTAGAAAAAAACGATGTAATAACACTATATTAAATTAGCAGAAAAAAACAATAAGTTTAACTAACCTATATATTATGTGGTGTACTGGTGTAGAGGGTCAGCAAAAGTAATCGAATAAACATCTAAACCAAAAATAAAAGTTTAGTAAACTTAATTTTGAAATATAGGAAGCGGGGTTTTGTGGAATATTAAGGTAGTGGATCATATGGGGGATCCTAGGGATTTGTTTTTGGATATAAAAGTGTTCTACAAATTTCATGTGGTCTAGGATTCGTCATCCCATCCAGCTTTATTTACTTGTTTTGAATATATAGTAAAGTAGAGAGGATGGTTACTCCATATCACAGACTCGGTGTTATTCTTTTGGTTAGCGTCGATTAGTTTTCATTTTGCGTCTTAACTCTGGATTGGCAGCAAAGATGTGAGAATTGTTGTTGAAATAAAGACAGTACACAGAGGCAAGGATCAGTGTAAGTGTCAGACGAGTCATATTAGTTACTTGAATCTAAAGTCACTTGAACTCTCTTTTTCAAACCTGAGATATATGTTCAAGTGGGGTCTCAACCATCCCGACCACGATTAAAATCACCCCAAAGTATAGAGAGTGGCATCCCTTTAAATACTCCCAAAGTAGCAGGGTATTCAAGTAACTCCATAAGCTTTCATTACCTTTAATATACTATTCAACTTAAGAGTATTTTAAAGCCCTTTGTTAACCAAAGATTTTCTAACGAGAAAGAGAGAGAGAGAGAGAGAAAATGGCAATGCCACTCAAATCAACACCTTCTATGTCTTCTTCTCAATGTTCATCTTCACCGAACTCAAGCTCCGTGAAACTCAAATCCCTAATCCAAACTCTCATCCTTTCTCATGTTTGTCGACTAATCCGAGAGATCTCTAGAGCTTCATCTATTCTTGTTAGAGTCTTGAAGAAGAAGCAATCTAATCTCTTGTCAGTGTCTTCTTTACTCTATCCAAAAAGAGCCTCAACAAAGAAACAAAAGGGCAATATTTTGTTCGGTTCCTTCAGACTTCACTACAACTTTTGCTCCTCTCACGTAGTGCCCGTCTCTGCGCCAGTACGTCTCCCTGAGGAGCTCTACTTAGCTCATCTCCAATACGACTCTACTTGGGAGTCATCATTGTACTCGACTGAATCAATGGATGTTCCCGATGATTATGATGATGATGATGATGATGATGATGATGTACAAGAACCCTCTCAGCTTACTAGCTATCTAAGACAGCTAGAGGATAAAGTTAAAGAAGACAAAGAAGAAGGGAAAGAGATGATGGTGATGAATGAGATAGATAAATTAGCTGATATGTTTATAGCAAATTGTCATGAGAAGTTCATGTTGGAGAAGGTTGATTCGTATAGGAGATCACACGAAATGCTGAAGAGAAGCAGTTGATAATGATGATGGGGGCCTTCGTATGATCGTATCTTTCATTCCTTTTTAATGTAATTTTCACTTTTCCTTTTTCTTTTCTCTAATGAATTTTCTAAAAAAATGTGTATCTGAAGCATAGAGGATGGATTGAGTGGTGTTTGTGTTGTGTTACAATTTGATGATATGATTGGTGGTCGTTTATAACTATAATTAATAGACAGTCCAAAAAGGAAAAGAGAGGATGAGAATGGAATGGATTTTTGTAACTTTGGCTTTTGTGGTTTGAGTTCTCTTGTTATTATCTATCTTCTGATATTGTTGTTTTGTTTGGGACCAATTTTTTTCTTTCTAAGGAGATATTTTTGGCCATACATAAGAATATATGCAAGTCTAATAATTTTTATAATGATGGATTTGCACCAAATTCTTTGCCAACTTAAGGTTTATATGATCTCTGATCCAAAGAAAGTGTAGACATATTAGATAGGGTAAATTTGGAAAAATACTCTCTTTTTCATTTATTTTGAAAATTATTTTTAATAGATAAAAATTACTAAAAAGACTCACTGAAATTTATAAATTAATATGATGTCTGGAAAGTTTTGATAAAACTAACTATTTTCAAGATAATTATTATCTTAAATATATTTTTTCAAAACAATATTGATTAATTTATTAATTTATGATTTTGTAATATGTTACAAAAAACAAAAGAATAATCTATGATAGATTCAGCTATATACAGATTGGGCCTAACAGGACAATACTATAATACAAATAGGCCCAAAACGAAATGAAACAAAACGCGTCGTCTTGTCTTTAGAGCATCCAAGTTCTCCGACCAAACTAAGGTTTCTCTCTCCTCCAACTTGGGAACTTTCCCGGTCGTCCATCTTCTCTCTCTCTCTATCGCACGCTGTGCCCAAACCAGCTAAAACACTACACTTGCGCTCTCCAAAGATCAATCTCTGTCGCTGCAATAGCAAAAAAAATAAAAAGAAGGTTGTTTCTTTTGGTCCAATTCATTCAATTTCTCATTAATAGAGAATTCCCAACGAATTCCCAACGAATTTATCCGTTCATCAGTCGCACGCACGCCGGATCTCGTCGACCCTTTGTTGCTTCTCCGTCGGGATTCAATCTTCTTCGATTACTCAGGCTTTCTGTGTAAAGACTACGTTTTTAAGGAACGATTCTGAATACGGAGGTATGTTAATCTCCTTCTCTTCGTATCTGGTTTGAGCGATTTAATACTATTTGCTTTTGTTCATTGAGAGATCTAACAGTTCTAGGGTTCAATTCAACACTGAATTTATATGGTTTTTAACAAATTCTTCTCTTTGTTAGGGTTTAAGGGTTTCATCTGTTTTGCACTAATTTATCTGAATTTAGTTGTTTGTTGAGCTACTGATGACATAAAGTGTCTTGTACATTTCAGAAGAAGGTTTTAGAAAAGGGGTAGTTACTTTTGGATGTAAAGTGTATGGTAGGTCTACACATTGATATGGAAGCGCAGATTCATACACTTGAGCAGGAAGCTTATTATGCTGTATTAAGGGCGCTTAAAGCTCAGGCTGATACCCTTTCTTGGGTAAGTCCTCTTTCTTCCTTTTCCCTTCAAAAGGTTATTATTAACTCTTCTACTGTCATATGTCATGAACAAAAGATTTGGCTTGTATGATCACATTTTTTTTTATAGGATAAAGCAAGCATGATGACCAATCTGCGTAAAGAATTGAGGGTATCTGATGATGAAAACCGAGAGATGTTGAACAATCTCAATAATGACGATATTATCAAAAGAATAGAGTAAGAAGTTTGATCATTTTGCTACAATTAAGCTAATGTTACATGAGATTCCTCTGTATCTTGTAATAATATGATGTATGACAGTGATTGGAGAAAGGGGAATAAACAGTCCCTCGCTGTTCTTCCTAGTCCGACTTTTTCAGCTTCTCGGAAGAAACAGAAGACTTTCCAATCCGTAAGACTTCTTGCTTTTATCTTTCCTCATAGAAGAAGTCAGAGGATTATCTGTATTTGTATATGATTAAGTGTTATTTACTGATCATATCATTTGTAATACACGATGCAGTATCCGTCTATTGGTTCTACTAGAAATAGGTCATTCAATAACCGTCCAGTAACAGCAAATGAGCCTGCTGAAGCTCTTATTGGAAGAAAAGTGTGGACAAAATGGCCTGAAGACAACAGCTTTTATGAAGCAGTAGTTACACAATACAATGCTGATGAGGTAACTATTTTATGGCTGAGACCTTCTTATTTAGATTGAATCAGAAATTAAGAATACATTTAGTCATATGTGCAACAGTATATCTGTATGTGTTTCGAGGTGTCTCATGTACTTCAAACAAAAAAATCCTCCATTTTCCAAACTTATTGATAACTACGTGTTTCCCTTGTTCATAACTTTTATATCTGACACCAAGGCCTTTAAGCATGATCAGCATGTACCAGTTTAGATCAGAGTTAGTCTAGTGCAAGAACATTGCAATTACCCTAGGTGCTTTGTAGTTGATGGTTTGACAGCTCACTAATTATGGTTGAGTAGCGTAGCTGGAGAGCTAATAGGTTAAAGGGAATATAGGTTAGATAAGCTGGAGCTCTGTATTGGTCTAGGACCATGGTTTAGTCATTGGTCGAAAGACTTTTCTACTTAATCAAGTCTATCCATAGTGTCGTTCGTGATGAATTGAAGAAAGTTGTTTACTAATTTGAATCCTATCAGGGCTTACGTGAGAGGTTGAAAAGTATACTATGAATTTGAAATATCTAGAAGTTTGGAACGGTATTTAACATTGAACATAGCTTACGTATATAACTGATGTACTCATTGTTTACAGGGTCGACATGCGTTGGTATATGATATAAACACCGTGAATGAGACATGGGAATGGGTTGATCTTAAGGAGGTAATTTTCACGAGTTTTTGATATTATTAGGTATTAATATTTTTTCCTTGAAAATGCTGCCAATAATTTTTTTTGGGTAAAGATACATATGATTTTGGAGGTAGCATTAATTAGTTAAGTTACATGGGAAACATTTTCTTTAGTGTACCACCTAGTATGATACCATTTACTGCAGAATCTGAAGTAAGTTAGTTTATATAATTGCAGATTCCACTGGAAGATATAAGATGGGATGGAGAGGAGAACGGGGCAACTCTAAATGTACGGCATGGCAGTGGAACCACCCGTGGGAATCGAGGAAACTTAAGTCATGGTGGTAGAGGGAGAGGTCCAAGAACTCAGCCAAGAAGAGAACATTTGGCATTGGAAAACGGTGGTGGAAGGAAATTTTTTGATGAGATTGAATTGTTCAACACAGACTCACTTGTGAAAGAGGTAGGTATCTCTATCTCAGCATTCTGTATCTCTTTAGGCAAAAAGGTTTTTGATGTCAAATCTTTCCTTATAGGTCGAGAGAGTTTTTGATTCTAACCTTCCTGATCCACATGAGCTTGATAAGGCCAAGAAACTACTCAAGGTGAGAGATATGATAAATACTTTGTGATGAGATATGGATTGAATGAAACAGTTAAGTGAAACTTGGTGCTGTTATTGGATGATACAGGAACATGAACAGGCGCTTATTGCTGCCATTGCAAGGCTTGCGGATGCTTCTGATTACGAAAGCGGTAATATATATATGAAAAGAAGAGGCCTTTGTTTATTCTATGTTTTATAATGCCTTTGCATATCATTTTTTAGCCTGAAAATTATTATTCTACACATCCAAATCACAATGTTGTCAGAACGGTCATGTACTAAGAATCACTAACAACAACATAACATTTCAAGCCTGTAGATAGTGACTCATTATCTGGATCATTACAACTTACGTTTATTTTTATTTTTTAACATTGGATTTGTTTGTTGGTAATGAATCAGATGGAGAAGAACCGTACTCGCATGAGCTTCCAATGCTGGGATGACAGTGGATGAAGAAAGAGATTCAGCATCAACCCTAGGAAAAAATGACCAGCGAAATTTATCTTTTCTTCTTATGCGTTGATTTTGTTCATCTGATCCACTTGATGAACATTAGTATTCTTCTAAGTTGTGTTTTCGGTATGTATGAAACTAATCTTTAGGAATTTTGTATGTAAAGACACTATTCTTTTTGAAAATTTCTGAACTTGTGACCATCGTTAGGCTTTCCCTTTCCCCATCAAGATCGTTAATAATATTGCTCGAATGTCATAATCCCTATTCTTGTCTAAAAGTCTAAGAGAATTGAACCAAGCATGTCTCCATATAATGGTTAAGAACGTATGATGGGCTGATTTTCTCATCGAAAACTAGTTAACAAGAAAATTATTGTTAAAAATTATTTCAATTACTTTTCAAAATATCTTAATGTTCAATATTTAAGTAGTTTTAGACACTCAAAACTATCTATAAAGGAACGAACCGTTATTCCAACTATTTGTTTTTAATATATTAATAAGATTTGTTTAACGAACAAAATTTAATTCTTCGTGGTTAACAACTTAAATTAATGTGACTATGATAAAAGTTCAAAATGCGCCAAACTTAAACGATATACATATTATACATCCCCATCAAAATATCAAATACAACTCTATTATTATTAAATCTTTGATGTAATCTATATTTTGTTTATTACTTGCAAAAGCAATATAATTCCAGGCTCATCAAATAACTCTACTATTATTAAATCTTTGATGTATTCTATAAATTTAATGTATATAATTTACAATTATGGAATATAGTCCTGGTATTATGGTGTTTCCTGGAATATAATTTCCTTAAAAATTATTAACAAATTGAAGCAAACCTCTCTATCGTTTATATCATAGAGCTGTGGCGATGATGATGATGATATACCCAATAGAACTTTTATTGGATAAGAAACGAAGAGCTCAGATTACGAAAATTTGAGATCCCATCTTATCTTCTCTCATCAATCTCCGATTTCGAATTTTGCATTCTCCGATTCTATCAATCTCAAGTGTTCGGATCTCGACATGGATGCTCGAAAGAGAGGACGCCCTGAAGCTGCTGCTCCCTCGCACAACTCCAATGGCGGAGGATTCAAGAGGTCTAAGCAAGGTTAGCTCTTTCGCTCCTTCCTTCCTTCCGTATCCAATTGGGGTTTCGAATTCGAGATCTTTAGGACAAGAGAAAATGGTTTCGTAAATAAAGGTTGCTCCTTTCTCATTTGGGCATATTCTTGTGTCGTGTTTGCTTCATTTGTTCATTAAGTAGAGTGATTACTTGCAAACCCTTACTCTGCTTTAGTCTGTAGCTACCTTGTATTGAGAATTGGTTCTAGTGTTGGAGCCAATGAGTTGTGATGGAAAGTTTGTTTCTTGTTCCTCCTTTGTGTTCTGCTATTTGCTAAGCATTCTCATATACATTAGATTCATCAGTTCATTCGAATATAAGCCATTAGCCTTTGTGGCCACTCAACATACTTGATTGATATACTGATCTATGTCAACTCAAGGCGTTGAGTCTGAAATGCATAGAAGGCAGATGGTACAATGGAGCTAATTCCAAAATGATATCGATTGAAAATTTTAGAAAAGTTTAACCAAGTAAAAGCACTTAATGTTTGCAACAGAGATGGAATCAAATTCAACTGGTTTAGGAAGCAAATCCAAGCCATGCACTAAATTTTTCAGGTTATAAATCTATTATTTTTTCCCCTAATTGGATCCTGAAATTAAGAAGTAATATTGTATAAATTTGTGCTAATGAAGTGGATAGTTGTTATACAGGTACGTAGCACTGTTCATCCTTAAACGAGTTAAACACTCAATGTAACAAAATGTGACCCCTCCTAGAAATGGATAAGCTTATACGGAGAATATATTTGGAACTGAATTCTACTGGTGAATCTAATATATGAAATCAACCAAAACTTGTCTGTGTGTTTAGTCTTCTTTTGTTTGATGGTAAGGAATCTGTAATTTTTTATACGCAGCATAAAACATTTATTCTCGGGTAAGGTTCTTCTTGCATTATCCTTGTGTTGTGCTATACTTGAGTCTTTCGGCTCCAGAGCAACATGTTAGTTCATTGGTGATAGAGTTGTAATAGAATCTGTTTATTATTCTGAATATTTCTTTCATCATTTTTGCACTAAAGGTTAGTGCGTTGTCTGAGAAGGTAGCGATAGTGGCATCGTGCAGTAGCCTATAGATATGTCATTGTTTTCTTTCACGGGTCAACTTGCTGATGCATTATGCTTTCTATCTCAGCCCTTCTGGATGTCCGTTTGGTGACAACTGCCACTTCTTGCACTATGTACCTGGTGGGTACAATGCTGCAGCTCAGATGACAAATCTACGACCACCAGTTGCTCAAGTTTCCAGAAATATGCAAGCATCTGGTGGTGTGGGAGGTAGATTCTCAGGGAGAGGAGATTCAGGATTAGGCCCTGTTTCAATGTTTGGTGCTTCTGCTACTGCCAAGATTAGTGTAGATGCTTCTTTAGCTGGTGCCATCATTGGAAAAGGTGGAATTCATTCCAAACAGATATGCCGTCAAACAGGAGCAAAATTATCGATTAAAGATCACGAAAGAGACCCAAACTTGAAGATTATTGAGCTAGAGGGAACATTTGAACAGATCGATGTAGCGAGTGGGATGGTGAGAGAGCTTATTGGAAGGCTTGGATCAGCCAAGAAACCTCGTGGGATTGGTGGTTCTGAAGGGAAACCACATCCTGGGAGCAACTACAGGACCAAGATCTGTGACAGGTTCTCTAAAGGGAACTGTACATATGGAGATAGATGCCATTTTGCGCATGGTGAAGCTGAGCTGCGCAAGTCGTGAATCACTTAGTTATGTCTTTAGAATCTTGAGAACAGGTTATGCATTTGTGTTTCTGTTTTTGGTTAAGGCATTGTTACCTTCCATTATCTTTGTGACCTTTTCTCTATTCTTTGTTTATTTTACCGATTTGTTTTATGCGACTGGGTTTGAAAACTTTTGACCAATTGTTAGGCCTCTGAAGATTTGCTTTTTAATTATCATCACAGTAAAAACTTAAAAAGACTTGAGAGATTTGCATTGAGACTTTGTTTTGTACTTAAGTACTACAGCCAGTCACCATCGATCACCCAAAACCGGGGACGAAGTCGTGACCGGTTTAATCACTCCGACATCAGGAGATGCTTTGTTAGGCGTAAAGTTCGTTTACACATGTGGCGAAGTCTAAAGCCTAACACGCGTCGTTCTATCTTCTCTACGACTCTTAAGGCTTCGAACACGTGTCAGACCATTAACTGAAACACAAAGCCTACTACCTCTTGTTTCATGCCACGTTTCACTGACGTGTAATCAAACGTAATTTAATACTAAAAATAATCGCAGTTTCGAATATAATATCTTGTACTTGTAGAACGCGAGGCCTATAACTATGGGACACGCTCGGTGAGCAAAGCATTAAACAAAAATAATCAGAAGACATCTTTGTAGCATCTTAAGATCTCATCAAGGAAAAGCGAGAGTTTCGGGAAAAATGCAGTCGATGAAAGAAACAGCTTCGAATATTGCAGCCTCTGCGAAGTCTGGCATGGACAAGACCAAAGCTACCTTGGAGGAAAAGGTAATATAATATATTTTATCATCAAACAAAAGGATTTTTCTTGTTGTGATTTTTTAAATAAAAATTGTGTTTCGTTGGGGTTGTTTTTTTAAAAAAAGGCTGAGAAGATGAAGACACGAGACCCTGTTCAGAAACAGATGGCTACTCAAGTTAAAGAAGATAAGATTAATCTAGCTGAGATGCAGAAGAGAGAAACGTATGAACACAACGCTGCCATGAAAGGAGCGGCTGGAGCCGGAACCGGAACTGGAACCGGTTTGGGTTTGGGATCGGCCACCCACTCGACAACTGGACAAGTCGGACACGGCACTGGGACACACCAAATGTCGGCTTTGCCTGGTCATGGAACAGGACAACTGACCGACCGCGTTGTGGAGGGAACCGCTGTGACAGACCCGATCGGAAGAAACACTGGAACTGGTCGGACGACCGCACATAACACCCATGTTGGTGGTGGTGGTACTACTGGCTATGGAACCGGAACCGGCGGGGGATATAGTGGATAAAAGAGTGTTCTGTTTTGATTAATTCGAGGTTTCGTGTCTTTGTGTGTTCATGTTGTGTTTTCGGTCCCTGTCTTTTCTTTTCTTTTGTTCTTATGAATAATTGTAGGACTTCGATCTCATCTAGTTTTTTGTTGTTTGATGACAGTCCTACACTCCTACTTTCTGAGTTGTTATGTTCATGCAATATTGTTACAATGAGTGAAAATTATCATTAGCAATTATATGCTCATGTCAAGCAACTAATGGTTTGACGAATTATGAGAACGTCATTCAAAGCAGACTCGTGATATGTAACAATGCTAACTTTTTTTTTTTTTTTTTGCTAAATATGTTAATATCATTAGAAAATGAAGTTTGGTAATACAAGGCACTACCACAGAAAAGTAATCTTGGCAAAAAAAAAGAAAAACAAGATTACAATATAATTTGGAATAGATTTGGGAAATCTATTGGATCCATAGAATCATGAGATGGCTCCAGCGCCGTCTATGTCTACGAGCTGTGATCGTATTGCGAACTTCATGGTCAATGTTTCTAAAAACCGTTGCAGGTGGGATGCACTGAGAGTTGTGAAGCATGTTGTTCCGTTGCTTTCAGATATGGTAAATTGAAGCCTGAACGACGACCTTTCTGAGAAAAGAGGGATTGTTTGTTGTGGTTGATCGCATCCAGGAGAGAAGCTCGGACCAGGATGTGAAGATGATCATAGAATGGCTCAACCTGGCTAAAACAAGAGATAAGAAGGTGATCTCTAGACTCCACCTGCAGAGAGCATAAGCAGCAGGAAGAAGAGGCACAGACTCCCCAAGCTGCCAGCCTTTGTCTTGTTGGAAGCCTATTAAGATGAGATATCCACATGTTGAAAGCGTTTTTGGGCACAGCGCCTTTAAACCAAACCAGCTTATACCAATCTTGCTCGGGTTTTCTAGGCCTGAGAATTTCCCACGTTCGAGAAGATGAAAACGTGGGGGAAGCGGTTCTATTAACATTCCAAAGATAAGAATCTGGCTGAGAGGCACTCAATGGAAGAGGAATAGTGGAGAGATAGGCATGAAGGGATAAGGCCTCCTCAGATCTTGGTTGAAGAGCTAACTTTATTTTTGAAGAGTAACCTTCACATAACGCGCGTTTGAATTGTCCACTAATCAAATTTAGTTTTATACCCAACGAGTTCTTTATACGTTACCACTTGTTACCATGCATGAATCATGGATTCTTGATTTTGATTTTTTCTTTCTTTTTCTTTCACGGAAGGAAATTCAAGAAAGAACAAAATTAAAGTACATAAAAGATACTAAAAGGAAAAGGAAAATAAGAAAAATGGAAAATGCTATGCTTGTAATTAGTATTTTACTATATGTGTGTCCGAATTTAAGGGGTTTATTATTGGTTTATAGAGTTTAATGGATTTTAAAAAAAAATTTAAAATTATATGTTATTTAATTATTAATTTTAAAATAATTATCAAAATTATTCTATTGATTATATAAATTGAAATTTTATATTATTCGGTGATTTGTTTTTAGATTTTACAATTTGTAGTGACCGGATTTGTGTGTTAGAATCGAAGTCTATAAATAAGATGCTTTTGTTCACAAGTGGCAAAGTCCAAATCATAACACGCGTCTACGTTATATACAATCTTTTGGTTCTTATAAAATTCTTGTCGGTCGATGTGCCCAAAGCCCAATTAATAAAGGCCCATTGGAAAATAGCAACATAGGAGTTTCGTTTTCTTATGGTGTCGATTTCATAGCTTATATATACATCTCGAAGCCGTTCGTTCACTTCACTCCGCTTCCTGATAGTTATGATCAAACATTCTTGTTGATGGTTTTTTAAACCTTCTTCGTCAAGTGCTTGGAAAGGAGGAGAATGAACAATGAGTGGAGATGTCTATGAGTGATTTCCATGCTTTTGAGTATTTTGTTAACATGGAGTACAACGACTGGGATCAACCTCCAATGGGATCGCATGATATCATCGAACCTGATAGTTATGATCCACCAAGAATCACGACTTTGAAGTTAAGACCTCAAACTCTTGATGCAGAACCTATCAGTTTCCCATTACTTCCTCTTGATCAAGGGATCACGCGCAAGGAGCTTGATGTTATTAATCTCACAGCCCAGTTTGTATCTATTTATGGGATGTGTTTTGGGCAGGATTTGATGAAGAGTGTGTCTATGAAACCTGAGCTTGAGCCTCTGTTTCGGTTTATGCTATCAGTTCTGATAGCAGACACGATTTTTACTCTCAGCTTACTATTGGGTATACGAGAGTGTTACTCTGTTCCCAAAAAATGAGGGAGAAGGGCGCTAGTACTGAGACCATTCTTGAAGGCTTTTTCAATCTTCTTGGTAAAGTGCTCGAAAGGGACAAGGAAGAGGGACTGGAGATGGCTATAGTTGATTTGTATGCTTTTGAGTACTTTGTTGAAGTGGAGTACACCGACTGGCGACCACGGATTCCTGGATACCTTTCAATTTTGAAGAACCCACCACCAAATATGCAGCCAAAGAGACAAAAGTTAGCACTTGTTCCAGAAGACCAGTTTTTTGCTCAACATCCGGTAATGTGTTTTCTTCCTACTAACTCTTTTTCTTTTATAAGACTTGTTGTATCTAACTATCAATCATACATTTTCAGGGATCCTCTACGATCAAGGTTTCTGTTCCAGACGTCGATGATGGGCAAGTCATTGGGATCACAGTTCAGTCGCTGTCAGAAAACGTGGCGAGTTTGAAGGAGAAAATAGCAAAGAAGCTGGAGTTACGTGGAAAAGCCGGGGTTCTAGAGGGCAACAAGTCACTTGCACATTACAATGTTGGAGCAGGAGACATCCTAACGCTGTCTTTGTAATGCTAACGTGGCTTGTGCTGGATGCTGGGTATCTCTTTAAATATCTCTCTCAACTCTTGTATATTACAAACTTTTGAAGAGAAACACCTCTCTTTTATCTACAAGTAGAAATCTTTTCGATGAGGATATCTTTACAAATCTCATAAAAACAATATGGTGACTCACGAGTAGGTATGAACACAACACACACTGTTTTACAATTTTTCACTCTGTTTCTTCTTCTTTTACTTGTTGCTCTATTTGTTTTGCAAGGAGAAGAGACGCGTTTATAGACTTTTATTTCTTAAACAAATCAACAAAAACAAAAATATGATGTAAAATATCCTTGGGTAATGCATACAAAATTACGTCATCAATATAACTTTAATTTACACAAATCATATATTTCACACATTGCTTCAACCACTCTCTCACTCTCTCTCTCTCTCTCTACAAGACCAACCAAAGTCTTTTCCTTTTTCTCCAAATTTTGTTTCTTTCTTTCTCAAGTTTTTAATATAAAATAGTTTCGATTCATAAATAAAGAAACAAAGTTTGCTTTTTTATCAATCTTGCGATTCGTTAACTCGTTTTCTCTCATCACCTGTTTCAAGCTTTCGATCCAAAAAATATATTCTGATATCCCCACCAACATATCACGAGATTCCTCTTTCCGGTGGTCTCCGGCGACCTAAAAAGAGCTTATTCTCGTGGTGGAGAGCAAATGAGGGATGTTCTCCTGGTTTGCGAGAATGGCTCTTTTTTGTTTGCGACCTATGCGCCGCTACGGCCGTATGAACAGAGACCTCGACGATGATGATAACGATGATCACGACGGCATCGACGGTGACTCTTCCTCCGGTGACTCGCTTCTTTGGTCTAGAGAACTCGAGAGACATTCTTTCGGAGATTTCTCCATGGCTGTCGTTCAAGCTAACGAGGTTATTGAAGATCACTGTCAAGTCGAGACTGGAAACGGTGCCGTTTTCGTCGGAGTCTACGATGGTCATGGTGGTCCTGAAGCTTCTAGATACATCTCTGATCATCTCTTTTCTCACTTGATGAGTTAGTTCTTTTAAATCTCTCCTTTCATTGATTTTTTTTTCCCCTCTGAATCCTCTTTCTTGAAATAGTCAAGCAAAGTCCACTTTTGAAGTGTTTCAAGATTTGGTTATGATGATCGGAAAATTTTGGTAGAAAGTTGAAATTTTTATGCATCTGATGAACAGTGAAGTGAATCTTGACTTTTTAATCCAATTTCTGATATTTTGGTGAGCTACCTACCTTTTATATGAAGATTACAAAACTCTTCTTTTTGGCAGATTGTTCTTTGTCTTGGTCTCTCTCTCTTTGTTCGTTTCTGGATTTTGTAGCTTTGTGTTGTTGCTTTTTGCCTGTAGTTATTTGGATAAGATTGGTTTCATTAGCTGCTTCTAACATTAAAGTTTTGACCTTTTAGGAGCTTCGAGAGAAAATAATTCCATTTCAGAGGAGACTCTGAGGTCTGCATTTTCTGCTACTGAGGAAGGGTTTCTCACGCTTGTGCGAAGGACTTGCGGGTTAAAACCGTTGATTGCAGCCGTTGGATCTTGCTGTTTGGTTGGAGTTATTTGGAAAGGGACCTTGCTTATAGCTAATGTTGGTGATTCTCGTGCTGTGCTTGGTTCCATGGGGGGTAGTAATAGGTCAAACAAAATTGTAGCGGAGCAATTGACTAGGGATCACAATGCGGCTTTGGAAGAAGTTAGACAAGAGCTTAGGTCAATGCATCCAGATGATTCACATATCGTTCTCCTTAAACATGGTGTGTGGCGCATCAAAGGCATCATTCAGGTTTGCAAAGCTTTTGTTTTCTTATTCTTTTACACTCAAATCACATATCAAAAACCTGTGACACTGATACGAACAAGCTACAAAACTGCTATTAGTGTTCCAATTGACCAAACCAGAGAGACTTGATTAATGAGTAGCTTTTTTACATCTTCAAGTAGACCCTCTGTATAATCTTGGCTTATCAAACTATAAGTCAATAATATTGTGTTTCATTTGTGCAGGTATCTAGATCAATAGGGGATGCTTACTTAAAGCGCCCAGAGTTCTCTCTTGACCCTTCATTTCCGCGGTTCCACCTCGCTGAAAGGCTACAAAGACCGGTCTTATCACCAGAGCCTTCTGTCTACACGAGAGTCTTACAAACAAGCGACAAATTTGTGATATTTGCATCAGATGGACTCTGGGAACATATGACCAACCAGCAAGCTGTAGAGATAGTGAATAAACACCCTCGTCCTGTACGTGCCACCGCCTAAGATTCATAATGATTAATTCCTAGTCTTTTATTGCTTTCACTGATATTATGCATGAATGAAACAAACACAGGGAATAGCTCGAAGGCTGGTGAGAAGAGCAATGAACATAGCTGCGAAGAAGAGAGAGATGAGTTACGATGATTTGAAAAAAGTGGAGAGAGGAGTGAGGAGATTCTTTCATGACGATATAACGGTGGTTGTGATATTCATAGACAATGAGCTTCTTATGGTGGAGAAAGCTACTGTTCCTGAATTGTCCATTAAAGGCTTTTCTCATACCGTTGGACCTTCCAAGTTCAGTATCTTCTTCTCTTAGAATTTTTACATTTCTTGATTTTACTCCCACAGATGTGCTAAAAAAAACGAATACGGATCGATTTTGTACCAACACCTTGATTTTAGATACAAAATTGTAGGTATAATAATCTTTCATTTGTAATGCTAATAATCGATATATCCTTATGATTACATTGAAATGGTTTTGTTAAATTATGATTACACACATCTCTGGATTATAAAAATAGTGTGGAGATACAAAAACATAATAGGAATAAAGAAAGATTCAAAAATTAAAAAAAGTACACTTCTATGATCGGACAATCAAATTCTATGTCCACAAAAAAAACAGAAGTAATATATAACAAACCCAATTTTCAAATTCTTGAAGAACAAACGAATAAAGATTATTGTCATCGGCCAGTAAGCTCGGTAAGTGAATTGATCTGACTCCCGGTGAGAGAGTAGTCAATGTCACTGAAAGATGGAGGCATCGCTGGCCACATGAAAGCCGGTCTCTCTGTAGGCACGTCGGGTGGGCTAGTCTCACCCGTCAAGACCTTCAGCACCGTTTTCATGGACGGCCTTTGGTTCGGATTCGGGTGGCAACAAGCAAGTCCTAAGAGCAAAACGCTTTTCATTGATTCTTCATCGAACAAACTTTCCATCCCTGGATCCGCAGCATCCATGATGGTTCCATTTCTGTATAGCTCCCATAGCCAATTCACAATGCTATTGTTGTAGTTGCTCTGGTTCTCCTTGACCAAGACATAGCTCGGTTTCTTCCCCGAAACTACTTCGAGCATTAGGACTCCAAATGCATACACATCTGTTTCAACTGTGGCTCTTCCGTTGAGAAAAGTCTCAGGAGCCATGTATCCCGGTGTTCCAGCAATCTCCTTTGTCGAATGATGAGTCATTTCGCTTTGCTGAATCATCCTCGCAAGCCCGAAATCACCTAGCTTCGCGTTGAAATCCGAGTCCAGCATTACGTTGCTCGCCTTTATGTCCCGGTGAAGTATCCTCTTCTCGCATCCATTGTGAAGATACTCCAACGCTTGAGATAGTCCTGTTATAATGTTCTTCCTTGTCTCCCATGTTAGGTTTGACCTTGACCTGTCTTCCAAGAAAAGGTATCTGTCCAAGCTTCCGTTAGGCATATACTCATAAACCAGAAGATACTCCTTTCTCTCGTAGCACCATCCCAGTAACTTCACCAGGTTCCTATGGTTCAGATTACCTATAGTTGTGATCTCGGATATGAACTCTTGCTTTCCTTGATGCGATTTCTCGGAAACTCGTTTCACAGCTATGTCTCTCCCCTGCCATTTCCCCTTAAAGACCATCCCAAACCCGCCTTGCCCAAGTTTGTTCTCCACGCCAAAGTTTCCTGTTGCTTTCTTCAGCTCCCTCAGCTTGAACTTCTGCGGGTTTGCAGCGCAATTATCTAGCTCGGCTTCTATATCCGGATGTGTTTCCCCTGCCTTTGACCTAGATCTCAAGTACAATGCCCCTAAGAGAGCTCCTACTACAACAACACACACACTAGGGATAGTGATCCAGAGCCATAACAACTTTTGATCTCCATCGATCTCCAAAGCTTCAAATTTCCATGATTTCACACAGTTCAGCTGCGTCAAATTGCTTGTTGAAGCCGTAAATCCAACATAAACCTTCTCTGGAAGATAGGCTGAGAGATCTATAGCTCTAGAAAACACTAAGTTCCTCTGTTGATAAACCTCCAAGTTTCTTGAGACATAAACAGATAGATTCTTACCATCATACCTCACATGCGCGATTAAGTCGTCTTTGGAACTGATCATAATCCCTCGACTGCTCAAAGATTCTTGAACAACCGAATCGATGCTGTTCACATTAAGACCTACATGGTTTCCATCAAGATCACCAGGATGACTCATCCTTGTGTCGAACTCAACAGAAACAATCCTCGACTCTCGAGTCATGTTCGTCCTTTCGTTGACTAGACCGAGCCACATACCTGAGCTGTTCTGAGGAACGGTCTTCTCGGATGTGAGAACGAAGGCTAAGCCTTCACCTCCTGGATCGGTTTGGTTCGAGATGTTAAGAACGAAAGTGGTGTTGAAAGTAGCATTCTTCTTGTCTTTGCTCCATAGCCTGAATGGATCTTTGTAGAGCGCTCGGCCCGCTAGGTTAGCTATAGAGCCACCACGAACATCAGGAGTCACTTGGATAGCTCCAAGGGCAATGTATGAGTTTTCTCGGATCAAGTCCCGATCATTGCTCTCATTAAACTTACGAAAATCGAACTCTAAGCAGTTCACTTGTGTCTCGATCGTACAAGCTATTGTTAGAATCAAGAACAGAAGAGAAAATCTCATAATGGTTTTTTTCTTTTTTCTTGTGTGTGTGTGTTTGGTTGGTGGTTCTGCAGCTTCAGAGGTTCAATAAATTAATACTTATATGGTTTTTTCTCTCGTTTTGTTTTGTAATGGGTTTAGAATACATTAAAAATGCCTAATCAAAGTTTTTTACTAGAAATTTCGTATCATAATACGACTGTTTCTATATTGGAAATTTGATTTTACTTGTCAACAAAAAGAATGGTATTTTTAGCTTCTTGACTTTTCAACAACAAACGAGTTTGACCAGTAGATATATATATTTACGGACTATCGGATAAGACAGACTAACTTATATAATTTGTCAAAATAAGCCGTCTGAGTTTCAGTGCCCACCCAGCAGTTGCAAGCTACCAAACAAACAAGTGAGATAGACTTTACCCATTCGGTGACTTTCGCGTTTGAGGTCATCACTGATCACTCTTGAAGACTTTTTAAACAATTCATAAATTTTATAATACAAATTCATAAATTTGACAATTCATAAATTTTGATAAATTCTCAAGGGTGATTGGTTGTTTTAGAAGATACATTCTTTAGTTAATTAAAATGGTTGTACCACTACTTTTATACAATCTTAACGTACAGTTTGGGTGTTTCTTACCATCACTTGATAACGAACCCGACCAAATCCAAAATGAATAAAAAAAACTTTTAGTCAATTTTGAGCAGCTACTAATGTTCACTTTATATTATATACTATGCATAAATCTGACTTTGTGATGAGGTCTTACTTTTAGTTGCTCAAGCTAACATGTGAAAAGCCATAAACATATGTATAAAAGCTACAAAAATTGATAGACTTCTTGATGATACTCGCTTGAGAGGCTCTCTCGGCAACCAAAGTGATTGTAGTGAATTTCTAAAATAATAGCCACGAGATGAATTTTCTTGTGTAAAAATGGTTAGTTTCATTTTTTTTCAATTCGACATACCACTAATATAAGATAAGGTAAGATATTTAGATAAAATCTTAGTAACTTTTACAAGTTCTTAATTAAAAGCATGTTTGACACGGTGAGACAAGGATGACGTACGAAAGCTATTTTGTTTCAGCGACATAACTATTAATTCATAAACGAAATAAAAAAATATGTAAAAATAAATCATTTTTGCAATTTTTCTAACAATGATATGCTTGAATAATAGTTATTGACTATTAATTACATATGGAAGTATGGGTAAACTCTTAACGAAGAAGTAATGATGATATTAAGAATGGTTTCGATGGTCCAAAAGCATAATGAATAATTGGATTTAAACGCACATGGGAGTTGGTGATGGCACTCTGAAGTGCAAACCAAATAGAATGAGCTGAAAAGATTTCGAATATTTAGATTCGATCGGCTAAAGCAGTGTAGACGCTTGACTAAAGATAGAAAAGAAATTATAATTTGAGTGCTTTTAAAACCCCTATTTTCACAAACTTAATTAAAAGTTCATTTGCAAAATGATAAGAAAAATCCATACTATTGATGACACGAATTGAAGTTAACTTAAGAGTGTAAATCAACTTTATAATCTTTTGTTTATAACAACAATCACTTCATCCACTGCGACAACGATTTCACACAATATTTATGGTCTAGAATCATCATCATCCACAAAATCATAGCGTAAAATTAAATTATGTTCATTATTATAACACAATTCCACCTATCACCAACCATAGCCAAACCTTCTATTAATACAAGACTTACCAAAATGATAATTTGTTAGTCAGGCTTGATTCTAGCGAGCTACACATCAAATGGCTAGGAGTTCGAAGAAGCCAAAGTCGACGAATGACAAGTTAGAATATACCAAGTCCCTTCCTTCTACTATCGTAAAGTATAAGATTTCGAATTTAATAGCCAGCTAAATTAAGAGACATATATAAATCATTTTAATGTGAATCTGCAATTTCCACTCAATAATACAGTTGTAAAGTCCTCTTAACAACTAACAACTCTTTCACATATTCTTGATTTTTCTTGGAACGTGACTAAGAAACGAATCTTGTAGGTTCAACTCTTCTAGCGTTAAAGACTAATTAAACAAACTCGCACTACATAAAATCTAGAAGCTCCATCTTTTCTCATCTTTTGACTTGGTAATCAAACACGCACCTTGACTTCTTTTTTACTTAATTAGGTTAAAATATGTCACATTCATTCATGATCAGTCAAGATTTAATCAGCTTTTTATCCTCTATATAATGATTTATTACCTAATTAGGTTAATCATAATAAGTTTTTGAATCAGTCAGTTAGCCAAAAAAAACTAATCGAAACCTTGCCATTATTTGCAAAAACCGGTTAATGGATGTAACAAGATCTTCCTCTACTTGTGATGGTTTCTTCATCATCAGCCTTCTTGTTATCGTTTCTTTATTGTTTGGGACTTCATCTGCGCAGTTAAACGCAACGTTTTACTCGGCTACGTGCCCTAACGCCTCTGCCATCGTTCGCAGCACTATTCAGCAAGCTCTTCAATCCGACGCGAGAATCGGAGCAAGCCTAATCCGCCTTCATTTTCACGACTGCTTTGTTAATGTATAAGAGAAGCTCTTTAAATAAGCTTCTTTGATTTCTAATTATTTTGTCAAAAAGCCTTATAAGTTTTGTTATTCTAAACCATTGCTTTGCTTCTTTACTTTTGAAAAGGGTTGCGACGGGTCGCTCTTGCTTGACGATACTGGAAGCATCCAGAGCGAGAAGAACGCTGCTCCCAACGCAAACTCAACTAGAGGATTCAATGTTGTCGATAATATCAAGACTGCCCTCGAGAATGCTTGTCCCGGCATTGTCTCTTGCTCTGACGTTTTAGCCCTTGCCTCTGAGGCTTCCGTTTCTTTGGTACGTAATATTACTTTCTTCATAAACACATCAAACAATACATAATTTGTATAAATTGTCTACTTCTGACAAGCCGGGCTGGACCACATATTAAAAAGCCCGTTTAACTTTCCTAATATATATTTCATCTATGTTCACGTTCATCTATATAAAAAAATTATATACTACATGTTTGATCATCTTCAGGCAGGAGGGCCTTCATGGAGTGTATTATTAGGAAGAAGAGATGGTCTCAATGCAAACCTGTCTGGGGCCAATTCGTCACTTCCTTCTCCCTTTGAAGGCCTTAACAACATAACATCTAAATTTGTAGCTGTCGGGCTAAATACAACCGATGTAGTAGCCTTGTCAGGTAATTTATCTGACACGTAGGTTTAATTATACTTGCTGCTCAATTCAAACAAAACCCTAATTAATGGCACCATCTCTCTTATGTTTCAATGTGCGTAAATAGGGGCGCATACGTTTGGGCGTGGTCAATGCGTAACGTTCAACAATAGGCTATTCAACTTCAACGGGACAGGGAACCCCGATCCGACTTTGAACTCAACACTTCTCAGCACTCTTCAACAGCTATGTCCTCAAAACGGCAGCGGATCAGGGATCACCAATCTCGATCTGACCACACCTGATGCATTCGATAGTAGTTACTTCACGAACCTTCAGAGTAACAATGGGCTTCTTCAGTCAGACCAGGAACTGTTCTCCAATACTGGTTCAACCACCGTAGCAATGGTTAATTCCTTTGCAAGTAACCAGACTCTGTTTTTCGAGGCGTTTATTCAGTCTATGATCAAGATGGGGAACATTAGTCCATTGACAGGGGCTAATGGAGAGATTAGACAAGATTGTAAAGTGGTTAATGCACAGTCATCAGCCACTGAAGCAGAGCACATTCAGTTACAATCTGATGGAGGATCGCTGAGTGTAGCAGTCGCAGATATGTGAACAATGATGGTTTCAGTCTCACCACCGTCTGTATCATATGTATTTGAATTATTATATATGTACTCCTAAGCTTAACGATTTTTGTAAAAATAAATAAGTTTTGCTGGGGAAGAAATAAAATCTGAGTGGTAGGGTTTTGTTTTACACTTGTGATGGTGCTTTCAATATTTTAAGAACTTTACTATGTGTGGTCCAAAAAAAAAAAAAAAAACTTTATTATGCCCAAAATCATGCATGGGATGTGTATCAGTAACAATATTAATACATGCGTTATCACGTCGAAAATATTGTTTTACTTTCTTGAAGCGAAGTAGTTGAGATTTGACTTCAGATTTGGAAGCAACCACTATAAAGTGACTTGAAACATATATTTAGTTTTGTTATAACTTATAACTTACTGTATAATCAAGTGATTAATACTATATGGATTTTGTGTCCTTAATAATATATATTTTGAAAAACGATTTATTCTAAGCCCTTTCTAAGTTTTATAATCCATGTCTTTAGAGATACCCCGGAGCAGTCGCGCGCATTTTTGAATGTTATTCAACAAGTGTTAATGTCAAAGGAACGTAACATCTCCAAAATTCTCGTACCTACGTAAGACTTTTGCAGATTGTTTATCAAAATCAGTGATTATGATTTATGAATCTCTTTTTTCTTCTTCTTCTTCTGAAAATACAGCTGTAAAGCTCCAACAACTATATATTGAAGGCGGCATTTCTTTCAAAGATTGTGACTTATAAACTACTCGTATAATTTTGTAGACTAGCTTTGTAAAAAGTTTATCTAAATTTTTTAAGAATTGAGATCGCCTTCCACATTCTTTTGGTTCTGTCCACGTTTATATGAATTCTCTTGATTAAACATGGGAATGTAAATGCATTAAAGATGCTTGATGCTTAAATTTAATTTTGAGATTGAAGTATGGCTTTATCATATTTTAGTGTATGATTCAATTATTTTTCTAGTAAAACCACCGATTTCGTCAGCAAAGCAAAAAACTTATACCTTGATTTTACCAACCGCGTGGGAAGATTAGAATAAGTCAATAATGTGCATGTGACGGAGATAGTATAACCTAAAGACGAATTACTTTTTCACTAAACAAATGTACAAGCACCAGCTTTGTTTTCCCATATTTTGGACTATGTAGACAAACACACACGTTAATCTATAACTATTTGGCCTCATTCAAAATCTTTCACTTTCATGATCAGTCCAGAAATACGCGTTTAATCTACTTTATTTTCCTCTATATATACAATTATTTCGAAATGATCAAAGCGTAGTCATAAGTTCCGCATCAATCAGTGGAAACTAACTAATCAAAACTTTATATCATCATTTTTCAAAAACTGATATAATGGCTGTAGCAAATCGTCCTGCTTGTGATGGTCTGTTTATCATCAGCCTTATTGTAATCGTTTCTTTAATGGTCGGAACATCATCTGCACAACTAAACGCAACGTTTTACTCTGGGACTTGCCCTAACGCCTCTGCCATCGTACGCAGCACTATTCAGCAAGCTCTTCAATCCGATACAAGAATCGGAGCCAGCCTCATCCGCCTTCATTTTCACGACTGTTTTGTTAATGTATACTATTCTTTCTCAATGCAACTCTTTAAGATAAAAGCCTTATTCGATATTTTTGGCCTAAACCACTACTTTGCTTCATTATTTTTTAAAAGGGTTGTGATGCGTCGATCTTGCTTGATGACACTGGAAGCATCCAGAGCGAGAAGAGCGCGGGTCCGAATGCAAACTCGGCTAGAGGATTCAACGTTGTCGATAATATCAAGACTGCCCTTGAAAACGCTTGCCCTGGTGTTGTCTCTTGCTCTGACGTTTTAGCTCTTGCCTCTGAGGCTTCCGTGTCTTTGGTAATATAACACTTTCTTAGTGGACATTACGAAACATAACTAAATATTATTGTCGTAAAGTTTGATTGTTTATATATGTATTTGATCATCTTCAGGCAGGAGGACCATCATGGACTGTATTATTAGGAAGAAGAGATAGTCTCACCGCAAACCTGGCCGGGGCAAATTCAGCCATTCCTTCTCCAGTCGAAAGCCTTAGCAACATCACGTCTAAATTCTCAGCTGTGGGGCTAAACACAAACGATCTAGTAGCCTTATCTGGTAATTTCATCTAAATGTTAAGTTACTTGCGGTTAAAGTTAATGTAAAACCCTAACGGCATCTCTTGTGGATCGATCCACGTATAGGTGCGCATACGTTCGGGCGTGCTCGATGTGGAGTTTTCAACAACAGACTATTCAATTTCAGCGGGACAGGAAACCCGGACCCGACTCTAAACTCAACGCTGCTCAGCAGCCTGCAACAGCTATGTCCTCAAAACGGCAGCGCGTCAACGATCACCAATCTCGATCTGAGCACACCTGATGCGTTCGATAACAATTACTTCAACAACCTTCAGAGCAACAATGGGCTTCTTCAGTCAGACCAAGAGCTGTTCTCTACCACCGTTTCATCCACCATCGCGATCGTTACGTCCTTTGCAAGTAACCAGACTCTGTTTTTTCAGGTCTTTGCGCAGTCAATGATCAACATGGGGAACATTAGTCCCTTGACAGGGAGTAATGGAGAGATTAGGTTAGACTGTAAGAAGGTTAATGGAAGTTGATTTTCCTTAAAAAGCTCATTTTCCTTATTAAAAAAAAAGGAAAATTGAGAATAATTTTGTTATCATAAATCATATCAAATATGTATTGCAATTAAATTTTTAGAAAAAAGTCTCTCTTATATTGGATTATAATTGGCGGTTTGTTACTTTATTCACGGAGAGGGGGATGCAGAAAAATTATGAAAAGTCGTACGTAACTTGTGGGATCTCACAGAGAATTATATCATTGAGAAATTATTTTACGAGTCACCAAATCCAAATAACGTTACAAAATAAAAACCGTCCAACATGTAAATCGAATGATCAACCATCATTATTACTTACAGTCCTTGTGGAATGATTTCACCGACAAATAAAAAATTTCGATTATAAATTTTAGGGGAGACAGCAAATAATTCGGTAGGCTGATTTTGCGGTCAAAGATAAATCGGTCCCCTTCAACGCCAAACTGTTCATTACGAATTCGAGTTTCTTGTATTATCATCCTCTAGACTCTAGAGCACAAGTGTTGTAACTTTTTTTACTTTTTTGGGTTTTAAGGTTGGAATATTTTCTTACAGCAACTATAAAACTGCAAAAAGAAGACAAAATTGAATGTGAAGGTTTCAACCAACTCAACTTATTGATAATAGAATACAGTACTAGAAGCAAATGTTATTACGAACAATTTACAAATAAAAATATTGGATTAGTGATCGGTTTTGTGTGATAGGGAAGCTTTCGGAGTCAGAAGTCCAATGATTCCAGAATTTATGAGTCTTTTGTGTGGGTTGTTGATTTTAAGCTTCGATAAAAGTCAATTTGAAACTAACTGATCATGTGTTGTCTGATTTTGAGATAATTGAAGCTGACGATGATGATGATTTGTGACAATTTTACTAGGAAAAAAAAGTGGTGACTCAAAACCATCCATATTAGTTGATCGCATATTCGTATGCAAAACAAAAGAAAATGAGAAAGAGAATGCATGGTCTTGATCTAGTATCATATTAGTGTTTGAGAAAAAATCAAAAGAAATACTAAAAGTAAAAAAGAAGAAGTAAAATTAAGCTTTATGGCAATCATCCTAGAATTTGGTAGTCGAATCTCGAATGTAGTAACTAATTTCTACTAGAGAGATGCACTATGTTTATTATTGTAAACTTGACATAAAGCTAATTAAAGGGTAAAGAAAAAAAAAGTCTCATAATTAGTCTCTGAACACTCTCACTCTCGTGACGTTTAGTTAAAATAGTTTTTCGTTAATAACTTTTAACACTTTGAGAGCATACGACAATAAAAGAAGAAATATAGAAAAAAACATAATTAACGATAACTTAAGTTTTAAGAAAGGAAAAGAGAAGAGAGAAAAGGTCCCATGAACAAATGATTGCCTGTGTGGGAGATTTGCCTCATCTCAAGGAAGACAAAGTGGACCCTCGAGGCCTCTCTCAGTTCATCAATTCAATAATTACTTCATCAGGCACGTCGTCACGTGACTCTCTCCTCCTCCTCTTCAACTTCCTTTATTTGTATATGGATCTGTCTGCATCTTTTTTCAAAAATAAATGTCAACAACTACCAAAAGAAGTTGTTACGAAGTTATCTTTCTAATAACATGGGCTTTCCATTGTCATGGCAATTCAGATGAATACACAAAAAAGGTTTATTCAAAAAGATGTTATATACTAACTTTTTAATACCATTTGAGTTCTAGACTGTCACACCCTTCCTCTACCGTCGCCTAGGCTAGCTGGCCTCTATTTATAGCCGTGGAGCAAATTAAAAGATACCAACAACCAGTTTACCTTTCAACTAGTTCGGATTTTGTTTAAAATCAATGCTGGATTCGGTTACGCAAGCCATCATTTTTTTTATTGGTGATCAACTACGTACGTACCGGCTTGTAACTCGTATGTTCAAATTAGGTCTACACTAGATCACGACGGCCGGATTTGATATGCAGGTTGGTCAAATTAGGTTGCTGATTATAACAATCTACTTAATTGGGGAATACTAAATGAAAAGGTTTTATATTGTGTATGGGAATTATAATCCCTAATTTATATATAGGATGTGTGAATCCTAAATGTGGTTTCAAAGTTGACGGAATTTACATTATCCTCAAACTAAGTCATATATATCCGTTACATAGATATACAAATCGGTTCATACGCAAAGACTATTTAATTAAATGATGTGTTACATAGCTAGGATACTCTTTAAGAAAACCATAAAGCTGTTGAAGAACGTAGCGGCCAGTGTTTAACGGTGTATAAAACGCTACACACAACATATTTGGAATAATTCAAATTTCATATGGTGCATATATATATAAAGAGAGGATCTAAACAAAAATGAAAAACAGGATGCAATAATGAATGTAGTAGGACAGATCAGAGAGATCGAGGAGAGAAATAATTGAGATGAGAAAAGGGTTGAGATGCCAAAAATAATAACTTTGACATAGTAAAGAGAGGGGAGTATAAGTAATAATGACAATAATAAGGAGTGAGTCATGCATGACTTCAATAATTGCAAGGAGCCTAAAAGCATGACACCCCCCCCAAAAATCTAAGTTTGAGGGAATGAGGATGATGATGATTTGATATATCTATCATATCATCCGCGTCCCACGCCATGCGTGTGGGTCCTTTCACTCTCTTTTCATGTTTTTGCCATTACTCCCCTCTCCCAAAGGATCATACTATTTACAAACTATAGAAGAAAAGAACATCATATAGTCATATATATATGTGGTCTAGATCATACTCGTAGAAGACATGATATGTTATTGATTTGTATATTCGTCGTCATCAGTTAAAGTCATGTTACGAGGAGATATATGTCTCTACATAGTGACAGATTTGAAACTTTTATATTATGCAACAATAAGTGGCTGACATCGTTACTTGGCTTTTGTTTCCTACCGGTACCAATCTGCGACTGATACAACCTTTTAAACTCTGTTGGCCGGCTCATAAAACTCATCATATATATGTTGTTTTGTATAGTACAAGATGGAGAGAGTGTGTTAATGAAAATGGTTTAGATTATGAAAAATAGTAGAACTACGAAAATTTGAAAGAAAAAAAAAAGTATAACTGTATACATAATAAAAAGACTATATCATTAAATGGTCAAAATTTATGTAGCTGAAAAAACTTTAGAATGAGTATAAATTATTAATTCTATTTTGGTCCGTTGGTTGTAAATATAGCAAAATCTTCGAATATGTCATTATGATTGGTAAAAATAAATCAGTAGAAATTACATTATTATTTCCACTATTCTATGAATTATTCAATCAAGAACCCTACAGTTTTTCTTTTTTTTTTTGTAATTAATGACAACGTACTAATTTGAAACCAACTCTCATATCATATCTATGACATGTTACCATTCATACACATAATAATGAAGCTATTTAATGTCCAGAACTTTTCTTGAAAGCAACTTGCAATACGTTAAAAAACAAAAGTTATAATTAATTTAAAAAACAATGTATTGATGATGTTGGGGTAAGAACAAATTAATCAAGTTTTTTTTTCTAGGACCATCACTGATCACTGTGATGAATAAAGTTTTGAGCCAATAACGATTTTGGTCAAACTCAAAAAAAATAAAAAAATAAAAATGATCTAATCGGGTGACCGTTTGATGTGTCATCGTTATCACATTTTGCTACTTCTTCGTATCATCATCGTTAATCATTATGTCTTGTTCGCTCTTTTGTATTCGGTACATCATAAATTTTTTTCCCATTCCTCTTTAATCAAGTAATTTCAACTTATAATCATGACCTTGTAGTTATGTTAATTAGATCACGCTAATTTGTCCCGTTTCTAAAATGAAACAATAAAAGATTGGTCATTTGTTTATCCGTTGCACTTTACTTATTAACTTCTTTCAACTTATTTCACCGACCATTAATTTTTTACTACAGCATTGAACGGTAAACTACTACATTAATGTCAACGGTCACTATTAATTTTTTTTTTGTTTCCAACAACTTCGACTTTGGTCTAAATCTATTGGATTACTAAAACCTAAAGAAAATCAAAGTCCTCATCATTAACTTGTGACCAAGAATTACGCTGGCCGGTCAAACTAATTATGGTCTCCAATAATTTTCAACAAACACAGTCTCACATCTTCAGGAAATTCCCTATATATTCCTCTCATTATTTTCTTCTTCTGCAATGGAGTGAGTACTTAATAAAAATTAAATAATAAAATTTAAAGTAGATGAAACTGTTTTAAAATTATCTGATATTCTTCAATGCCTGCATTGTGAACGATGGACTAGTTATTCAAAATATAAGACGCTCCGAAATTCATAAGCTATAAAAAAAAATACTTTTTGCATGCTCAGGTATATTTGGAATTGCATACGAAATGAAAAAGGGTGTTGTTTCCTTGTAGAATGATACTTCCTAACGATAAGTAGTTTTCGGATTTTTTTTCTTTTATAAAGACAAACATAAATGCATATATATTAATATATATATTTTTTACATAAATGTATATTTGTATAGTAGTAGTACTTAAGTATACAAACAAGAAAGACACAAGGCGCGCCAGTCTCGTGTAAGAATGTTGTACGTATAACGTATATGTGTATTATTAATATGCATTCATTCACGTGCGTATGTGAATGGCAGTTGTCGGTCAATCTCCTTAAACCCGTATTATCAAGTAAACCCTATTTGTTCTAAAGAGATAGATATATATATATAGTCTTTCAATTTTTACTAAATATTTTGACATAATATCAAAAACAACACTTATTTACATAAATATGTCGGCCTGTTCATATATTTATTCCACTAACTAAGAAAAATGATGACTTAAAGTCACATGTCTTAAGGAATTTATAAGATGAAGAAGATCCAATATTTGTTCGTATACATAATAATAATTATTATTATTAAAATACATTGAACTTGGAAATAAATAAGTGGGGTTTCGCTTTCATGTCCATCACTCCATAACAGATCTTCTTCTTGTTCCGATTGACTCTCTCTCTCTCTCTCTCAAACTCTCAAACTCTTGTTTTTCTTAAGAAGCGATGGAACTAGCGTTGTCTCTAGGCGACAATACTAAGAAACAATTCTCTTTTCTAGAGAAGCACTCGAAGATTCATAACCCCGCTGCCTCGTCGACCTCAACTTCCGACAAGGATCTTGGGTTCTGCATGGGTTTAGATGTTGCTTTTGGTGGTCACAGATCGTTATCATCCTCTTCGTCTCCCTCGGTAGAAGATGCGAAGAAGAAACCGGCACTGCTATCAAATATTTCCGATGGATTTAGGGTTTCGTCTTCTGTAGATCCACCACTACAGCTTCAGCTTCACTTCCCTAATTGGCTCCCTGATAACAGTAAGGATCTTTATAACCCTTTTTTGATTAAAAAGCTCAAGAATATAATTTCTCGAACTTAAAGGGTGTGATTACATTTTTTTTATCACTGTAACATGATATTTTATTACAATCCCTAATTTGGCTCATATGTAAATCCTTATATTCCAAAATACTCAAAAACGATTATAAGAATATTAATATTTTCTGAATATACAGTAGATGTATCAAATATATATGTCGATGGGGATATTTTTCTATCCCAAACATACTTTGTCTGATTTGTGACAAGAAAGATGAACCAGGTTTTATAATAATCTTTGATCGAAAAATATAAAATAATATCAATTGGATGTATTCGATTAACAAAAATAGGTATACACCTAACTTTTTGTCACATATAACAACCAAAAACATATGATCTTCGATTTATCTAAAGAATATAAATTTACAGGTCAGCAAGGGGGACGAATACTCTCAGGAGTAGCTACGGTGGTGGCAGAGGAGGAAGAGGAAGCGGTGCCTAGTATGTCAGTATCGCCGCCGAACAGCGTAACGTCGTCGTTTCAACTGGACTTTGGGATTAAGAGTTATGGTTATGAGAGAAGAAGCAACAAGAGAGATATCGATGATGAAGTGGAGAGATCAGCTTCAAGAGCCTGCAGCAACGAAGATAACGATGACGAGAACGGATCCACTAGGAAGAAACTAAGACTCTCGAAAGACCAGTCAGCTTTTCTTGAAGACAGCTTCAAAGAACACAGTACTCTTAATCCTGTTCGTTTCCCATTCTTGACTTTTTTTATATTAAAAAGTTATCTTTCTTGAGTTTATTTTATTTTCTTATATTTCAAAGAAATTCCAAAATTATAGCCTTAAATGTTTATTTTACCTATTTTAAATCATTGCAGAAACAGAAGATAGCGTTGGCGAAACAGTTGAATCTTCGTCCACGTCAGGTTGAAGTTTGGTTTCAAAACAGACGAGCCAGGTTAGCTTATTATATGAAACGTTTTTATTGCTACTTCATTGGAAGTAGCATATATATATTTGTGTGATGATTAATTTCTGAAAAAGGGAAGAGGACGAAATGCATCACGAGTAATAATAGCGTATTGTCGCATGTCTATCCTTTGTCATTTTTCGTGCAAAAGTAGGATATCACTTCCGCTCATCATATCCATATTATAATTGCTTATAGTGACTTATTTATAAAAGGCAAACACATCATAACTCTTCTTTACATAATTACATTAACATAATTTGACCCCCAAACCAAAATCTCATATTGTTTGATTGTTTCGATAATTATAATAGGACAAAGCTGAAGCAAACGGAAGTGGACTGTGAATACCTAAAGAGATGCTGCGAGTCACTAACCGAAGAGAACCGGAGGCTTAAGAAAGAGGTTAAAGAATTGAGGACCTTGAAGACTTCCACACCATTCTACATGCAACTTCCAGCCACTACTCTCACTATGTGCCCTTCTTGCGAACGTGTTGCCACCTCAGCAACACAGCAGCCGACCACAACGTCAGCTCCCCAAAACCTAGGTTTGTCTACGTCAACTTTGCACTGTCCTTTGATTCCGGATGTTAAGCCTCGGCCGGCCAAACAAGTTTCATGAGAAGCATGCAGACGTGGGAAAATAAAATGGTTACGGTTTTAGCAAACGGTCGAGTGATTTTTTTAAAAAAAGTTGGGTGCATTGATGGCTTCTTGTGTATATTTAGATTTACTTTTTTTTCAGATATTATTTGGGACCGTCTCCAATTATAAAAGACGAGTAGATCGATCGATTGTCCGGTTAGAGTTTTGTTATTTTCTTGGATTGAACCGGATAAAAAGAAAACACATGGGAGGAAAAAGGGTTGACATGTTTATTTGAACGATACAAGACAAAAGAAAAAGGGGAAATATTTGGTTTGATTTTGTAGACCTTTCATTTTTGATTAAAGCAAAAAGGGTTTGTCGTGCACATATTCCTCATCAAATTAAATTTAGGATTACTGATAGAGTTTTAATATAAAAAACTCTTTTTCTTTTTAAACAGTGCAATGTCGTATACAGCATTAGTGCGATGCATGTTAACTGAAGTTAGAATCTGTGAATCTTATATCCTATCATTTTACAATTTTCTTATGATACATGAATTAATTTTGGTTTTACTAATAAGTCACAAAATTTGACTAACCAAAACCAGTCACAAAAAAAATTCATCACACATTTTTATTGCAAAACTATTGTAATTTATTTGCAGCAGTTTTTGGAATGAAATTTGATTTGCAATGAGAAAAGTGGGACTACCATTGATAGTTAATGCATGCATAGTTAAGAACTTTGATGAACTCATGTTATCATCAGAAGTGATTGCCATTATCCAAGAACTTAAGAGATGTTCTTATGGGCCTTTTGTACATATATTGTTTTGCTGAGCTTGTTCCTTCATGACTGATATATGATCGCATTTCGTCACTAATTATTGGATGCGTAAAAAGTAATTTTGTAGTTTTGGTGCTTATACCCCATGACCACTTTTGTTCTTCATAAAAAGAGTAGTACATGTGTACGGGTGAGTCTCGTGCTGCGTACTTCAGATATATCCAGTTTTCATCAATTTAAGCATTCCTAATCTTACTTTCTTTCTACACAAACATAAACACTTCTTCTGCTTTTCCCAATCTCCAACCAAACAGTCACATGCGTGACTCTTTAATATAATACTAGGGAAGTAGGGATTATAAAACATAATTTAATAGGTAACAAGTACGCCACGTGAACGAACAACTGCACCAGGTTGGATCTAATCGCACTTAACTCTTTAAAAGCATTTGACCTAACAGACTTTATTTTATGACCTTCGTGGGTCAAAAAGTCCAAACATCCCATGTGACCAAACCCGTTGTCTTCAAATCTCATAATTTCCCCCAATTTGGACAATTTGGACAATTTGTTTATTATTTTGAATATTTTCCGTTGTCGGTGATCGACAGATTCCACGTCAAACTCTCACATCCCAATTTCCACGCAAATTCTTGCGTTCACATGATGAAACTGTTATAACTTCATCGACATTAAATCAATCGAAAACACAAAGCAAAAGAACCATGCTCTACTTTTTAATGGCTGCAGCCATGCACTATTTAGATCATCAAACATTAGGGTAACGATAAAAGGAACTGTAAGAAATGTTTATATGTATGTAACCTCATATTGGAACTAAATGTAGTATTCCTCGTGTGACAAAAGCATTTACAAGTACAACCAATAGTAGCAAAGATATCGTGTGATCAAATATTTTTCATCTTTCTTTTTACTCTACACATTCTATAATCAACAATTACCATCAAATGGAAAGCAAAGTGTTGAGATCAAACAAAGTATTAGGGTAGAAAAACCTTAAGGTTTCCGTTGTGTTTGGCCGAGCTGATTGAGTTTGACGAGCAGCTCTGCGTAGAGGATTTCGTTCCAAGAGTCCGGCACTCCAGGGAGGCACCAGTGGCTGCAGTCTTGGTACAGTAATGGCGTCTTTTTCTCTTTTTCCGTTAAGCTGTGTTTCCGGTATACAGACGGGTGCCCATCCTTCCTGTAGTCTGTTAATCTAGTGATGTTTAAATACGTGACGGGTGTCTTCATACCTCTTAGCACTTTCTCAAGAACCTTCATCTTTGACGGGTACGGGGTTAGGTATGTGTCATTCTTGATCGGTTCTGTTTCACTATCGCATGCTCCTCCTGAGTTCCATTGCCCACCACTGCAAAAATGTTGATAGATTAACATCAATTTTTGCATTCATATGTAAAGGTAACCAAACAAACCATTGAGACCTGAGGATGTTTACCTGAAATGGGAGGCGGAATAGCCTCTAAAAAAAACGAGGGACTTTGTCGGATTCACATTCTTCTCAACCCATCGACCCCATGTAGTCAAAGCTTTGCGGAAAGCTTCAAGAACAGCGAGTTCGTGATAAACATTGCTTCCTTCTTGATAATAATCCTCCCTAAGAAATCAATACCAGAATCAGTTTCTGCATTATGTAATACAAAGACAGAGCAATTATTCCAGTAGATTGAGAGAGCTTTTAAGTACCCTTTGGATGTTTTCTCGTGAGTCCACCAATGTCCGGTATTAAATACAATAATATCAGCTCCTTTGTATTGCTCAGAGGACTTCCCAACCAAATCCAGCCGTAAAGTCTCCTTCTTTGTTCCCTTCTTGTCTACAATTTCCCATTCTTGGACCAAGAACGGTGAAACAAAGAACTCCACCGTGCAATTGTAATCCTATCAATCAAATTTGAGAACACTTAATATAGTAAGTATTAAGAAGCAATTGATCAAAGTAATTCAAGAAGAAGCCTTACTTGGAAGACGAAGGAGTACTCAGCCTCCCCACGGAAGTGATGTCTTCCTCTGGCCTCATAAACTTTGGTCTCATCTTTCACTGCTCCTTTGAGAATACAAACCAGAGATTCCCACATGTTTCTATTTAGAGAATCCCCAACAAAGACGAGTCTTCTTCCTCTAAGCATCTCCAGTAAAATAGCTCCATTCAACCTTCACATACATGAATATTATTCATCTTATATTAGATACAGAACCAATAATCAAAATATATTAAATTTTGAGCTTATTCCGACCAACTTACCTTGGTAAACTACATTTCTTAGGTTTCCACTTCAGTTTCTGGAAATCTTTGTCGGGTCTTCCGTTTGAAATACAGTTGAACTGTTCATCGATAAGCTTACACGAACCGGGTTTGTAAAGCGGATACGAATCATCCATGATCCATTCACCGTCGAAGAACTCACAATTCTTCAGAGAATCACTCCACTTCTCGATCTCTTGCTTCACCGACCAAACCGAATCATCGTCCTTTGTCTTCTTTTCCGGTGTAGAAGAAGCAGTTGATGAATTGGTATTGGAATCGGCCTTCAGATCCACCGACACGGGTGCTTTCGACGGCGCCGGAGCTGTCGTCTGGTTACTCTTCACGGCTTTTGAATTATGATTAGCATCCGTTGTGGTCTGTGACTGATTACTCGATCCCTTCGCCGACGATTTGTCTGAAAGCAGAGGATGAGATAAAGTGTTGTTTTTTGCAACCGGGCTGGTTCCGTTTACGATCGGAGACTCGACGGTCGTGTTTTTAACAACGGGAGCTCGATTTTCCGGCGCCGGGGCTTGTAAAGTACCGTTTTTGGAATTCGAATAGAGAGGCGGAGAAGTGGCGTTAGCAGAGATAGGATCTGTGGCGTCGCTGGATCTGTTGGTAGGTTTGGTTGAAGTGACATTGGGGATAATATAGGAGAAAATAGAAGAGAACTGAGATCCGGAAGTGTTGTCTGAAGCAGAGGTGGAGGTGGGTGTGGAGGAAGAGAAGATGTTAGAGAACCAAGGAGAAGATGAGTTCGGAGAAGGACTAAAGGCAAAGAAGAGAGTGAACGAGACGAAGGTAATGACAAAAGCGTAAGCAAAAGTTGAGGTCTTTTTGGGTTTCAAGGCGGAGAAGAAGCTCTTGATGTCGGCGGTTGTAGTAGTTGTTCCACCGCCGTGGATAGGCATATACTTTACGGCGTCTGACGCCATAGAAGGAGAGGCGGATGGGCAGTACAAGTGGGGAATGTGGTGTGGCTGTGGAGTTCGTGGCCCGTGACGAGTGTTTTTTGGGAGGGTTTTAGAGAGAGAAAGAGGTGCTTTATTTTAGGGTTAGGAGAGAGAAAGAGAGGTGATGCAGAGGAGAGAGAGATGGGTAAAGAAGAAAAAAGGAAAGAGAAGATGAGTCTTTTAAGAAACAGGAGAAAGGTGTTTTAAGATAAAAAGGACCATTTGTTTTTTGTTTAAGACAACTTCGTTAGTGAACGACTTATTATTAAAGTGAATGTGTTTAGTGTTTTTGGTTAAAGTAAAGTAGCCCTCGGTTTTGGAGCTATTTACTGAAACACCACTTGGAAGAAGAAGCTTGTCGGTGGGTTCGAGATTCCAACTTTAAATTATTGTCTTTTTGCCCCTATCTCTATATATATCTATCAATCAACTCGTAAAAGAATTAAATTTTGTGATTAATGCTTCTGTTCCGATTATCCGGTTTAGTGGTGGTTGGTGTTACAAGTTAGAACGGTGTGGGTGCGTGCTTCGTAATTTGTATGATCTAACTGTATAATGCGTTAGATCTAACCGTTTTAAGTTGATTACATATCCCTCATGTTTTGTCTTATACTCCTGAAATGGTCTGCTCGAAATTTTAGATGTGATTAAAGTCTTTCATTCTCTCTATAATATAGGCTACACTTAATTTCTGATGAACATAAATATCTTAATTGCGTAGTTAAATTAGGTGGCAGATTTGGGTAATTAAGAGTGTGTGGGATGATAATATGCCCGTTGCAATTAATATAATACAAAAAAAAACCCAGTTCGCGTCCATAAAAGTCATTAGCGTGTAGACCCTCCTCCCCTGTAGTCTCTCTACTTGGTTGGTTCATATGCGTTTTGTTTTTTTTTCTTCCTTCTTCCAAAACACATTTCTGCAGCTATTTTATAGAGAATCTTTTAGGCAGCATTCCCTTTATCAATTTATTACTTTCATTCATACCCCCAAAAATATATACTTATGATTTTCAAATATTTAAAGAAGATGCTATTTAAATGTCAACAAATTTATCCTCATTTTTCTATATGAAGGAATTAACTTTCATTACAGTATATGACTAAGTACTACAAGTCTACAAGAGAGATTATTAGTTTTGGGTAAATTTCGAACAGATGGCATAACAAAAATAGATTATGCGATAACAAAAAAATTATGCGATAAAAACCAAATTTAATATCATCCAGTAAGCATATATTAAATTTAAAAATTAGAGTAAGGATACTCGGAAAGAGAGAAATTATAAATACTTGAAGAACAAATCTGATTGGATTAATGAAACATTTTTAGATTTTATTAGTTTTTACACAATCCATGTTGTAACGTTTTAAGTATGTAATTTTAAAATTACAAAGAAAGGAAATAGTAAAAAAATAAATATATATAGAAAGGGTAGCCCCCACCAGCAACACATCTTCCGGATAAGCTCTCTATCCATCTCCTCACATCTCCTTCCCAAAACCCTCAAAACCAAAAAATATCTATCCAAAATCATGGCATATGAAAACTTTAAAAAATATCTCAATCTTCATCGACAAATATTTTGACAGAAACCACAAAAAATAATTAATGGCAGCTTTGGCATCAAACCCTCAAATGCTAACAAGGCATGCTCATAGTAGTAACAAGAAGGAACAGTTTCGGAAGAGGGAGAGTCTGAATTTGGAGAACAAGTGTGGGTTTTGTGTGAGGAAGGTTCACAGTATTAATGAAAAGCTTGGTAAGTCGGAGAACGAGTGGAGACTAAAAGCCTTTTGGTCATCAAACACATATCAGCCTACGACTCTGGAGATGGAACCCATCAACAGCGTTGAAGAACTTGATGCTGCTCTCTCTCACGCTCGCCAACTCTCTCAGCCTATCATCATCGACTGGTATATATTAATCATTTATTCTCCTTAATCTAAGATTGGATATAGGTATTCGTAATTTCATATTCATGCCCGGTTACAGAGGAGTTCTACCATTATGTAGTTTCTTGTTAGGTTACATTCTCTTGCTTGATCGTTACCCTTTTCTACAACTCAACTACTTAATTACAAAGTGGAAGGTTCTATATATATGCTTTTCTTATGAGTTATGAAGAATGGTGAGATCATTTTGGGCAGGATGGCTTCTTGGTGTCGGAAATGTATCTACTTGAAGCCTAAGTTGGAGAAATTGGCCGCAGAATATAATAACAGGTAAGCTAATTATTAACAAAATTTCACAAGAATGTTATTAAAAAAAAACCCGATTATGCCATGAACTGAAAATGAATTGAACAGAGCAAAGTTTTACTACGTGGATGTAAACAAGGTCCCTCAAACATTGGTGAAACGTGGAGACATTTCGGTAAGATGCTTAAACAATCACACATAACTCGTTACTCTTCTTCTTCTGACTTGGTATGTGCCAGACCTTAACCAGTTTCCATATTCATGTATTATGCAGAAAATGCCCACCATTCAGGTAATAATGCTTTCTTGCTATACAAATTGTTTTGAGTTTCAGAGATGCATTTGAGACAATTAAGAAAATAGTGTAATAAGGTAAATGAAAATAATAGTAATAATGGTCTAATGCAGCTATGGATGGAGGATGAGATGAAAGAAGAAGTGATTGGAGGTCACAAAGGATGGCTTGTCATCGAAGAAGTTAGAGAATTGATCAACAAATATGTTTAAATTTTCATTTTTGTCACTTCCTTTGTTTTTTTATAATTATTATGTACAGTAAGTTTTTTTTTCATTTAGTTAATAATCTATATACAATTTCAAACTTTTTTTTGTGGTAATCAAGAAATTTCACCTTTTTAATATATAATTTTATTGGATCAAAGACCTATATATTTTTTCTTACTGAGACATTTGACTACGAATATCTATTATTGTAAAATATTTTTAGCTTGGTAAGTAATAAATTATTATATGTTTTTATTAAATTTTGTGATAATTTTTTCATTAGATTTATACATAAGATTTTTTAAAATTTTGCAAAATAAATAAAATAGTTTGAATTAAATAAATTTTCATGCTAAATAATAAAAAATTTACATCTGTTGTTTGTTCAACAAAGTCGCTTTGGCCGAGTGGTTAAGGCGTGTGCCTGCTAAGTACATGGGGTTTCCCCGCGAGAGTTCGAATCTCTCAGGCGACGAGTTTTTACCTTTTTCCTTCCTTGCAAACCAACCGGTAAAAAAATTTTCTTTTTTTTTAATCCCTAAAGTGCTTAAAGGTTTGCAGATTCAAAACAATGCGAGTTAATGCTCTTGCTCAATCACACATAAGCTTCTAGAAAGCGAAAATTCAGTGTTTGGAGCCTTTCACAGTAAGGAAATACACATTTTGAAGAAGCAACTGATTCCTTCTTATATCAACCAAGAAAGAAAACAAATCATACAAATCAGTGAACCACATGGAGGAAAAAATCTAAAGCTGATAAGCACAAACTCAAACACAAACCTTCCCCAATTTACCAACGACAAAGAATCTGTTTCCCAATCCTAAACTTTGAAACAAGCCATTGAAAAACAATCTGTGCAAAAGACAGAAAATCTCTGAGGCAGTCTCTTAAAATAAGAAACAGATTCTTCCACGCACCTAGATTTTAAGAAAAGAACCTCTGCATCCCTGATTCAGGAGCCCATGCTGCAGTCAGCGGTTAGTGAAAGACGTAGATCATGTCTTCTTCTCTTGCTGTTGTGCAATGTTGTTTTTCAACTAAACCTGATACTCTTTCAACTTTCTTATCCTTTGGAATGCAACCGGCTGTAGAACTCAGTGAAGTCAAGCCGGAAGAAGAGAAACTTGAGATCTACAGATTGCTGCAGAGGCAAAAGCGATAGGAAACCATCAAGTGAAGATGTGTATTCCTTTGCAATACTGTCCATATCTTTACTCATGCTTTGAAGAAATTCTCCAGCACGCTGTGTTAATCCCTTCCTACCCTCACTGATCCATGAACCAAGCTCTTCCGATTTGTTTTTCTCTCTTCCTGATTCTTTAGATCTGCAGGAAAAAGTTGGTGATATAAGAGATCAAATTGTGACCCTAAATTCGGAGGAAGATAGCAAAACTTTAAAGTCTACTTTTGTTTGAATTAAAAATAGTTTTTTAGACAAAACTCACCTTATTTGCAACTCATGAATTCCTTCATACAAACGATCTGCATGACTCCTGAACCGTAATATAAGCTCAAAGAGGACGAAAAGTGATTCGCGGATGGTCTGTGACTGTTCACCCAGAAGAGATTTTCCAACAATGGCGTTGAGGTATTTCTCGTGAGCTGCCAAGAGATCATCCAGGTCTTTAGCAGCTTCCATCTCTTTTGAGAAATTAGACCATGACACCTCCAATACCTCAAACATGATGTAATACTGAAAGTTAGTAACAAAATGATTCATTTCATTCCAAAGGACCTGGCACCGCCTCAGGGCTGAGAGCAATTGCAATTTCACCGACGTTTGGAGCTTAACGAATGAGTTAGAAGTGATGCAATTTGGTTTCATGGTCTTCCAAATTCCGATAAGAGCATGTTCTACCCGTTTCAACTTCCAGAGAAAATTGAACACTCTCAGGTATTTGGACAAAACAGACTCAGTAAACACGGTATCTAATGGAACCCTTGCCTCATATTCCAATGAGAATACATCCCAGCCCCTGTCTCCACTGCCATGAGGCATCATCTTCACTTTCAATCTGTCTAGCATGTCGCGGTCATCATACTGTGCATTTGATGCTCGTATTGCAGCCTCAAGAAATCCAGCTAGCTCAAATGAACTAATGTTATTAGCTGGCTCAGAAAGCTTAGGTCCTACAATATCCATCAAGTATTGGACAAAATCACCTTGACCAAGTAGTAAATAACGCTTAATAGCAAGACAATGCTCCTTAAACTTATATCTCTTATATAGAACATCCAACAGATGCTTGTCGATTCTCTTTGCTGCTTCAGTAACAAGATGTTCAAGTGCATCTGTTTCACCATACCCGAGACCTCCTCGCCTAGTCGTTGTCCCAGAGGCAACTGCTGCTTCTGAAGCTGCATCAGCCCACCCATGATCATCACAGCAAACACGAAGAAAGTTTATAGATTTCCCAGTTCTCAGAATTCTCTGAGCTAGACTCGGGGAAATAAAAGACGGAAGCATAGCTGGGTGGAGCTTATAACCTTCTCTCCAAAGCAAATCGACTTTAACCGGCTGACCTACGACAAAAAATTCACCAAAAGTATCTTCTAACTCCCCTTCTAGAACCCAACTTCTAACCATTTCAAACAGCGGAGAACACACACATCGAAGCAAATTCATCATAAAATCATGAACAAGCGGATCACCATGCTGTGCGTGCAAATGGATAGCCCCAGCCATCGCCCCACCCCTCAAAACCTTACACTTGTCAACCAAAACAGCCATCAGTCTCATTTTCACCATAGGCTCTGCGAACCATACCGACAACCTCCTTAAAGAAAGGTAATTGCTTGAGCTTGCTGATTCAGAAACCAAAGGAATAGGATTCATGGCTTGCGCTTCGAGCACAGCCAATAGCTTATAATAATCAGAGAGCTCATCTTGCAATGCCGCACAAAACGCTTGCCCAACAGTTCCCACTTCTTCAGCTGGAAACCGATCCATACTCTCGGTTATAAAAGTCTTAACCTTTCTAAACAGCCAGCCAAGCTCAGAGAGCATACGAACCAGTATCCTAGTAGCTCGAGGCACCTTAATCGAATCCTGCACAGCATAACCGTCTATTTCGCTGTTAAATTTCACATATTTCCCATCAATCCCTTGGCAAGCGTACAAAACATCCCTCACTAGAACCTCCTCCGTCACTTCATTCTCTTCCTTAACCAAAATGGCATACTCTCTAAAGGCAATATCACGCAAATTCTCAGGATCTCTACTAACCAACAAAACACCATTACTCCAATCCTTCTTCTTAGCTTCTCCACCGCGCAAAAACCCGTTCCCAACATCACCAATCCCCAAATTAGGTAACAAAACCGAGGAATCGAGGCCATTAATAGCAGATTTACGATCATCAGAAACGATTTTAAGCAAATAAACGAGAGCCCATTTATTGTTGACACTACCCGGGCCAGTCTTGGAAGCGAACTTAGTGTAGAGATCGGCAAAAGCGAGTGCGTCGGAGGACTTACCCTGAGTAGCGAGACGGCGTTTGAGAGACTCGGCTATAGCGGTGGCGTCGGGGACAACGGAAGGAGTGAGGCGGCTAGAGAGGATACGAAAGGCGTAACGAAGGGTTTTGAGGAAGGCGGGAGACTTGGGATCGAGATTAGGGGTTTGAGGGTTTTGGGAGACAAGGCGAAGAACAAGCTCCTGTACTAGATCTGCAGCCTTCTGCTGATCGTCGTCTTCCATCAATCAAGCTTTTGCCTTTTCTTCTTCTTCGATTTCGCCTTTTTGATTTTTTCTCCTTTTTTCCAGTTTTTTTTTTTTTTTTTTTTTTTGGGGTTTCTTCTTCGAATTTGATTTTTGAAATCGAAAGAGTTGCAGAGAGTGTGGGCGAGTGAGTTGAGTAGTGTTGTGATGAGTGAATTAAAAAAAAAAAGACGGGCTCTTTTGGACTTTAATATTTTTTCCTCGGCGGGCAAATGAGAAATATGTCGAAATCCAAAAACATTGGAAAAAAAAGTAGAAACCAGTGCAGTTTTATTATTTTACGTTTTTATGATCTCATAATCTCAAATAATTGTCACTTTGAGATGTATTACTATTGAATGAAAAATAGAGAGAAAATAATAGAAAAAACCAATGTATTGTTTTGATTTTTTTTCAAAAAAAATGTAGTAGATGATATGTCAAATGTAGATATTGGCATTTTTAGAATTACCTCTTTAGAATTAATAGATAAACCATAAATACATAAATATGAAAAAGAATCTCATATTATTTAATTCTTAACCAGAAGCTCCACACTTATAACAAAAAGGTACAAATCAAAATATGTACTTGAAAGAAAATTAATTAGCATTAAAAAAAACCTCTTTAGTTTGATCAACCAAATTTATGTATTCATTGAGAAAATTGAAGTTATTTATATTAAAAAGTGATAAACGAAAAAGTCCTTATACAAATAGAGGATTAAAATATATCTATGTAATTTTCACACATGTGTTAAAATAATATAGTTATAAATTTGATGAAAGTGATCCAATAGAGTAAATAAATTAGGTACTACTAGTAAGCTGCTTTTATTTATTATTCCCATCTTTGTTTTTTCTTTTTTTTTTGGTTAAAGCTTATGATTCTCATCATTCACAACGGGGAATAAAGGAAGTGTATGTCCTCTTTAATTCATTGAAAAATCAAAGTACACGATCAGAATAAAACCTACTTTATGTTTGTTTTAAAATATTTACTGATAACTATAACAATCACTAGTGTTAAAAAATAAAATTAAAAAATCACTTTCTACTAGTCAGCAATTAATTACTCCATATCCTTTTCTTTTTTATTCTCTGGATTGCATGCCATTAGTCATTAGATAAATTTGCTACCATTCCATAATTTTTTTTTTGTAGCACTAATTACCCACCATATCTAATCATAGTGAGTTAATGACATACCAAAAGTTTAGAAGTAAATTACATCTATACATAATTACTTTTTCTTTATAGTTTTTGTTTGTAAATTATAATGGTAGCTTATATATTGTTCTTTAACAAAGATAATTCTGCATCTTCCTCCTCCTTACAATATCCGTGAAGGCGAATACGTATATCGTACATGTACGTATATACTCTTCGTCTCTTATCTCTCTTCCTCTCTCTCTTCCTCTCACCTTTAATGATGTTTTAGTGATAGTGATTACAGATTAGGAGAAGTGAACAAACGAATAATTTGGAATGCAAATTAAGGATTAAGGTAGAGTATTAATCGCTTCAAAGGCAAGCGAGGGTTATTAATTACTAGTTATTACAGAAAAGTAAACACTCTTTTTACACAAATCGCAATCATCTAACTAATTAATGACAATGAGAGAGATGTTTCTTCTTCTTCTTCTTCTTCTGCTATATACGTAATCTAATCTCTCTCTCTCTCTTCTCTCTTTTTTTGCATGCGATTCGGCTTTTAGCGGCGGCGATGCTCTACATTGACATTGAGCCTTGAGGTACCCATTTGTGTCAATTCGATTGTATCCAAGTGTTTGTTACCTTTGTGGCAATTCCGTTAATTCTTAGTCCTCAAAATCGTGTGATTCTCTCACTCGCTTACCAATTTATAGCTTTTAAAACTCCCAAATTCCAATGCTTTCGTGTTAATTTGCTATTTGCTGCTCTATGAGAGTATTATTCTTTAGAATTTTTTTAAATTACGATTTTGGAGTTCTAAGCTCATCACACACAGTAAAGCATTGTTTTCGTTTATTGATTTTTGCTTTCAGTTTCGGGAAGCTTGAATTTGGTTAGTGATGGGATCTAAGCAAGTATCCAAGTCTAGAAATGCTGCTGGGTTTAGCAAGTTGAAGACTGCCGAGTCCCCTGCTTCTTCAACAACCTCATCCTCTAAACATTATCCTGAGACATCTGTGGATGATTATAGCCATTGCTCCCCTACTTCTTCATCTGCCAGAAGCAAGCCTCAGTTACTACATACAGGAAAGTTACCGCCTAAGGCTTTGCAGTCCAAAGAAAATGTCACTGTCACTGTTCGTTTTCGTCCTCTCAGGTGAAATTTCGCTGGTCATTAGGATTCAAACAACTGAGGGTTTGATGTTTTTGTTCTGTTCGATTTTTGACATTGGTCTATGCTTGACTTATAGTCCAAGGGAAATCAGCAAAGGGGAAGAGATCGCATGGTATGCAGATGGGGAAACTATTGTGCGGAATGAACATAATCAATCAATAGCTTATGCCTATGGTTAGTCTTACCTGTTTGAATGAATGAATGAAAAATCAAACTAGATGTCAAAGTCCAATCTGCTATTATTGTTTCTTGAAATTCTGTTGTTTCTTGCAGATCGTGTTTTCGGGCCTACGACAACAACACGCCATGTCTATGATGTTGCTGCTCAGCATGTCGTTAATGGTGCTATGGCAGGGATCAATGGTATGGACTTAATTTTTATTGGCTGAACTGTCTAGTAAGACTTTATTTTTTAGAATATAGAAAGATATTTATACTATTATAGTTTATCCTGAGCTACAGTACTAAGAACAGTTGCATGACCATTCATTCAGAAAATGAGATCTTGGAGTTGCCAAGCTCTATCTAGTGCATAATACTTTGAGTTAGATTTCTTTGCCAGTTTGATTCTAATATACTGACTTTGAGTGTTAATCCAACCACAGGGACCATTTTCGCATATGGTGTGACAAGCAGTGGAAAAACTCACACTATGCATGTAAGATTTACTAATCATGATATTTCTTGCTTTTCATCTTATCACAATAGAACTTGTTAGGTTACTACCGTGTACAATGTTCTTCAATGTATCATCACAGACTTGCTTCTATGTCAGAGAGTCATTTACCTCTTCCTTCGTTACTGGCTAAATCACTGAGTAGTTCAGGAGCAAAGTTTCTCTCCTATAGTACCCATAACGATTAGCAATGGAACTAGATGTTTGGATCCTAAAATGTTATGTTTGGTATTGATTATTATTCTCCTTCTAGCTAGTGTTGCTCTGTTGACACTATAAGGCCTTTTATTTTACTGTAGTTAGCATATGGCTGCACTCTTAAGGTTAGTTATCTGCTTTAGAAACTATGCAACCTAGTAGGCCCCTATGACAACCATATTAGAATAGGAAATTACATATCTTAGTTAAGAGACTGCCTAAATTACATATAAAGATATATAATTTCCTATTCTAATAAACCATGATCAATACATGGTCCTGTCCTAATGTGTAGTGACTTTACATACTTCATTTTAGAGACCATGTTTAGGTGTGACTTTTATGATGTGCATGACCTAAGAATAATTTTATCTCATGAAGACAGTTTTGTTTGCTTCAAATGTCAGGGGGACCAAAGATCTCCTGGTATTATACCATTAGCCGTCAAAGATGCTTTCAGCATTATACAAGAGGTACTTATAAGGATGTTTCTTAGTCGAATTCCCTTGCCTAAGTGCTTCATCACACATTTTTCTTTTCTTGCAGACACCAAAGCGAGAATTTCTTCTACGTGTTTCCTACTTTGAAATTTATAATGAGGTGCTACTCTCTACCTGCTTTTCTTCTCTCCATTCCCTATATAGTCAACTTTACCAGTGGTGCTGAATGATAGTTAGATTCTGCCGTTGATTTATTTAATATCCTAACGGTTCATTTTACTTCAGGTTGTCAATGATTTATTGAACCCAGCAGGACAAAATTTGAGGATCAGAGAAGATGAGCAGGTACTTGTTTCAGTACTTTGATCCTCTTCTTTACCTTTTGTGGGTCGCATGCATAGTACTGATTTCACTTTTTCGTATATATTTGTAGTGACTATAGTGCTCATCATAGAATCCTAAAACCTTTCACACCATATTTGTTTTATTAGAGTCGATATCTATTCTCGGCTAGATGTACTTATTCCATTTTCTTATAAGTGAAATTCTCTGGACTAATGCAAACACAATGTGAAAAGTGGCCTGATTATCGGTATTTGAATGTTCTAGGTTACATTTTTATTTAAGTATATATACTAATGATGAACCTGTTGACTATTGTATGGGACAAAAAATTAATATACTATACTACTTCTATTGCTTTGTGTCTTTTCCTCTAAAATTCTTCACTGAACCTCTCTTTATTGTCGATTGGAGGGAACCTTTATTGAAGGTATTAAAGAAGAAGTTGTTCTATCCCCTGCTCATGCGCTTTCTCTTATAGCAGCTGGAGAAGGTAGGCAGTTCCATGTTTCTCTAACAGAAAGTGTTAAAAAAAAGTTACAATTTTTTTGTCAGAATGTGTCTGCATTTACCATTTGTGGCTTTTCCTTGTATATGATATAATATAGCTAAAGACTAGTTTTCTCTTTCTTGATTCCAGTAGTTTCCTTTAATCCTTCTCTTAAATCTGGTACTTTTTCTCTTTATGCAAGTCATCTTGATAAAATTTCCTTTAATGATAGAGCACCGACATATTGGGTCCACAAGTTTTAATTTGCTCAGCAGCCGGAGCCATACAATGTTTACCCTGGTATGTTGATATTTCACTTTCAAAGCATGAAGAGATTTATTTCTTTGTGCACTTGCTATATCATTTCTTTCCCCTCATCCATCTCAATTCTCAAGTTTGTTTAGAAAAGTTTACAAGGAACTATATAGCTCTTTATATTATCATACATTTGGCTACACTTCACTCTCCAAATATAAGCAGTAAGCATTGTGCTCCAAGCTTTCGTGGCACCTCCCCTATCGGCAATGAGCTCAAATAATTTCGAACCTTTCACCATACTATTATTAATGCATGGTTAAATTCATTCTTGATGAATTATTCTTCTTTATCCATTCTCCTCAAATATTAACCATGGCCCTAATACATACTTATTCCTTAAATCATATAATATATTAAATTCTTTTGGCCCTTAGTTTCAAATTTCTATTTCAAATTCCTGGGGTTATCGCCAAATCATCATTAGGTTTAATAAAATCAAGATTATAGTTTCTTGTCACCTTATCTTTTGTGTTGTTTAACTGGAAAATAGGGCCACTTTTGTGTTCCTTACGAACATTGAACAATCCTACCTTTTTCTCTAGCCTTCAGCAGAAATTGAATACCGTTTTCTTCTTTTAAACAGAATTTCAAGCAACTCTGTCATACTTATTAAAACCAAGCGGTTTAGTAATGTTCAGTATATTAGCTAAACAATTTGACTTTCTTTTCATATATATATATCAGTAAAGTTATACCGTTTCTGAAAGATGTTATAACTGGTTCGGTTGCAGACCATAGAGAGTAGTCCCTTGGGTGACAATAACGAAGGTGGAGCTGTACACCTCTCACAGCTGGTATGACATCTTTTGTTTTAATTCTGTGACATTATGTTCGATTATAGCTTACTTTTTGTTAAACTCTGGAGCATAATGAACTCTGATAAAAATGTTTATTATTGCACTCTCTGAACATTTAAAGGTGAACAAATGATTAACTATCCATAATTTCACTTATATCTGCAGAACCTCATTGATCTGGCAGGTTCTGAGAGCTCAAAGGCTGCAACCAGTGGTTTAAGGCGCAAGGAAGGGTCTTATATAAATAAAAGTTTGCTGACTTTAGGGACTGTGAGTTTCCAAGCAACACTAGTTTTTTGAAGTTCAGTTGAATTTAAGAATTCTTTGCCTTTTTGCTTTGTAAATAGATTTGCCCGTAACTTTTCTTTTTCTCCTTTACAGCTTAAAACTTCGGTTGGATTGTGCCTTCCAGTCCTTATGTTAAGCAATCTTCCAACAGCTGAAGTTTGATCGTTCTTTTGCAATTTTGTAGGTGATATCAAAGCTTACAGATAGGAGGGCTAATCATGTACCATATAGGGACTCTAAATTAACCAGGCTGCTTCAGTCCTCATTGAGTGGTCATGGACGTGTATCTGTAAGTCTTGTTAGAGATTATTTTTAGCGTCTTGTTGCAATAAGTGCCACACACAACACAACATGAACATAGGCAGCATAAAACAGTTCCTATGATCGATTTTACTGATTGATTTTTCCATCTGGATATGATAGCTCATATGTACATTGACTCCCGCATCAAGCAACACCGAAGAAACACACAACACACTGAAATTTGCCCATCGTGCAAAGCATATCGAGATTCAGGCCGCACAGAACAAGGTCTTACTCGCATCTATTCGTTCAGCTCAGTGCATTTATGTACTGAAGGTTCATTCTGGATTTCTAACACTACAACTTACAGATAATTGATGAGAAATCATTGATCAAGAAGTACCAATACGAGATTCGCCAACTGAAGGAGGAGTTGGAACAGTTTAAACAAGGAATTAAACCAGTTTCTCAGTTAAAGGATACCAGTGATGATAATATAGTTCTCCTGAAGCAGAAAGTATGTTTTTCTGTCACTGATCCCTGCTTAAATGTTTGCAACAGACCGATGATACTTTACTTGATCCCGCTTCAGTTTTGTAAACTTGAAATCTGATATGCATTATTTTCTTTTGGTGTAATTATAAAAGCTAGAAGAAGAGGAAGATGCTAAAGCAGCTCTCATGAGCCGAATTCAACGGCTTACAAAATTAATTCTCGTGTCTACTAAAACTCCACAAACATCGCGTGTTTCTTATCGAGTTGATCCTCGGAGGAGGCACTCATTTGGAGAAGAAGAGGTAGAATCGCTTATAAGCCTTGTACATCCTTCACCTGTCCTTTGCATAAGTCCTCATTTCCTAGCAGCATGTTTGATAGAAAACACTGTCTTCCTTTCCCAACAGCATGTCTGCGAATTACTATTATTTTTTTTGGCTGATCTTACTTGATAAAAATCCGTGGCCAGCTTGCTTACCTACCTTACAAGAGGCGGGACTTGATGGATGATGAGAACCTTGAATTTTATGTTTCCCGTGAAGGGACTCCTGAGACTATAGAAGATGCGTTTAGAGAAGAAAAGAAGACCAGGAAGCATGGCCTGCTGAATTGGTTAAAACTAAAGGTACACATTTGATTCTAGAAATTATATGGCTCTTGATAAACTTTTACTGTTGGCTGGTTTTGCTTAATTTTGAGCATTTCACTCAACATCGTAGCCTCGCACTATAGTCAGTTCTGTTGTAAACAGTGTCCTCCTGCACATTATATATCTGGCACTCTATGTACTTCGAAAGAATTATGCTCCTCGTGTGTTTGAGATATCACACTGCTTTATTCCCTCTCACTTCGATTTTCTTCTTTCTCTTTTTTTTTTTCTTTTCTGGCAATCTCTTTCTTGCCAATTTTTCTCTCATTACTGTTTTATTATCAGAAAAAGGACAAAAGTTTCCAGGGATCAAGCGTCAGTGACAAGTCGAGTGTGGTTAAGTCCGACAGTTCACCGTCAACTCCTCAAGGAGAAGGCAGTAACTTTCATATGGAAAGTAGACTTTCAGAAGGCTCTGCATTGGCGGATCAACTCTTAGAGAGTAGGGAAAATAAAGAAGTTCATGAAGACAGTTTTCATGAGTTTGAGACACCTGAGGTACATTGACATTTTTTTCACCGCTGATAGCCCATTCCATTTCCATCAATTGGTTTATTGAGCTTTCTTTAGAACAAGTGATTACGATTTCTAAGACATTGTGTACTTGCTCCCAGACTAGAATAAAAATGATCGACCAGATGGAAATACTGAGGGAACAGCAAAAGATTTTATCTGAGGAGATGGCGCAACAATTAAAGACTTTTAAACTATTGTCGGAAGAGGCTGCCAATGCCCCTCAAAATGAAGACATTAAAGTAATATTTGCGTTCTGTTCATCATCTTTATCAAAATTTTCGATCAAACCTTGCAGATTCCTGGTTGTATTAAATTTATGCAGGCAGAGATTAAAATCCTCAATGGCGACATCAAGGCAAAGAACGACCAGAATGCTACGTTGGGGAAACAAATTTTGGATTTTGTTATAGCATCACATGATGAATTAGATAAATCTGATCTCGTGCAGGTGGGGTTTTTTTTTTTTTTTCAAACATCACACAGTGGCCTTATGCTTCTTGTTCTAGCACTTAGTCGCTGATGTTGGATTTTCTTTCAATTGGTTTTTCTCTTAATTTCAGGCTGTTTCTGAAATGAGGGCTCGACTAAATGAGAAATGTTTTGAACTCGAGGTGCTGAAACTCTCTCTATTTACACAGTACTTCATCTATTGATTAATACTGCACCTATACGGCTTTGCTATATTCCTGCCTGCTATTATATATCTTATTCACCTTGGTATGATCCGTTATTCAGTAAGCCAAAAACGACATTAACAAAATTGTTTCAAAATTGGTTAGCAAGGACTCCTTTTACACATTATTCATTTACTTTTACAGGTTAAAGCTGCAGATAATCGCGTCATTCAGGAACAACTCAACCAAAAGGTCAGATAATACCTTGTCTCTTTCCCCGGTTCGAGTGTATTGCTGGTGTGCAGACATGTCAGAAATTTGTAACTGATCAAATTTTTCCTGCAGACATGTTTATGTGAAGAGTTGCAAGAAGAGGTTGCAAACCTAAAGCATCAGCTCTCTGACGCCTTGGAACTGGGAGATATAAGCTCGGTCACAAGTCACATGCAACAATCTTCTGAATCCCCAAACAAAAATGAAGAAAAAGTCATTGAAGCACAGGTGGAATTCTCATATATTTCAAAACATCTTACTGTGATTTTTTTTTTTGTCCTCTGATGTTTCTCTTCCCTTCTATATCGATATATGAAAATCTAAACATTATAATCACTACCTGACTGAGACACAACAGGCATTTGAGATTGAAGAGCTTAAACTGAAAACTGAAGAACTAAGTGAGTTGAAGGAACAACTAGAACTCCGAAACAAGAAACTTGCTGAAGAGAGTTCATATGCGAAAGGGCTTGCTTCAGCGGCTGCTGTTGAGCTTAAGGCATTGTCTGAGGAAGTAGCAAGACTTATGAATCACAACCAGAGGCTAGCAGCTGATTTGGCAGCAGTGCATAATAGCTCTGTTACACCACGGGGAAAGATAGGAAACCAGAGGAATGGAAGGAGAGAGAAATTTATAAAGAGGAAAGAGCAAGACAGCTCGTTGATGGAACTGAAGAGAGAACTGAGCATGTGCAAGGAACGTGAAGTTTCATTTGAATCTGCTCTAGTTGAAAAAGTTCAGAGAGAAGCCGAGCTACAGAGAACAGTAGAAGAGTCGAAAGAAAGAGAAGCGTATCTAGAGAATGAACTTGCTAATATGTGGGTTCTTGTCGCCAAGTTGAGAAGATCCCAAGGAGCTGATGATTCAGATATGCAACAAAACGACCATATTGGGACTTAAGTTATGATTTGTGATTTTGAGTTTGTACATTTCTAATTTCCTTGGTGGGCTTTGATTTTCTTACTGTTTGTTGATAATACTTTAAAGGAAGTATCCCCAAGGCAAATCTTTTCTGCAAAGTAGTTCATTGCATTCAATTCTCCAAACAATACATATGCATAAAAATAAAACCTTTGGAGCTACACATGATCAGAAAGATGTCAAGTATGAAAAGGAGTTGAATAGACAAAGATCAAGGTTGAGATTGCAGTCAGAATTAAGAAAACAGCAGTAGTCACAGGACATGCTGCATCGTGACTACATCAGAAGAGCAGATCATGTAAACAAATTTTGAACCAAAACAACATACTACAGAGACTCGAAGCTTCCAAAGTGCTTCTCTACGAACTGAACTAAAACAAGCACTAGAATCAGCATTGAGCTAAATCCAATTTCATCAGATCAGACCTGATCAATTCGTCTTTGGATCGGGCATGGGAAACATACCACCAGCACCAGCAGCTCCTCTAGGCGGAGAGAATCCTAAGAACTTCTGCAGATTAGTCCTTATGCTAATAGAACAGAGCAGATAAAGAAAAGCCATGGAACAATCCGTGGAATCATCGCCTTTCAATCCTCTATGACTCATCTTCCTCACAATCGTAATCGGATGAAACGGAAGCTTCGCTACAACTTTCCCTTCAAACAATGAATTCAACAACCCGAACACAACAAAGAGAACCAAAGCCACAACGGCACCAGATTTAAACTTAAACAGCGATAGATCTCGGCTCGATTCCTTTAAGCTGCTTTCAACGCGATCTATCTTCTTCGTCTTCGATTTCTTGACTGTTAGCTTGGACGAAGTGTTATCAGTCTTCATCGTCTCGAGCTTCTTGGAGGCTTTGTCAATGGAAGTTTTCAATGATTTGTAAGAGCTGGTTCGGTAGATTAGGATCCATGAGATTGCTTCGCAGACCAAAGCTGTGCAGAATGAGATTCCGACGACGGTAAGACTATCGGCGTACTTGAAAGAAGCGAAGAGAGGTATCGCCGTCGCCATTGCCTTTCTTCTGATCGATTCTGAAGCTCTGAGATTTGATATGATTGGGTAGTTTTGTCAAACTTTGATTTTTAAAAAGCCCACAAACAAACATAACCAATATAAAAGGCCCTAGTGCTAATAATAAAAGCCCACTACCGTAATACTTTAAATTTCAACTTAATTAATAAACGGCACACCATGTGGGTTCGATGACGTTTTGTTCTCACTAAAACGACACGAATTTTTTTATTTTTTTTTCTCTTGTTATAAATACATAGTACATAGAATGTAAAGCAACTGATTTATGTTACACCCAAAAAGTAGTTGGTTGGAAAAACGTGAGCCAAATAAAATGTGTGAAGTGATGAGACATCCTTTTCTTTGGCTATCTTTAGGTAACATAGTTTTGGTATCAATGTCTCTATTTTACGATTTTCATTAAATTTTTGTAGGAGGCTAGTTTTGAATGTGTGTGGGACAAGATGAAACTTGGTTTATTTATTATATATTGAAACGTTTCTTTTAATTGTACTTTGTACAAACACAAGTTAGATTGATATTTTAAATTTGTTTAATAGAACTATTCATGTACATGTACCCACCACGGCCTCTTTCACACATCACACATCAATAATTGTCTCGCAGATCAACTATAGGATCTGATGTTGATTCATAAATTACAAATATTATAGTTAAGCTGCTCGGCTCATACGTAACTAGATTTGGAAACGTGCATGTCTTTCTCTTTATTGTTATTTAAGACCAAAAATCTGTGGGCGGTATACGCCTTTAACTAACGTCATCACATAAAGAGTAAGTAACTTATATTTTTCTACTATTGAACATCATCTATATTTGGTTTTGTTATGATTTTATAAGTATTACTGTCTATACCACACGTAGTTTACCTAGAATCTCATAGGCATTCGAGGCACTATGTACTAACAAGATCTTGTTCGTATTCTCAATGTAGTTCGCTCGCTATAGATACTTTAGGTTCATTCGTTTATCAAAAGGTCATCAAGTACCTTCTTCGTTTGTTGAGGCTGACACATATTGTTGTTCTCACGGAAACAGATGTGGCTATATTGAGTCCATAAGTTAAATCCATATCTATATTAACTTTTAGGCTATTGAAATCGTTTAGGCGGATGTCAGAATCTGAGTTATTAAATGCTGCGTACAGAGACACAGTCGTTATATACATCACAATTCGGACATATATATTTAAACGATTTATTTGGTTTGTCTTATTGTTGGCTGTGGGGGACGAAACAAGAAAGAAAATCGTAAAACATGTTCAAATTAAACTTAGTGGTGATGGTGATGTATATATCCATTGGGGACCCTTTAACGATTCGATTTAGATTTGAAAGTTATGATATTGGCGTGGACATTTCAGAACCAACCAAAACGAAATTTCAATTACAAATCAAATATATATATATGTTGCCAAACCCAATGCAAAATAATGTTAGGCGATTTAATAAAAGAGAGAGGAGCAAATATGTTAGTTAAGCTTCCGGATTTTGTAACTCTACTTTAAGCGATACTATCAAGGTTCTAAAGAGATAGTGTTTAATATAAATTAGTATAGTTTTAAATATTTTGAATAAAACACCGTAATATTCAGGTTAAGTTCAATAATGACAAATTTCTTGACCAATCATCGTCTTTATTATGCTTAATCAATTTCACTAGAGAGTTCTTTATTTCATCTGCATGAACTAGTCTCAGCTGTTATTATTTGATATATCTATATATGGGGGATTAACTACCATTACGTAAATAGAAAGCTATTAGAAAACGAAAACAAACAAAACAAAAACAAAACAAAAGCTAGATCAGACATTAAAGAAAAGACCTAGAGGCGTAGATCCAAACTCACGTGGTCTGGTACATTCGTCTTGGACTCGTAAAACAGACTACGCCTGCTGCTACTACCACCAACATACGTCGTCGGCCTAGTGATCTGGTTATCGTCGATGAACAAAGGCATATATTTATTGTAAGACAATGTACCGTCACGATTAAACCTTGCTGATGAGTTATACATACGCAATAACCCTAATCTGGCGTCGTTGATGTGAGCAGCTTCAACGCTAAAGTGTTCTTCGGATAACCTAGAATGCGCTTGGTGGCGGTGGAATAAAGCGGCTGCGTTTGAATGGAGGTTGAAGCGTTTGGTTTGTTGACGTTCTCTTTTGTGTGCGTTTTGATGGCCACCTAGGGCTTGTGAGGTAGGGAAGTTCCGGAAACAATAGTGGCACTTGAATCTTTTTTCTTTGGTATTGTCTTTGACGCTTTCACTATTCTCGTTGCAGTTACTGTCTTTGGGCTCGGATTCTTCATGAGAAGCTCCAAACTCGAAGCCAAAGAGGCGAATGGGTCTTTCCTTTGGAGAGAAAGAGTTGACGTTCATGAAATCGTGAGTCCTCTTCATCATAATGTAGTGGTGGTGATGATGACTTTGGAAGCCAAGTACAGAGAAAAGAGAAAACAAATGTTAGAGTAAGAAGTAAAAGAATACTTAGGCTTTCTATTTCTAGATTCTTCATTCAACTTTAGTGTTAATTAAATTTGCAAGTTGAAAGTACGGTCTCCTACTCTATGTGTCTTGCATTTAATTCCCGATGGGGTATGTACATCAGTACATAGATAATTGGCATTGAATAACTCTTTTTAACAATAATAGACGTATTCACACACATTTAGTTTTTGGTAAGTAGCACTTATTTATTCGTTTAATTTCTAGCTACATCCTTAGTTAATGAGGGATTAGAAATTGTTAGCTAGCTAAAATGGTTGTCTCCTTGTAGATATTATAGTGAGCAGTAAAATTTAAATACAGATTTTCATGCCTTGATGATTTCTACCCGTCAAACTACCATCATTGATGCCTTGATATGTCATGTCAATGTTTGATGAAAAGGGTTTAGTACATTTAGTTGATGTCATCAAGATACTAGTATATAGATGTATCTTTAAGGTTCCTCTTTCTATTTTAAATAGTGACAGCTTGTATAAGACTTTTGATGGCCTTGTGCGGCTATAGCTTAAATCTCCCTCCCTCGTGATATAAGTACATTTTTTTTTCCTTCTTATGATCATTTTGGAACAACAGCGAGTTAACGATATTCCTCAGATTGAATTATTTATGTTGGATCATCTAAGCAAAAAAATAAACATATTGTCTATGAGTAGTTAGTAAAATAAAAGAACCATGAATAAGCATAGCGTACAACTTTTCAGGTGGCTCCCTCAAATTAATGTAGTTGGATGGTAAAATATGTTATGTCACATCTTTGTTTCCTCATCTGCACGATTCTTCTATATATTTAGTTTGGATGATTTTTTTTCCGTTCGGAAGTACGATCTAGTTAAAAAGTTTCATTAATGTTTGCTCTAAAGTGCAACATTGACAATATAGATTTTGTTAGTAACTCATATGAGTCATATCTGTTGTCTCTTGATTTACTCCAAAGGCTGAAAGAAGTTCTCGTATACTATATATTGGGTTAACGTACGTGGTCGCCCATAATGAGGGAAGAACATGGTCGTGCATGAACCAGTATTAACTAGTTGCTCACACGATCAAGTCGCATCCGGTTGCCTCAACCAAAGAATAAACAGCTTCAGCAACTCTATTATACCATAAGATTCTTCATCTTATAATCCTTTTAGAAAAGAAGAAATACAAACCAAGTGATCTTCAAATTTACTTATTAAATACATAGTCTCGTTACAAACTTTTCTACTTACGAAACACCTTTAATTTTGCAATTTCTTAATCCATCACATTGTCCCACAAGATGTAAACCAAATGATGTCTCGCGTTTTCACTTGATAAAATTAACCGCATTACGAACCTCATATCATTAGTTACGTAATAATCGATCCGATATTATACTAAAAGAATATGAAAACATATTAATTTTTTTTTTGTAGGTTGCGAGAATCTACTAAAAATTTCATATGTTTCCTACTAGTCACAAAGTTTTAAACAAAACTTCGCACGTCCTCTAATATATATTTTGGAAGTGCCATACACGAACCCAAGTTGAGAAGATATATATTATTTATACACAAAGAAAGACTATATATAAAGGGCGTTTATGTTCAAGTATTATCATTACCAAAACAAAGAAACAAAAAGAGCAGTGATGGGTGTGATGAGATCCTCAAGAACGATGGGAATAGAGCACTACATGGTTTATGTTGTGCTCCTAAGTGCCATTGCCGCTACTGTGACATCATACCCTTACTCATCTCCTCACACACCACAATACAATTCTCCGAGCCACAAACACAAATCACCTTACCCGCCTAAAAAACATTCTCCATACAACTCGGCATCTCCTCCAAAGGTTCACTACAAGTCTCCACCACCACCATACGTCTACAGCTCCCCACCTCCACCATACTACTCGCCTTCTCCAAAGGTTGACTACAAGTCTCCTCCACCACCATACGTCTACAGCTCCTCACCCCCACCATACTACTCGCCTTCTCAAAAGGTTGATTACAAGTCCCCACCACCACCATACGTCTACAGCTCCCCACCCCCACCATACTACTCGCCTTCTCCAAAGGTCACCTATAAGTCTCCACCACCACCATACGTCTACTACTGATTTTGAATTGTTTCAGTAACAAGAAACATGATTGGTACAATTTCTTTTCATAATATCTTCTCTTGATTCTTCTTATATTGTTTTTTTGTTCTACTATCTTATTAAGCTTTTTATTTAACCAATAATGTATGTTTTAATGCACTTTTTTGTTTTATATATGTTCCAAATGGTTGAAATTTATAATATATATGTTTCACTATCCAATGATAAAAAATACATTGGTGAAGATATGGGTATTTTAGTTTCAGAAACCAATCAAACCATTTAGAATTTATTTTTGTATTTAAAAATTCTTTTGTTATTTATTTGTATTCCTCATCTTGTCGCTTTTATTGCATAAAAGACATAGAAAGTGACTATGGGCAGAGAGGAACATTTAATCAGTCACCGGACTGGCAGCGTAAGCAGTTGCAAATGAAACCAAACCCTTGAGAGAGTATTGTTTGCCGCGCTTCATATCCCATGCTGGCGTCTATATAACATATCCGAAGCTCTTCACCTAAAAAGATACAAGAAGTGTGTTACCATTGAAGCGAAATGCACACAAGATTGAGATTAATGCTAATTAGAAATCTCTGTTTTAAGCATAAAAGAGCAAACCTTCTTCAACATCGCGTAGAGTGTTCAACCTTGCATCTGCATTCTGCAGCCACATTATGTGGGCGTTGGGATCTGTGCACATTCAAACTAGTCATCACTTTTTTTTCCATAAATTAATTAGGTGAATATTTGTGTGGCATCTAATACATGTTGTACACGCAGTATAGATATGACAACAGTTTTCAGAAAAATTCAGGAAAAGACTGACAAGGATTTTAACTATCTGAGACCATTTTATCCAGAGAAAACCAAACAAAGAAAAACATCAGCCCAGGTAGTAAAGAGTAGTTTTACTCGTGTCAGACAGTGGTATTATTAACTTCCAACAATTAGCCGTAAAGTAATCTGGATATCAAAGTAAGAATATGATACACTCATATCAGAAATTGTTCAATTTCTACGAGAAAAAAGATTGTAATTAAGAGCCAGGCTTATGATGTTGTCTATTAAAGCATTTCTTCGCGAAAACCCGGCATAAAAAGAACAGAACAAGTGAATATTATTACCACAGTCATGATTGTAGAAGGATGGTAGCATATAAACGGCATGGCCAACTGCACCTTCACCTTCAACAGACGCTGCAGCCAGTGAAAGAAGGTCTTCGCCACACGAGCCTCCAACCAGATCAATACGAAATGCATTGATACGAATCCGGGCGAGTATAGCCGTATACCATTGTTTAGTTAGAACTTCCAGATGTTAAGGACTGTAAATAGCAAAGAGATAAAAACAAGAACGCTGGGGATAGAATGGATTTGATGTAAGATATAGCTCCAAGGATACAAGCAACATCGTCATCTTTGAAATTTGCTTTCCTAAAGGCATTCCATAACAAACCATAACCGTCTTCTATCTGAAACAATAGCACGTGAGTGACTATACCGCAACAACCCACTCAGTGGAGCTAATGATTTCGTCATGAAAAGCTTATAACTGATTCATGGGAATACTACAGCGACAAGGTGAGCTCAACATAGTGTAGTGCATGACAATCAAATCGAAGACAAGTAACTCAGGGGACGCAATCCAGAGTTTGCATAACTTTCCATAAATGTGATCAGCCTTATGTATTTTGACTCGAAAGTTTTCAAAATCTATTATTAGTGTACTATTTGTCATCAATAACTCACCTTTGAAATCATCGCAGAAGACAAAGCAGCAGGTTGAAGTATGTCAAGACAGTCAGCGGGCAGAGCACCTGATATTATCATACAACACAACCTCTTGACCATAAGCGGGTACTTGAAGTTGTACGTCCTTACACAAAGATAATAGAGTGTAGTCAATATCAGTGACAAGAAGATATTGATTAATTTAGTAGTGTTTATTTCTTATTCTACTAATTACCAGAGGAAAGATTTGAAGAACCATATATAGCCTTCCCCAAAAGCAAGACAGACTAACAAATACCTGAAGCTATGTCTTCCTTAGTTTTAATTATTCCGTTGAAGCTATTATAGAAACAAGGAAGTACTAGACTGTATAAGACTCACAGATTCATTCACTCCAAATGCATATGAAAAGCCTTATTATGGGATAACAAAGAGAACAACTTCAAGAACTTGATAATAAATAATGTTCACATCGATTAAAGAAGACACTGAAGCTGATACACCATGAAAGTATATGCGCAAATATGTAAAAAAGCAAAGAAACCAGTAAACACGGTTTAGTATCATACCTACAATAATCAACAAAGCTTGACCAATCTGCTCTTGTTTCCACATCATAAAAACCCTGTACATCATATAAAACTATGAATTCAAAAGTCCATATACGATAACAATTAATCTCTAGAGAAACAAATAAAGGAAAAAGTGATGTGTTTTTCCCATTGAAGCATTCCGTCGTACACCTTGTAAGCATTAGCTCGGGGATAATACTTACACCACCAAACGAAATTGAGGAAGCAATCCATTAACATGAAAGGGAACCCTACAGTATACTATAGACAGTAAGAAACAAAAAGCATAACCTTTGAATTCTCTTGGCACTCTTGACTACAATACGAGACTCCACGATCTTGAAATTTAGCAGAACCCATGAGTTTCTTAAGGCAAAGATAACAAACAGAGTCGAGCGAAGCAAGAGAAGGGCAAGCTACGACGGGCTTCGCCGTGTGTATAAGATCTCCAGCACCAATCCTACGCGTTGCGAAAACAGCTCGACCCGCTGACTCAGTGAGTCCGACTCGGATCGGCGGCGGCCCTGTCTGACATTCGCCATCTCGATTCGACGCAGCAGAGGAATAGAACAGCGGAGGCGCCAACGGCTTAACAAGGCGCGAGAGACAACGGCTATAACGATTTAAAGCAATTCGCGACATTTTTGTTTCTCAATTTTGTTTTTGCTTTCACAATGGAGGAGGAGGAACATACTGTATTAGAGAATTATATATATATAGTTTAGAAAATAGCCCCAGAACTTTTAAATTGTGTCAAAAACAACCCTTTTACACTTTTCTACAATTTAACTTTTGGGAAGTTTGATATTATAACAACAACTCCTCTGCTTGTCATAATCTAAAAGGTTGGTAATTGTTTTTGACCGTCGTGTTGGTGAAAGTCCATCTTGATCTCTTTAGGAGGGATAAAACAATCAACAGAGAGACCAGGCACGTCGAAGACAACATCGTCTATGGTCCATCTCTCTTCCATTCGAGTCACAGAGATTCCTCCTCTGAGAGTTTCTCCAAATCTTGAGATTAACACATCTGTTCTACCCGAGTGCGCTATTACCACTTCACTTCCTTCGATTGCTCGGTAATCTTCCATCCACGACGACATCGATGTCTCCCAATACGTTGGGACAGTCCCTGGTATCTGAATCCTGCATTACACACATTAATTACAAACAATGGTTCATTTAATAGTTTAGATATGATCATAGGTTATAATGTTATTACGTGAATCTAAAAGTTGAACCTATGTAATTTTTGTTTTGGCTCCGGTTAATATAACAAACTCTTAACCAAACCAACAATAAAATTAGCAATTTTATGGTTGTACCTGGTTAAAGAAGAGTCTTCAAGGCAAATTAAGAGGCCGCTCTTTTGGCTGAAGTAGCCGAATGCTACGTGTTTGATCATCTCAGCGGTAGAGTCACTTCGTCTTGATAAGTCGATTTGGTCGGTTGATAACTTGAGAATGAAACAATCCTTCCCATTGATCTCTTTCTCTCCAACGAATTGTGCCGATGAGAAGACTGATGATATTGTTAGAGGATCCAAACCCTGGTTGATGTGTTTCACATAGACAACAATCTTCGTTAAAAGAAGCACATGAATCCTTAGCAATCTATAATTTTCTATCTCTATATAGATTACAAGTACCAAGTCTTAAAACCATATATGATCAAATAATAACTAGCAATTCCATATATAGAAGAAGTACATTGATCCTAACAAATCCACATTTGAAGTACCGGACATTTGATACTAACTAGAAACCTTAAAAGTATTGGATCATGTCTCGTTTTCCGAAAATATAATGTTTTTGTAGGATTGTTGAGATAATTTCTTACTAGAAAATATTCATATGACTTTTTAAACTCGGATATAGATATTAGATTTGTAATCATGTTACCCTTTCAGACAAAAGCTCTGGACCACCACCAAAAACACACAATAGAAAAATACCCCACATGGATGACAATACATGAATAAGAGCAAACATGAACCTTGTTTAGTGTACATTATTTTTAATTTAAGATCGATAAGAGATGTGTAGTTTTAACTAATTATTGTAAATTAGTGATGAATGTACCACAAAAGGGGACCATTAGTACTTAGTAGTAGTCGTAACACATAGTGATGTTTTTATCATTAAAATTAAAAAAAAAAATCTAATAATTGTATGAAGTTTGGATTTAACTAAGTATCAACTTTTGAATCTCTCCTTCCAATCTTTAAATCCAATTTTTTTTATAAGCGCATGATAAAGTCAATTAAGTAGTAGTAGCACGTGAGTAAGGCAAAAAGAAAAATCTCATGAGAAAGCTAAAAAAAGCATCCCCCAAAGTGGAATGTCAGATTCAACACCTTCTTCTTTTTACCTATATAGTAATCTATATTAATCAATATACTATTACGTGTCTTCAGCTTTCACTAGCTAGATGCATTTCCAATACTTCAAATCTTGGAAATCTAATATCATTTTTACAAGATTTTTTAATAGATTATGAATGATAATAACATTTGTTTTGGGGATTACTTGATTGATGTACAGTAAAAACTAATTGATCCCTAATATATATGTACTTACTTGTAAAGCACGACGCAAAGGACGTATGGCACCTTTAGCAGCATGATCGCCGAGCCATGGTGTATAACGCCAAGTGATTTCGCCATCACTACCGGCTGCAACCTTATGTCCGCCACCAACCAACTCGATGAGCCATTTTTCAGGTAGCATTTGCCACATGACGAAGCATCCCTTGTGAGACACAGACGAGGAACTACCAACCGCTGGTGAGCTATTAACGTCACTCACCATACTCATTGTAATTTTCCCGGTCACAAAAGTGTTTTTAATTTCGCCTGCGAGTTTCTTGCACCCCGTTGCTGCGGCAAACTGCTGTATTATGTATTGTGCCGATGATGATACCTTTAACGAACAGATATAATTATGGATTAGTATATGATTTATATACACATATAACGAAATTGATACATATAATTCAGATCTGAAAACCAGACGTTCATTATAAAGGAATAATTTAAGAGTCTCTTGGTACTATTTATGGATCTTGTGATTGACTCTTGCATTGACTACACAACATATGCTTCTTCTTCTTCTTTTTTTTTTTTTTTTTTAATTTTATTATTTTGCAATGTATATATTTTTGGCTTGCTTGTATTTATACACCAAAGTTGTTGAATCTTGGTTTTTGTTTTTTTTTCCTTCTTAATTTTATATAAGAAGTTGAATCTTGGTACGTGACACTGACCTATTATCTACATATTTCGTCAAAACTCACATCTACCATGAAATCTTTTGAATATAAGAAGTGGTTCACTCTCTATATAATTGATTAGAAAATTAAGCTAGCTATTCATAAGAATGCACCTAGCATCTTAATTAGTACTCGGCTAAATATGAGTTTGTTTGAATAAAAGGGAACTATACTATATAATTAAAATCATTTATAATATTAATCTTCTGAAATTATATATGAAGACAGAAGATATGTGAAGACTATATTAAACTGAATTATCACAAAAAATACCCTCAAATATCCTTTTTAATACTATGATAAAGGTTTTGCATATGTCATGTTCTCATAAAGGTTTCCGCACTGAGAAAATAGTATCGCACAAACCATTTATAATGCATCATCAACTGTCGTCAGGTGATGTATAAAAACTTAAATGTCAGATTAAATAGTACTCATCCATTAAAAGCATGTCCGAAAACGTTTGTTTGATCGAATTAATACCAAACACAACGACAAAAATAAAATAAAAATACCAAGATATTTGAAAATACGAAAGAAAAATATATATTTTTAACCCTATACAAAAAAAATTAAAGATCGTAAAACTGATCCAATTTAATGCGACCCACCAAAATCTTAGTATAGTATTCTTTTAGACTTTTAGCTATGGGAAATAGTCGTCGAACTAGTAGATGAGTTTACATATATACGTATATGTACCTGGTGAAGAGAGATTTTGGAGAGAGGAGGGACAGGGAAGAGAGGACAACCCATAACACTGAGAAGAAGCTTCATATCTGGTTTCTTGGGGAAGACGATGATCTGCAATTGTGTTTTTATCCATTTCTTCCATGATTTGGATCTCGTTGATCTTTTTCCTCTTTCTTGATCTTCTTGTTCTTGCTCATCCATTGGTTCTTCCATCAATGGAGCTAATCTCTGCATTCTCTCTCTATCTCTTTCTTTTTTTCTTTCTACTTTTCTTTCTTTTGGGTTGTTTCTTTCTTTCTCTCACTTTGTACTTACGCAGCTTATAAGCCTTAGTGCGTTTTGTTCACCTTTCGTTTTCTTTGTTTGTTAATTATTGTTATTTTTTTTTCTTCTCTCTCTCTGTGGAAAAGTTATATTGACATAGGTCGTCGTTACTTATTATTTTTTTTTTTTTCATGTTTCGATAACCGGCAAATTTCATACCATAACCGATGTTAATATCAACAAGTGATCAGTTAGCTTTGATCAAGCTATAATAACCTCACATTGAGTATAAGGTAATCCATATTATCTTATAATATCATATTGGCTCGTCTCACATGAAAACATTGGAATCTTCCGAAGTAAATATAATAAATTTTCTACCTACCCAAACTGCACATACAGTATTACTTTGTTGTTCTGCACGTCAATTTTGTGTGTTTAAAGTTTAAACTGTTCAAAATTGTAAAAAGAACTTCAAACCAAGTAATTTTTTAATTTGCTAGAAACTTTAAACTGTAAATTTTGTGTGTTTAATTTACATCAAACTTATTGCAATAACAGCACTATACACGAATTTAGTTTTTAGAAAAATGTAATTCTCACTGACAACAAGTGTAACCTTAGTTCAACAAGTGTCCTTTTAGCCTCTTATTAGGGCGAATTTGACAAAGTGATGATAACGCTTGAAAATTTCCAATATTTATGAAACACATATATATGGTATTAAAATTCAAAGTTTGGTCAGGTGAAGAAGATGAAAGTAAAAGGGACGCAATGAGAGGTGACTTGTCCACGTCGTTTTATCCGGTGAGTCCTAAACATTCTCGTTCATTGGGATTGATGCTTTGATTCCCTGCTTACAAGTTTTTTTTTTTAGTAATATATATACATATATAGTTCGGAGGTCATCTCACAAATGAGACAAAAAAAAAAGAAGCAGATAACTTGGATAAATCAAGTGGATTGATGATGACGCAAGCTTAACCTAATCTTAATTACTTCCAAATTTGATGATGATCGACGGAGAGTTACGTTTGATGATAATGAGATAATTATTAATAAAGTGACCATAATAAGCAACTTCTTTCAAATTTTAGCTTACTTAGAATTCATACATTGAGCTTTTAACATATTCCGTTGATAGATAATATAAAGCCTATAAGCCCTATCCAAGAATATTTATGTTTTGCTTGTCAATTAACTAAGGTGATGATCATTAATTATTATGAAAAAATAGAAACATTGACATTCAATAACACATCACTAGTCACCAGACTCACCACCAGTCACCGGTCTTACATCCATGATTTTTGAGAACGAGGTACATACAATACAGCCCCAAAGCCCTTGTAAGCATGAGGAAATCTCGAATGGAATGTCAAATCACAGTAACCGTTTTTGATCAAGATCGTTGTTTTTCCTAAACCAAGACCTATCCGCACTAACTATCACACAATAGCGGTTTTGATCAGGATCGTGGCTTTTCTTAAAAACAGCCCAGTTTCTGAAGGCCCAATTTAGAAAAGAGTTAATCAAACTTTAAGGAAAACAAGATATATTTCCTTTTTTATTTGTGTGTGGGGGCAAAACAAGACATGTTTCCTTTTTTCTCATTAGCAACACGTATATTTTCTTTATTAGAGTTAAAATTAACATACATATCTGACTTAATTTATTAGGTTTATGGAATAAAGAAAAAAACATAGTGAAATGGCAGAAGTAATCAAAAACAAATATTTTGTACGAAACTTTAGAAAACAAAAGAGCAAAGAAGTCCCACGACGTCAGGTGGGATATACAGTATATATCTTCCTTCCAAGCAAGCAGCCACGTCTACGAGTTTTTTGTATGACAGTAAGCATTGTATGGCTTTCACGTGTCGCTTTCTCATTGGTCTGTCTCGTTTGATAGACCCAACCTCGGAGAGATTATAAATCTGACTCCGTATTTTGTAAAATTACATTAATGGCCCTTTAAATTCTCGAAAATATCAGAATTAATCATATATCGAAGCCGAGAAGGAGTAAGAATGAGCGATTGTATTTTCTCCCTAGTCACTTTGCCTTGTCTTTGATTTTTCTCTGTATTCGTCGGTCTCTCTCTTTTTTGCGTTTCTCGATCCCACCGTCTAATCCTTCTCCGGCCAATGACTATGATGACTCCCCCTCCCGTTGATGTAATCTCCGCTTCTTCATTCTCCGCGTCTCTTGTTTATTCAATGTTTCCCCTTCCTCCCTCCTTGTGTATTCGCGCTTGAATCTGCTTCTGATTGTTTCTGTAGCTGATCGCTTCGTTTTTCTTTTCTTTTCCGTGGATTTGATTTGAATTCGAAGCGGTTGAATCATCGGGCAGATGTTGTCATTATTTTATTTTTTTTGCTTTTGGTGTGTTAGTTTTAGTTGATTGTGGTTTCTATTTTGTTCGTTTTGATCATGTAGGGCGAGATTAGGGTTTTTTTTTTGGGGATATATATTCTTAGTTTTTGATTTTGGTTGTTTTTTTTTTTTTAATGACTTGCAGCAGCCAGAAGATGAGGAGATGCTTGTGCCGAATTCAGATTTGGTCGACGGTCCTGCTCAGCCCATGGAAGGTAAGACAGACTTTTTCGGTATTCAGTTTGATCCGCTACTTCACTTTCTTGTATCCTTTTCCTTTGGATGGGATTTAATCGATGGGATAGAGCTTTTGGATATTAGACTGCAGTGTTCGCGGGTTGGATTGGTTATTAACAGTGCTTAGGGTTTTGTCAATTTTTCCTGCTTTATATATTTCATCAACTGTTGATGCGCTTGTAGTTACCCAACCTGAGACTGCTGCCAGTACTGTGGAGAACCAGCCAGCTGAGGATCCCCCTACTCTGAAATTCACGTGGACTATCCCAAATTTCTCTAGGCAAAACACCAGGAAGCATTACTCTGAAGTATTTGTCGTTGGGGGTTACAAATGGTAATAGGGTCTACCTAGCTGTAGTCGACTTTCTTGTTGCAATTGTTTTATCAATTTGAATTTTGATGGGCTAACACCATTTGGGTTTGCTTGTGCAGGCGCATATTAATTTTCCCAAAAGGGAACAATGTCGATCATTTGTCCATGTACTTGGATGTTTCTGATGCTGCGAGTTTGCCTTACGGTTGGAGCAGATATGCTCAGTTCAGTTTGGCTGTAGTCAATCAAGTCCAGACCAGATATACCATTAGAAAAGGTACCTGTAATTTATTTATGACGTTCATATAAACTTTGGATTCTGATTGCATGCATGCGCATATGCACAGGAGAGTAATGTTTTGCGTAAGTTCAAATGTTGTGCTGGAAGAAGGGGATCACTTGATCTTACTGGAATAGAATCATGTTATTACTGTCTTTAGCTTTACCTGAACGCCAAGAGTGAAAACAAAAAAAAATTCCTGTTATGCACCCTTTTTTAACTTCAACAGACTGAAAGATCTACCTGGTTTCTGGCAAACTTGGTATATCATATAGTAGCTGTAAGTGACCTTGGTGATGCAAGTTTCCACTGACATTATGGTTCCTATTTTTTTTGCAGAGACACAACATCAATTCAATGCAAGAGAAAGTGATTGGGGATTTACATCATTCATGCCTCTTAGTGAACTCTATGATCCTAGTAGAGGATATTTAGTGAATGATACTGTTTTGGTTGAAGCTGAAGTTGCTGTACGTAAGGTTCTTGATTACTGGTCATATGACTCTAAAAAAGAGACTGGTTTTGTTGGACTCAAGAACCAAGGTGCAACTTGTTACATGAATTCTCTCCTACAGACACTATACCACATACCTTACTTCAGAAAGGTTGGATTTATTCTTTCTTTTTTTCTTCAGTTTGATAAATTCTACGTGTTCTCACTGAATTATAAACCAGCAACTGAATTTTGCATGTTGCTTGTAGGCTGTATACCACATGCCGACAACTGAGAATGATGCACCCACAGCAAGTATACCTTTGGCTCTCCAAAGTTTGTTTTACAAGCTCCAATATAATGACACTAGTGTTGCTACAAAAGAGCTGACAAAGTCGTTTGGTTGGGATACATATGATTCTTTCATGCAACATGATGTGCAAGAACTCAATCGGGTTCTCTGCGAAAAGCTTGAGGACAAAATGAAGGTAATTTTTCTTTTTTTGTTAGGCCATGATTTACTCCACAGTTGGTGTTTTTATTTTTGAGCTTCTTTCTTTGACTCTATAGGGAACTGTTGTGGAGGGAACAATACAACAACTATTTGAGGGCCACCATATGAATTATATCGAGTGCATAAATGTAGATTTCAAATCTACACGGAAAGAATCATTTTATGGTATAGTAATATATAATATAACTATTCGTCTTATTATATATATACAGTTACATTATCTGTCTTATTCTATTATTACATTGCACTACGTTGTCTTATTCGATCACGTCAACTTTATTACCATGTTCTTATCTTATGGCAGACCTTCAGCTAGATGTTAAAGGCTGCAAGGATGTTTATGCTTCTTTTGACAAGTATGTTGAAGTTGAACGTCTTGAAGGGGACAACAAATATCATGCAGAAGGACATGGTTTACAGGTTGGCTGTCTTCACTCTTTCTTTTTCATTATTGGGGATGGTTGAGTTTCACAACAGGCCTATTTGGGTATCTAGCAACTCTTTTATCACCTTTAATATTCCGCATACTAAAGAGCGCGGATAGTTCATAATGCGAGAGTTTTACGGAGAAGCCAAAACTAGGAGGTCTTGTGAAACGTCGTTAACTAGTATTGTCAAGCTAAATTACCACAGGCCTTAGCTGCTTTTATGACAAATGCAGTCTCCTTATCTTGTCTTATTCTGGGGGAACTTGATGTCTTTTGTTTCAGGATGCAAAAAAAGGTGTTCTTTTCATTGACTTTCCACCGGTTCTTCAACTCCAGCTCAAGAGGTTTGAATATGACTTTATGAGGGACACCATGGTGAAGGTTAGTATTACAGTTCACATGTGCCTAGGAAGTGAAAATATGGCTGTGACTATAAATTGTACTTTTGCATTTGGTGATTCTTTGATTTGTGAGTGCTA